ACCCAGAGTACGCCGCCCCCCCGGTTTATCCCTTCAAACCCGGCCCAACCCCCCGCTCCATTTACACAGCCCGTGTCTCCCGTGGTGGCCCCTCAACCGGCCCCCCACGGCGCCCCCCCCGGTCGCCTGCCGGCCCTCCCCCCACGGTGCACACTGCTGACGTGTCGAAAGTGAAGGCTGAGCTGAAGCCGGTGGTTGCTGTGATCACCAAGCTGTTTGACGAGGTGGCGGGGGCGATGCCCCCCAGCAGGAAGAAAGAGACGGAGGACAGCTCCAAAAAGTTGGGGCTGCTGTTCGTGAAGCTGAATACCGGGGACGTGTCGGCGGCCCTCACGGAAAAACTGCAGAGGGTCGCGCAGGCGATTGCGGCAGGGGATATCCCGACAGCGAAGCATGTGCAGGTTGAGATGACGACCACGCACTGGGACGAGGGCAGCCAGTGGATGCCCGTTCTGAAGAGGTTGATACACGCAAGGAGCACAATGAGATAAACAAGCTAGGGTCGTTTCCAGTCGATGGTATCGCCACCTTGACACTCACAAGCATCTCAGAGGACTCAAAAGTTGCAAAGATGTTTTGCTGCCCGCAGCCCGTGCAGAAGAAGGGTCCAGCTCTTCCGTGTTACTGCAGCAGGCTAACGTCGCTTGAATTATGAGGTCGCAAAATGAGCGCGGCCTTGTGCACTGCTCAGCGCGCGCAGGGTGGCAACGCATGGTCATTGTAACGGCTAGCTTGCAATTGTTCAATTTTGTCTGGGATGATGGTGATCCAAAATGAGATTGTTGCTATGCGATGTCTAGCGCACATGGTTGATTATTTGGTCATGCATGCATGGTGTGCGGCGGTAACAACCACATCATTGCGTCACATGCATTATAATTAGTCCTGGGTTAACCTAGGAGCCATGTGCGTGTATGAATTTCCTAGCTGTGCTTACACTATAGCTTACGATAACTCATCCATGATCGGAACACCCTATTGCAAGTACTCTGAAGTTATAATGGCTATCATGGTGTGGTGGCACACTTTCACATAGGCACCGACGTGAATGGATGTCGGTGAACGCGCAGTCATAGAACGCCTAAACAGCTGCTCAGATTGCTAAAAAGCAAGCTCAAGCCAAAATTTCAAAAGGCCACACTGCGGCATGCAATAATCGCATTCTACAGCCCGGCATTATCATGGCATGCTTTCGACATAAGCGCAATGATGGATGAACTAGCTCCGAGATGTGGATCCCGCATGTCAATCAAACGATGACCGCGGTGAGGGTGCTGCGATTGACGACGTAATTACCGGCTGCAGAAAAGCGGAAGCGTAATTGCGTGCAACATAGTCCAGCTCTGCCATGACTAACCTGTGAGATCACCACTAGTAATGTATCTCAATCGTTTATCAGAGCCTCACGGCGAGACCAGAGAGCGCCGCACGGAGCTTCAAAACGCCAGCGCCGGTTTGGGAGCTCACCATGACCTGCAAAACCAGAAACAAAGCTCTTTTACCTTTACACTTTCCCAAAGCGCCGCCGCCTTTCGTCTTCAAAGTACGCCCCCGGTCGTGTTTTAAGAGTCGAGAATGTCTTGCACATTCGTGAAGAGCTCAAAGGGCGGCCGATTGCAAGATTGTCGCCCTTTCTCCCCGACGTAACCTGCGAACGCTCCAGCTTCGTCGAAAGATTTCCTCTCAGTGCCTTGACAATCAGTCTGCAAAGGCTCCTGAAACACACATTAACCAAGCAAGCTTGTTCACGACTAGGATTGGCACCCAACTTCCAATCGGCATTCATCAAAATCTCGTCAACTGACGTCAGCATGAGCTCACCAGCGGGCTGACGTGGCTGCTTCGCCGGTCCACCTCTTGCTGCGCTGCCGTCGCTCGCCGGGCCAGGTCCTTAGTGGAAACCATATCGGCCTTGGTCAGAACAATCTGGTACCGGACCCGGTTCCTGCAAAGCGCGGCAGATCCAATTTTGCTTTCCATGTATTTCGTGAACGAAGAAGCTACATGGTGACAAAAGGTCTTGTCGTGCGCTACAATCTTGTAGCGCACGAATTGAGAAGATAGTCACAAAAGGGGAGAGACCATGTCGATCTTCATCAAAGCTATAGTTGCAAACCCGCACCTGCGCGTGGCAGTTGCACTGATATCTGCCAGAAGGGGAAAAGGACACGTGTTTGTGGAAGCACGTCTGAGACGGGGAGAGCGGCAAAATCGGGCGGGCACCAACCCAATGTCTCGATGCAACCTTGAGGCTCGTTTCCACCAGAGGACTCAGGTAGGAACCTTATCAAAAGGAACCATGATGTTACAAAAATGGTTGACCGTTGCGCCCAAAAGCCCCACCTCTCCAGCATATCGATGACGTCGAGGTCCGACGCTTTTAGTTGGAGGCGTGCGTCTATTAGCAGCATTACCCGCTTGAGGGACTTCCGAGTCTGCAGATACTCTTCCACCTGCAAGACGCGAATCTTCTCACTTCCCATTTTCGCATTTCCCTCCTTTCATCTTACCGTTGTTTCGCTTGTTCAAAGACGTTCCGAGCGCCCAACGACAGTCTGCTGCTTGTGAAGCACGTGGTTTGACACACTAACTGCATTACAAACCCCCGCTCTCTTTCTCGCTCGGGCAAACCTTGCCCGGACGCAACCATGTTCACCTGCGAAGTGAAGCACTCAACCCAGAATCCGACCTCGAAACCGGCCGGAAGTGATCCGAGCAAGAGGGATCAGAGGTACCCACCAGTTGCGACCAGCTTTCTCGTTTCTCATCCGCGGCGTACGCGAACCCATACCCGGGTAAGTCCACCAGGGAGAGCCGGGGCCCAATACCGTAGAAGTTGATGCTCTGCAAAGAAGCGGAAGTTCTTATGAATCTCCCCGTCCCTGCGGTTCACTTTTTCGGGTCACCATTCGCAACGCCTCCCGACTTGGATGCTAGTTGCAAGTTCGAATCGAACAAGACCTGAACAGACGACGCTTCCGGATCTTGCACGACCGGACTGCTGTGAAGCGGGCTGTGACACGTGGCCCCGAGATGGTGGAAAGGCAAGTGCAGAAGACACTGATCTTCTTTGTAAAATAACGCGTACAACTCTCATCACTTCACATGAAAGTTGAATTGAAGTTCGCATACCTGCGTTTCTCCCGGCTTGTCAGAGACTCTTGTGACATGCGTTCGGCGAGAGAGCGCGTTGATGAGCGAAGACTTTCCGACATTGGAACGACCTGCAAGAAATGACTTTATGTGATCGGTTTTAAGTCGCAGCAGACTCCGTCATTTCTCGAATTTGTTTTTGACATTTGCCGCACGATAGTCTGAGCTGAACAGACAGACGTTTCCATCGTCCAGTTGACATTTGCTAGTTCTTTGAGTCGAGCGCACTTTCTGATGCTTTCACCACGAGCTCACACTTTACGGCAAAGAACGAATCTTAATATATCATGCAGACACGAGCTGTGTTATCACTGGATAAGCGGCACAAGAATCGTCCACATGTTTGCCTTATTGAACCGCCAATTAGTTGAAGATTTATACGTGCTTCCCAGGACCTTAGTGCCTCGATTCGGCGCCCGGTGCAATCATGTGGACAAGATCGGAAGCCGGACTTGCGATAATTCGCCAGTAGATGATCATCTGACAAGGCTGTGCCTGTTAATGGAGTGTTTTTTTCTTAAGTGCCTTAGGTAGAGGACCGCAGTGCTCAGTATCTTCCAAACAGACTCAACAGTGGCGAACTTGGAGTCTCACCAGCGAAAGCAATCTCTGGAAGGTGGGCTGGGGGGAACTCGTTCAGGGCTTGGGCGGCAGCGATGAGCTTTGGCTCCTCAGCAAAGACCTACAAGGCAAAAGCAGTCTGTCAGGGATTGCGTAGACTGAACGCGACGACTGAAGCTCAGACTTCGGGTGGCATTCTCCGATGCCACACCAACTCGGTGAACGTATCAGTCCTGAATTATGGAGTGCCTGTCTAGCCTTGGTAAAGAGAGTCTGGTTCACAAGTCTTCACGGGAAGCAGCGTCAGCTAGTGGAGTGCAATCACCTCGTTCAAACAGGTGACTATCAAGGTCGCGTGAAGAAACTTCATGAGTAAGTCACAACTCAGCCGCCTATCTGATGAAAGGATTGAAGCAGAATAAGTAACTCGATGAATGGGAGATGAAAAATTTTCTTCAGTCTCATCAGCGTTTAATCCCCATACGAGTGCGCTTCCTACCGTGTTGTCAGTGGCGCGTTCTCCCTTGCACCCTGGCAGACTGTCAAGGGGGCGATCAAACTTGATGCTGTAGCCAGCTCTCGTGAAGTCATGCCGCTTCCGCTTCCCGAGCAGCAAGTCCTCAAGTTGCGACAAGAAGTATGCAGAAGGCGGGCCTTCATGGTTTATGGGGTCTCTTGAAGCTGCAAAAGGTTGGGTTGTTTCGGATTAGGTGTTGTGAGCTTGCGAAGGATGACGAGGTCCGTGCTAGCAACTTTCTTTCTCTTCTGTTGTATTCAATGGTGCGAGACTGTCATGTTTGACTAATTCATACTTGAAGGCTGATTGCATCTGCCGCCGATTGATGCCCAAAGAGAGCATGGAAAGGATCTTCACATGTTGACAACAACCGGTAGACTTACAGTGCAGATCCTACAAGTTTCCACTCTTTGTGAAAGAACCTGATGGCGAGATCATCAAACAATAAAAGCCTTGTTTCATCATTCATGCGAAGGCTGCACTCACTTGCCTGCTGGCGCCTCCTTGTCCCCACTCGGCACACTCTCCCCTGCAATCCCTTGTTGACTTTCTTGGAGGCGTGCTTTTCCCACATTCTCCTTCCTCCCCTCAAACCGGGCCCTGTCTCCCAGGACTCTCCTCGCTGCCCAGGCCTTCAGATCTGGGGCAGCTGTTTCCAAGCCAGTTTCAGGAAGCTTGGTGGTTACGGCTCGTACCGACACCCGTCCTTGTGTAGGACGGGCCACTGTTTGAAGGGGCAGTTTTGGGGTTCTTCCTTTCCCCGGTAAAGTGAACCCCTCTTTCTGCGGGACCGTTTGATGCCCGCCGTTTGTCAGAGACAAGGGCCCATTACCACCGCGCTCTTCACTATCCCCCGAGAAACCTTGCTGATTTGCATCTTCCATGAGCGTTGAATGCACTGGCGCCTCTGCTGACCCATGCGCACTTTCAGGCCCCCTCTGAGCCTTGGGCAAAACGCGTGTCCGGTGCTGGTCCGAAGAGCGTCCACTGTCATCAGAAGGGCGTCCGATGTCGTCCGCAACGTCCAGCCAGACGCTGGAGAAGCCCCGCAGACTGAGCTGTTCTTGAAGGAGAGGCTGGGGCGTTCGCCACACTGATGCGATCAAGCGGCGAGTCCATTGCTGACGAGAAGCCAGGGCGTGGGAGGCCCACACTCCTGGTGCCATCGTTAGGAGTGGTCAGCTCTGTGGGCAGTTAGGTAGGCAGAATCAGGTGCTCTCTTGCGCAGAAGATGATGGTCCACCATGGTCCATGACCCACTTGATTTGACAGGAAAGATAAACCAGCTCAAGCGGGCAACTCCCCTTCTAGTTAAGGAGTAAACCCAAAGGTGACAACCCTGGCTACCCGGGCACCGACACAGGAAGGACGTTCAATAACGATATTTGTATATTAGTCTAGACTCTAACATATATTACCTTTGATGGGCCCGACCATCCCAAACATCATCGCTTGAACCCTGCTGGTTACCGTTCCCGGGGTGCTTCATAACCCGGTTTATTTACAGGGTTAAAGGAGAGGGAGTTCCCAGTCTACAGCTAAGGTAGAGTTACTGGGAGTTTCATAATTTCAGTTTTCACCTGGGACTGAACTTGAAGAGCGCTTCTCTCCATTGCAGTGGCTTCAAATGCCGGGCAATGCCTGAGCAAAGTTCTGCAAATTGGGTCCAAGAACAGGCTAGCAAAGCAATGCAACGTGGGTGAGAAATATCGCTGGGTGGTCACGCCACATTGTAGTTGCCTCACGAGTTTGCGCCCCATTTGCCATTTATGTTGTCATGCGGGTTTCAAGAAGGGCAATGCAGGACTTGAGCTAGGATTTGACAGCTTCCAGTTCTTTTCTGGGCCGCTGCTGAGCACTCACAACCAAGGCTTCACCAATGGCAACAACAGCGTGTGCCCTGGGTCCTTCATGCAACTCCAAGGGTCAGACAACGCGCTCAGTCTATTACAACACAAATCTCACACTGCTCTGGGCAGCTCCTCTCCTGTGTCTGCTCCTTTTGGGGGGCGCCTCGGCACAGGGCCTCATCCCGGTTCCCGCCACAGTGACGCGCGAGCTGGGTGCGTATTACATCAGCAAGTTTGGGCTCACCGATGCGGACTTCGACTTTTATTCTGTCCTGACGCAGCGAAACATTGGCAACGTGTATGCCCAGATCAACAATCTTTCGGCCACTGATACCCCCCAGGCCGCTGCAAGGAAGAGCAGCACCGTGCGGGGATTGCACTCTGCAAACACGCTGGGGGGGAGGGTGACCGTGGAAAGCTTTTACCGTTTACTACGCTGCGAGGATGACAGTTGTTTCGTGACAAGCAGGGTGGTTGTGGCTGAAGTAGACAGTGCTGTCAATGGCCCCCCCCAATACGCCATGGCCACCGTCAGATCCAAGCTAGGTGGCACCCACTGGACTCTTAATGCCCCACAGAGTGTCGCCAGCAATCTCCTAGATACACAAGAAGAGGAGTCATACAAAGATCCTGTTTACAGGGGGTTTACGCTGTACCACAAGGTAACCCGGCCCCCTCCGTGTAGCTCGGCTTTGCCCATGACGCATGGGGGAGCCCTCCAAGAGCTGCGTGGCAAACCAGGCTTCCAGTGCGTCAATAGTGACGGGCTTACCCTTATCGTCGGAGCCAGAGGGATCCAGGGGATCCCGCTACCATGGGACCAATGCAAGGGGGACCTTTTCCTGCTGTATGTCACAAGTTCTTTGGACGTGGGCCCATCGGTTTATAGAGTAATCACAAACCCTGGCAATGTTCCATTTACGGTGACTCTCTTCCTCCCGCCCAACAGCCAAGACTGCAACTTTCTCTATGCGGGCGGGCCAGCCAAGATCGTGGCCGCTGCACGTGCTTTGATGAACCATGACTTCCGTCCGGACACCTACCCGAATTTCGACGTCTTGCCCGAAATCTTGGCGCTCGGGTTCAACAACTCAAGAGCGCAATGCGCGCCATACTTTAGGGGCACCTATGGGCAGTTCGTGAGTGGCCAAGCGACACCGCCCACCGAAGTTGGCCTCGTCGATCCCTATCTCCCTTACAATGTCAGCAGCTTGGCAACATGTGTAGCTATGCTGGGAGAAGACACGCCAGATACGTCCTTCAGTAGGATAGCCGAAAATGCGTGCGCTCAGCTGTTCTTGGGAAAAGGAGGGGACCAACTAAGAGAGGCAATCATAACTCAAGGTGGAGACTCCCCGGATACCCAGACTTCAGACACGACATACCTGGAGTACACCTGCGGCGAATCTAGTTACAGTCTAGGGATATCATTGATATTGCCTCAGATTGCAGCAGACTTCGAGGCGGAGAAGAACTTCGTGCTATTGTCTTCCGAGGTGAGCTCAAGAGCGTCTTTCATCTTCTTTCACTTGGTTGCTTGTAAAGTCTGACGAAAGGAGCCCTGCCTCATAGCAGCTAACCTTAATCCAATTCTTGAGACGAAAAGTAACGCTGTCTAGGCTCGTTGACATGGAAAAATACCAGTAGTATGTAGGAAAGTGAAGTCTTTACAATAAAAATCTTTGAGCAAGTAACTTTTCTCAACCACCCCCCATGCCCATCGACGAATGCCCGCAAAGGACATCAAAGGTCCTCAGAAACGGAATCACTGTTGGGAGCCGTGCTAATGTTTGCCCGCCTCTATATGCAGCCAGCCACTGATTGATCAGACACCTCGAATCTTAAAGCTTTTTGACCAAGTAATTAACTCCATGGTCTACTTCAATGTTGAAGTTCTGATCATCAACTCATGAACGCTTCAATGAGGGATAGGAACTTGTCAGTGGGACGAAACTGACCAGTCACTCTGTAAGTGTGCCTAGCCAGCTTTTTAAGCTGTCTATAATGCCTTGGCCAGAAGCGGCGTCCACACAATTGTATTGCACAGGACCCGTTTCGGCTACTTGAAGCATTTCTGCCCTGAGAGATTCTCCTTAATCGACATACACTTTAGGCACACAATGCCTTGATGGTTCTTATAGCCTGCACTTTGTTTATTTTTTGAATCTGTCTTGCGGAAAACTCAAAGTCACAAGCGTGTTACTTCCCCTTGCAGGTGAAGTATCATTTAGACGCGGTCGCAACCAACGCCGCCTCCGTTTTGGCCGTCGAGGCCGCTGTTGCCACTAGCGGGATCATAATTGCACGGACTATCGCCCGCTCAGGGCTCTACCGTCGGAGGCGCGTAGCGAGCAACCTGGCCCGCGGGGTAGCAATGGGTACTGCTGCGGTTGTAATAACCATCTTCAATCTTCCCAACTTTGCGCTCATCAGCCGGCTCGCTGAGTAACCACGGCGACAAAGCGGTTTTCACGCAGGCAAGCTACATCGTCTTGTATCATCGTATATGACTCAAAGATTGGAATGGAGTCCATTGACGAAGATGCTGGATGTGAAGCGACTACAACCGTGCGACCTAACACTTGAATTAGCAGCTAGTCGACTTCTACAGCTGTTCTTGGCAGAATCCATCACTAAACGGTTCGTCATCTAAGGCTGCGCAAATTAAGGGATGGCTGCTGCTTGCAGCGGCTCAAAAGCCGACATCAAACCGGAACAACTTCTGTTGGGATCTGGTGCAGCTAAGCTTTCAGGAGGTTGCGGGTTTTGGTTGGCAAATTGGGGATCACATTATATTGGACATAGAATAGTATAAGGAAAACAGCCTGACTTTACCTGTTCAAAGTTGCGGGTAACCTTGCACCACACAAACACAACTCGGAATTGTATACAATGTAAAGGAAAGGAATAGCGTGATAAAGAAAGAGGAGGAAGAGCATGCACTGACGTCAAAAATGTCGATGCATGCAAGAGTAAAGGAACGAGTTGTGCAAGAGGCTTGCAGGGCCAGTAATCGATCCAAAAGAAAGAGAGACCATGCTGACGTACACTCTTTGCCGCAGGTGAGCGTTCACAACTACCGTCCGGGCAACTTCTCCACCGTGCTGCGCGCCGAGACGTACACATTCGTGACTGTGCAAGGCTCTCGCGCGACCGCAGTCATTGGGCTGGTGCTCTACAGCGCGACCATGCTGCTCTGCCTCTATCTCACCTGGACCGAGTTCACCGAGATCATCCACCGCAGGTACGCGCACGCCCCGGGAATCGCCTTGGGAGCCGGACTCTGCATCGGTTCTCCTTGAATGCGCATGGTTTCAGCTGACGTCATTATTCGTGGCGATCCGCACACCCCAGGAAAGAGCCCGCGGAGGCAATTGAGGGCTCCCTGAATCCTTGCTTGGTTGCAACTCGACAGATTTTATAGATACCTCTCCCCGTAAGCAAGCTCACCCTGGGGGTTTGCTTAGGGGCCCAAGGAACCCCTTTTCGCTTATGAATCGAGTCATCGAATAATTCAGCAAGCAATGACACTCCCCTGGGAAGAGTCTGCGGATCGGACGTCCACGGGCGTTCCGATAGTCGGACGAGGCTTGTTCAAGTCCAGTGCCCTTGCAGTATCTGATCGGGTATAGTTTTTGTGCCACTTACTGTCATTTCTTGCTGGCGCGTCTCATTAAAGTAATCCTTCATTCTTTTTATTACTCTCTGCTTCTTCAAGTAGATTCTGCCTGCTTAAGCTGTATATGAGTTCCATTATACGGGCTCTACCATGATACGCTCGCCATGTTTCTTGGTTTTTACCGACCGGTGCTCACGTAGCCTTTACTACAGTCGCTGACTCGCCCGCACCGTCAGTAGGCACTGAAGATTGCAAACAAAATCTGCATACGAATTGTCTGCTTTGCACACTAATTTATCTTGGATGAGATGCGCCTCGTCTGTCTGCGGGGTAGGCCTCTAAGAAACTCCCAAATCATAGACAAGGACGTACTCATAAGTGGCGACGTACTCGTTCGGTGACGCCAAGCAGACAGACTGATTTACGTTTCCGTTGCGCTTGGCAAAGTTCAGCCCAACAGTCAAACGTTGATTGCTACTAATAAATGAAACTTGGCTCGAACAAGAATGACAAGACGCGCTGATTGCGGACAAGTATAAAGTACTCAACCTGTGGCGCCGCGGACAGTCTCGATCTTTTCACGAAGTAGGTCATCAATAAAAATCTGCCAAGTGTCGCCTGCAGGGAGGCTGCTGAAAGTCGATTTGGACAAGACGCCCTTATTGCGGACAAGGACCTGCTCATCCAGTGGCGTGCCGCAGACAGTCTTATGTACGACACTTTGCACCCCACAAAGGTCGTTGAGTTGGCCCAAGCGCAAGAACTGGAAATTATGCGGCGCAACTTCGCTCTCGCGGCGAATCCGAGGTTGCCGTCGCGGGGAGTCGACGAATTTTCACCCCGGGGGGGGGTAAATGAGCAGTCATTTCGGGGGAGGGTGAACGAGTATTCGCCGCTCCGGAGCCCCCGGCCGCAGCCACAGGAGCGTTCCGCCAGGGACCTATATCCGGAACAACGGAAGGACTCCGTGCCGGATCTGTACTTGTGAAGCGCTAGAGAAGGGGAGATTGCGATGTGGGCTGTTCTTGGAAGCATCAATATCGTTGATAACGGTTTGGATCTGTTTGCCTCGGGTTGGCTCTACTTCTGGATCTGGACTGTTGCTTCTTGAGGGATATAAGGTCGCAATCAATCTGCTTCGAAAAGTGGGATTGGCGGTCTGAGTGAATGCCTTTCATTCTTTTAAGCAATTGCAGTCATTCGAGCAATCAACCGATTCAAATAAACCATCATTTAGAAAGATATTGCACTTCCGTTGATATCTATGACAACTCCGAGTAGTAGCTTCGTAGCAAAGAAAAGTTGGAAAAGAATGAAACGACTAAAATGAAGCTTTCGCTTAAGCCGGCGACATTTGCATCTGCGCGCGTAACAGTCTTGCTGAGTTATGGTACTTGCACCCGAGTTTTAAGGCTTCAGGGCTCTGGGGATTAGGGTCTCAGCGCTGCGATATGCATCTCGTTTGACACGAAAGCCATTAAGCTTCCATTTGAGCAACAACTAAGGAGCGCAAGATGTTTTTATCGATCTGGAATGAAAGTTCGTTGCCACGCTTTCTTGCCGTGCTTGCAGCCGTGTCAACAATCCAAACGGTGCCGACGTGCTGACAGGGAATCTGCTGGCGAGCGGAAAGCTCTGACGGAAGCAGTAGGAAGGGGCATTAAACCGGGTCAAAGCACTTTGACCTTATCTCGAAGCGCCCAGAATGGGCTAGGTTGACGAGTCAGGAATGGTAATTCTACTCAGCGTCAGGAAGGATGCATACAATCTAGGCTCAGGGACCTGTAGTTTCAGGCACTTCGTAAAAACGTCCGGGTTTGTAATCTCCGACACTTTTCGGTGACCTTGGTAGGGTCTAGTTTTAAAGGTGTTGACAGCCAAGTGTTTTGCGGATCGAGTTGGTGATACGCAATCTAGCGTACCGGCCGAATGGACGGAGCCTCGGACCTTGTTCGTCACTGCACTCTTAGGGTTAAGGTTTTAGGGTCCTAGGGTTAGGGTTTTAGAACAGGCGCTGACGGAAACACAACTCTATATGCATACAACAAGCCGCCGGAAGGGCAGGTGTAAAATTATGTCGGGCGTCAAGATAACAGCAATTGGAGCTTGAGGACAGGTCTTGTGCATGATTTGACCAGACGCAGTCTGTCGCAATGATGAACGTGTTCAGTGGTGCGAAGTCATGCTTGCTGGTTTGAACGAACTTCGACTGCAACTAGTACCAGTCAGATCAGCCGCAGGGTTCTATCAAAGGTTTGGATTCATCAAGGTACTGTCTTTCATGATGTCGAGTTGACAACTTCTGGTTCAAGCCGCCGCCCGTGTGTGCACAAGAGCTTCTGCGTATGCCCTCTTAACATGCATAGCTTCTTGCGTGCACTACGGAGCCGCCATGCACGGAGGCTACGCGTCCGATGTGGCATGGTGCTACGAAAGCTGATTGTGAACGTCAAGATGGTTTTTCGGCGTCGTGGAAGCAACGGAGAGGACGCTCTAGAAATAACTCGCGATGCTATGGAACAGATTTGAACTTTTGCCGTAGAAGATGTGACGCACGTAGCTTCCATACTGGCTTGCGGGTACGAGACCTACGGAATGCATGATCCGGGCACGATACTCGATTAGCTGGATATCCAGATCCTGTTCAAAACCATAGCCTTCGCGAAAGCTAGTATTTGCACAATCCACACTGCAAAAAGTTCATGTCAAGAGCTAGAGCTCTCTCGACTAAGTTAAACATTTTGCAGTCTAAATCGTGCAAATTTATACCGATCATGCGCCCACATACCGCATGAAAAGGGAGACTCTTGCAACCAGGTCTGCCCCAGGCTTATATAGCCGATTCCGCCCGCGGCGTGCATTCTCAACCCAGATTAAGAGCAATTCCGCGCCATGCCCCCTAAGCTGTGTCACAAGCTGCACGTAGCACCCGTAGCAGCTACCACGCCGCGGCGCATATATGTGAACAGGGCAATAAACGCCTGCAGCGGCGCAGAAATGACTGGCCATGCATAAAGGTTTTGTTTTTGCAAAATATTTTGCATTAAAGCATATGCTGCAGACGGAATATGAAGTCTTCGATGGTATATCGCATCGTGACCGTCAGTCTGCAATCGTAGCTTGCATGATAGTGATCGAAACCGCGTACCAGCCCAGGCTTTCAAACATACTCCTTTCGAGTTACTTGAGAAAGAGTAACAGCTCCTACCGATCCTGGATTGTATCAACACCGTCAAGATCTCGAATCACGATCCGACCAGCATTGCAAATCTTATCGAAGTCTCCGATATAAATAGACTACCTTCCAGCCCTTACAAATCAATCCTTATGCACACGTCTTATGAATCGTACATGGTCGCTGGAGTCGGAAAAGCTTTGGCCTACTCGTCTCGGCGTCTCAATTGGCGCATAACACTAACTCCCGCCCGAATTTCTTTCGACACAACGTACATGCACCCTTAAAGCGTTATACCGTCCACACTCGGTATTTGACACTAAACACGTGGTTTCGCCTTTTATAAGGACTTTCATTTGGTGTCTTTCGCACCGTAATAGTCCATCACTGCCTATGCCACTAGACAGTCGCCAAATCCTCATTTAGGAGCTGTTCTAGTATTTTGGTCTTTGCCTGGGGATTTATATCCTCGTTCACCGGCAAGTTTTCAAAGTATCAACTTGTCTATCTCAACAACGTGCAAAAACCGCAATCTACGTAATCACCCCGGTCCTTTTCAAGTCCCCTTTCAACCGCAATGTTGATACAAGTCAAACGCGCCGAGCTACGGGGCACTCACAAACAAACCAAGTACTCCTCAGCCGCCTCGGGCTGATTTCCCCACCCGCAAGTATCTCTCCTTGCTGCATCCCACTAGTTTCTCCGGGGGGGCTAGCCGAAAAGCCCAATACCGACCTACCGGGCACTCAAACCGGTCACTGCATGAGGGCTAGCCGAGAAGCCCAAGACGATCTACCGGGCACTCAAACCGGTCACTGCACGAAGGTCGGGTCCGCGGCGAGCCAGCTCAGGAAAAGACGCGCCGGGTCGTACTTCTCCCGGAGCTCTTCCAACCGGTCCCACGCCTCGGGCGTGTAGCACCTGCGCAGCTTGGCCGTCTCTTGCCGGCCCTGCACGGGAGAAAAGGCGACCAGTGAGAGGGGATGCTGAGCGTCCGTCGCCCTCAGGAGTGCGGCTCTCGGGCGTTGGGAAGGGAATGACTTGAACAGGTTCTTTGGCGTGAGGTGATCATCTCTTGGAAGGACGTAATCTGCTTGAACCTAGAGATCCGGCGGGGGTTACATGGAACACATCAAGGCTGTCGGATACGAAGGCCTCTTTCACAATCATGAGACGATCGAACGCAGTCTCCATTTCGACATGAGTTCCTGCCCGAACAATTAAAGTGCTCGGTCCCCAACATGTTACTGGGGAGCTTCGTCGAGACCCTCCAGGTTTCCTCTCGTCGCCCACGTGGCCTCTCACCTCTCGCGGCCACGCTTTGAGTCAAGCTTTCAGAGTAGCAAACGCGGAATCAGCGTAGAAATTCAAAGCTGCCTCTCGGTTTGAGTAATTACTACTAGCTTGTCTATATACCGCCTAATGCACGTGACGCACGCTTGTGACGGCGGAACCCTTACCTCGCGCAAGCACCCTCGCAGCGCCTGCGGCCACACCGAGCCATTATAACCTCTCACCCCATTCGCAAGACTGCTAGGCAATGGATTCGGACTGAGGGACAACTGCACCTTGTTGGAAACCTTATCGAAAAACGCGGCGGAGCTTTTTTGGCTTCCCTTGCCTCGCCCACTAAGCGCTGCACCGCGTGCTGTCACACCTTAGCCGTTTGTCCCTCATCCTTTGTTCAATGAAGTGCAAGACTGCAGGTCCATCAATGCGGTAGCCGGCATTCGCGGCGAGAACCTCTTGGCTTCCCTCACCTCGCCCATGTAGCCCCGCACCGCGTGCGGCCACACCAAGCCCTCTATTCCCACTTACAAGACTGCCATGGCTCCGTTGGAAACCTTAAACGGAAAATGCGGCAAAAAGCTCTTGGCTTCCCTCACCTCGCCCACGTAGCCGCGCACCGCGTGCGGCCACACAAGGTCCTGCCCCTTGACCGTCCAGTCAACAACTTCCTGCTCTTTTCCTACGTCGATTTTTTCAATGATTCCGTAACAGCCCACATAGACCGCGGGCTCGAAGTTTCCCTCGGGTGAGAATGCGCTCTTGACGCTGCCGGCCTTGGGGCCGATGCCCGCGAAAAGAACGTGGTCCAGCGGCGAGGGGGAGGTCTTGAAGTGCTCCGCCAGGGAAGCGGCCATGTCGGTCGTTGCCTGCAGACTCAAAGAAACGTGGTCTGTCAATAAGTTTAGTGCTCAGTGTTCGAGGGAGCTTTCGGACACCTCAGGTAATCTCTTCTTGAAACGCAGAGGAAATCTTGAAGTGGCCTTCAGGGAAGCGGACATGTCGGTCATTGCCTGCAGCCTCCAAGAGATTTGGTCTTTTTGGTCTGTTTGGTCTGTTTGGTCTGTTTGGTCTGTTTGGTCTTTGGTCTTTGGTCTTTGGTCGTTTGGTCTGGTTGGTCTTTGGTCGTTGGTCTTTGGTTTGGTCTTTTGGTCTTTGGCAGAGATGGAGGGGCTGTCAGACAATTCAGATGATGCTCTTAGAACGTGGAGGGCAGTGTCAAGTGCTCCACTCGCGAAGCGGCCATGTCGGTTCTTGCTTGCAGACTCAAAAGAGATGTAGTCTGTCAACAAGTGGACTTGCTTCGGGAGACCTTGTCAGGAATTTGTTGCAAGCGAGAAGATCAGAAAACGAGTACTGCGTCGACAGAAAGAAATCAACAGATGGCGCACGACGAAGCTTTGTTAAAGAAAGCGCGTTTCTTACTGAAAGCAAAGCGCGTTTGGTTGGCGGGAGGATAGCGCGTCTGTTCCTGGTAAGAAGGGCGTCTTTCTTATTGCGATGCCACAAAGGAAGATCCGCGCCACCCACCTCAATCGGAACCACAGCGACGCTGACATTCATATTCCGTTTCTTGGAGATTGCTCGAGTACAAAAGACCCAGATTGCGCAGGTTTGATCCTTAACAAGAAGCTGCCTTGGTTGATAGAAGTTAAAGCGCAAGTTTTGGAAAGAAAGCCCGCGTCAATTACAGAAAAAGAAGGGCGATCGTTGTTGCCATTTTAAAAGAGGGATCTAAGCTGCCCACCTCAAACGGAACCACAGCGACGTCGACGTTCATGTTCCAGTTCTTCGGGAAGGCCTGATCGAGGATGCCCCAGGACTTTACAAATCGGGCAAATGACGAAGCTTTGGTGGAAGAAAAGCGCCTTTGGTTGTAAAAAGAAGCCTGAACCCCAATCGCGATACCAAATAAGAACACTTAAGCCACCCACCTCAAACGGAACCACGGCGACGTCGACGTTCATGTTCCAGTTCTTCGGGAACGCCTTGTCCAGGATGCCCCAAATCTCGTACACATCACTCGGGTGCACGTCGTGAACTAGACGCGGCTGCACCGGGCAGTCTTCAAGAACGGCCAGGTCTTTGCGCCCCTGTTCCTCGGTGTCCGCGAAAGATACGCCCAGGAAGACCGTGCACCGGTGGCCGGTAGGACCTGCCCGGAGAATTGGCGCCGGTCACGTCTTGCAGTCTTGTGTTTTGCACTTTCCTTTTCTTGGTTTGTGACTTGGCAACCATGTTTTTGAGGAAACAGGGATTTGGATGCTAACGCCCCGGAAGACCGTGCATCGGTAAACAGTGGGGGCTACCCGGGCAAGCAGGAGCAGAGGTGTCAGGATTCAGGAGCGCCTTCCCTTCAGTTTCTGCCCTTATGAATCACTACGAACACGCTTGTAGCCGAAAATGTTATGCCTTCCAGGGATCAAGCTGTTCGTAACCTGCTTCGCGATTTGAAACGAATTCGGAACGGCGCTGACGATGCCTTCAGAAGTAAAGGCTTTGAAGTAAACTTGGTGTCGTGGAGAAGAAGACTCAATTTATGAAACTCATTCTTTTCAAGACCTTCGAATCCTCCCCAGCAGCGACCATTCGCCTCGGGCGGTCGGCTTACCGGTCGCCATGATCGTGACGACCTCCATGTGGCTCGGCAGCTCCGCCCGCTTCTCGTTCCAGAACTTGATGACGTCAGCGGCGCTGTCCAGCGGGAACACGGACTGCATCAGGGTGATGCCACGTGGCAGAAGATCGAGGCGGTACTCGAAGCACGTGACGACGCCGAAGAAGCCCTGGCCCGCGCCGCGGGCGGCCCATAGGAGATCGGCGTACTCGTTGTCGTCTGTGGCCTGTCAAAAGATTAGGAATAAACTCGAATTTGCGTCAACGGAACGCCTAATAACAGCGGATGCTGTGACTTCAGCGAAGGTTTGGGAGACGTAAGAGGAGTAGCAGAAGAGCGAAAGAGTACGAGGGTAATCTTTACAGCTTCTTTTGACCACTTTTCCAAAAATAAACCAGGAACATGTCTCGAGCAATGTGGCAACTTTCTAGGTATTTTACCAAAGCCGGGCGGGACGTGAAGTGGCGAAGAAAAGCAATTCTCAGAGCTGCGGTAAAGACTGAGCTAGCTTGATAGGCTTCTTGACAGGGCCTTCCCACTTTCTTGAAAGTTTCTGGCCGGGAGTCTGCATCCAACCAGAATTTCTTTGGAAAAACTCTTTGGATTCACGTGCAGGTTGGTCGACAGACGCTTTTTCAGGGCCCTCTTTTGAAGATGTTCTGGGCAGGAAACCCTACTAAAGGTCGTTTTGAAGTTCACGTTGAACTAAACAATCAGGAAGGGGGTCTCTTCTGGCCGGAGCAATAAAATTACGTTTCGAGCCGGCTCGGCTTTCCTTTCAAGCCGGTAAACGATCGACCTTATCGGACGGCTGTGTGGATCTGTTGATCTCCTGGCAATCACTAAATCTGTCAGGTCAGGACATTGTTCTCATAGCCTCCAACCATTTCCAAACCCCAAAAGACTTGCACATAACGAGACCAAAGTCTGCGGTTAAAAAGCCGGCAGGTATCGACTGTACGTGGAAGTTTCAAAAAACGCCGAAGTTACTTTGCCCCTATCTTACGGGGCTGAAAGCCACGAGATTCAGCAATCAGAAACTTCGATTTTCTACTGGAAGTACGGCTCCTCAGACCGTCAACGGGCAGAGGCTTTATCGCTTCGACAATCTGACTTCCACCTATTGCAACTTCATTCTCACAAGTTCAATGCAACAGACGAGGTAACGCTCTCACTCTGACGAAGGATCCATCGGCCAAAACGACGTCGATGGAGATTAGGTGGTCGCTGGCCGAGCCCACGTGGCTGCGAGTGAATGGACGAGATGAGCTAGGATTGCAAGCATTTGGGGATCGCAATCATTTGGGATTCAAAAAACTTCGTTACCGTTCCTATGGCTAAAAGCTTCAAAAACAGGGCGTCTGCGATGCAACTACATAAGACCTGAAGATTGGGCATCGCTCCGGGTCTCTGCTTTTACAAAAGGTTGACACGTGTACATGTTTTGGTTGTATGGAGTCCAGCAGAGACGGATGGATCAGCACGAAGGCACAAATCGTATGCTTCACATGCTTTCCACCCTGGGATTGCGAGAAACAACCTATTGCGGTGGTCGGTAGCAATTGACCTCAAGGCAAGCTTCTCAGCTTCTTCAACAAGGGGCAAAAAAGCAAGCACTGCCTCCTTTTGAGCTTATTCTCACCCTGAGTTCCAGCCATACCCCCCGTTCAAAGTGTAACCGCTGATGCCAACTGTGGGACAGTGTCCCCCTGGAAAGTAGAGCCCGACCGCCGACACCTCCTTGTGTAGATCAATGGCTGTCACGCCAGGCTGGACGGACGCGGTTTTCTGCAGAGGGGGGGGTTGGGGTGCACGTTACCAGAACCCCTTGAAGTATCGCGCCGGTTGTTGTGATTATGACGAGGAAATGTCAGGCAGGCCTACGAAGCTGACGCATTATCACCTTTCCAGAGCAACGTCGAGATTGGATGAGCTTGGCGGTATGAGCTTGGAATCATGAGCATGAATCGGATGACAAAAAGGACAGGTTGGAGTGAGTTCTTATTATAAGCAGAGTTATATCTCTCTCGAACACCGTCTCTCGGCTGCAGCACGTCAGGCCAATGCAGCCTGATCAGCACTTTCTTGTAACCTAATATCATTCGGATAAGGATCACTAGGTTTTGTGTGAACAGTCCAGAAGCTAACCTTTTCGACATCAATACGGACGCCCTTGAGCTTTTCCAGGTTGATGAGCAGGCTGCCCTCCCGGAGACCGGACCCCTGCCAGTGGTGCCCATTGGCCTTAACTGACACCTGTCACGAGTTTCAAGACACTTGAGAAGTTGTTGGGCTTTAGGGTTTTGAAAAAGGTCAAGAGGAAGCCTCAGAGGTGACCAGATAGCAGCTCTATATGACAACGCCAGAATGTACCGGTTCTGTCAAAGTGTTCAGCAGAGACCCATGGCCAGAAAGAGCTAGCAGCAAAGGGAAAGCACGTGTTTGGTCACCAAACCATGTCTTTGTTGAAATGTGCAAACAGGGCAACACCCTTGCATTTCAAGCTTAGTGTGAAAGCCTGGATGAGCATGGAATTGTAGCACAAAGTATCAGGGCACCTGATTACCTGGTTCCAGCAACCAGGAAGAGTGACATTGTACCAGCTCATGCAGAGATTCTAGGAAGACCTCACCAATTTGTTGGAGTCCAGACAAGTCAAATAGCTGTTACTTTCTTATGGCCTACTGCGGCATTGTAGCTTTAGCTGCTCCTCGCATCCTTTGTAATTTGGTGAGCTTCTGTGAACCTCACAACTGTCTCAAGGCCTTGACACAAACCCTTTTAGGAGGCCCTTCTCAACTGAGCCAACAGAAGATTCAAGACACAGATTCTCACCAGAAAAAGGGAAAAAATACAGAATCCGATATTTCAAGAGGTAGGGAAAGCTGATGAGTTTTGTGTCAACACCTCAAAGGGGGATACTCATTTGACTGCGGCAGAATAAGAGTTGAAGCAAGGACAGCCCATCATGTCAAAGTGCATTTTCCATTCTGAGCCCCTCATTCCCTGGCAAATTGTGACAATTTAGGGAGTTTCTTCCCCGTTCAACAAAAATGCACAATTGGAATACACTCAGCGAACTTATACAAAGACTGAGCTGAAGGTGGGCTCCTAAGTCTGAGAAGTCAGGAAAACAAAAAGCATTCCTTGCAATTGCCCCATGTTGAAGCTCAACTTTTTGCGCAAAAACATTTTGAAAGCTGTGTGGCTCCTCAAAGACCCTCCTGCCAAGGGACACCCTCACCTTGAGGCCCTTTGCATTGGCATACTTGACGGCCGCCATGACGTCAGCAACCCCTGTGGCCACCACAATCTCCTCCGGCTTCCTCTTTGGGATGAAGCCATTGAAGACAGCTGTCGCTGCGGCGAGGTCCTCAGCAGGAGAAGCGGACGTCAGAAGCGCATTCCCCAGGGACTTTTGGAGGGCGTCCACAGGCGACTGGGTCTCGACCGCGGCCATTGTGGTGCACGCCAGAGAAAGCTCCTGTGGGGAGATTCCGTGAGGCGAAAACTCGGAATTGGCCGTTGCTGAGCTGATGGGTGGAATGCAAGTTGGAACCCACGGACGCAGAAGCAGCTGTACTGTGTACAATATCCCATTCAAATTAAGCAAAGCTTGCAGTGTTTTTCAGGGCCTCAAACTTAAAGTCGCCACTGCGAGCTGGCATCAGGGCGTTGACGTGGGAGGCGGCTAGAGCGGCAATCCTTCCGCTGGTTTTCAATGGTGGCTAGGCTCTAGTATAGCTGAAGAGCGAGACGGAATTTCTGACGACGTGCACAGTGTAGACTTGCGAAGAGTACGGATTCGGAGTTCAAGCTCCCGCAGAGATCGCCAGAACGCCGATCGAAACGCCAGTCCACTTCTTCGGACTTTGTCGGAGTTTGTCCAATACTTTACGCCCTTTTACCGCCACCTGTAGGATAGCGTTTCGGCGTCGAGCCATGGCTACGGCACCGTTACATCCAGACACCAATGACGACAGAGGTTTGACAGTTGACTTTGCGGCAATCAAGGGATTTAGTCTGCCTTTATGGCACACTTACAAGTTAATTACAGCGATTCGACCGTACAGCGTACGGTGCCAGCTCACTGCTCAGTGCTCACGAATTACAAGGTGCGGCGCCGCGGCGGCCACTGCAGCGGGGCGGCCCGGCCGCCGCCCGGGCGGCCTGCTTGGCAGTGCCCGGACCCGCCCGTTTTCGTGAGAACCGAGCTGCAAGTGTCCGACTTGTTCAGTTATCGGCAATCCGCACTTAGTACGAGTCGACACCGACTTGAAGGGATATGATGCAAGTATCTGTTGCCTAATTGATTCAAGTGCCAGTGAGAATATGGTGAGTAAGAGCTACTTATTGCAAAGCATCGGAGGGACAATCTGCCAGCACCTACCGGCCTGTGCATCTACAAGCGTTCGACTCTTATTCTGCTCGATCCAAAAGTGTCTTTGGCTTTGGATAGACTTTCCAGACTCCAGATAATTTTCCGGAGCATCATTTTTTGCAGGCGGCCTCCAAGAAGTCAGTGCCCACCTGATTCAATCCGCATCAATCCGTGCAAGCTGCGGAGCCGCTTTATCTCACACTTTCCAAAAAGCCCTTGGTTGTTTAACTGTGGTGCGAGCGACCTATACGACTGAACGATCGGCGGAGAAAGCCTCGACTTGGAATGGGCGAGCGCTCAGTTGAACGACTATATATCGTGAGCCGTACCAAGGGCCATCGTTGCTCAAAGGATACTGGACTTACTGGCCCATGTGCTCACCATACATGCCCAGTACATGATAACAAGAACTCTGGTCGGGCCCACTGGTCTTGTCGTGATATGACCATAGCTCACGCTACTGGACCATTTTTGATGGAACCAGATCAGTGGCCACGAGTACTAGACTCCGGCCCATGCAGAAGACGCATGGCAGCCAGAAAATCTTCACGTCATGCACAAGCTGCAGATGGACGGTCGACACAGAAAAGCATTCGCTCCTCCCTACTGAGCACCTTCCTTCGTATTACACGTTCAGCTCAGGCTCGTATTGATTGATGAGGTTCAACAGTGCCATCTTAACGACCCCCTTCGGAGAAGGCAGAACGTCGTGACACGGTTTCACACAGAGCTACGTCCTTTCGGTAGTCACGTTTTGACTACCATAAGTACGTTGGTTTCCTGTTTGAGAGCTCCCATCATTCTTCGCGTCTCCTTTTCGTGAACATCGACTTCAAAACACGGGTGCAAACATTCTGACAGTGGATGACAATGGCGAGAAGTTCGGACTGGGTCAAGACCTTTTCTCGTGACTCGATCCGCGACTGAGTACACTCTTCTTCCGGCACATCGTGGGTGGCATCAAATTCAAACCCTGCAAACGCTCTTCAGGCCGGTTCTCTCTTCCGGTCAGAGTCAGACCCCGACCGTGCTTCCTGTATGTGTGCTAGGCTCAGAATCCCCCGCGCTTTCGCCGGGAAGCGGAAGCGGGAGCTTGCTCTTGGATGGACCGGGTTGTTCCCCCGGGCAACCGGACCGTTTCTGCCGGGGTGACTGATCGGGGGATGGACGTTCGCAAGTTTGCGACCGGTAGGGACCGGCCGGGACTCGCCGGTGTGGGGCCGTGCCCGGGGAGACTGCAAACAGGATTGTAAGGATTGAGACTGTGGAATCCACATATGGAACTGCACCGCAAAACCTTTCTTTGTGAGTCAATTCACAAGGATGACGAATCGAGCAAAACGTTCGATGGGCGAGAGGGCTCTGTAGCTATCCAACTGGATCCGGGAAACTGACGGACTTTTTGACTGGCAAGGCTGACTTTGAAAGAAGTCGATCAAGCCTTGCACTTCAGAAGGAGGGTTTGGAATTCCTTCAAATCAGTCGAGTGCCCGTAAAGGCTGCCGGCTTTTCAATGATGACTCTTGCGACTATTTGCAGTGCCGCCAATACCAAACCAATGCCGATCATGCTGACGGAGAGCTGCAGAAAGGAGGTCCGGGTTGAGTACCTCAGAGGATGGTGACCGCTGCTGGCTGACGTAAGCGTTGTATGATCGGGAGGGCTTGGACAGCCTTCCGGGCGTAGATTGCTGCACGAAAAAGGACGAGCTTCATGTTAAGGACGAGCTTAGCGGCCCCAATTTGGGTCAGATCAATGAGGGCCCCAATGAGGGCCAGTCCACCGGGTCTCATTTTGAACAAGCACCTCACAATATCCAAAAGATTTACTCACCTCTTTCAAATACGCCGCCCTTAACGTAAGTGGTTGACCGATTATTCTTAGCAACCCAGCAGTCTAGGCTCAGATTGTTCTACCATTCTGGTACTGGGCGGAAATACATCAGAGCAGTCGGCGATCTTGCTGACGCGTCCTTCCAACGCCGTTTCCGGACGATAGGAAAGCCACTGCTCTGCTGAGCCTCGCAAAAGGAGAGAACTTTTCTTGATGCTCTTTGAGAACAGAAAAGGATCTCATCCGACAAAGGCATCAGGCATCCAACCATGAAGAGAATAACACATACTCCTCCAGCCACATTTGAGAAATTATAGCCGACTCACATGGCTCATGAGCACAGGTTCTGACGAGCGGGCGCTGTCCCACCCCGTGGGGGGCAACAGCTCGTGCTTATCGTCGATGATGCCCACGCTAGGCAGAGGCGGCGGACTTTCGACGGCGACGTTCCGAATGGTGGGCGGCGCGGACGGAGTGCGTATCAGCGGAAGGTCCTTGAGCCGCTCCTGCAACCAAAGTTGACGGACTCAGAGGGCTTTAGTGTCTGGATCCCGCAAGAGGTAGTCTTGGCAAGCGACTAAACAAGGTGCATCTCCCGTGCGCCTCAACAAGCACTGCCGAAGCCTTGTGCGGTCCCGAAAGGCTCAACTTATTGCAGAATGTCGACGAATTAAACTTGCTGGGTTTGAGACGAACCTGCTTTGCCCGTCTATGTGACAGCGGCGCTCGTGAGCAAAGAGCGCAACTAGTTGGACGTTATCAAAGCCCCCAGCGAAACCAGGCTACTATGAATGCGAGCCGCGCCAAGCAATCCGACCGTCCTGATTCGTGTTGCCGACAAGTTCGTGCGACATGTAACTCGTGCTCAACCTTCTATAGATCAGGGATGTATAGTCCAGCTTGTCGAAGGCGAACGTGCCTACCTGCCAAAAGGCGAATCGTCTGCTCGCGCGCGTTCCGCCCAGCGAGCGCTGCCGCCGCCGCACGGCCTTGCCGGCCGCGAGCTCCGGCGACGCGGCCGCGTCGGAGACGCTCGCCGCCCGGCTTAGACTGCCCTTGAGCAGGCCGCCCTCTTTTGCGATCGCCAAAGCGCGCGGCTTGTCGATGCCCGCGCATTCCAGCACTTGCCTGCGAAGACGGAGAAGAAAGTCGGTTTTTGAGCGCAGCAGAATTCTTTGATCGAGCAAGCCTCCACATCAAGCGAGATGCCTTTGTTTGATTTGATTCGACGGGAAAGCACGAGGTATCTTTGATATTTTCTGAAACAAGCTTTCCTTTCCCTCTGCAGTGATTTGGGTGTTAGAATGCGGTCGGAAGCAGAAAACTTGTCGTACATAGCTTTTGAAACATCCTTTTCGGGAAGGGGAAAGTAGTGCTCCGAAAGGAGGCGGGAAAAACGCCGTACCACAACGCCGAGATGACCTCCGCCTGCTCATCGATGATCTCGTTCCGCGACTCGATCGCGCGCGCCGCCTCCTTGCGCCCACCGCGCGCGGACACTAGCTCTATCTCTAGATGCAACGCGCGGCGCCGCGTCGCCTCTAAAACCTCGCGGTCTATCCGGATATCCAGCGCGCGCAGCGCGTCGTCCACGGCCGACAGATCCTCGCGCAGCCGCCCGCGCTCATTTTCTATGACTTTCAACTTCTCCTCAATCTCGTTCGAGCCACTAGGGTTATCATTCCGCGTTGTCTTGTCATTTTCGTTTTTAGGCTCCGAAGATGTCCCCGGCGCTTCTGCTCCGTCGTCGCTTCGATTTTCTGCGCGCTCGCACTCGCGCAGGTCCGAGATCGCCTCAGAGAACATCTGCGCGTGCTCGCCGCTCGCACCCAACCACGACGCGTCCAAACTTGCGTTGACGTCACTCGCGGTCGTCGCTGTCCGTTCCAAACCCTCCCCTAAACCCTTTCCTTGACGCGGCGACCGGCCCCCTGCCGACTCGTCCCCATCGCACTTCTTTTCCGCCTGCTCAACTTCTGACTCTCCACGTACTCCCGTTGTTTCCCCCAGCCTGTTTCGCCCCAGCAAACTTATCCCCAACAGTTCCTTATTTTGCCACTGCTGTATCTCGCTGTTACACCCCACGATCTCCTCGTCCATCCGGTACAGCGCCTCCGACACCCCCTCGCGCTCGCGCGCGAGCCGCGCGATTTCCGTGTCGATGCGCGCGCCCGCGCCGTCGCTCTCCTCGGGCGACACCGACGCGATGCTCGGCGACCGCGCGAGGAGCGCGGCCGCGTCGCTCGGCTCGCGCTCCAAACCCTGCAAACTCTCCGCTGAGAACCTGCCCGTGCGCGCGAGCGTGAGCTCGCCCCGTAAAGTCCGGACCTCTTGTTGCAGATTGTCGATCATTTTCTGGTACTCTTTGATGTGGGTGTCTACAGTGCCCTGGTTGCGGCGCACATGGGTCTTGATCTCTTTTGCCCTGCAAGAGAAGCGGGCACGGCTCATACTTTCGCTCATTCCCAGAGTGACCGCATGTGACGACACTTTCAGCTGAAGGAGCACAGTCACGCCCCTTTCGCAAGACAAATTGATCGTACTGTTTCAAATTTCTGGACGCCTCGACCAACCTATCACATCATTTTATAGAGACTTCTGAAAAGAAGGACGTTAGAAATCTAACCCCTCAGGGCTTTGAGAGTGGTCATCTCTCAGCTCAAACCTTGTCGAAGTTGAATCGGCATCGTATATTTGACAGAGAGCGCCAGAAAGTTAAAACAGATGAATCACTCTCGAAAGTATGACAGCAAGCCCACCACTTCTAGACGAAAGGCTTTTGTAACTCGACAAAGTTCAGCCATTGTGGCGAGATTGCTGCGCCGCACCTGTTTGCGTATTTCAGCGTGTTGACGGTGTGATGGTACTGCTGATTGCACGCCGAGACCGTGGCCACCATGATCGTCCGGCTGTTACCGCACAGCCCGTCCTTGAGCAGCCGCGTAAGCTTGGAATTCCGGAACGGAACGAAGACGAACTCCTTTTTCTGCAGCGGAACGGGTTGAACGTTGACACACAAAGCTTCAGCTGCTCAAGAAATTGAACCCTCACCTGCGACATTTTTTGCTTTTTTCAGCCTCTGCTCTTGCCGACCCGTTCAAACGTTCTGCGCGGATGGCTCTGCGTGGGCCAACCCTCCATTCAAACACATGTATCTTTAGTGGGATTGCTCTATCAAATTCTAACCTAACACCGAATAGGCCGTAAAACATGAGAGATTTTACCCTCGAGATCTGAACTGCTTCCTAGAAAACTTTGCTTCTAGGGTTGGCCAACGGTCTTTTTTCGTGTCGGCCCTACGCTCGCTCAATCCTTCTCTAGTTCCACATACTGGCCGTAATTTGATGGGACTTGTTTCCGGACAGCAAATTTCCATTGACTCAGCGCGTTGCTGCAGTTGACGAGCTTCAGCAGGCTCTCTTCCGACAACGTGTTCGTTTGAGCCGAAGCAAAGTTTCAAGCGAAGTCACCGCCTGTCTCTCACGGAAGCCTGAACTTTCCAAAGGGATCCGGTTCCGCTCACATTCCGCTTGCCAGCGCGTTGATGCAGATGGCGAGCCTAGCAGGCTCTCTTAATTTTCTCCACCATGCCTTCGCTCCAGTGAAACTTAGTCCAGACTCAACATCTGATGGCATGTGGCGACACGCGTACAAGTTCCGGTTCCGCTCACCTTCCGCTTGCCCAGCGCGTTGATGCAGTTGGCGAGCGCGAGCAGGCTCTTGTTGATGTTGGCCCCGTCGCGCAGCTGCCGCCCCGCGTTGTTCGTCTCGTGCGCGCGCTCCGCGCCCGCGAGGTCCACCAGCGCCAGCTTGCCCTGGTACACCTGCTTCGCGTAGCAGTTCTTGTCGCTGCGGGTGCACAAAATCTCCAGCACCGCGTGCGACCTGCGAGGATTTAACCAGGAATTAGCAGGGTTTGGGCTTTTTCACGTTAAGGATCTGCGATAAAAACTTCGAAGATTATGATACCGCTTCGCGTAGCAGTTCTTGTCGCTGCGGGTGCACAGGATCTCCAGCACCGCGTGCGACCTGCCGGGTTTAGCGAGGGTTAGCAACGGGTTAGTAGAATTGGGTTTCCATAAGCGAAAATTCTCCTTGAAATTTTATTATGACTGCTTCACCAGAAGTTTCTGTCGCTGTGGGTACAGTTTTTTGCCAGCACAGGGTGCGACCTGCAGGGGTTAGCGAGGCGTTAGTAGGGATTGGGTTTCGATGTTTCAAAACAATGCGCACCTTTGAGCAGACTTTGGCGGGGTCTAGCGCGGCTTTCTGTTAACGACCAATGGGTTGAGTCCATCGCCCTTTTGCAATATTAACCCGAAAGGGTATTGAGCCGCTAGGCCCCGTAGTAAAACTCCAAAATAACCGTCTTGTCTTCTACTTCCAACGATAAGTGAGTGGGTATAAAGTATTCCGCATTCCGTGAAGCAAGTCTGTCGCTTAAGAACAAGTGACTGCCTTGATTTAGCGAAGAACATCTTTGAATGGAGGGCACGGCGAGAGCAGCGCAACCGCTTTTGGCAGACTGATCAGCTAGTCTCCGGAACCCGCATCGTCTGACGGCGCACACTTGATCTCTGAGCTTCGAAGCGGTTGCGAGGGCGAAATCATTTGAGCCCCTACCTGGACGAGGTCGCATTTGCGTCGGTGCTTTCGGTCTTCCTCCGCTTGTTCCCTTCTCTAAGCAACGCAAAGATGTGGTCCGCTGACGGGACCTGCCGAAAAAAGAATGACGTCAACTTTTGCCCACGTCATAAGAACAATCTTCTACTTCAGTGGCTTCGCTTTTCTACAGGTCTTCTCACTGAGTCCGGTAAGTCGCGTGAAACGCAAGTCACTTGCAGTGTGGTGCCATAAAAAGTACCCCTTGAAGTATTTTTACAGGCCAGCTTTTGGGTATTCCGATGCTACTGCTCCCGACTTTTGGATGGATTCCATGTCCCTCTGTGCGCTCAGGTATCAGAAGACCCCCGCGAACGATACAATCTGACCTGGAACACAGATGACAGTCTCGTAAGCTCCGCTCCGGCACACGAGATTATTGAACAACAGGCGCCCCACTCAGATCATGTGATCGCCATAATGTTTGGCTAATTGTCTGAGAGTACCCTAAGAAGGGTTCATGGCAGTTCGAAGGCTTTTGAATCGCACATGCTTGTGTTGACTCTAAGATGCCTTCCTCCGATAAAAACGCTAGAATGACGCGCAAATCCAAGAGGGTTCACCGGGGCCCAGCTACGACAATCATGCTCGGTTGTCTGAATTCAAAGCTTGATAACGAAACATCCGATGGGCGATCTTCAGTATCGCCCCTGCAAATCTGCCCAGAAACACCAAGAAACTTTTAAAACACCCAATCAACTCACGAGGATCCGTTTGAGGCCGACGACGACCGCCCCTTGTTTGGGGTCTTCTCGCAGCTCCAGCGGCTTTTCACTGTTCTCCAATAAATCGTACAGCAACTCGTTGTACACCTCCATGTACGAACACTCCACGATGAACTGCGGAAAGGACAAAGGCGCTTTGTGCAGTTTTTGGGTTGAATTGTTCAGACGTCCTGAGTAAGAGCTGCTTGTTCCATAGAAGCTGGTCAGAAGTCTGATGCTGCATCCGCTTACCAACCGCTTGGTCTGCACGGAATGAAGTCCGCTCTGCTCCAAACAACTGATACAGGCCAATACCGGCAAACTCCCTCCCATCTTTCACTCTCCGCCCTTTTCCTTTTCCCTGAATTCTACGTACTTGCCACGCTCTTGATCTGGGGGCAGCCCGGTATCCTTCGAAGTTTCTCCACAGAGCGCACGAGATCTCGCGGCTCGACTCAGCAGATCCTGGCGACCTGCTTCCCAAGTAGACTGTCTGAGCTCGAAAACGTCTGAAGCTCAGACAAAACCCAGATCCTTGTCGTTCGAGTCACGCAAAGACAAGTCACTCGTGAACGAGACTCGGTAAACCTGCCCAAACCCTCAAACCCAAGCTCAGGTGTACCTGCTTTTCCTGCTCCCGGCTGATGTGTTCGAAGATGTCCCGCAGGCTGAGAACCATGAGCCCCGGGTCTTGGTCGTCCCCAACCATGGTGTGCGTTTTCCCGCTGCCCGTGGCGCCGTAGGCGAACACCGTCGCGTTGAGGCCGCGTAACACGCCGTGGACCAGCGGGGCAACAGTGACGTTGTACAGCATCTAAAGAAGAAGGACTTTTGCTCGGCAAGAACTGCTTGCATACTTGAGTAGTATGTTTCCATCTATCGTGCATGGGGGTGCATTCAAAAGAAACGAGGAACGTAGAGTGCGACGAAGTACAGGCTTTTTGATCCCGCATCAAGGTTCTGAGTTGCAGGATCAGGTCAACTTTGAAACACTCTGTTGGAGTAGAGGTTTGGATCAGAGGGATCTAGTCAAGTTTGAGACACTCTGTCCATTGAAATGTACGTCTCTGACTCGATGAGGCAGCCATCCGAAACGGATGCCGCAGAGCGCTCCAAGCGCTGCTTTGATGCACACTACATCAGATTTGGCCTTTGTCCAGCAAACAACAATCATAAGATTGGCGAGGAATTCTGATTCGTCAGGAGAGGTCCTTACCGCGTTGGTGGCATTCTCGCCCAGAGCTCGGTCAAACACGTACTGCTTCTCCTTGCTCCTCTTGAGGACGTCCAAGTTGGTCTCTGCGGGTTTGAGCAGGGTTCAAAACGTTACGGACAGACCCTCCTTCTCTGTGTGACTAACGGAGAAGTCTAGCAGACTCTGTTGGAGCGGCTCGCTTGTTTCCAAGCTCCAAGCTCCAAGCTCCTTTGCCGTCGAAGTACATCTAATGTAGAGGCCCGCAACACTGTCCGTTCCTGCCAAACCTAGCTTCCCAAGTCGTTGTGTGAAGAAAGGGCTGTTCATCTGAACTCAGAACGAAGTTGATAGATGGCCGGTTACACGATATCGAACCGAAACTTCCTCTGGATTTTGAGACCCCTTTGAAATGCGGTCTGTGGCCTAGAGGCGCAACCATAAGCTGCGCAAGAGGATGGTCGACACATTTAGACGACTGCCACCGCAGCATTAGGAATTAGACGGACAGTTGATCTTACCAATCGTTGCCTGAACAGGCTATGACCAGCTGTTGACACCATTGCTTTGGAAGGCCAGATCAGTAGCTAAAAACCTCATGCAGATGCAACGCTGTCTTGCACGACATGTCCTGGCGGCCCTCACCCCGCTGCTCTTTCAGGTGCTCGGGGTCCAGTACGATGACCACCTTGTCGTCGACCAGTCTTGTGATGGACACGTAGCCGCGGCTCTTCTCAAAATCATTCAAGGGACGACACCTGGCAAAATCAACGGATGCTTGATGACAAACTGGATAAGAATATTAAGGTTGCGGATTTCGTGGATTGGAATTTCAAAGACGCTATCCCAGACGTTCTCGCACCTCCCTTGGAAACCCCCACAGGTGGCGTGCTGGCGAGAATAGTGCCCGCGGACTTGGATGCAGCTTTCATGTGCCCTACTTGCCGTTTGCTCGTGCTGACAGATACTCTTCAACCAACCAAGCTCTTGTAGACTAGCTTCCTTTCGATAGATATAGGAACGCCTCACAAGAAGGGTCGGAGCTACGCCAAGACCACACGCTGTTTGAACATGTGGTATACTGATAGATCCTCAATTTACGAACTAGAACGGGGTTTGTACGACAATTCTGACGAGTGGCTTTGAGGGGCTTCCTCCTTTTACCCGCTCCACCTCAGCTGATTCCACCGAACACGAGATGAACAAAGCAGTAAACTGCTGCTTGAGTATTCGAAAAGAGGCTACTCCCTTGCCACCTCGCCAATTTTCTTTGACTCGCTGAATCAGCAAGCAGCAACCTTTCAGCTCATCTCATCCTGAAAGCTTCTTCCTGCTTCTTGGAGCATGCTGCAAGCACCTCTCCTACTGGATTGCGAAGTGTCTCACCTGACCGCCACCTGGAGGGTTGCTTGGCTGACTCCCTTTTTCATCAACTGATGCGTAAACTGCACCGTGGCATCCACCAGCTCCGTGAGCGCCTCTTTGGATTCCCCCGGGTCCGGGGGCGTCCCTGAGGGCTCCTCCATCGCTTATGATCAGAAGTCAAGGTCTTATTCTTCTGCCATCGGGCTATGCTTGCCCCAGCACAGCAATTTGTTGCTCTGTGCTGTCCTAGACTTGCTTAGCCACTAAGAGGTCTGCATCTGGCATCCTGCTCTTTCCGTATGTTCCGGTGAGTTGAATATAATCAAATAATCTATAGTCCCCTAAGGCCCGGCTTAAGTCAAGAACCTAAACGGCTGTCATCACGGCCCTTGATGCGCATGCGGCATCTTGCACAGCATGGCTGGCATTGGACATGTATTGTACAATGCTGCACCCATGGAGGCATCAATATTGTTAGTTACACTATTCTCTTCCTCCACTTTATATATATATGTCGCTTAAAGGTTGAACCTGTCCCTTTTCATTTCTTTTCATTGCAGCCAACTTGCGGTTCCTGGATCAAGACAAGAGGACTACAGAAAGGGACATCCGAGAGACGAAACCACTTGCGGCGACTTTTTCAGTCGTTCCATCATCTCCTGGTCATGGCACGTGCAATGCCAGAAGGACTGTGAGTCCATTATTGCGGTGGTATTCCAGTGCACGGAATCTGATCCTGTTCATAACTTGAGAACGCAAAGGTCCACGCCAAGTTGAAACGCATGGCTCAGTGATACATACATACATACATACCGTACTTCTTTAATAAGGCCGTAGCGGTGAAGCCATGAACCTGCATATCTAATTTGGTTGCTCAGCCACAGCATTGCTTCTGATGTCAGCAGGGCCAGGTTCACGCATGTGCAATGCCGGCCGGTGTCAGGAAGAACCATTTGAAGGTTACTGTATCTGATCTCTTGCGTGGTCAGGCTGCTCTTCGAGACTCAACACGATAGAGAACTGCAGTACTGTACAGTGTACATGTGCAGGCCCGTACGGTATTTTGGAGGCTGACTTGACAGTATAACATTGCTAAAGCTAGATATATTTTGCGCGCGCACGGTTCACTTTTCAAATGAACCGTCCGAGGAAGCTTCTGGTCTCATCTGACGGTCACCATCGCTCCCCGAGGGGGTTTCGATTAGAAGAGCGGAGGCATTTAACTTCCGCAGAAACTTTTTGGTAGAAATGGATCATGTGGGTTGCATCCAGGCACAGGACCAGGGCCGACCCCGGCTCTTAAAGTTTAACTTAAAGCCATGAATGTGAGTGAGGAAGCTCACTTCTGCGCAAGCCTCTCCGCTTGCGGATTGAGGGGCCGCCTGGCCCGCCATGCTGGGCTGCCCAGGGCAGGAGAGCGTTTCCTTGAAAGGTTCTCAAAGATCGCAAGCTGCTCCTCTGAACGATGGCAGAAGCGTCAGAGAGTGGTGGCATGAGCCCAGGGCTGCCTGCCCTTGATGTCGCAACTTAAGTCATGGGCGAAGAGCTGCCGCTGCTCATGTCTTCTGATGGCTTCCAGAAAAGTCTTGTTTAGGCAAGCGGTTGCTCTGCTTTTCTTCGCACTCTCCTCTTGCATTGGAGCTCAACCAACATCCCGCAAGACAGAGCTCATTCCCTTTCCAAAGGGAGCAGCGGTTGATGATCCCTCAGGTGGTGTCACTGCACTCAGGAAGTCAAGTCCGCAATTGGTGGAGCACATTGGGTCAGCCAACGCTGCAGATGCAGAGAAAGAGCTGCAGCTAAGAGCAGAAGGGAATGGGGTCCTGAAGCTCGACAGAGCTCTGTGCTTCGATGGGAAGGTGAGCTCAGCTGAGTCGAAATGAGCCAGCACATGCTTTTAGCTTCTGTTGCGACCACACTACAATGCAGCTTTGCACATGCCTGTATATTCTGACGAGAAAGGCATGTATCATCCGGGTGGTGGTTCAAACACGAAATGTTGAGACGAGACTTATCAGCGTACTGTTGGTCTACATTATCCCAAGTTTTGGTAGTGGTAGGAAGTGACACTCCACTACCAACTTTGGATCCGCCGCTTTCAGTGACTGTCGTAGCTAGGACAGGTGCAGTCTGATGATGCTCACAATTGGAATGTGAGCAGGCTGCGGGCACACCAAAGAAAACATTGTCATTTCGGCACATCTTATTAAGGTAGATCTGAAAGTTGTGAAACCTACTGAAAGAGGTCCTGAAATCGAAAAGACCAATTCATCGCCAATCTTAAATTCTGCTCTTTAGATGACATTTACACCGTCTTGGTTCAAGAATGTCCTTGTTCAGAGTGGTGACCATCTGCACGTAGTTTTTGCAGTATGTTATTAAGCTGACACGCAGGCGCCACTTTCTGGATGGTCCACCATTTGCTGCTTTCGCAGCCCCAGACTTTGCCAAACTCAAAAGTAGCTGAGAAGAAGGTGCTCCAGAGACTACAGGACAAAGTCTTTGAGTTGCAGTATTAGCAGTACTGGTACTGGTGTGGTACTGATGTCTTCAGCTGTCAACCTGCTTCTGACCACATCAGAATACAGATGCACAAGCATTTCACTGAGTTAACACCATGTGAGATGTCTCACAGCGCAGAGTCTGGTCCACTCTGCTCCCAACTTGGCCGAATCAATGGGCCCTGAATGAGAGACGCACCAGATGCGTCTGGAGAATCCTTCAAGTCAGACTTTGACAGCAAAGGTCAGCAGCAGAAACTCCCTGTAATTCTAGTCTGACCACAAGCGTCCACTGCCACAACTTGCAGGACGATTTTGTCCACATACAAGACTTCCAGGGCCTCCCTCGGCACCAAATTACAGTCGCCGCATGGGTTAAGATCCGGCGACACCGCAACTGGAACCGCATCGTAAGCCACAACTGGATTACCAACGGATGGAACCTTTTCACAGACGGCAGCGGCGTCGCACACTTTGGCATCGGCCTGCAGAACAAGGACTATGCCTCGGCCAGGATCACGCATCGCGACAGGTGGCACTATCTGGTTGGTACGTATGACGGGGCCGCAGTGAGGGTGTTTGTGGACGGGGAGGAGGGTGTGAATGCGCCCCTTGAAGGTGCTGAGCTAGATGACCGGGGGTCGGTGTTTATTGGCGGCGGGGAGTGGGATCCATTCAATGGGGACATCAGCGAGGTAAGTGGTGCCACGTGTGAATTGTACTGCCGTCTTGTGAAATGGGATGTGCCGCTGTGATGTTCCGGATGAGTATTCTCCGATCTTGAACGCTTCTAGACGTTCCGGATGGTCAGAAGTCAAGGTGGAGCAACAGGAAGCCGAGCGAGGAAAGGTGCTGAGTCATAAGCTGGAAGCTACTTGGTCAGCAAAAGCTTCCCTTCCGTATCCTGAAATCAGGCGCATGTAACGACCACGCTTCTTCAAAAGTGGGAAAGACAAAAAGCTGCCTTTGACGAAGAAAGCACTTGCAACTTCTAAACAAACTCCCAGCCCGACACTGTTCAGGAGCATGTTCGATCCCCCTCTCCTGCAGATGCGAATCTGGAACTATGCACAGAATCCCGACGAGATCCGCCGTAACATGTTCAGCACGCCAGACCTGAACAACAAATCCCTAGTCGCCCTCTACGACTTCAGCGAATTTGATAGCGGGGCCGTTCTTGACAAGTCCCAGTTTCGCAGTCACGGAGTATTGGGCGCGGAACACCGAGCGCCCGTCCAAGTGGTGTCAAACGCCCCGATCGTCACGCCCTGCGTCGTGCACTCCAAGGGAGCGCCCGGGGTATTGACCCAGCTGCACGAGCTCGGTCTGCGGCGCATACGCTCCGTAAAGGTCGTGAGACGAGGGGGCGAACGGAGTGCTGAGCTTGGAGCACGTCAGGATCACGTCAGCGAGAAGAGATACTCGAACGAGGAATTCGAACGGCTGGCGCAGGGGAAGAGTGACGAAAAGGAGATTGTGTGGAAGGAGCCGCTCGAAAGCCAAGAGAGTGGGGGATTCACCAGAGAAGCAAAGAGAGACAGAAGCGAAGAGTGTCACGAGGAGACGACGTGCAAGTCGGATGACAACTTCACTCAGGCGGAGGCAGCAACCCATAGCGAGCGCGATCTGGTGACTTCAGCTGAAGTTTTAGACTTCGACAATGCCCCAGTCCCTGCTTGTCTCGAGGTCTTGCTGGAGGATGATGTTGACGTGGCTGATGCCGACAGCGAGACAGATGGCGGGTCGAGGGTGGTCCACGTGGACGTGCTGGGAAGTGAGGAGCAGTGCGGCGCCCGGCCGCTGCATCGGGACAGCTGCTGGGGCGTCCGAACAGAGGTGCGCCTTTTTCCATTCAAAAGTTGACCGGTGGGGTTGAGCTGCTGAGGAACAGGGGTTACTCTCGGGGTCCTAAAAGCGGGGACCCTTCTTTCCTTCTGAGATTTGGCCTTCAACGGTTTTCGAGCGCTTCGCTTTATCCTCTGCACACGAAATGACCTTCCTTTTTGGGCGCTTCCAGATGACCGAAAGCGCCCGCCTGCTGTAGCGCTCCAGCCTTCTGCCTGCCTGCCTGAGGTCTTCGCAGGATCGCAAACCTGGCAATAATGTCCTTTGTCCTTTTCAGCTTTTGAGTTTTGCGAATTCGACCTCTTTTCAAAGGCTGACCGATCTTTGTCTGACTTTCAAGCCTGATGAAACGGCCGTTGCGTTTCTTAGAATTATTTTGTCCTTATCGGGTCTGGATTTGGAGACCCTTCTTTTCATGGTCTATCTGAGAGCACTGCGAACGACATTGTCACCCTAAGCGCTCGTGATTGTCATCGCAGCTGCACTTTATGAGACCCGCAAAGACGCCGTTACCTGGCAAGCTAAGTCTAAGTGAACACGCGGCAAACAGAGGCGGCGCCACGTCATCCCCACGTGTCAGCGTCGTCATCCCCGTTTACAATGCCGGGAAGGACCTGCCGGAAGCCGTGGAGAGCGTCGTCTCTCAAACGTTTGAGGTGAGCGCCTTCTCTTCTACTGGCAAAAACAAGGACTTCCCTACTACCGAGAGCGCTCTATCTTTTGAAGAAAGACATTGAATCTTAGTGGTCCAAATTGTCAGTGGGCTGCAACACGGGCCTGCCAAACCGCTAGTTTACGACCTGCAGCAGACTGGAGTCATGCCAATACGCAAAGTCACGCAAAGTACTTCCTTCCATATCTGCTCGAGGAGGCAGCTCTACTTCGATGGTAATGCAGTCGAACCTAGTTCTTCAGACGTCGTTATACTGACGAAAGCCTGAGGATGGGAGTCTTGGGACGAACAATCGCAGTTGTAGGAGCTGATAGATAAACAGTGGCTGGAAAACCACCCCGTTTGGAAACGACAGCACAATGTATTCGTCCAAACGGTACCCGAACAAACTGAAATCCGTTTGGACAGTACTTTGATACGTGGCAATTGCTGATTCGACCAGACGTTCCCATTCGTTCCAGGACTGGGAGATCATCCTGGTCAACGACGGCAGCACCGACGACTCCGCTGACGTCATCAGCCAACTAGAGCAACGGCTCGCGCCCGCGCACCGCGTGCGGGTGGTGACGAAAGCGAACGGCGGACTGGCCGACGCGCGGAACGCGGGCGTCCACGTGGCAGCCGGGGAGTGGATCTTGCCGCTGGACGCGGATGACATGATTGAAAAGGTGATAGTCTGGGCTCTGGGGCGCTTGTTAACCGCTGGTTGTTAAGGCGGGAACCTTCGTCAAATCCTGGTGTGAAAGTTTTTGAAGACGAGAGTTTCGCGGTCGTCAATTCGGATGGAAGTTCTTAACCTGCGTGAGAAGGACTGAACTTGGAGAGGAAGATGCTCCTCTTCCTAGTGCCGATGCAAATTGGGTGACGAGGACTCGGGTTCGCAGAAATATCACAGACCGGTTATAGATCTAAAGGAGCTTTGAAGTCTCGATCATCAGTCAACCTAGCCCACGTTCTCAGTCATTGTAGAAGAGGGCTCCGGAGTCGCCGCAGCAGGTGACTCTCCGACACGGATCCTTGGCCTCTGAGCCCGATTGTCACCACATTCTCATGAAGTTTCAAGCCTGAACCACAGCTCCCCTCATCGAAATTTCCTTTTCATAAGCTTCATGGTCGTCCATGCACACCGCACCCATGATTCCCTAATCACTGAACCTTCTATAAGGGGAGAGGAGAATAAAGCTCATCCTGGCTTTTCATCCCCTTGTTTGCAGACCTTCCTCGAAAAGGCGTTTTCAGTCATCGAAGCAAACCGCACCGTTAACCTGGTGATTGCCGACTTCCGCGGCTTCGGCGACTGGGAGTACGTCTGGGGGATCCCCCCGTTCAGCGCGGAAGACCTACCGTACACCAATATGTTCCACTGCTCGGGAATGTTCAAAAAGTCGCTCTGGGCTGCAGCGGGGGGGTATCCGACGAGCACTCTGCTGGGCTACGAAGACTGGGCGTTTTGGTAAGAAAATTGAAAGTACTTCGCTCTTTGCGGCGTCGTCGATTACGGAATTGAAATCCCTCGTGCTTTGTTGCGTGTGTATGTGGGAGAGAGTCGTTTAAGTTGATGAGAATAAGCGAAGTTCGGATGTTCGGAAGCTCTTTGATCGGTTCTGTAATGCAAGAAGCAAGGGCGGGGCTTGAATTCGCAATCTCTTATCGGGCTGACGTAATCACCGGCTTCATGACCAGCTGAACGTCTGCTCCTATTCGGCTCTCGCTGTTACCCGCTACTAAGAACGGCGCCAGAACGTCAGGCCACTAGTAAATTTTGTTGGTGCTCGTTAGGTTCTGAGTTCTACTAGCAAAGGGAAACGAAGTCGTCCTTAATAATGCTCACCCATCGGATTCCTCCCACTGATGTGATCAGGCGTGATCTACTGCTCGCACGAGGTTCTGCCAATCCAGATCAGCTAAGGGCAACCTCCGGAGCTTCGTAAACATCTCAATGCTTACTCTTGGGTTTTAGGTGATGAGAGACTTGACCACGTGGCGACCAATCTGCAGGATCGCCGCGAATCTGGCGACTCCTTTGGCCCCGCACCGCATCGAGGAGGACTTGTTCCTGGCGCGTATGCGGCGCGGTTCGATGCACCGGAAGCTCATGTGGTACCAAGCGTTCAGCGTGGCCAGCATGCGCATACGCTTTCCTGGGCTGTACACCGTCGAGGTAAGCAGGGCCACTTACAATCTGTTTCAAAGTTGGGGCAAGAAAGTAACCTGAAACTTAACAATGGACGGTTAAGCACGGAGAGTCCAATCGGTCTTACAAGAGAGAATCATAACGGGAAAACAATATCTCCGTTATTTCAAAATCGCCGTTTTGAACGTGGGTTTGAAATGGGTCTGAAGAAAAAGGAGCTCTCTTCATAGGGCTCCAATTGGATGTCAAGAGACTAGACTTTCCTAGGGCTTGTGATTCTTGGATTCGTGGGTATCCCATATCTATACGATGCTGTTAGATGGATAGTCGAAACGCCAATTCACAGGTCCATTGTATGTAATTGTGGACTGCAGTCTACCCTTTGACCAAAATTTGCTGATCAGGAATTGTGACTATGCAGTGATCTAGGTCTCGTAGTTCTTCGCTTGGTAGTCGGAGAAATAGTTGGTGCGCTTGAAGCGCAAAGCAGAGCCCTGCAGCAGGCCGCAGAACGCTCTTTCGGGAAAACAGATCTATCTGACGTCAACATTGAGGTCCTTAATTCTCACGTGGCACCTCAAGGCGAGTGCCCGCTCCGACTATGCAACACTTTGTATTACTCCGCGTATAACTCACTTGATATGATTGTTCTACTACAGATGCTGCTCGATGCCCACGCAGTCTTCTTCGACGCCCCCGCGCACATCGCGCGCGAGGTCGAGAGGAAGGTCGCGCAGTTTCCGCAGCTGCCGCAGCCGCGCCTAATGCGCGGCCTGATTAGGGAGGGCAAACTGCGTAGAGCTGGTTTAAAGGAAAGTAACGAGTATAAAGACGTGCTAGAGGACTACAGGGCGGCTGTGGGTCTGGCGAGTAGAGAGGATTGGCAGCCGAAATGGAGATTGGGTTTGCTGCAGAAAAGATTGGGGATGAGGGAAGAAGGAGAGAGGATGATCGAGTTGCTCGAACGAGATTTTGTTGGCCTGAATGCGGCGTTGAGACACACAAGAGTCGCTGTAACATAGGTTTCTGATGCTGCAAAGGGCCGCGGATAAATCTGATTCTTCTTGGGGAGCTGATACTCCCGGCCGGTCTGCCTAGCTGCCATGATTCATTCCTGCCGCCGAGACCTCCGGTAGATTTGAAGCACATCTAGCCCGCTCCTCTGGATTGACGAGGCCGATTGGAGCGTTCGTGAACAACTGTCTGAGAATTTTTAAGTGACCCATATCTCATGCTCTTTCAGAGTATATGGATCACTGCCAATTTAAATACGTCATCGCACTTGGTGCATACCATCGGGACTGCATGTGCAATGCTTTTGACATGAGCTCCATAGGCACCCACGCGGCCTTTATATTCCTTATCTCGTCCTCGTCTTAATTGCAGTATCCTATCAGAGCTAGCTTCTTGAAAAGGTTTGGCCTGCTAGTGCACAATATTGCAACGAAGGTAGTACCTTGGCCGGGCCGCCCACGTTGATGCAAGCACCACATAATCAGCGTGGAGTCGCTCAACCGTCTCCGGGACCATAAGTATTGGATACGCGTACGATCATGGTGCAGCTAACCGGCCTAGCTGTACAACCTGCACTGACCATGAGCGAGAGCTTCCTCACACAAGCCCTTCTGCAGGAAGCGCCACCAAGAGCACCATGATTGCACATATTTCCGAGATGTACTTGTCCCCAGCGTAAGAATGTTTGACAAGAGGTTGTGCCGAGATGCACGTTATCAGACCGTCAAGGACTCAGCTCGTCCAAATTTTCCCAGTGTTGGTTGGCATCGTGGGGTCATGCTAACAGTCCATAACCTTCTTTTCAATCTCCTCAAATTCCTCGAGTTCCGCCAGCTCCTGCATCTCTTTCCGCCGCATCTTCCGGCGGACCTCCTCCATGTCCGTCTCCGCGTCCGTCTCCAACCAGTCTGAAGCTCGCGCGCGCGCTGGTACTTTCTTCACATTCTCGAAACGTGTCACAGGTTCCCTGTGCGCGCTGTCTTTCACAGATTGCTTCTGTTCCGTCCGCTGGTTCCGTTTCCGCTCCCGCGCGCTCCCGCTTCCGTTCTGCGAGCTCAACGAGCTGGCGGGGGACGTGGCGCCCTCGGGCGCTCCCACGTCATCTCCTGTCATCCTACGGCTCGCTGATGTGGGCTGGTGCTTGATGACGTCATCCCCCAATCTGGCACCGGTGCTTACTGCCCGGTAGAGCGCTTCCAGCGTGTCGCTACCCTGCCGCACATCGACCGGGGGAATACTCCGAGCGGCTTTCGCACTCTTTGCTAGATCTGCCAATTTTGCCGATGCGCTTCGTCCCTGCCTTGCACTTCGACCGAGCACATCGTCCCATTTTGATGCCCCCCCCCGTTTCTCAGCGTCGGATCTTCCCCCCTTTCCGGTCAAAAACTCGTCCCCGCTGAATCCAAAAGCTTCAGCTGCTTTCCTTCCCGAAGGAAGCCGTCCAAGCTCCGAAGTCCGGAGCCTTCCGGCTGACTTGCTCCGCTCGAATCTTTTCCGCCGGACTGACCGGGCACTACGGTTGCTCTTTGTTCCGCTGCTGCTGCTGTCTTCGTCTTTCAGCGACCTGGGGTGACGGAGACAGAAATCACGTTGTATATGAAGGGGGACTGATGAGTTCAAGGCTAACTTTCAAAGCCACACACGATGTTTGGGAAGGTCTTATACGGCCGCGATTCGTTTAGTTTTCTGCGTTCCAAAAAGCCTTCTGAGTAACCCAGTATCTTGGCAGGGCAACGTAAGAACCCAAGTGGGCAGCTCTTCAATGTATGCACAGTCCAGTTCAAGTCGCTCTCATTATCGATGCAAGCGGACGGATTGTAACCTGTATGGAAAAAGGCAAAGCGGCTGACCTTCGCGCGCGCTCTTCCCCCTTTCGGCTGCGCGGCCGCGAGGACGCCCGCGATCCCGGTTGGCTCCGGGAACGGGGCGGCGACAGGAGAAGCGCCTCGGACGGGGAAACGGTCGCCTGATGCAGACGGAGGGAAACAAGGTCAGTAAGCAGGAGTGCTGAACATAGAATGGATGGTTGTTTCATCGTTCCTAGTCAGCCTCTGCCGTTAAGCACCTAACAAGCTGTCTTTCTGTCCCCACTTCTTGAACGAGTCCACTGCGCGTGCTGAACCTTGCAACGGAAGAGAATCCAAAGCTTGGCGGGGCGCTGGTTTTCGAGATTTATGGCAGCTCTTTCGAGGGTTTGAACAGCTTGACATATTGGGTGACCTGGCACAATCAAACTGCAAGTAAATTCAAACTGATGAGTGTGAGCACGTAAGCAATTCTCTAATTTGACGCTTGATGAGGTGATCAAGCCTTTCGTGGCACAGAGTGAAAGCAGACTGTGGGTCTCCTGCAGTTGAGTCAAAACCGCTCACCTCTTCCTTGTCGCCGCCCCGCTTGCTCGCTTGCCTCTTCACAGTCCCGACTGCCCACCGGTCGGTGCTCGGGAGACCCTCGCTCTGAGGCGACGGGCGATCGGAGCGATTGTGGAGCTGCATTCGACCAGCAAGGTTTGAAGTTCAGTACTGAGAAGATACGGCTGAAAGGCCGCGCTTTGAAGCTTACCAACAATCACAAGTGCGATGGTTACCGGCAATTCGAGTCCTCAACCTGGCGTGAATCTTTGATCTTGGGTAATAAGAAGGTTTGGGGTTGAGAAATAAGCTCAAGGCTCGAAAGAAGGACGATTCACCCGGTCAACCATGTGCGAGCTTGCAGTGAATCGTCCTCGCAGTATGGCTTTGCTTCGAGCAGTCAGATCCTTCCGCATATTTTACTTTGTCAATCCTAGTAGTTTCGGCCGGTTCTCAGCTTGTTTCGACAAGAACAGGATGTGAGAAGCCGACAAGTAACAGCCAAGACCGCGTCTCCAAGTGCAGCGTTGTGCCGTCAAGTCCGGCGCGCGCTCACCGCTCCGAAGCGCTCGCGCATCTCGCGCTCCAGCTTCTCGGCCTGTGCGCGCTGCCGTTCGAGGCGCTCCGTCTCGCGCTCCAGCGACGCGGCCAGGCCCGCCAGCCGCACCGCCTCGTCCTTGATGCGCTTCTCTTCCGCGGCCTGCGCGCGCGCACAGATGTCAGCTCAGAAGTTGGCTTAGGGGAGTTTGCTAATAGAAGTCCTCCCACCGTCAATCGCCGCCTACGCTAACCGCTTTTCGTGCAGCGGATTGGGTGCTCTGAACCTCTGGCGCAGGGAGATTGTAGGCATAGTGAGCTAGAAAGCCTCCGTCAGAACCTTCTTGCGACCAGTACCTTCTAGAATCTCCCCGTTTCATCCCCGACCACCACTGTTGGCAAGTTGGCCTTGGGATGAGAAACTACATCAGGCCGCTCAAGAACATAACCGCTGAGATTTCTGAGGGCTCACCAGCCAAAGCTGCTTCGACGCGAGGTCGGTTGGCTTCGTCGCAACGGCGCTGCGGTCCGACCGTTCGGGCCTGCAGATCGACGGAGAATACAATCTTTTAGTTTGAAGATACATACTTGTCCCAAATCCGAACGGTTTCTGTGAGTTGAATGCAGAACTGCCCCAGAGTCGCATGAAAAGATGAGATGGAATCAGTCCAACAGTAACCGGTGCAAGGACAACAGCCCAATACGTTCATTACAGCTATCTTATCAACATTATCGAACTTCTGTCAGGCAAAGGCTTTCGCAAACGAGGTTTGAAGCACAGAGATCTGACTTCTCCGTCGTCGAGTATGTTAGAAAGAGACCGTACATCAGTCATCGAGTCAAGTCAGCCCGCCCGATGCCAAGCCTCACCTTTCGCGCGGCAGCGACTTCGAACGGAGGAGCTGTGGCTTCGCGTCCGTCACCTCCCTTCCCCTCTCTTTTTCCTCCTTAATCACTCCTTTTCCCTTCTGAGCGTCCCATAGCTTTGACCCAGACCGGCCCACCTCCTCTTTCCACACCCCCCTCTTACTCGGCGTCGTAATGCTGCGGCTCAGGCCCTTTTGCCCCGGCGCAACCTGCCCGGTACGTACCTCCCGACCACTCTCCCTCCCCCGTGCGCTTTTCGACCCCACTGATGGCACCACGTCCGCTAGGGGGTCCTTCGCGACCCCAGATCCGCGGCTCTTCACCCCCCTGGAAGTGAACTTCGACGCGTCGGAAAACAGGTGCACGCTCTCCTCTAGTTGCGACAGCTTCTCCCGCCAGCTCAGAGTCGGCTGCTGCAGGCTCGCTTTCACCTCCTGCCAGTGCCCGGTAGGTCCTACCGGGGACACGGCTACCCCCGCGGGCCCCGTCCCGGCGTTTTCGGCTTTGTGGGCGCTCGAGTTCAAGGGCGGGTCGCCGTCCTGCAAAGCCTCGGAGGAGGCGTCTCTGCTCAAATCTCCTCGCGCTGTTGCACCCGCCACCGCAGTCCGCCACGTGGCAGCTTCTAATTCGCCTGCAGCCCCTTTCCCTTCCGGCGCGGCCTTTTGGGACCCCCGCTTCTCTCGCCACTGCGGGGGCGACGTTACCGGCCCGACTGCCCGACGTTGGCTCCCGTCTCTACCAAACTGTTTCTTCTCCGCTTCCGAGGAACTCAGAATGACATCCGAAACCCGCAGCCCTTTCTTGTTTGTGCCAGCTTGCAGCTCTTCGATTGTGCTATGTCTCTCGCTTCCTGAACCTCGAGCTTTCTCTACTTGCCGCCCGTCACGGCTCCTTGCGACACGTGTCACTCTCGCGTCGCTCATCAGGGACTCGCTCGTGCTCCCAACCGGGCTGCTGCTGCCGACCGTCGTGGCCTCCGACGCTTCGCTCGGGAGGAGCTTCACCGGGCTGGACGCCTGAGAATTCGCGTCTTCTTGGGCGCTCTCTTCCGCTCGAAACAAATCAACCGGGCGGCCCCCGTGCTTTCTAGAAACTGCTCTCAGCTTCTGTACTTTGTTATTACGAGAATTTTCAGAAGTTTCAATCTCAGTTTCCGGGAGCAGTCGACCGGAACTTTCAACCGACCCCTTCGCTTTGGCTCCCTTCGCCTCGAGCACTGGACGCTGTTCAGGCGGAGAAGCATCCGGTTCGGAACCTGGGATACTGACTTCCCGGCCACTCTTTTCGGTTCCGCTGCCCATTCCGCTGCCTGCCCCGGGGGACTCTACCGAGCGCCTCTTCTTCGACGGGGACGCCAACCTCTGACTCCGCTTGATCAACCGCAGCGCCGCTTGGACAGGGCTCACTGGCCCGTCACTGACCGGGGAGGGTTGCAAGGATCTGGGCATTCCGCCGGAACCCTCCTGCCTCGTCACGTTCCGGTTGATTTTCCCGTTCTCCGAAGCGTCTGTGAGGAACGACGACTCCCGCCCCGGCGTGTCGCTCTCGGACGCGTCCCCATGGGAAGCGGTCTCTGCCTTTCCTTTTTCGTTTCCGCTCACGTTCTCGGTTCCGCTTATTCGGGGTTCGGTCCCGGCCGGCACGGGCGACGGAACGGATTCCGCCCGCGGGCTCAGGTCCGAGAGCAGGTCGTCGTCGATGTCCAGCTGTTGAAGCGACAGCTGCTCGAGCGCCGTCCGTTTCTGCACCCCGGCGGAATCCGCCGGAATTTGGTCCAGCTTAGGACGCTCCTTCCGGACGGGCTCCATTTGAAACCCAAGGTCCGCGACCAGGAACGCCTGCTGCAGGTGCGAGGCCCTGTTTTTCTCGGAGCTGCGCGGCGCCCCAGAGGGATCCCCTTGCGGTGAGGCGCCGCCCGTGTCTACGCGGCCCTTCCCTTCGACAGAAATTTCTTGCAACGCGACTGCGGTTTCTTCTTTGGTTATGGGAACTGCTCCGCTGATCAATGCGGAAAGGGGACTCTCCGCTTTGGTCAACACGACTGTCGGATCGCCGCTGGAGGGGTTTGGTTGACGCGCTTCTGATGAGGCTGCCGGGTTATGGCTCGCTCTCTTATTGTTCTGAGTGCTCCGCTCTTGACTGTCAGAAGCAAGCTGCTCTTCTGGGTTAAGCTCGACTACGAGCTTGGGGAAGGTCACATCGGACTGCTCTAAGCCCTCACCGATCCCTGCTAACCTGGGCGCTGACTGCATGGGTACTTTTGCACCCTGACCAACCAAACCTTGTTCTAGCCAGTCCGCCACAATGCTGACTTCTCGATCCAGACTTTGTGGCACGGCGCTCAGCACCTTCGCACCGCTTTCACCGTCCGTCTTGACACTTGAGAACTCGCCTTCCTTCGCCGCTTGAGTGACCGTAGTGCTCTCTTCTTGGCATGATGCAGTTTTTGCGGTTTCCGCGCTCTCTTTCTCGACTACCTCATTTGCAACTCTTGAAGCAGGCGCTACGGCAGCCTCACCAAGCCTACCGCTCGTGGAATCTGTAGGCGGCTCATCTCCCAACTTGCTGCACAGCCTATTCCCAGTGCCCGCATTTCCAGCATCTCCGTCTAGGGTGAAGGCCCCCTTTGCCTCTGGAGCCGCCCCGATCAAACTTATTTGTCCTCTTGCCAAGTGGGCATTCACACCCCCTGCTGTTGAATCGGCCAGCGCAGAGGAGCTCACTCCAGACTCGCCCCCACTTCTATGACCATTCTCGTTCTCAGCATCGACTGGCAGTGGCTTGTCTTGCTCGGCGGACACGGGGGGAAGCTTAGACTTGACACCGGCAGCCTCTTCATGGACAGCTGAAGGGCTAGCGACGGATGCTGGTGTCTCCCCCGTATGGTCGGAGTGGGATTGCACGCGGCGCTTGGTCCTTTTGCCCCCAAACACGGGGCCCAGGCACCCACAGCCCATAGCTTCGTCCGACAGCGCTAAAAGATCAAGCGAGTCTGTAGCAAGAAAAGGAGAGGTTAGCACCCAAGAGGAGCTTTCTGGATCTTTAGCCGTGTCTTTTGGTTGAGACCATGTCCAGCTTGTCACCACTGTGCCGTTCTCAAAAGGAACATTATTGCTTACCTAAGAGCAAACTGTTCCGGGACAATGTTTGAGATCAGTGCGGTACAACTGCTGTGCTGATTGAGAGTTACCACAGGTAATTCGAAGGATCAGGAAAGCCCTGTCTCTAGGGTCACTGAAATTTCTGCGGCCCGAACAGCAAGCTGACTCGACGTTTTAGTGTGCGCCAACTGCTTGGTGCCTCATGAAAGGGGTATCAGGCAATCCTCAGAGAAGCCAGCTTTCAGTAAACAAGAGTGCGAAAGTAGAAACACCATTGGATGATCTAGTGGGCTCTATCATGATGGAAACAGGCCCTTGGATACCATCGAAATGTGCTCGACATGCCCAGCCAGGGATTTGCGGACCATCGGACGCACGACAAGCAACGTTCGAGTTTTATATCACGCCCAAATGGCCAAGATGTCAATGGCAATGCGCCCTGAGGACCCTGTAGTTCATATGCGGCTTCCTGACGTGTCCATATACGAAACGTGAAGGATGCTCACAATATGGTGCGCTTCAGATGTTCTCGAGGGGAGTGAGGATCTCGTGCGAAGGCGCGCCAACCCCGCGCCATCACTCCATCACCCCCACATTGCGCGTTGCTCGTTATGTTGCAGACTACGGGCCAAATGACTATCTTCCATGCAAGGTGACCCTCACAGAACCCGTATCCTGATGCTCAATAGAAGAAGCACTTGTTCGTGCCGGAGTATCTTATATGAGCTAGAGAAGCCCTGCACTCCGCTTTGCATTGTCTGCGATGCTGACAGTGACTGCATTACTCGAGTTCTTTTTGCAAACATGCTTGCTTGAGCAGCATGAGGATTGCTGACTGGGATTGTCCAGCATGATCACACTAGCCAAAATTGTGGTCCCACAATCTGCCGGTGCTGACAGGATTGCATCCCATTCGTTGCAACCCCCCACCCTAATGTTGCATAGAGGACTGGACTACAAATATGAGATGTCACGTGAAACCGACAGGTCCTGACGTGAATGCTTTTGCACACCGTGTTAGGATATACTTCATTCTCGATTTGCATTGACAGAGGGACTCCGGAATGGAGCCGCTGACTAGCTAAGCATTCTTGCATGTGACGTTGACAATAGCTAGTACGAACCAACGTACAAAGTTGACGACCATGATTTTTTGGACGCCTCAAGTGGTGTATTGCAACAGTACCGTCATTGTTCGCTTTACGGCTATCCGAGCATCGCTTACTAGATTACTAGTACTCCACTAGTCACTGTTCGCGCCCATACTTCCTCGTGCCTGCACCGTCACGGTGACGCTGCGGCAGCTACACTCATCATACACATACTCATTTCACAACGTGATGTACTGGGTCTTATTTGAATACTACATTACGAGAAGTGTCTACCAAGTACTTCCCTGTGTGCAAGTATCAAAGCGCACCTGTACCGTACACTGTAGAGCTGGCCGCAGGACAAGCTTAGTCCGCGCGCGCTAATTTTCTTGAAACCGTTTCGTTCGTCGATGGAGAGGTCAATGCCACGCGGGTAATCATAAACGGACGGCTGTAAAGTTTGCGCCCGATTGCGCGAAGTTTTGAAATTTGCCCGGAATGCAGGGCCGTACGGTACCTGGGTATGCATAATGCGGCCCGGGCGATAAACCTATTGCGCCCGTCAGCAGGTGATCAGCAACTTCTTTGTAGGTACTGCTGTGAACTAGGTATTGCCCTAGGTAGGTAGGCCGAACCGAAGGATCCTGGATATGGTCTACCCGGCTCTACCGTTACCGGCGTCTACCCTCTGGTGGCCGGGCGGCGGGCAAAGGATTGGGTTAGGACCTAGGTACTTTGAGGCTGGTACGGCTGCCGAGCGGGTAGATTTTATTTTAAGGTACCCCGGGGATCGGACTGTTATTATCCCGGGCTACTTGGCAGTTTCCAAGAATCCCGATTCCCAACTCAAACTACCGGTTAGTACAAACTCCAGAGGAGTATTCCCGGCAGGGGGCCGGCCCCCGGGCCATGTCAATATGTGTGGACACCTGCATTTACTCCACGCGAAAAACGAGGAGGTCAAAGGGTGTGAACATTACGGTTTACAAATTTGACCAAATGGTATGAATTACTGGTATGATTCTGGTATAATTCTGGTAGTACATAGGTACAACTACGGTACCTATATGTAGATTGAAAGGAGCGGGGCTACTAGGTACACACTGCACAGCTAGGTAGACCGTAGTACCGTATACGGTAAGGTACACACTGTGATTGGCTGAGCCTGGAACTAAGTGATATCACACAATGAGGATTTTCATCAGTAGTGGTGTTGGATGTCATCATCCAAAGCGGACATCAGCATAAGACATCATGATTGACTTTGCGGCTGAGGCCAGATCATTTTTTCGAATGCCAGTTGCAGTGTTCACTGTTTATATACGAATAAATTCTGAGCACAATCATTCTTCATATTTAAGTCAAGTCATCAAGTTAGCCCATGTGTTTCATCTCAATCAACTTTCTGGAAAAAGGAAAGGTAGGCAACAGGGGAAGGGCTGTCAAGACGTTTCAACTCCCCCGCTTCACCGCTTGTCACCGTCACGACTCTGCACGACTCACATCACCTTAGGCTCTCTCAGGCTTCAGGCGCCCTTTCTATGATGCATACATGTCATGAATCGAAGTACCGTATGTCGAAACCAAGAGAGCAGAACGGAAAATCTCGGAAAATCTCGTGCCGTATAAGTCGGAAGGAGTCGGAGAAGAATCATGTGCTTGTAGGAATACTTGTCACATGAATCTAGCTTGTGAATCGTGATACTTTAAAATTTAATCTATATTACGGAATGGACAAAAAAATGCATTCCTAAGGTACGTCGTCATTTTTCTCCAAAGATTCGATTACCAGCTACTAAACCTACCAGTAGTTGGAGATCCGAGATGTTCTTTTTGTCTTTTGCCTTTATTATAATGATTTTGACAATTCATATTAAAATTATGTTGAATACTAGCTGCCTATTATGCTGCTTCACATTTAGTACTACCGAAGCATGAGCTACCTAGTAGACAGTAGTATCTCACTGCTCAGGCTCAGCCATGGGTACTTATGCTCAGTGCTGAATGCAGTCCGTCACCATGACAGGTACCGATGATGTGATCACGTAGGTACACGGATGGTGTCATTTCACGTCCTACCAATCTACCAGCCAGCGGGCACAGGTCACCAAACCGGGGGGCGGTGCAAACTGCACTACGGTATTCACACGGTGGCGCTTTTGATCAGTGCTGAGTCTGCTGACTCTGCTCCAGAAATGGAAACTTGGGCCTGGCTAATCAAGTACCGTAATTGCATGATGCACTCCAACTTCTGGGACCAAGTTGGTCAGTGTCAGATTCGTTTTCTGCAGATTTGGCCAGGCTCTCATCTGCGGCCGGAAGATAAAACATCCCCACAAACTAGGATCTTTGTGCTGCTGATTCTACCCCAGTGGCGAAAGCGCTTTCTTCCACTTTTTCCTCTTGTCGGGTGCGCGAGAGATGGCGACTCGCGGAGTCTTTGCCCTGGGCCTACAACGAAGAGCCTTCGCTGCTGTCGTGTGTGTCGCTTGGTTGCTGATCAGCGACGTTGTCATCGGTCCTGCACCAGTCCTCAGCTGCACGGAGGCTACCGAAGGAACGGACTGCGCGAGGGGGGAACAGTGCGTTTGCAGTGAGTGTAGTATACCAGCCTCAACCCCTTCCTTATCTCGCTTGTTCAATCTAGAACTCAAGGAGTGTCACCAACAAAACACAAGATGGCAGGGCTGGTCAAATGCTTCAGATGGTTGTTTTAGTAGCCAGCCGGGCTATGCTGCTGCAAAGAGTGACGTGGATTTACAGCGCCTTGTTTTGTGGATGTTCTTTACATCTTGAACAATCTGAGCCACGGTCCAAGAGAGGAGAAGTCTGCCACTATGGTTGCAAGCACCATCATGATGTCATTATTGGGTCTGGCTAAAAACCACATCAAGCCTGAAAGCATCAACTAGATACGCTGCATGTAGGCCTATAAAAGTAATTCCTTACATCTATGACTGATCAACTCCCGCAAGTTGTGGCAACGCATTCCAAGGTGAAAGGCATATGTATCCTTTTTTTGGTGTGCTTCAATTTAATGTGACCTTTGTGCAGGTTCCTCTGGTTTGAATGGGGATCCCCATCTGGAGTTGACTGGCCCTGATGGCCAAAGGCTCACCTGGGACTTTCACGGCAGAGGCAACCAGAGCTACTGCATGGTAACAGATAAGTACATAACGGTGAGCAAGTCGAAATGCTCCAGGAACCAAGGCTTCTTTTGTGGTTCAGTTCAAAGAAAGCAAAGGGCTGCAACGCTGGATATTGAGAATGTCGTCATGCAAGCTTTTAATGCAGCTGAGAAATCCAGTCTTCAAGAGGACCATTTTTGGGCTTTGCGGTTTTCAGTAAGGTGATCAAATAAAGTCTGGTGCCGCATGCAGCTGGCGCTTGTGTGTAAGTGGCACTTTTGGTTGACGGCTACACGTATTCACAAATCTGTCGTTGGGTGGCGCTCTTACGCTCTTGCTACTCATCAACCAGCTTCGAGTCTGTGTCTCTACGAGCTATGAAGCTTGTATTCTGCAGGCTTTTCTTTTTCAGGCAAAGGACAACTGTTCCAGTATTTCTAGGACTAGGAGCAGTGGGGGGTGTTATCCTGGCCGATATTACATTCCCTGGTTGTCAACCTTGATTACAATTTTTGACAAAGGAACGTGGAGACACAGCTTTTGTGTCAAACTTTTGAAAGCCTAAGGACCTGAATGGTAGCTTATGTGTCCGGGACTTTCTTGATTCAGGAGGAGACTAATAATTGTTTCTCTAGTTGCTGGCAGCCTCATTGAGTGCAATAGTTCCTTGGCCCTTAGCTCCTTTTAGTTGCGTAAGCGATCACTTCATCACTTCCGATGATCTATTTTGCAGCTGAACACGCACATGTTCACCCTCCCTCCTGACGTTAGAGTTATCAAGCAAGAGGTACCCAAAGTCGAGCCTTTCTTTGAGGAACTTGGGTGGATGGAGTGGGCATAGTGTACAAGACGCAAGACAACAAGGACGCAAGCATCGAGATTGTCCTCGATCAGAAGCGGGCGCGGTCCAACAGCCATCCAATCACCATCCGCTTCCGCGAGAGCGAGGGGGATGCGGTTCAGGTGAGCGCTGCGCCTCAATGCAAACCTTTTGTCAATCTTGTAACGTCTCGTGCAGAGTCAGCGAAGTACCGTATTAGAGATGACATCTGCCACAGACACGATTGGGCTGGACATTAATAACTCAGCTAAAACTTTTGTGAGCAATGCCTTGCCGCTTGCTGCCACGCACGCCAAGGCGCGGTTCATGATCACATGATGTTTCTGCACACTTGAAAGTTTTGCAGCCGGTTTGCAAGTCAATGTTGAGACCTCACCAGAAGGTTTTGTATTATCGAGCTCTCCCCTTATTGAATCAACCCTGACGAGTACGTTAAGCACAGTGTTCTGGCTAGAGCACACACCCCATACTTTGTCAGGTTTTGGACGGCGCTTCCAACTGGACAAGCTCCGACAGCCTTATAACCATCAGCCAGGAGGGAAACGCTACCCACATATTCATGCCGGAACTCCTGACAATGACGATTAAGGTGGAACCAGAAAGGGAGCTTATAACAGAGCCTCCGATCTACTGCCTCAACTTCGAGATCAAGACGCTCTACACCACGCCCAACGTTCATGGCGTAAGGCCCGTTTCGCTTGATTGAACCCTCTTCTCAGCCTTACTGTTGGGACGGGGCTTACTTATTGAGAATCTTACATCTTCTTCAGGTCGACATGAAATGTGATTCTGATGCGATTAGGCAATTGAAGTTAAGGGACAACATCAGTTCATGCTGAATCTGCAAGATCTGCTGTCAAATTTGGGTGGGGAAGTCCTCTTCCTTGCGTGATCAGTACCTAAGGGCTCAGGCTATATGAGAACAGCCCTATGCTACCGCTGATTACGGGAATCGAACATGTTCAGGATCTCGTCTATTGAACAGTGTGATCGATTGCCCGTCTGTGATCGGAAGGGGAGTGCTCGATTACCTTGCAAAGGTCCGGACTCATCTTCATTAGGCGTCGAGGATTGAGCAGGATGCTTGTACCGTTGTGGTTTGCTGATCCCTTTTGGTTTTGCCTGTGCAGTTTCTTGGGCAAATGCACGCGCCTGGCGCCATTGCGGAGCGCTTGCAGGTGGGAACACTTGAGGGTCTGATGCATCGGGAGTGAGTTGTGCAACCTCCGCTCGTTGCATCTTGTTTTTTCCGTTCACTGTTCTTGCTCCCTTTTATCCATGCCTTCTGCTGCCCCAGAACAATTTGACTGACATATTGTTTCATTTGGCTGAAACGTAGTCGTTGCGCCTCCCTCGTTTTTCCTTCTGGTTGACTCCTACTACTTGCCTCTCTCCTAGGTACGTCGAAGGATCAGACGACGAATATGCTACTTCTGATCTAACGGCAACGGACTGCTTCTTCAACCGCTTTGCCATGGTGAGGCGTAACAACTTGACTGTCTGTCATCTATCACGGACCCGATTGTGATCAGGCAGGCTAGATGAACTTTCACATCAACGATGCAGAGAATCCATAAGTGGCCGGCCGTCTTCAAGAGCGACTTGAAGTTGTTGGATTGTGGAGTCGCGTCGTCGTTTGCCTGTGGGTTCAGCTACGTTCGTTTGTCATCGTTGTTCAGTTTTCTGACTTCGTGACACTATCACGTGCTTCTATTCAGGCGTTCAGATCCCTCGAACTGGTAGCTTCTGTCTTAGTTGACCAAGCTCGATCCTGGTCCAAAACTGAACGAACTCCTCTCTCCGTCCCGACCAGGACGGTGACCATCTTGCGCAGCCACACGCGTCTTCCGACACAACGTCAAGCATCAGAAACTGGAAAGTCAATCCTGGCCGCCGGCTTCTGCAAGTGCCCGACTTCGAGTCTGCCAGCAAATCGGACACCAACTTGCAAAGGCGCGCCAACCTGGAAACCCAATGCGAGTGCGTCAGCAAGTCCTGCTCTAGCTCGACCACGTGTAAGGCAACCCAGGAATGCTGTGGGGCATTCTGCACCAGCCCTCTCACCCTGACGCTGCCCGCGTGCGGCTTTGTGGCGGTATACCGGCAGGACTCGACGGCCCTGGCGGATCTACTCGGTTATGTCAGTGCATCTTTTGACGGCGACGGACTGTACACGTTCACCCCAGCGATGTCCGAGGCGCTAGAGATTCGATTCGACCCATCGTACGAGTATTCGGCGTTTGCGGTCAATGGGCCTGACCCCCAGTATCCGTACGTTGGGGCTATTTCTTTATTGGATGGTTACATTGGGCTTGATAGTCCTAGATTCCTGCTCCTTGGGGGACTAATTGCCCCCCCCCCACCTTCTAGTACACCGCGCCCAGCTGAATCAGGAGACAACTCCTTTAGCGATCGCACCGGGCTGCCCAACTTACTCATCGAGGATGCGATCTGGACCCTCGGTGGCCAGTGTAGTGCTTTAGATCCACAGTGGGTCAACACCGACTCTTCGAAGCCTGCCACGAATGTGCTGCTAATAGATACCGGCAGGGCCATTACTTTCAGGCTTGTAGAAGACGGAGACGCTCATAGAGAGTTCTTTGGGTTGGACACTAATCAGGCGCAGTCGGTTAGCCTCCGTTTTTTTCCCGCTGTCGGAGGATGCTCCTCTGCTCCGCAAAGACGCGGGCCATGACGGGTGTCGACATGCCATAGAAGTGCGGGGGGATAGTAGACTTGTACGTCGTGGTTTCGTTACAATTAGCACCAAACCTATGGATGTCCGGTTGGCTAACTTAAAGTCATGGCTGCTGGAAACCTAAGTGCGAGGCTCAGAGGAGACCTCGCAAGCAAGGAGCAAGAATTGTAAGTTTTAGGTCCTAATCATTACAAGATTCGCCGGGTTCTTGCTGAGCTTCTGGGACTATGTACAAGGATTCTTTCGACTCAGGTTTGAATTCTGTGAAGCAGATACGGTACTAGTAGCGACTTTCGTTTTTGGAGAAATTAAAGGAGCTGGACCGGAGGGCCGGAATCTCCGTCAAGTACTTTGGGTGCGGAGCAGAACTGCGTGCTGGCCGCCATCTGATTGTTGCATTGGTTGAATAAAGAGGCAATCATTGAAGCATTGCTCAAAAACTAGTATTGAGATTTGAAAAGCCGCAGCCGTATGTGAACGCTAAGGAGAGAATTCCATATTAAAACCCAGCACTTGCTGATTTGCGTGATCGAGGATGTATGCTTGTTGTATAAGCACAATAGCCGGACACGGAGCTCGAATTGTCTAGAACGTCAAATACATCCATGAAGCTGACGTTACCCTGTTACGACAAAGGACATGGAGCCGTATGCTGTAAGTTTGCATGCCTTTTGGATTGTACAAGTTGCCTGAGGGAGATTTTCTCGAAGGTGGATTCAGTTTATCCTGTACTTATGCAGATGTTGCCATTTCGGAATAAGGGCGCGACTGAGCCGTTCTATAGGTTCATGCGCATTGCATTTCTGTCCGTTAGTTGATTGATGGGTAACTGAGTTCTTTCCAAAGTGAGTGCTAGAGGACCTCACAGTGCACGGTGCGGCGGAGTCATGGCGTTGTGGCTGCGCTAGGGCGCCGAGCCCTAGCATTGAGCAATTCCGGGCAGTTCTCGCGCAAAATAGCTTAATTCAAGCCGCCCAGTATAATGCTTATATGCAACGGCTTGCCAAAACAGTCAACGACGATGCATTTGCATGTTCAAGTCAGATCGACTAGTGAAATTGGCGGCCCGTGATGGAACGTACTGATATAGCTAGTTCTAGCTAAGTTCTGTAATTCAACAAAACAACGGACGTGTTGCGCATATTACCAGAGCATGTGTGGTCCGCGGGCTAATAGTAAATAGTCGTTCAACATGCAATTGCAGAAGATGATGAGTATATATATGTAGGCCGCTTCTCGATCTCATCCGATCTGAACCACTGTGACAACCAATGCATAATACCATACCATGATCGCGCGCACCCGCGTACTGGCTTACTAGTGCAGAACGACCACATGCATTGCCAGCGAGCCGCACTTAGCATGCAAGATATTGACGTTGCCTGAAAACCATGTGTCATGCAGAAAGGCGTGAATGGACGGGCGATCGATAACAGGACCGATCGATGCAAATGCATTGCAACTGCTCCTCGCTTCAGGACTTAGCTGCAAGGCTCAGAACGTTTTGCCACTGGTCTAATTCTCCTCCTTCATTTACAATCTTCTGCATGATCGGACCTACTTACAAAATAGCGCCACCGTCCAGTTGCAAATGACCAATTCGAATTTCTTGTGGGCAATGGACATCATCAATGTTTCCTGTACTGCAGACTAACCTACTTCAGCACACGGAATGGTGCCTCGATGATCAATCAATCGCTCTGGGGCTCCTTCTTGGGCGTCTCCTTGGGAAAGAACATAGCCAGCGATTGCTGCGGGGATCCAACCCCCGCCGACCCCTCTGCTGACTGCTCACCAATCTGCTCTTTGCCCGGCGATGCAGATTTCGGCGTCGAAGCAGAGTCGAAAAACCACGCTACATCCACACGCGGTATGTTCTTTGACTTCATTCCTCCATCGTCGTCCGGAGCCGTTTGCCCTAGCGATGCTGATCCGTTCTCCCCTTCGAACTTCCATGCTTCGGGAGTGGCTCCATTGCCCAGGCCATCAGGACCGGCGTTCGGGCCCGGCTGGTGTGTATACGCCCCATTGCCTGCACCATCCTGCCGGGCTGGAACGCCCGGCTGGTGTGAGTACCCCCCATTACCTGAGGCCGCGTCCCAGCCCGGCCGGTGTGAATGCGCCCCACTGCTTGAGCCATTCTGCCCAGCGTCCCGTCTCGGCTGGTGCGGAGACGCCCCATTGTATGATCCGCTCGGCGTCGGCCGATCGGAACGCCCCCCAAGCCCGGAGTTGGGCCTCATCAGTGCCCGGGACACGAACGCCGGGGCTGCCGCTGCTAGGTTGCCCTTCGACTCCATTCCGGTAGACTGGCAGCTTTCGCCTCCATAAGTCTCCCCTGCGTTGCCGCCATAAGCGCCCGTAGATGGGTTATAAGCGCCCGCATGCTCATAAGCACCGCGCCGATACTCATCAGCTGCTGACACGAGCCGTCCAGGACTGAGCGGCGGATCGGGCCTCCGCTTCCAGTCGCTTTGACCCGGGCTTGCATTCCAAGCGCTGCCCGTTCCGTTTCCGGCACTCCATCCGTTCTGCCCCTGGCGTGGTTCCGGGCTGAACCGCCGCTCCACCGACCGCCCCCGGAATTCCGGTCGCCAGCCTTTCCGCCCCCGGCCCCCATACGAGATGCCGCTTCTCTCCTCGCTCTGCCCCCGGGCCATTTCAGAAGCGGCGCTCCTCTCCTCGTTTTGTCTCCGCCCGCCATAAGCGCTAGTGACGCTCTGCTCGTATCGCCGAGGGTAAGCTATTTCCGTCGACTGCGTTCGACTACGATCTTTCCGCCACTCGAGCCCCTGGTTTCTGTCCGGGTCGGCCGTATCCGGATTGGGTTCGCGCGACGTCCTCCGCTCGTGTCCATTTCCGACACTTCCGTTTCGGGCCACATAATCCAGCGGAACACTGCGCTCTTTCCTTGCCCTAGGGTCTTGAACCTCGCTCGTCTGGCCCGCCCTATCACCACGCGACACCTGGCCCCCTCCGACGCTTCCCCGAGAGAACCCGTCCGGCGACATTGCTCCGATTCGAACGTCCGCATGACCGTTCGATCTTGGGCTCTCGGTCCGCTTCACACCCGTGAGGTCGAGCTCCGGTCTTTGAAATTGGGACGATTGCTCGTCAGCTTTGGGGCCGTGGATGGGGTCTGAATCAGCGTGGGACGGATTAGAATCGGCATTCGGCTCTGAGGACGCGTGATCACTAGGGGTTTGGCTCGAGGTTCGGTTCCGACTTGCGTCTGGGTCATCGTCGCTCGCGCCTTTCCGTACAGCGCCTACGTCAGGCAATGCTGCAAAATCCGGAGCTGGGTTATCCGTCTCCATCGACTCGACTTGATTCCCCTTTGTTTGGACCGCGCTAGAAGGCCCCGACTCACTCGCGACAGAAGCTTCGGAGGGGTTGGGATTTGGGCTGCTAGGCTGGCTGAGGTTGCGGACATCCCCCGCGGTCCGAATGGGCGAAGCGGACCGCATCTCGGACCGCCCGAAACCGCCGCCGTTCTCTCTAGCTCTCGGCTCTTCTGACTCGAACTGGGCTACTGATTCCGGCAGCTGTGAAGGATCTCTCTCGCGCGGTTGGCTTCCCGCCTCTGATTGGCTCGAGGGTCTTGGCGGTAACGCTCCCCCGGAACCTGATTGGCTGGAGGGTAACGGCTTGCTGCGCACGGTTTCGTTTGGCCGCCCGTTCCGTTCGGCGGATATCGACCTTTTCGAAGGCCCTCCCTTCACGCTAGTTCCCAGATCCGGCCACTCCGCCGTGCCGCTTGAAACAGGATTTCCCCCTGAAGAAGCCCTTGTCAGAGGCGGGGGCGCATTCCCAGAGCCCGATCCCCGGCCATTCTCGGCCCTTACAGGGCCTCCACCCGAGAGAGGCCTTGTCGGGGGCCTCGGCGCCCATGGCTGAGCACCGGAGGCCCTGCCAAAGTCCTTCTCGACCGGGCCTCCCGCCGATCTCCCCAAGAGATCCGGCCACACTTCTGCGGAGACGTCTATGGGGGGCGCCCGGGGGGCTTCGAACGGGAGGGGGTCAGAAAGCAGCGAGGGGGGTCCCAAAGACGGGGGTATCAGGGAGGGGGAGAAAGCGCGCCGGTGGAAAACGGGGAAGTCTGGCAGGGGGAGGACGATGTTCATGTAGGGCGCCTTCTCGGGCTTCATGCGCCGGAAGGTCACGGAGATGCGGGGCTCCGGGACGCTCGGAATGCAGTGCTTGGCGACGTCGGCGGCGTTGCCGTTCAAGATGCACACCGAGCTGCACAGGAGAACCAAGGTAATTAGGTTCTTTCGGTATCTCATGGACATCTCTCTCTAGGTAGGAGATAAGCAGGCTCTTTCAATCGTGTTCCGGGTTCAAAACACGGTCCGTTTGATATACCTGGCAAATGGTATGTGAAGAGGAGAACTCCTAGCGCGAATGAATTCCCAAAGCTTGGGACCTTGCGGAAGTATGCCGCAAACCACAAGTGAACACGCCCCTTCAACGCTCGTGAGCTCGGAAAATTGGCACCAGATGAATTCGTTACAGCCACCCTTCTCCATTCCCGTTCTCACGGACCTATGTGTCCTTGAAGCCAGGAACCGGTTCCTCTTATGAAGCTCATCACCCTTTTTCCAACTCACTCATCAAGCAGCGCTCTCGCTTTCAAGAACAACGGTCAAGCGGTCCGGAACAAGCCATGACTTCAGCAACAGCCATTCGAAGGCAGGGTACAACGATGTTGTACCAGCTCTTTGAAGGCCCGCTCAGCGCCGTCGAGGCAGACTGACGGCTAATATTCGCATGAAGGTCCCTTGCATTCTGATGCCAATTATTCGTACGCAGGGAGGTTGCACGAAAGGGGTTTCCAGGAGACCCGAGCAGACGAGCATGTGGTCGGATACGCCAAAGCATGTCAAACCTTTTAATATCTGTTCTTTCAAGAACGCGAGAACATAGGCACGGAGACGCATATTGCCGGCTGACTGAAAGCCGACGAACCACCAAGACGCTGATCGGCAGCGAAAGGTTCGCTCAAGCACCGACTTTCGTACGACTGCAGCGGCGTTCTACTGTCCCGCAAAAGGGATCGAGTGAGGAGGAACCAGCAAGATGGATACATGACCGGGCAAGAAAACCTACCCTTTGGAGAGCGGCAGCTCGAAGGCGCCCGAGAACTGGCCTGCGTCCAGGGACTCCATAACGGCCCCAAACTTGATGGGCGCCACCGAGAGGAGCGACATCGTGCAAAAGGGGCGGTCGAAGTCGTGGTGGTCGATGTGGATTGGGATGCAGTCGCCCTGGCAAGAAAGGGGTTACGTGGGGTTACGAGTGTTTTGACAGGAGGATGCAGTTGCCACGGTTAGATACGCGTTATCTGATTTTGATGAGGGCTCAAAGTGGGTGTGAGAGGTTCTCGGCGTGCAGAAGAGAGGATTGGAGTCGTGGTGGTAGGTGTGGATGGGATGCAGTCGACCTGGTTAAAAGGCGGGTTAACAAATGATTGAAAAGAAGTGGGTTTGAATGCGTAGGACGCTACTCAAATAGTCGACGAAAGAGCATGCCCTGAGGGTCGTCCAAGAAACGGACGTCAACTTTGATGAAGTGCAGTCGCCTAGGGTAAGAAAATGGGATAAGCAAGGTTAGTGGGTACTAAGAACTGAAGAGACAGATGAAGAAGAGCGGTCACTTTCAGAAGTCGGGAGGTTAAAGAAGCAGTAGCATTGGTAAGCGGACAGACGAGTCGGGGTCCCTGGAGAGGCTATGAGGGTGTACAAGGACTTTAACGTCGACAGGTTCGTTGACTGTTTGAGGATAGTTCACTGTTTGGAGTGCCAAAGGCGGCGCGTGCCGAAAGCGCGGTGGTAAAGAGGGAACTATAGCCCGCTTAATTCCGACACACCCTTGAAGCGGAGAACGGGTCGGACGATTAACCGGCGGCCTTGATTGCAAGAATTAGTGAACTGCTTTAGTAGAGACGCAGTCAAGCTTGGTCAGAGGACAAGAGAGACTTTCAATGAAGCAGCTCCACACTCTCCCTCAAACAGAGGCGAGGAGGCCCGCAATTCTGCATGTGCCAATTCCCTTTGATTCCATGCCCCTTGAAAAAAAAGAAACCCATCTAGGCAACGCGAACCATGCCTCTGACCAATAAACAGTCTGAATGAACCCACCTCCGAGTACAGGTTGATGATGGCCGAGTTGGGGCGCTTCTTTCCCCCTGGCATCACCTTCCAGCGCACCATGCGGTCCAAAATGTCCTCCAAAAAGGTCGGCATCGGCTCCACCGCCTCGTCTGCAGAACGGTTGACGTGTTCAATGAGCTTGGCGCCCTAAGTCCCCCACGAAATTCATCCGGGTCATCATTTCAAACTGGCTGTATCTCAACCTCAGATCGATGCTACTGTTGACTATAAAGAGTGGTCTTGAGTTATCAACCAAACCTAGAGTGTTGCATTTGCAACCGAGTCGCAGCATTGGCGAAGAAACCGAAAGCTCTGGACCTGACTTCTTCGTCCGAACCGATACAATCTGCGGACTATAAACTCGCTTCGATTCTCGAACAGACCTCGGAAAACCTGAAATGGCCCCCAAAATCTTCAACCTCCAAGAACTCAAACCGCGCCGACCTTGAAACCCAATGCCTACCTTGCAGGATCCCTGGCGGCCGCCCCATCTTATCCACGGCATAGTTGTAGCAGCACCCGAACTGGATGGTCACCCGCCCCTTGCCCTTCATCCACTTGCGCGGCGCCGTGTACGTCCGCCCGCGCAGCCCGCCGTCCGCGCCTAGTTGCTCCAGCTCCCGGATCATGCTGACGGCGGCGGCCTGCTCTTCGTCGTCCAGAAACTGCTCGTGGAGCACCAGGCCCTGAACCGAGTTGACCTGACAAAGAGGTGGTGATGACGTCAGCGAGGTCGACGGGGGCATGGGAAAGGTTTTTGTGTTCATCAAATTATGAAGATGAACTGAGGGATGTTTGCGCAGCCCTCGCAGTAGATTGACAGATTTCAGAATTTGTGAAGCACAGGCGAATGCAGCTTGCTTTCCTTGACCACGAGATTAGCGCATCCAGTCAATGCTGCAATTGGACTGGCCTGGCCAAAGAACATTGACTATTAGGGCCTTTACACACAGAGCGGGTGTTTTTTGTTTCGAGCGACGGTACAGCAGGGGCCGCGGCGGTACCGTCGCCAGGAAAACACCGCGGGTGTTATTGCAAGTTCGCCGACTCGTACGATCATACGTCAGCAAAAACACCGCGGTGTTCCAAAGTGCTACCCCAAAAAAAGCCGGGTAGCGAAAGTAAACTTTTTCGGACCGTCGCACGGGACTACTTTTGCGTGCGGAAGGTACCCCCCGAAGTCGCGCGGGGAGTTTGGGCAAAACAACACCTTCAGTTCTCGGCGAATTGCGAAAAAGAACACCCGCCCTGTGTGTAAAGACCCTTAGTATCATGATAGCAAGAAGCATAAAGCCAAGAAAAGGGCAAAGCAGTGAATTGCGAGTAGCCAGATGGACCACAAAACTTAAGAGTCTCTTCCTGACGGGTTTTTTCAGCGAAGATGTACCTTCCAAGAGGAACATGAGCTTCCTTCTCACGTTTTTCATATCAGACTGTTTCGGTTGAATGTGCTGAACTCTCACACGGCTGACGTAACCTATCGACAATCCTGGAGGGCCTTCAAGAGCACGCATTTCGAACAGAGTCACCTACTATCCGGGCATTTATGCTGCCTGGATAAGATGGGACAGCTTCATTTTGAGTAACCACGGGCTCACCATTCTGCCTCCTTTAAGACGTTCGAAGCACTCGAAGTCGTCCTTGGTCCGCATCTTCCGCCGCTTTCGCCGATCCTCTTCCTCAAAAGCCGTCCGTTTCCGGACGTACTCCTCCGTCTGAGCGTCCGTCTGAACGTCCGGCTGAGCTGCGCTTCCCTCACCCTCTGCCGCCCTCGAGGAGATGTGCTTCGCCCAGCTAGACTTGGCCCCCGTAACGTCATCCCCACCCCCCCAGCTCTCCGGCCGCCGCAGGTTCGTGAACCGTTTCAGGGGGGCAGCGGCGGCTGGAACCCGGACCCCCTCGCCGAGCGCTGGGAAGTCTGCCGAGAGAGGTCGGGGACGGGCAGTGATTTCATCCAGGCATGCCTCATAGGCATTCCCCGCTGATGCTGCACCCCCTGGTGCATGCCCGTTTACACGTGGCTCGTCCCCTTCAGCCTCCGGACGCCTCAGCCACGTCTCACCTTTTTCCAGTGCAGGCCCCAAGTCAATGTCTCCACTAAGCGAGTGCGGCAGTCTGTTCCCATTCTGTTGCTCCCTTTCAGGCCCAGCATCCCGCTCTGCCAAAGCCTGCCCCTCCCCACCGTGTTGCGCAGCGAAAGCAGCCTTCGACCCGGGAATGCTGTCCCCGTCGCTTTCTTTCCTGCGCTTTCTCTCCAGGCGCTGCTTTCGCCTTTCCTTCTGCCCTACCGCTTCTGCCGCATTATCCTCCCTCCCCACAGCAGCCTCCGAAGGCGGACCCCCTGGCTCTGAGAAACTAGGCGCGGATGCTGGACGCTCGTCGTCCAACTCCACACTGTCCAGATCGACGCTGCGGGCACCTCGCTTTTGGGCTCTCTCACCAGACACAGCCATGAAGCCGGAAACAGCCCCCGAGACTCTGCTATGGTTTTCCGCTGCTGCTGCTGTTCCATTGAACCCATTCGCCTTTCGTGCGATCCAATCCTGGCCTTCTAAGCTAGTTCCATAATTACCATTCCCCTGAGCGTTTACTCCTGCCGCTGACTTTGCGGCATCCTGAGTGCAAACAGGAGCGGAGCTGGAAGCACCAGCCCTTCCTCTTGTTGAAAGGGACGTTGCAGGACCAGCTCTTACACCCGCTTCGCTTCCCGAGGGACCATCCTGCCTCACAGAAGCTGCATACATTGGCCCCTCAATCGAGAGACTCCCACCTGTCCGCAGCTCCGAGGCTGCGTACCGAGGGCCGACGAGGACATCGGAGCGGCCGGAGGATGGGTCGGTGTGTGGAGTCTCATTGGAGGGAGGGTTTTCGTACTTGATCACAGCCTCTTCCCATTCTCTCTGCTTGCCCCGGATCACCTCTATGAGCTCAGCGTCCGCACCTGTGTCAGGGAGGACTCGATGATTATGACGAGTTATAGCATGCATGATTTTGCCTAAAAGAACTCTTAATGGTCCGAGGTAGATGACAAGTCACTGTCACATTTTCATTACCGCCAAGGCAAGAGAGCAATCTACTTCGGCGACCGCAATGACCACAAGCAGCCCTGAGAAAAGGTGAGATAGCTTTTGAGTATTCCTAAACACGGAAGCACAGCCACTTGAATTGAAGTCAGCCTTGCCAACCTAAAACCATTACAACAATAGCTTCCCTGTGTGAGCTATCATTAACAGAACTCCAAGAAAAGACAACATGAAATGGTTCTATGTGGTTGGCAGAAAGTATGGTTGGTGGTTATCTGGAGTCAAATGAGGACCTGGGGATACGACACTGTGTAGTCCAAGTAGAGAAAGTTGAGCTAAACACTCTTGACACCAATTTCAGAATACTATGGAATTCGAACCCTGAGGATACTGCAATTGCATGGCTCTACTGTCCTCAAATTATTTCAACCTTGAACTCTAATCAGAACATGGGAAACAGCAAGCGAGCGTTATGCTTGTCAACAGCTCAATCACAACCACCCAGAGCCTGCAGAGATGTTCTGACCAATCTGTGTCACGACCCATCCTAGAGAAAAACCTGAGTGGTGGTGTGAAACTAAGCACTTTGCAAGAACCGCAAACTCACCAGTCAGCTTTCCACAGCTCTTCTCCCACCGAGCGATGATGTCGTCAATGATGCTGCTAACAGGCAGGTTAAGGGTTTTCAATGAAGTTCACGGCGTAAAAATTCAGTAAACAATGTAAGGTGTCAAGAGCATGTCATGCAGGACTGCAGGAACGGGCTTTGCGGCTCAATTGAGAACCTCACAACCATGATCTGTATTCAAAGTGAAAGCTGACTTGTAAAGCAGCATAGCCTTATTCCGTAAAGGAATGATCACTGCTTCACAAAATTGCCCTTTGCGATGCACTTTCAATCCTGCTACAGGAGGTTTCAGACCTCAGACGCTTGAGGCAATCCAATCTTCCCTTCTTGAAACAATCCCTTCATGCACGGGGTAATGTGCAAATATTGCAAGGAGGCTGCGAAAGTGTAGGTGTGAATGATAAATCGCGTGGAAAGCAGTTTGGGCACAATCACGAGACTCTTCTCCGGGGCAAAGCTAATCCATTCCACAAGGTGTGCTGATGAAGACTTACGAGCTTGCACACAGGAGCTCTGACTTGATGAAGGTGCCGGTGTTCAGGTCCTGCGCCCCAGACATCTCGCCCACCTTTTATCTTTCGAAACGGTTGCAAGAACAGCAAGCAGCACGTCCAGATACGTTCAAGGAGCACACTAAATCTTGCCTATTCTTTTGAAATGCGACGGCTTTTCCTGGCCATTCCGGTTTCAAAAGGGTTTTTCCCTCCAAAAGACTTCATGCGCTGCTTTTCAAGCGAACCAAAGCTGAGCTGCTGCTGGCACTGCTGTCTTCCTCTGCATCATTGCAAACTTTCAACTTGGCTGCTTGGAAAGGAGCAACTAGGATGAGCTGCTCAAAAAGCTATTAGTCTGGGAATACGCTCAGCCGCCATCTCAGCAACTCCTGACCGTCCATTTGATAGCTTGAGTCAAACTTTTTTGATAGAAGGGGAAAGTCGACCGTCGATTGTATTTGCGCAAGCAAGGTACAGGCAATATTAGGGTTAGGGTTTGGCTGAGGCTTGAGCTGCAGCTGAGCTGGCTCCGGAGCTCGATGAAGATGAACTTGTACATGTGCTGCTGCAAATGTTCAGTACTATCCTAGTCTATAGCATTCATGGTGGATGAAACTCTGGAGTCTCCAGTGCTGGCATTATTGGCAGAGGATTGCATATGCCTACTTCGACATTTCCTTTCCAGAAGTGGCGCAAGATCGCCAGCCAACTGCCAGCAAGTCCAGCTGATTCCAGCCATTGGCAATGTGCGCCTTCTCCCTTATCAAGCTTCTTCAATTTTTGCACAGCACTGTTTCTGAGGGCCTGAAGAACCTTGAAGAAGAAGGCTCGACCTTCAATCTCTTCTCTCGACCACTAAATAGTCATTTGATGATATAGAATCAAAGGCTCGAGCAATTTGCTCAGTGTTTACTGCACACTTATTATCGGCTCAGCTTCTCAGTCAAGTCTTCCATTGTTAATAGCTAGAGTCATGGGGAGCCTTAGCTTTTCTTCAGCTGCGTCGCGAAAGAGCAATCTCCTCATTTGCCTCTGCCTCAGCATAGCAGCTCTAGCAGCTGTTCGCAGCATAAGCACCCTGCGTGCCAACAGCCCCAGAGCCTTGTTGAGAGTTTCAGGTGCAGGGAACAGGGAAGTCCTGACGGCTAGCAGCTACCATGCACGGAGTAGAAGCCCCCTGAGCAAAGATGGAAGCGTGGAGATGAGCGACAGTCAGCCTTTGCGTGTCTTTGTCTATGACGTCCCTCGGAGGTGAGAGTCTAAGTTCAGCCATATCTCTTGTGGGATTAGTCGTACTTCCAAGATAGACTGCCACTTTTCATCAGCTTGTTGCACTAACACTTTTGGTGGCTGATCAATAGAGGTTTGCCACTGATGTCAACTTTGCAATTCATTGTCACCCTCACCGGAAAAGCCTGATTGCTGAAAAGAAGCACTGAAGTGCAATTGCTGAGTTGAGCAATCATAGCGCTACACTTTGTACGTCAACAATGTACTCATGCAAGAATGGAGTTGAGTTCCCCGTGCATGAAATCCAACACAATGGAATTTTCCAGGATCCCCAGACTGTGGCCGTGATGAACGCACCCTGGATAATTAGCAGTCTCAATCTTTAACCACAAGCGGTATTCACTTGCGTTAACCGCGTTCTAGACTTCAAACTGCTGTGTGTCAAGACAAGCAACGACCACAGCAGATCTGCAAGCATGAAGTCGCTGTTTATTCCATCAGATCTCCGAGCTGAGGCCGATGAGAAGGTTCTATACTTTGGCCGCTGTCCTTTCCAGGGCCTGTGGTTCTTTTCAAGGATTAGTTCGCTGAAAAACACCAAGTGGCAATATCAAATGCATCTACAGACAACCAGAGCACCAACCAATGCAAAGCCCCACGCAGCAGACCAAAGTACACTCTGTCCATCAGTCACCTTGTGACATGGATGAAAAATGGGAATTGCAATCTGAATCTGACTGGCCATGTGCAGGTTCACATTTGGCATGATTGAGACATACTACCAAGCTCGCGGCCTCAAAGACAGCGAACCTGACAAGGGAGGTGGACCAGACACAGTTCCCGCATACCCTGCACATCAGCACGCCTCTGAGTGGTGGCTCTTCCAGAGCCTATTCACACAAGAAGAGTTGAGGACGGTCGCCAGCGGGGGAACTAGTATGAGGCGAAAAGTCCTGGAAGCTCACAGTAACTCTTCCTCCGGAGCGAAACCCCGTCCTGCCAGGCGAAAGTCCCTCGTCGCGGGGACCGCAAACCCGCGCAAGCGCAGCGCGTACGCGGGGCAGCACGTCTCTAGTTCCACGGCCATCAGGGTGACGTCACCAGAGGATGCTGACGTCATCCTGGTGCCGTTCTTCAGCTCGCTGAGCCTGATCGTGCTGCCGCTCGACAAGGTGCGGGCGCAGGGGGCCGGCGCTGACGTGGCAGGGGGTGCTGACGTGGCAAGATATGATGACGAGGCAGAGCAACGGGCGCTGATGGGTTGGGTGGAGGCGCAGGAGCCGTGGAAGCGGTCAGGGGGGCGGGACCATGTGTTTGTGTCGTCGGACCCGGCCGCGATGTCCGAAGTAAGTTCAGGCATCTCGACAGACCGAGACACTGACGTCATCAACAATTGCTCAACCTGAAGACCCGTATTTTCAGCAAGAGCAGCGTCGCAAACGATAAATGCAGGTTTTATGAGAGAGGTGCAAAAGCTGTACTTCGTGCTTTGCTTCCTGGCGTCCTCGGTCATTACTTACTTTCGCTATTGAGCAAGATCACTGATCTCAGACAGCCTTTCGCGGTCGTTTACGAACGCTGGATTAGTAGCTCCTCGTTGACTCGAACATGATCGAGGTTAGGGACTGTCACTTCGTCCAACCCTGCGTTCATCGGCAAAGCGAAACGCCCCCGGGGGGTTGCCTTCGCTTCCGCTCGTGCTTAAGCAAGGGGTCGCTATTCTTGTTTGAGATTGGAAGTCTGAGCAACTAGGCCGGACTGTGCACACGTGGAAATCTTTAACAGAACATAGCAAGGGTGCAACGGGGGCACGAACTTATGGGGATTCTCGACAGCAATCGAATTTTCAGAGGTTGCATTGAGGAGCAAAATTGCAAATATCGGTACACTGACAATTCGCTACCGTCGTTTCAGATCCATAGTCAGCTTGATTTCTTGTTCTTCGTTATCACAGCTGTCGAACAGTCCGGAAAACGGTCAAGACAACATAAGCAGTGTGACTCACGTCTTACGTCGCAAGGCCCACAGCTACACCTGAGGGCAAACGTTCTCGAAGTCGGCCAGAGTCTACTGTAGTGGCATGCGCTTTGAAGGGACTTCTGCCAATGTCAACGACACAAGCTCTTAGCCCGGCACGAACATGCTTCTCAAAGCTCGCAACTTGAAATTGATATGAAGCACCTTATTCGTACGTCCGCAGGTGCACGACCGGACAAAGAACTCCATCCTTCTTGTCGCGGACTTCGGACGCTTGCGCCCGGACCAGGCGTCCCTGCAGAAGGATGTCGTCATCCCGTACGTGCACCGGGTGCCCATTTACACCCCCCAGGACGAAGGCGCGACCCCCGCGGAGCGACACCTGCTGCTTTTCTTTGCTGGCAACCGCTTCCGGAAAGAGGTGAATCCATCTGTCAAGCCTCTGTGCGCTCTTCTGGACTGAAAACGTTCTCCGCGATCTCGGTCGTATGTTGGAAAGAACAGGGGCAGCTTTCTATCGCAGCCGCAAATAGTTGACTCGTTCTGCGAACGTTTGCCAGTAGTCAGGCGGACATCAAGAGACAAAAGACCGCTTGGTTGTTCGTTTTGTACGAAACGTGTTAATGTTCATGGCGGCACAATCCGAACAGAATCAGTAGAATCTTCAGAGTCGAGTACCAGCAATTTGCTTGGTTGACTTTGTGCTATTAGTAGAATGTGTCGCGATGATTTGGGTGGCCCGGTCTGGACAACTTCAGTGGAAGTGCTACAGTCAAAGGAATCGAAGTTGGCGGACGAATTATCTTTCTCAAGGGGCTTGCACCCTGCTTGTTTGACCTTGTTCAGATGTATCAGCCTTCAAACTCTAGTACCGTAATACCGCACTCTATTATCCTAGTACCTGATCCCAAAAGAGTCCTTTGAAGCGGAAACCTCAATCATTCATCTCCAGGGCGGCACGATCCGGACGAAGCTGTTCAAATGTATTAGCCTTCAATCTCTAGTCCCCTAATACCTGGTACCCTTTTTTCCTAGTACCTGATCTTAAAGAATCTCCAAACGCTGAATCCTTAACCATTCATCTCCAGGGCGGTACGATCCGCACGAAGCTGTTCGAGGTGCTGGCGACGGAGGAGAGCGTGTCCATGGTTGAAGGGATCCCCTCGGCGGAGGGCCGCCGCGCCGCCATGAAAGGCATGCGGACGTCCAAGTTCTGCCTCAGCCCCGCAGGTGCGTCCGCAAAAATGCGTCAAAAGTAAAGGAGCCCACCCTTTCAAGATGGTTACCAGCTAAACAGAAATGTAGTGCAGTACGGAGTGTAGATGAGGGCAGTTGTAGTCAAGGGAAGCGTGCCCTTCAGGGCTTCTCGGCAGCCCCTAACTATTGCAGGTTTTATCACGTCCCTGCTGGGTAGGCTCTTTACACATTCTCACGCCAGACTTTACGTCGTCCAAGTTGAACATGCATACTTGCGCGCGTTTCCACGGTTGCAACGGCCGATGTCGGGTTCAGGCACTACACCTCGGCCCGCCTCCTCTTAACAACCCGAAGACGACCCAGCGTCCGCGACGAGATCAAAGTAACCGTCAGGAAATGTTTGACCCACCATTCATTACTCAAGCTCCCCTTTGAGGCGACCAATTCTCCGCAAGTTTCTGCCACTGCGTCGCTCCTCTTTGCCAGGCGATACTGAACTTGGCCTGCCGCCTCTTCGACGCGGTCGGCAACCTGTGCGTTCCGATATCATTCAGCATCGAAGTAACTTTCAGGACACGGTTGACCCATCATTATCCACTCAAGCTCTCCTTTGGGCGACCAGACCCCCGCACTTTCCTGATGTTGCGTTGTACTCTTTCCCAGGCGACACCCCTTTCGCGTGCCGCTTCTTCGACGTAGTTGTCAACCTTTGCGCGCCGGCCGCCGTTAGCGACAGCACCGTGTGATCCGACGATCGGTTTACCTGATTTAACTTTCGCACCTTTTTGGCGACTCATTTCTTGCACCGTCCTCTAATGCCTCTCTTTGCCAGGCGACACCCCGCGCCCTGCCGCCTCTTCGACACGACCGTCTACCTGCGCGTCCCAATCGTCGATCCGACCACATCAAACTGACAGCTGTATTCCGTTCAAGCTTCTTTTTGGGCGACCAGTCCTTTGCAACCACCTGATGTCTCCTCGCCCCTCGTTGCTAGCGTCGCCTCCTTGGCCGCCTCTTCGACGCATTGATCAACTGTGCGTCCCGGTCTCCGTTAGCGACAGCATCAAACGGCGGTCGGACCACGGGCATATTCTCCACCCAAGCTCCTTCTGAGGCGACCAACCCTCCGCACCATTCTGACACTTCGTCGCCCCTTTTTGCCCAGGCGACACCCCTTCCGCGTGCCGCCTCTTCGACGCGATCGTCAATCTGTGCGTCCCGGTCGTCGTATCCGACCGCATCGAGCTGCCGTTTGAAGACCGGTTGGACTACAGCACGTTTGCGCTGTTCATTCCCGAGGCGAAAGCGCTCGAGCCGGGGTATCTGGCCGGGCGGCTCCGCGCGGAGATCGCGGCCGGGCGGTGGGAGGGCATGCAGCGGCGCTTGCGGGAAGTTCGGAGGTGCGTTGAGGAAACCATCCAGTTTCGGTGCCGGTTATGAATGCCCAGAGAATGGAGGGCGATTGTCGACAGGGTCCAAGCCCCCCACTGTTTACCTCACTTTCTAAAAAATGGGTCTTCGCTACTAAGTGTCGGTTCTAAAACGAGGGGGACAAGTTCGACGGCAAAACTGGGCGCCGTAATTTTTGGGTTAATGGAGATCCGGCTGCACGTCGTTATACCCAGATGCTCCAAAGCTTAAAAATAATGCTTCCTGGATGACAAGATGCCAGTGTCTTCTTGGAAAGCAGGGAGTCACAGCTGAGTTATCCATCGTGCCGCTCGTCGTTCGCGTTACGTGGAACTCCCCGTATGCAAGTTGCTCAATGGATCATATATTTGTTTCTGCTGCAGTTTATTTGAGTACTCGGAGCCATACGGAGCCATCGACATGGTGTGGGACAAGATCGCCACGAAGGTGCCCGCCGTTCGGGAAGCGATCCATCGGGAGCGGCGAAGCAAGCTCGGAGAGCTGCCGGCCTGACGCATTAAAGCGCATCGCACGCTACAGAACGACTGCACCGGTGTCTGCTTTCTCGACGCAAATTGTCATTCATGCAGGCGGAAATCATCGTTTCTATACTGCAATAATTGTCCGCTTAATTACAGCGTATTGTCGCAACGACATGTGCCACCCAAGATCATTAATGTAGCACCGCTCGCATAGAACACGCGTAACAGCATAGGGAAGGCTCATATAGCCGTATTTGAGAAGTAGCAGTCCCGATACTAGGGATACCTGATTTCAGCTATATAGCGCTCAAAAAGGCGCGCTTATCGTTACTAAGCAGCACAGTATAGACCGACCGTCAAACAATTGCGGCATATATGGTGCCGTGTAAAGAGATCTTTTTACGATCGACTTTTGGACTGTTTGCAGGCGCTCTGTCCCGCTCACGGGGCAGTTGCAACTTCACTGAAGTTGCAAGGCGACGATGCACTGACTCGTGACGAAGAATTGGGCCTTCATCCCTTACATCTGTAGTAATGTGAGGCAGCGTGATGTCAATTTGCCGCTTCAATGAGAATGTCTTTCAAGACTTTCAAGACGGAGAATTAAAATCAATTTGAAAGACTTTTTAAGACTTTTCTAAGACAGTCTTCAAAAGGTGAGCTTTCATGTAAAGTGCTGTTACACAAGCAATACTTGACACCAATATGACGCTGGCTATTACCGTCAGGTCATTTGTATTCTAGTAAGCCCTCTGAAGCTAATTTGAGATAGCCGATTCTTCAAAATCATTGGCGCGTCAAGTATGATCTGATTGGTCGAACTGCGCATCTAGGTATCGAGCAAAGGGGCTGCAGCTGCATGAGGGCCACGCTGCACACAAGTGGATCGGGAAAACGTCAGGTTCACTGTTGATGTCAACTAGAAGGCTGTAGCCGTATAAGTCCTCAGTAAGCAACCGTCTCCCCGGCAGCCGCCGGACTAAGTGCAATGTATGAATATATGCGCTCATGTCATGCAATTGATCTGACGGCAGTCCGGCATGTTATGTCGATTGTAAAGCTCTTACCACGTACAGTATAGCATCTCATGAGGGGCCAACCGCGCTGCGTAAACTCCATAATCAATGTGCTGGAGCCGCTTCAGGTTTGCGCGGGCCCGACGAGCCGTGCACTGCATAGTCATGAGTTTCAGATCGACCTGATTGGCGGTATGCTGTGCATGCTAAGTTGACCGAACATGCTTGACGGAACCATGCATTCCGGCCATCACATACATGACGGCCAGTAGTTATGATTTGAACGGCCGCACCATGCGCATCAATTAACTTAAGGTTATATTGCAATTAGTCACGATAACTACGCTATGAAGCTACCGCGCGGCAGCTACTGCAGCATGTTTAGCTCCGCGGTCCCTGTCCCTATCCAACCATGGCGTAAATAGCACTCGAGTCTGCAACGATGCGAAAAAGCAGATCGTGGCAATTATCAAATTATATAGGCCGCGCGGTACGTGACATGTCAGTGCACTCAGTGTCGATCACAATGCGCGCAGCAATTCGACTATATGTGCACACATGCTCAGTGAATATATCATATGGCGGCCCCTAGATCATGCAGTGTGATATATTGGGTACACTCGGTACTATAGCTCTGAGATATATACCTCTGTCACTAACGCGGACTCGAGGAACGTGAGAGAAAACAATGAATGTTTGATCAATCGATCTGGATTGAACATGCATGCACCATCAATGACGCAATTCACCAGGGTCTAACTCATTCCAAACGCATCAAGTATGGCGTTGCTCTGCAGGTGAATCATGATTCAATGCCGATCATGTCCGCAGCTTGGTTGTAGAAATGTGCAAGAACCTCTTCCGTTGCATAGCTCGCTCGTATCGTTGGGCTGGCTAAACCTAGAGGCACCAGGTCCGTGACCACCAAATGGACTTCCCTAGGACGGTAGCTGCCTTTAACCTTAACTGCCCCAGTTTCGGACCGTACAATTCAAAGGTCGTAATCTCATGTATCTTATTTTTGATCAGACCTTGTTACCAACGATCTGACTGCTCAAAGTCATCGCTACGTCATTCTTTGGAACGAATTGTACAAATACTGGAGAATTAAATGCAAGAATCGCTTTGCCCACGCACCGAGTAGCAACCTACCATAAAGTACAGCTCACCCCTCATTGTCGCCTTCCTCATGAGTGAGTGTGTCACACTCAGCCATTGACAAAGTGGCTCCAAAACTCGTCCGGTTCCTTGCCTTCCGTGACAACCTGCGACGTTATTGACCAAGAAATGAATAACTGAAGCCCAGTATACAAGCAGCACCAGTCGAAAGAAGTTTTTCGCTCCTTACGCTCCTCCTATTTGAAAGAAAGGCCGGGCAAGCTTATACAACGCAGACCCAATATGTGGGTTGTTTATTTCTTCAAATCTCAAGACAACCTTTACCCTCTAACACTCAAAGGAGCCCCCTTAGCACAAGATGCCCCAACCAGCTTAAGTGTTGCTCTTCGCGCTCGACTCTATGATTGTCGCCCGGACGCCCATGGTCAAGCGAAACTGTGTCTACGATTGATAGCACAAGCGGCACACGCCCAACCCTTGCCAGCACACGAGGCCCTTTGGCTGACCGATGGAGACAACTTGGCAAGCGAATGAACAGAGAGATATTGCAAGTAATGCCAATCATCTGCGTCTGTTGTCGGCTCATGTCTGCCTGGTACCAAGCGTCGTGCACTTCCCAGATCGACAGAGAAGGCGCCGCGGGAACGAGTGACTGGGCTTCCCCCAAAAGATCACTTGTTCGCACTTGAAGGTCTACCAGTCCCACAAACGAGGGCCACTTACCACGAACGGAGTCCTGGAAATGAGCCGCTTCCATATCATAAAGTCATTTCCCAAGGGGTTTCGCCACTCACTTACCTACCTGCATATGAAACGCGCGACAGATAAAATACAAATCCTACCAATGAGGGCCACTTACCACAAAGGGAGTCTCGGACGGGAGCCCATTCCTCCTCACAAAGTCTTCCCCTATGCTCCCCCCATCCTTGAACTCCTCCTCCTCCGCGGTAGAGTCAGTCGACATCGCACTGCCCGTGCTGATTCGACGATCATCCCCTTGCTTCAAATAGTCCGCCCCTAACCAAACAAACATGTCCCGACCCTTTCCGCCGTCCGAAGCCCCGTCCGAATTCACAAGCAAAACGTACGCCGACTCGGAGTGCAAATCGTCCGTGTCGAACATCTCCACCTCCTCAAACAGGGGGGCTTCGAACAGCCGGGGCCCCCCCTCGACCTCTGCCTTCTCTTCCCCCCTGGCGCGATTCACTGGGGTCGCTCTGCCCCGCTCACGGAACTGTCTCCTGTCGACGTCCATCGGCGAATCCCTCGACTCCACCAGCTCCCCCCCTCCAGCGAGCAGCTCCAGCTTCTTCGCAGTAGGGGGTATCCGCTCCGTCACCAGATCATCGGTCTCCTCCGACACCCCCGGGCTCAGCACCTCTGCGCCCGGTAGGAGCCCAACCGGGCTAACAGGAGCCACATCAACTTTGACCGACTCAACGCCGGGGATCTGCAAACCGGGCCGCCTCTTTGCCCAGCTGTCCGCTCCTCGACTTTCGGACCCGTCCGAGGCACGGGATTCGCCGAGCTCTGAAGACTGGGTCTCTTCTCGGGGGTTCGGTTCTCCCTTGCCCTCCTCCCCACTCGCCGCAGATTCACGTCGCTCGTCCACCGACCTCTCTGCTTCCTGTTCGTTCTCGTCCTTTGGATCGCTCTCCGGAGTTGCCACACCCCCGGGCAAAGCTGGCCTGGCCTCCTCATTCCGGGCGGGCCTCATGCCCGGGCTTTCCGGATGTTGACTCCCGCTCACCGCAAACCCCGGAAAGCTAGTCCGGCGAACCACCCGCGGAGACTCGGGCACCGTCCAGGCGCGCTCGGAGCCTCCAAAGTTCGGCGATATCGCAAAGGAGGAGTGCGCCTGCCGCACCTCCGAAACAGGGGGCCACATCTGGCGGGGCGTCTGGCCCCCGGACTCCTTCCCCGCGTCTTTCGCCAACCCCCATTCCATCGACCGGGTAGCCTCCGCTGCCCCGGCCTTCTCCTCGGAAAGCAACGATCGGCGACGGGGAGTGGCCGCATCCCCCCCGCTGGAATCGGCTCGGGGACCGAGATTGGAGGGGCTCTTGCGAGGCTTCGGTTCGGACAGATCAAGCCCGGGGCGGGGAGACAAAACGCGGTGCTGCTTGTAGAAGCTGCCCATGGAAGAGGACGGGGAGGGAGGGGGGGGCGAAAGAACGTCGGCGCTTTGGGCGGCGGTTTCTGTGGTCGTGGGCGACTTGCTGCGCTTGTTTGGGGGCGGGAGAGACGGCGAGGGGGGGGGCAGCGTGGACACTGGGTATGATCGGCTTACGGACGGGACAAAAACGTCGGGCTGTGCTTGCTTCCTGTTCGGGGGGGACGTCAGCTTGGTTTCCGGGGCAGTCTGTCCGTTCCCCCCTGGCTGATCTCTCCTGGCCTTGCTGCTCTGATCTGGTGCTGTGGATGGATCCTCTGTCCGTACGGCCGTTCTTAGAATCGGTTCGCCACGGGGGCTGGGGGCGCCGCTGACGCCGGACTGTTTCTGATCCTCTTTCGCAATTTTGGTTGGCGACATCGGTTTTGTTGCTCCTGGGAGAACGCTAGACCCAGGGGTCGCCATTTTGATCTCCCCGCTCTCGGCCCGACGGAAGAGCTCGTAATCCGCATCATAAGCCGGCAGCGTGCCCACCTCCACCGGACCGTCAGGGTTAGCACCCGGGTTAGCTGTTGAGGTATCCCCCTCAGAACCTCCCTCGTCTCTGTCAACCTCCACCGGTCTGCTCTCTCGCCGTTGCACCTTCCCCGCGTCTAGTTCCTGGCCCCGTTCCTCCGAGGCCTCGTCCCCCCCACCCGCGCTCATCACCGCCCAGAACTCCGCCCCTTCCTGCCCCTGCCGCACCACCGTGACAGGGCCTTTCGCCCGCTCGTACCGCACCAGCTGCGCCGCAATCCGCCCCCCCGCTTCCGCCATGCTGTGCGGCGCGCCCTGGCCCACCCACACGAAAACCTGCCCGCTCGAGGCGTCCACCACAAACACCCCCCTCCGGTCTAGCTCGGAACCTCTAAGCTTCCCCACTGGCTTCGGCACCAGGTGGAGCGGGCTATACGTGCTGTGGGGGGCAACCCGGTACATGCGCCCTGAGTGGGGGGGAGGCTCGCCGTCGGGGCCCCACGTGATCCGTTTCTGCCATTGCAGCAGCTGCAACAGAAAGGGTGACGTCAGACGACGACTCCTGAAGGGACGACTCTCCTGTTTGATTGCACGTCTTCAGTATGTCCGCATACCATCTTTTTGAAGATTGACCTGCGGAATGCGAATAGTTGCCTTGCATTTAGTTGCTTACACATTTGAACACAGATCCACCCCAAAATTCCATCCGGAAATTGCTTGTAGCAGACGCGCATCAAAGGATTCAGATTTGTTCGTTCTTACAGCTGACGAACGTCAGCTGTAAGTATACATACTGTCAAACGACAAGAGCTGCAAGTTATGAGTCGTCAGTGGCGTGCAGATTGTGAATTGACCTCGTACATCATCCTCGTACGCCCCTGTCGATGTCTCAAGGGAACCACCTTACAACCCTGAGAATGCAATCTCGACATCTCGTACCTGGCAGGCAAAGCCCATGTTCGGGTTTGCCGTCCCTCGGACCGCCTTCACGTCCCGGAACGTCTCGTCAAACGACCGGTTGTCGCGCCACATGAGGTAAGCAATGACGAGCGAGGTCGAGCGCGAGACGCCCTGGCAGCAGTGCACCAGGACACGACCGTGCTGCGTGCGAACGTCCTCCAGGTAATCGAAGATGTCGTACAGGATGCTCACGAGGTCCTCTCCGGGAATGTCCTGTTGGTGGGGAGGGGGAATTGAAAGTCAGAGAAGAACACGAGAAAGATCATACGAGGCACCTTGCTCAGCCAATCGTCACCAGGTTCTCTCCAGGAATCTCCTGTTTGGTGGAGCAACGATTCTGGTTGGAAAAGAACGCCTGAAAGACTTAAAAGAGGCAGTTTGCTCAGCAAGATGCTCACGAGAACCTCTCCAGGAAAGTCCGAATTGGTAGAAGACAAGAAACGAGTTCAGAAGCATGCCAGAGAGATGATAGTTGGCAGCTGCCTAGCAAGAACAGGGACAAAGTTCTTGTAAGTGAAGGACATTGAAAGTGCACAATGTGGTGAGAAACCATGTGTTGAATAATCCGGAAGTGTGCCTCTGTTGTACTTGACAGCATCAAAATGTCCTTGCTCTGCCGGATGAGATAACTGACCCTCCTACCTGGCAAACGCTTTGACAAAGCTCCTCAAAATCCTCACATTAGCCAGTGTGATTCTGGCAATGACATGAAATCAAGGTTCACTGATCATAGAACTTCTAAGTAAACCGCCTCTAATTCGATTGGCAAAAGAATAAGCCCTTCACCTGCCAGACACTCGGAACAAGCCCCAACTTGGAAGTCAGTGCAAACAAGCCCTCACATGATGGAAAGTGTAAGCAAGCCCTCCCTCCACTAGGCAGTACTATCAACCCCTCTGGACTACCCCCAGTAAGTATAAGCCCTTACCTGCAGCCAGAGCGTCTTGTACACCAGCTCCCCCGCAAAGTACTCGGGGCACACAAACCCGACGCAGTTCAGCACGTGCGTGATCCCCGACTCCCGCAAGATCTCCCTGCTCCTCGCCACGACGTCGCTCCCCAAATACACGTGCTCCGCCACGCGGCTGCAGTGCTTCTCGAAATACGCAAACTTGGTGCGCCGCGCCTGGATCTCGGTTGGTTCTGCGACTGGATTCCCCATCTGGAGAGCCCCCAAGTCGAGGTGCATTCCCCGGGGGGGTCTGCTGCCGGGCTTCTGGGACCCCCCTCCGGTGGTGGGACCGCTGTCTTCACCCCCGGAGAGTTTGATCACCTCGACGTCACCCTTCCAGCCATTGTCGACCTGAGGAGAAAGGCACGCAAAAGCGCGTGAGAAAGTGCCATGTGTCGGCATGCTTCTGTCGGCTGATAATTACTGGAAGAGATGGATGAAGATTGACTCATTTGCGGAAAATCTCAGGCCTCTATCCACGAGCCTCGCACGATGGTTGAGCATTCTGCAACAACACAAGACTAGCTGTGGTCCACCTTCAAAAACATGATTGTTCGATGCTACACGTTGCGTCTTCTGTGCAGAACTGATGGTACTCTCCATTGAAACAAGATGGACTGATGACACCAACTTGTCAATTATTGAGCCAAGTAAGCCAGTGAAAGAAGGATAGAATGACGCCAGAAGTATTTTGACAGCTTTGATATGGGCCAGAGTTGGACCAAAAAGCACCGGGCCAGAGTTGGATCAACAAACATCAGCACAGGGGTCGGGAGAGGACACCAGCCCAAGGATGGTTCTTTGCACTTGGCGACTGGACATGAAAAGAGGGGCATTGCAAACAGTGTTGACATTGCTGGGATACTGAAAGGGAGAAAGGTCGAGCTGGTGTCGCATACACACAATATGGCACAGAGTACTTATGGCAGAACCTACCTTTCAGGATTTTCACACTCAAGAGAAAGCAGAGCCAATTTCTCATAAAAATGTTACAGCACCAGGTTATGTTAATGATGGGCAAGCCTTCTTGTGCCAACAGCATGCTACTCTGGCTACAGCATGTGCATTACATGCTTGGATAGAGCATCAACAGACGAGGATTTGACCAGCTTTAAATCCGATTATGTTAGCAGCTGTGTTAAAAATGGGGCATAAACACTCGGTAAGTGGTGCAGCAGACCTCAACCTGCGAGGCCCCAGCAAACAACCACGGCACACAGCTCCCATCCCAGGTCCTTCCAAAGTTGACAAGTCAAGACTCAAGCACGCAAAAGGCACAATCGTGTACTCACCAGAAGTGGCAAATTCGTGCAAACGAGCAGCTTCCTGAAATGGATAAATGGATGACATGGTAAACCACTGGTAAAACCACTACATGATGGTAGCCGTGCAGGCTTCTCTGTTGTGGGTAAGCGGCTGTGACGCTGTCCTCCTTACCTGTATCCTCAAGCCTTTGCCTTTTCCCCCACCGGCATCTTCAGGGAGCACCTTGCCGTTGGCGCGTTGCAGACCTGTGGCTTTACCCGAGGCGGTCCTTTGCAGAGAAGACCGGCCGCCTCTACCAGGGGTCCAACTAGCAGACCTCCAATATGTTTTTCTCACGCTTGGAAAGGCACCCTCCGCTCCCATTTTGTCTTCCCTTGCATCAGTATGAGGCCCCTCAATTCTGGCAGGCGTTGAGAAGCGCCTCTCATCCATCGGCGCCTGCGGCTCGTTGAGATCTATGATCAGGGGCTGGCTCCCATGGACAGGGGCGACCTCCGCCATATCTTCGATTGTTATTCACCCTAAAGAAGTTCTGCAGAACCGGGGCCCTGACTATTGTACTTGCTTGTTCCTCGGGTGAAGCCTTCACAAATCAGTTTCGGCAAAGCCCGACTAGGGTAAGTTTGGGAAGGGCTCTCCAAATCAAGCGCTCACAGATTGATCTCTTGCAACATCTGCTCAAGAACTTCAACCTCTTTGCCACTCCCTCTTTGTGAAGTGGGATACTCCAACGACGGCTACCACTTTGTCGGCCAATCGGAGAACTTACAAGTGCCCCAAACTCCTGGGCTTGTCCCGCCTTCCAACTGACTTGGTTTGCCTCAACTCAGCGTTCAACTTTGACTGTTCCTGCCATTGCCCAGATACCTACAAGGCTACATGCGTAGGAGCGCCTTGCCCTGCCTTGCCCCCTGAATTATCAGGTCCTATGCTCGTCCTAGATTATGCCTCCTCCATGATGCGTTGACCGCCATTCTTCTCTGGCTGCAGAAGCATAATTGTTCGGTCTGAATAAGAGGAGCATGCAGATTTGCCATCATTGTTGATGGCGTTATAAATTCGCAGAATCTATTCAGGCCAAGGACGCAAGTCCCGACCGACATTCTATCAAAGTGTCAAACTTTCAAATTATCGTTTTATACTTCCAAAGCTTGCACAAGTTCCTTCTTCTTGCTTGGAACATGCTCTACCGGGAACAACTTTCCGCTTGTACAAGAACAGGTTTGGGTCGTTGACCAAGCATGAACTTCTTATACCAGAATTAACCGACCGTAAGAGGATCGTTCGACCGTCAGATGATTATACCACATTTTCATTCCAGATCTGAACCGTCCGATGATCATATAAAGTCTCGCATGTCGAAAGTGACGCGCTGTTCAACGGTCAACCCGATAATCGGATAAACATCGATATCCTATTAGTTAATTTGCTGACAAAAGCAGTGACATAGGTACTCTACTTGTGTGTAGCACAAGCGCTTGTGTGCCTCAAAATTAGGGTTTCGATCAGGATCTATGCATCGCTTGTCAAATTAGGGTTTCACGTTTTGTTGGGCGGGCGGGCGACGACCTTCAATTTTCATTGCAGCAATCAAGCTCCAACTTTAAAGACTCTGAGCTCCTCCTTCCATCAGTCTTTGGGCCTGCCTGATTACTTAGATGCGGCAGGGATCACCAGGGCGCTATGGCAGGAACGTTCCGGAGTCCTGCGCTCCTTGCAATTCTCTCGAAGACCTTTCCTTTGGAGCGGCTTTATGTTGGGAGGCACATGTGAGGAATCTGTCTCACTACCATCTTTCATATTTGCCCGTCGTATGGATCTGCAGTGCCTCATCATCAGCCGCAGCTCTTGTAGGAAGGACTGTCTATACAGCTATCGACACCTCTCCATTCTTCTGATTGGTTCAGCTGCATTCCTTGATGAGGTGAAGGAATCTTGTCTGAATAAGAGAGGAGATTGGTACACAAATCCCCGTGCTCATGATGCTTCTGACTTTTTTATTCCAGGTCTTCAACAGCGGCTGGAGTATTTGATGTCCTCAATCCCGCAACTGGCAAGCTGATTACTTCATTGCCAGAGGATTCTCAAGATCAGGTGAAGAATTGTCGATGCAAAGACCAGGAGACCTCTTTACCTTCCTTCAAACAAGTCCTTCAAATTAAGAACTGTAAGCTAAGTCTTTGGAGAACAGCTCGTGCAGCTGTTGACCTTGCACCTCCAGTACGCTACTTGCAAATTCTGGGTTGATTTTGCATCTTGATTCTATGGACGGCAGACATGTACGTGGTTTCACATAAACGCATGGCGGCTTGCCTGCGCTCCACTATCATACAAACCGAGGAAGTGAGTGGAGCAGATTAAAGTGATCGCTCCTATCTCGAAAGGACAAGGAAGAGTTCAATGGCAGCCAGTCAGTCGCTCATCTACATCCTGTGGGGACCGTGAGATTTTTATAAAAGCCTCCTAGCTTTCTCTAAGGACCGTCAAGTCTCAATATCATCTGGTGGATAAAGAGGGCAGGGGATCTGGCCCGGCCCGTTGGTTTACTCACCAAGACAGGCAATCGACAGTTGACAATTGACAACGACTTGGGTGTCTGGTCTTGGTTCTGAAATTTCCCGGTTGCATAGGATCCCCGGCTTTCGGCCTACCTTACCTCAATCCGTGCGAATTTGCCGAAGCTTACATCATAGTAACAAGTCTTTCTTTGACAACCAGGTTGCTCAGAAATTTGCTCAAGCGCAAGCTGGCCAAAGGGAATGGAAGAAGGGGCCTCTGCAAGAGAGACAGGTGAGAGTTGAAGCTTCTAGGGTGTCGTATTCAGGATGCACATCAGTCGCAGCGAGGATTTAACGCTCTTCTAGTACAATCGGCAACCTCAAAACCAAGCTAGAGACAAAAAGGACTTTCCCCAATCTGTTAAACTTACGGCCTTCTCACCTCGAGGTGTAATCACGCTGGCTCTGCAAACAATTTTACCAGCATGTCGATGCAGATTAGACCCCGTGCGACCAGATCTCAGATTCTAATTACCAACATAAGGAGCGGTCCGTCATGTCCGTGCTACGAGCTTGAATGCTTGTATTTGTTGGAACCACTCCGTCCGCTTTTTGAACCAGTTGCACACGTTTCCTCATCACTGTTTGCCTGCAGGAAGCCCTCCGGACATTCAACAAGCTGCTTCTCAGTCGCACAGTGAGTTGCAGCGTCTTTGACTTTTGTTTGCTGTGCTCCTGATGGCCAAAACTGAAGCTACTGACCGCATCATCTTCTGCGCATGATTTTTATATTGTGCTTCGTGACTTCCGAGCGAAGGCGCTGTGAGTGATTGGGGCGTAACAGGAGTAGGAGCATCATTTTGGGGATAGCGACAGGCTAAAGTAGGACCTCCTCTGCTTCTTTCTTTACAATTGTGAAAGCGCCAGCGCCCTTTGGGAGGAGTACTCAAAGAGGACGAGTCCTGAATTAGTATGCTCCTATCCAAACGATGTCTCAGGCATGACATTTGATGACGCTTCGGGGTTTTCGAGATGTCATACGAATCCAAGATTTATGATTCTTTCAAACCCTTCTATTCCCAAGACATCAGAAACGGTGTGAAACACCTGCACGTACTGTCTTTCCGACCTTTCACATGGTCCGGCGGCATTGCTCTTGAAAACCTGGTGCGAGAGTTCACTTCACATGCGGCTGCGGATTCGGCTGATTTCGAAATATTTCGAACTTCAGGATTCTGTGGGGACCACTCTGATCTCCCTTCTCTTTGACTTTGTTGTGTTTCCTAACCTTTTTCCGTTTCTTGAAGTCGTGGTTACTTCGTCCCGTAGCTGTTCTCACGCTTCCTGGCGGCCACCCCTAACCTTTTTTCGTTACCTCTCACGGTGCTGACTTCGTTACGTTCTGTTCCTCAGGACTCTTTGGCGGCCACCTTAACCTCCGAGATGGGCAAGCCACTGAGCCAGGCCCGAAACGAGATCCGAGCCACGCCCTTAAGGATACAGTATCTGATTGACAACGCGCCCCAGGTGAGGCCACGTGGGCCAAAGGATACTGTTTACCGATAAGCTGAGGCTTCTCGAAGACCACTGACAAGCAATCGTTGTCAGCCGTTGTCATTTTTGTGTGTCGCTTTCGCAAACGAGATATGCTAAGTATCTGTCCATTCCAAAGTTGCCCTTTCCGCCGGAAAAATTGAACGGGCATCGATCGGGCCGGTGCAATCAATGAAGGGTGTCGAGCACAGAGTTCGTCGGCTACGGATATCAGGAGACTAGAGGTTGTCTTTTGAGGCGGAACATATTATAGCAAAACGCAGGAATCTGGCAACACTGATGGACTGTGCCAAGCTGCTATATCGAGTCCTAAATCTCCTGAGGCCAACTACTGTGGAAAAGCCGAATGGTTTTGCGCTGACCACACGACCGCACACAATTAATAGCGGCCGCGGTGTTGCAGGGCAGGTCCTAGAGAGGCAGGACGTTTTCGGAAGCGCGGGCGCCAAAGTGCGCGAGTGCCTCACGTACGAACCGCTCGGAGTGGTGAGCCCAGACTGGTGCTTCTGCAAAGTAGTCCTGCCTTTGCTGACGTCTTTCAGGAATTCATGGAGCCGCGTTCCCGAATGTGCTTCCATTTCTTTCTACAACATGGCCCTTGGAGTCGAAATCTGATTTGTCCCCTTGACTTCTGTTCCCTTCCTTACCTCACTGCTGCAGTGCATAAACGGCTTTCGTTATGAATCTTTGTGCACCTTACACCCTCGTTTCTTTTCCGTTTCAGGTCGCCAATATCTCTGCCTGGAACTACCCCTACTTCACGTCGGCAAACGTCTTCGCGGCCGCTCTAGTTACCGGGAACAGCGTGCTCTACAAGCCGAGCGAGCATACAACGCTTACTGGCCTTGCAATAGGAGAGCTGCTCCACGAGGTGGGTGCGCAAAAGCAAGTTTCTTAGGATTGTCACCTTGATCAAAGGTCTTCACTCGTAGACTCCAGAAAACCTGGTTCGACTTTCAAGAGATACAGCTCGCATTTGCTTGTGGACAAGGTCCACATCTCCGTCGACATCTCCGATCCTGGCTGTTCAGATTCTAGTTATCAGTGTTTGTGACCGCTTGCCACGCCGACGCATTGCTCACAAAGATTCAGACCTTAGCTGTATCGATCTCGTTAACGAAATTCCTTCAACTTTCCCTCCAGGCAGGCGTTCCGGAAGATGCATTTGTCACCGTCACGGGGCGCGGATCGACAGGCGCGGCCGTCGCATCTCTACCCGGTCTCGGAGGCGTCTTCTTCACGGGTTCAAATCCGACGGGCGCGAAGATCGCGGCGGCGGCGGCACCGAACATGGTCAAAGTGAGTCCGTCTCCTCTGTGGTTTCTTTGTGGGCCCAAGGCGTCGTTGTTTGTATCTCGGTGAAGAGGCGTTTCCCTCTCTCTTCCCGTACTTCCGTGCCCTCTCTTGCCATCTATGATTCTGGCCTTGTTTCTCCAAGCGCTTGGAGCCGAAACCTCAGTACCGTTCTATTGTTGTGATGTGGACCGAATGGATGATTTGATGTGTCGTTTCTGTGTCGGGGAAAGCCTTTTCTGCTTATTACCAAGCCTGAGACAAGTTTGTATCCTGTCTTCCCCCCGTTCCAGCCGAGAAGATCAATTGGTTCTGCTTCTGACCTCATGGGTGTCCTTGGCGCCCTGACTACTTAGGATATGTTCTTATGGTTCGCAAGAGGTTATTCGGTGTTTCCAATCGACAAACTTTTTGTTTCTTTTGCTCCGAAACATCTGCAAGTACAGCCAACCCGCTGTTTCATCCTCTCTCATCCATTCGCTGCTTGATAGTGATGATCAGAGCTTTGCAGTGCGCTTTACCTACCTTGCACCTCGTTAATCGGAGTGTAACCCTTGGGGCCTAACGCTTTCCGTCTCGCTTGCTTATCCCGTAATTGCTAGCAAACTCTCATCCTTCTTCGCCTTTTTTGCCGCAGGTGCAACTAGAGCTGGGAGGAAAAGACCCCGTGTACGTTCGGCCCGACGTGGATGTCCGAAAGGCTGCTGAGGCTATCGCGGACGGCGCGTTCTACAACAACGGGCAGAGCTGCTGTTCGGTGGAGCGGATATACGTGCACGCGAGCATACACGACGAGTTTGTGGACGCTTTTGCGGCAACGGTGGAAGCCTTCAAGGTGGGGATGGTTTGGAGGGTCGTAAACGTTACTTTGACGCACAGCAAATTGCAGGCTCTTTTCAAAATCAAGTCTCCAGGTGAAACCGCAAAGCCAGGATTTTCTCCATATAGATGATTTGAGTTCGAATTCGTTAACAAGGAGTTTTCGTTAGGGTGTCGCTACCGAAGTCAAGGTGTCGCACTCCTTTTCCGTGAGATGTCTACTAAAGGTGGGGCGGAAAATGTTGGCAGTCTTGCGGAAAGGACATCGGAATGCACAATCGAAGGATATAGTACAGTCGCGCAGTCCCTCCTTTCAGAATCCGCAGTTTGCCACTTCAGTAACATCTACTCAACTGTTCATCCCCAGATGGACGATCCAACGGCAGACGGCACCTACCTGGGCCCAGTCACCCGGCAACCCCACGTCGCCTTTCTGAAAGCTCAAGTCGAAGACGCATTAACCAAAGGCGCGACGCCCGTCGTGCTTGGGAGCCACACCGACTTCACCAGCAGAAGGGGCTACTTCTTCCCGCCCGTCGTTCTGAAGAATGTGGACCACACGATGAGCCTGATGCGGGAGGAGACGTTCGGGCCGGTGATAGGCATTCAGGTGAGCCGTTCGATGCGCTGTTAAAAATCGATCAAAACCGCGATCCAACCAAAATCAAGTCATCCCCATTCAATCGCTCGAAGCTTGCTCCCATAGGCGTTCTAGCGTTTGGGGGCCATTGATACTAAGTAGAGTCCATCCGCAGAAAGGTGAAATGCGATGTCAAAATGCAGAGGCCCGGGGCTTGAATGCTGACTTTCTGGCTTAGGAAGTTGAAAAACTCTCAAACGAGGATCAACATTCCGCCTACCTTCGAGGCTTGAAGAATATTCGACTTTGAAGTCCTGATGGCCCCAATGCTTGACAAGATGAGCACACGATATCCCCGGACATTTTAGAACAGTAAGTATTAAAGGCGTCCAATCTTCAATTCACCTCACAGTCACGTCCCCTCACTTTGAGCGTTGTCCCAGTCACCAACGGCACTCTGACGTCTTCGGCTCTTTGTACAGTCTGTCTCGGGCGATGACGAGGCCGTCTCGCTGATGAACGACACGAAGTACGGGCTGACTGCCGGGGTGTACACCAAAGACGGCGACGCTGCCGAGCGCATTCTAGCAGGTACTGGTCGCCCTCCTCTGATTGTATTTCCCGTGCGTCCGTCTTCTCTCTCACCGTTGTCCATCGTAATGCTGCCGCGGCACCGCATTCAAAGCGCAGCGAAGAGCTTTTGTGGTCTGCGTTGATGGCGTACCTTCTAGTCTGTTACGGCTGTCCCCGTGAAAGAGGCGTAAGCAAACGGTAGAGTGAAAAGGAGATGTTTCAGCCCCCTCGGTTTGATTCCCGGGCACCGCCTCCCTCTTGTGCAGAACTGAACGTTGGGTCGGGGTATTGGAACTGCTGCGACCGGGTTTCGCCGCGGCTACCATGGTGAGCCGCTCCACTAGTTTTTGCTCTGCCATTTCAGACCGGTTCTACAGTCGTCTATGGAGGCCTTAAATTGACAGGCTGCTTACTTAGTTATGACCGCTTCGTGACCATTGTCAAATCGTTCTCACCTTCACTTGCGTGCCGAGCGTTTCGACCAAGTTATCAACATTGAAGGCGGGCAGGACCTTTCCTTCATGCCAAATCCTTCTGTCTTCATCGCTTCTAATGGTATGGTGTGAAGTAAGAGGCGACGGAGAGGAACGAAGCAGCAATCGTTTCCGGGCTACTCGATTACAGGCGCGTCTCCAGAGTAAACACGACAGCAGCCGCTTGCTCCGGATTCAAGCGGGCCCCGTCAGATATGCTTCGGCTCCGACTCGATCTCGATCAGCCTTTCTTCAGCGTACGCTTTCAGATCAGCCAAAGAAGATCTATGAAATTTGTACAAGTACGGAAGCCACAACTCTGGCAGCATGGCCCCGCTGTTTTAACGAGTTGCCCTGTTTGCAGGTCCGGTCGGAAAAGCTCGGGAGTAGGGAGCACTCTAGGGTTGGACGGCCTGCGATCTTTTGTCCGACCGAAAGCCTTGCACTTGCAGGCGGCATAGTGAAAGGGAGACATCGCAACACGTCTTTGAACGTGTTCAATGCGGGCAAATGATAACCAGCTTCCGAGAGTCGCATGCCAATCTGGATTGGAGTGAACGAAGATAGATGGATTCTGGAGATCAGATGCAACCTGAGATGCATTGACGGCTTCGGCTAAGGCATGGCGAGATATGTTGCAAGGTCACCGCATGTTTCTGACATACGTCGCACCATACGTCAGGGCCGCCACGCCAGCATGAGCCGCCTGCTATATAAGTTGTAGCCGGCAGCGAGCGAGCAGCATGATGCCATGGTGCTTAGGCTGGAGTATGATACTTTGCCCATTGTCAACTTTTTGAGGCCGGAAGCTTGATTTCAGATCGTTCAAACTCGCTGTACCGCCGGCTTCATACTTTCTTGTTTGAGAATTCAGTTGGTGTGCGACAGGCTTGCCATTTGGCCAGCTATAGCTCGTTTTCACCGCGAGGCATGTCGATCATGCGGTGGTTCGCGGCCGGCCGCCCTTTGAAGTTTGAGGTCCTCGTTAAACCCTGGCCCACTGTCGGACTGCGCATCCATAATTGAGGCGCTGTCACGCTGCCCGCGGCCCGGCCGCGCGCGGGCAGACCTGTCCGCCGGGGCGGCCCTGCATGTTTTGCAGCGCGCGCATGCTCTTGGTGGCATGTTGCAGCGTGAAGAGTGTCTGTAAAAGGGATACACTGCTACAAAATACGGTATTCTGCAAGCACAATCAGGGCGGTGAGTTGAAGTTTGACTGTCGCCGCTTGGCATCATCAGTGACATCAATTCCCAGCAGCTTCTGACCTCCGCATCTGCTCCCGCATCTTAGGAGAAGCCAGTGAGCTGCTTCAGAATCCAATGCACACAACATATGCTCGCCCGGGCGGCACGCCGAGCCACGGCCGGCGCGGATCCCATCTTCCCCTATGGAAGCGCTGGACACCCAGTTTGGCGGGGCTATTGGTGCTCATTTCTTTGTTGGCGCTGGCACCCATTGTCCTGTTGATGGTGCGCCTGGGGGGACCCGGAAGCAACCCCAGAGTAAGGCTGTTGCTCATGTTCTATGATTGTGCGCATGCTCAGGTGACTCTGAACTGTGGCAACTGGGCGTACTTATGCTTTCATCATACATCCTTCTGTCTCCCATTGAGATTGCACGAAGACTTGCTTCTGGGTTCTAGAATAAAACTCCAAATCTGCGTTGACAGTGCGATACCTACTTGGTTAAACCATCATGTCTGCCCAATACTTGTCCCAAAACGAAGGTTTTTTGAGGTACAGTTTGCAAAGAAGGCAAACAAGAGGCAATTACAAGGGAGCATAACTGACAGTTGAAAGACCACTCACTGAAATGTGCGCATGGGCATGCTCTGCCTCTCTGCAGACTGTTTCCCTGACCACCTGTCAGAAGATACTCTCCCCCCCGCTCGTCTGTGCTCATGGAGGAGACACTTCCGCCGCTCCACCAAATACTGTGAGCTTTGTGAATCAAACGCCTGTTCCTATGTGTGTGTAACCTGCTCAGAGATTGCGGGATCTGTCTTGTGGAGGTGGACAGTCGACACAAAGGCCTCCACTGGTTTGCACAGATGCGGCAGGCCGTCAGAATGCCCCCGTTTGTGTGGCAGCATGAAGTGAAATACCTGATGAACTCAGTTGAATGTTCTTCAATAACTGACTCACTTCACAGCCTGGATTTTCACATCTGGAGTTGAACATGTGTCTTTCCAAAGCAGTTCTGAAGGTTCCCTTAGAATCCACTGTGAGCGAGGGTCTCATTGTATAGTTCCGTCCGAATCAGAGCCACAGGAGCTGTCCCTTTGACCACAGGCGCTTTTGAAACAGAGAAAACTTCACCCCAGACATTGTTTGGGCTTTCGATGTATTGTCGTCTTGACGTTGATATGTGGCCCCCTTCTTGCTTCTTCAGCACGCCGCATACATGTTGGCACTTGAGGCGAAGGTTGATTGCATGGAGATTGACGCATCCAGAACAGCTGATGGGATGCTGGTTGCCATACATGACCGGTAAGTTTATTTTGGATCGAGTTTGGACAATCAGGCCGCTCAGAAATGAATATTTCCAGTGCCAGGAATCTTCCCCCCGAGCAGAGGTTAATGCAGCTGGCTTCACTGAGGGTGATTCATGGAACCCTCAGATTATATATTGTTAGACACAAAACTATGTTGACGCAACTCCACAGATAGGAGCGATCCAGTCAAAGTGGTTACAAGAGACCGTAAGAGGTCAACATTCTCCATTCTGAGTTTTCGATCTCATTTCTTGAAAGTGACTTTGTGCTTGCACAGGGACCTGCAGCTGATTACTGGCCGCAAATACGTAACAACTGGGGACTTGACATTGGAAGAGGTTGGTCATACAGACCTCTCCCTTCCCACAGTAGCGTAATCCCAGCTCTATTGGCAGAACCAACGCCGTGTCTCAGCAGGATGCCGCCCAACTGGACTTGGCGAGTTGAGTTTTTATATAGCAGTTATGGGTCCTCGTCTTTGATTTTGGCCCCTTGAATCATTGAAGGGAGGCTCAAAAGGTAGACCTTTATCGTCTAAAACATCGATTTTGCATAAGCAACTAGGGGCGAAGGGAAGTTTTAATCTGTTCTTCTGCAGAAGAATAAGTGTGAGAGGAAATTCCCACTTGCAGCTCTGGTCGAGAGTGAAGTACAGTCTCTATGAAACGAGCCACAGTCGGAGGCCTAAGATAGAAAGCCATATTCCTGCTAACGACGATTAACATTAAGTTCATCTTGGGGGCCACAACCTGACCTATAGGAAAAGGTTAGGGACTGCCGACGTAACAGAAATGCACTGGAGATATAGAAACCGACGAAAAAGGCCGGCAATAGTCACGCCGCCCTTCCAGAAGTTTAAGATCTACTTTGACGGCCCTACTGAGTGAGACCAACTATCCCGCTCGTTGGCTGCAGATCCGGCAGCTTGACGCCGGAGCGCGGCATCCCCGCTCGTTCCATGGGGAGAAGGTGCTGCTTCTGGAAGACGCTCTGCGGGTAAATTACAGCCCTCGGTGAGTCTGAATGTAGCCTGTGAATCATCTGATGAGTCTCAATGTACCTGCGACTTGTCGAGTGAGTTCCGAATGCAGCCTTTGAAGAATTGGACAAGGTTGAATGTAGCCCGTAAATTTTTGGGTGAGTCTCGGTATTGCCTCTGAGTGTTGGTCTGCCGGTGAGAGCAAGGTTTCCTTTGCCCGTTATGAATCACATCATCGTGCAACTGAAGGTCACAAGCCACGGATTTGGCTTCGGACAACTACTCTCGAATTCTACCAGCGTCACGCATTGAGATCTCGAGGATCCTAAGATCCTTAAAGTGGTCAGACTCTGTTCGCTTGATTATGAACGAAAGACTGCAACTAGATCTGGGAGCTTTGACAACCAAGCATGCAAAAGGTTCGAAGCTCTCTCGGGAACAAAAAAGGTCGGATACTCGATATTCTTGATCTCCGATGCGCTGTGCTAAGGATTCCCAACGGCGTTCCGCTTTTGACCTGCAGCTAGCATCGATGCACAACGGGAGCCTCATTGTTCGATGCTCTTGCGATTTTGACGCCTGTACTGACGGTGATTTTAATTTGTCTTGCAGCTAATAGTGTCTTATTACCTCTTTAATCTAGTGATAAGACGCGCTGCGCTGGTAGTGGTCAAGGCGTTCCGCTTTTGTTCCTGCAGCTAGTGTCGAAGCACTTGGTTCAGATTGTGGTGGACGTCAAGATCGGGCCGCCACGTGGAGAGGAAGGCCTGGCGCAAGACGTCGTGGATGTGGTGAGCAATCTCGTCAACTCTGTGCGGTGCATCACTCTTGGAGTTCTCGAGCCCTCTCCAAGTCGTTCTGTCGTCCGCTTGGGGTTTAGGGTCCAACGGTCGACGGGATGTATGTACGGAGCGATCATCTCGGTCTTGCGTGGAACATCAGTATTGGGAATTGGAGGCGCTGTCAGTCTTGTCAGTGTTGTCCGCTTGAGACGGAGGGCTTCTCGGAAGATGTCAGGGATGGGCGCATATGTGGGGATCAGTTGTCCGGCCCTTCCTGATCTGTTCCTGATGCGTCACAAGTCGAGAGAAAAGCATCAGTTTGACAGTGCTGTGCCCTCCAGGCCTGCGAAAGGCACCTTTTCACCACTGACTTACAATGCTTTCTTGGAATTTAAGGTTTTAATCTTATTGACACGGCGGAAGATGTCGTTGATTGTGGTCAGCGATCTCTACTCGCGCACATGCGAGAACGGTGACGTACTGCAGGTCGCTGCAAAGCGTGGGCAGAAGGTCCGTGTCTTCTCCTTTCCGCCAAGTCTCCCTTGATGTGACAACTGGTTTCCGTTTGCAGGAGATCCACGCTTCGCCTTTTCTGCTCTTCTATGGGACTCCACTTATTCAAACAATCACTACGTCTGTCTTCGCATATTAACACGGCTGGCTGCACCAAACCGTCCGCAGGAGATCTACCCTTCTTCTCCTTTTTTTTCCATGGAAGTTCACTTTCTCAACCATTCACTACGCTTCTCTTCACAGATGAACAGGGCGGGCTGCACCAACTGCCTCGTGTGGGCCAAGTACGACACGCTCCCCCTCGCGGTGCAAGCGTTGGAACCCTTGCGAAAGGTGCTTATCCCTTGAGACCCGTGCTGCTCCTTGCTTCTCCTGCTGTGTGTGTCGGGCAGGGCTTCTAAAGCATCATCAACAATCAAAGACCTGAGACCGTTTTCGCAGACGTCTTGGATGCACACTCAGACAATTGACACCGGCTGTGGGCGCACAGTCTCAGAAGAATGTTTTGAGAATTTCATGGACTCGAATGAAGTCTCAAGCCAGAACTTTTGTCATTCTTTCTCGAGTCCTACTGCTCGCTTTGGACCGAACTTAGCCGCACTCGGTTTACGAACCCCCCCAAAGCAACGCTTGACAAAGGGGGGTCACCAAATCCCCGCAACGACCCTTCTGGACCAGGAGATAGGGCCAATGTCACCCTTGGTGAGATTTTGACCTTTCTAAGGGCGTGGTCGGCGGGCGGTTTGCCTTTTTGAATCCTGGACGTCCCTACATAAGGGTGGGCACGGGACTCGAGACGCTTCTCTACTCACGGGTCGAACTCAATGCTTAGTTTCATATCACCGTCAGTCGCAAGTGGGCTCTGATGACTGTCGAAGATTCAAGATGCCTGGAGACACCCGCTCCCCGTGTTGGACTAGAAGTGGTCTTCGATGACTGCAAGTCGCCTCTAACTTCTGACCGTCGGCACAGGTCGGGTATATCCTAAACAACGAGACCCATCCCAACCGGAGGGAGGAGAGCTTTGTGAGGCACGCGGGAATGCAGGTTGTCGGGGCCCACTGGGCGGTCGTCGATGAAACGCTGGTGAAACTAGCGCAAAGGTTCAGCTCTTCACGTCAACTCGCCACCCCAGTATCAATTTCCAATGTCTGGTCCCCCATTGTAAGCCGTCGGATACAGTTCCATTGCCAATCGGACGGTCCAAGATCAGGAAGTCTGCATGAACTTGGAAACCCGGTGGCAAGATGGACGGAGACAGCTGTATGTGCCGTAGATTCCGCGCAGGTGCCTGATGTGAGATTTTTGATTGGGGGAGGATCGGGTTGTTCGTGGGGAATGACATCTCGGAGGGAGTGCGATTCCGAAGGCTCCTGAAAGTTGCATCCACCATGTTTGTACAAAGCGCTCGAACTGGTCTGCTGCCGTTGGAAGGGGCCTTTCTGCTCTCATGGATCTTGTAGTGACTCCTAAGCGTAGACAATGACCGGTCATGAAATCAAGGCTGTTTTTCTTCCCTTGCAAGGGTTGGATACGGGGATTCAAAAGTGTTCTTAAAGCACTTTGAGGAAGGAGTTACTCTACATGTCATCTCAGATGCTTTTTGCCACTGTAAAGGCTCAAGTGAAGCCCGAGTCTCGAAGATGTGTAACCAGCCATCTTGCCTCCATGTGAAGAGCAGTCATCGTTTTGAAGTTGACAAGAGCGGTGAAATTTGTTGCTTGACAATATCTTTCCTCCTTCTGTCCTCCTTTTGCAGGCACAGCAAGGAAATATACACGTGGACTGTCAATGAAGGAGGGATAATGCGTAATCTGCTAGACATCGGAGTTGCGGCGATTGTGACGAATCACCCTCGAAAGCTCAAAGGAGAGATACACGCGGCACGAAATGCATGTAAAGAGGCCGGTTACGTAGTGTGACGGGAGCGTATGGAAGCCTATTGAAGAACGTTAAGAAGAGGTTTTCATATCAGTGTAAGGATGTCAAACAATGCGCCTTCTCACAAGGTAAGGCATGGCATTTCGATATTTGCTTGCACTTGAATGATCAGTGCAAAAGTGACACGTGTTTTCCTGCTTCATGATGGTCGAGCCGTTTCCAAAACGACGCACACGTTTTGCACTCCTGACCCGTACATTAAACAGATATTGAACGTCTGTGAAAAACTATAAGGCCCGGCCGGCAGTGTTCATTGACCGTCGGAATGTGACTCGGTGCATGATCGATGGCAGCCCGATGTGGACATGCATGCGGTCGACCGTCCGCTGCTCATGGTGCATGTCTAGCTGCCTTATAGTACAAAGGCATGCGCTTGAATCAGGACTCGCGGATAACTGGAACGTACAGCTGCACTTGCTGGTAGTTAAGTTACTATAATTGCATTTGCCGGCCCTGGCCAAGTTGCACGCGTAATGATACAGTACTAGCTCCAGGTATATGTATGTATGAGCTTGCGGTCCCCATGTCCGACATATACATGTGTATAGCTTATCATGCACTAGTTGCATATATGACAGCTGCCATATACATGCGCACATGCCAGCTGTATCTGATCGACGCGATTTAAATTCCTCTCGATTGTTTTTCAGCACATGCAGTGCAATTAAGTGCGCCCGCTCTCGCGATAAGGGTCGCACATGTGCCTGCACGTGCCAAGCACTGATCTGCATGGACAAGCCGATCTAGCCTGTATATCTAGTAGAGTTGCAGACCTGCACGCGCGGCAATTACAGCTGGCGGCCTGCATGATGTGCAGGCCGCGCGGCCGCCCGGGCTCTGACGAAAGGATAAGTCCAAATGATTCGCAGCATGACGCTGCACGTCTATTGACATGATGCACCGACTTATAGCTAGTTCGTCAACCGGTCAAGCCGGTCCCACCGTGTCGGTTGCGGGAAGAGCTACTGAAGCTTAAAGAACAGGTGCGGTTTTAACCGCGTCAAATTTAAACAAAGAGTAACAATAGCCTTGCGTTTCTGTGGGTTGCTAAACCTTCAGCCGAAGATTGATACCACCTAAGCCGTACGATCCTCAATTGACCTCTATTTTGACCAAGGTTAACGTCGGGGCAGGTTGAGCCCGCATAGTCAGCAGCATCCAATGTACATAAATTATGCCTTACAACTTAAGTTGTCCCTACTGCTTTGCCAGCCGCTATTTTTACGGGCCTTTTTTCCGGACACATTCGACAACTACAATCTATGCTAACCCGCTCCACGTCACCTTGGAACATGTTTTCACAGCAATCCTTGTCTTTTCTTTCTAACGACTCGATCACGAAATCATACAGAATGTCTCCGGTGTACAAGCCCCTGGCTTCCGGGTTGATCCGGAGCGAGCATAAGCCCTCGCGGTCCGCCGCAAACGTCCGATAATTGCCCTCGTGATACTTAACCGCTTCCTCGGCCGTTTCAAACCACCCCGTATTATTGTGCGACGCGAGATGGGCGATCAGAATACCGGACATGGCCGACCGCCAAGGGGGCCATTTCGTCGGCCCCACAGTTGCAACCGAGACGAAGATGCGGCCGACCATGTTTACACAGAGCCCTTCTAACAGCTCCCCTAAGTCCTCGTTTATATGCGCGCCCTCGAGTAGCGTTAAAGAAACAAAAATGCCGCCGCCAACGCCCATGGGAGCCGGGCCTGCTCCAAAGAAGAAGAGAAGGGCCTTAGGGGAAAAGGCCTCGTTTGAAGTATGCCGTGAATGGTTGAGGAGCTTGTTAAGGTAAGGTCCATACAAACCAAGGCCTTGTTCTAACGTGCTCCAGGTAATCCAGGGGCACTCTTTAAATGCAACCGAATGTGTCGACGCCCTGATCAATTATGCCGGCAAAGGAAGATGCTCATAGTGAAAAGGTCTTGTCTGATTGCATCGAGATTGTGACGAGTTCCTCGCTGAGATTGTCAACTACTGAAGAAGTACTCAGTAACATTACTTACATTCAAGAGGCATCGAAACAGCGTCTCGAACGACAGTATTCGCCGCCACAACTTCCGCAACGCTACATGAGCCATCTTTTGAAAGCCTTGAGAAGCCCAGTCAAACTAGCGCCCCTGGGGTGCTGGAAAAACCAATCCTCGTCTCCTAAGCAAGCACAGACATCTTTTCTTAGGAAAACGGACATCAAATTTCGCCCTCTTGAAAGCACACGCGTGAGGAAACCCTCCAGTTCCCAACCTCGACGCTTTCTTCTACAGTTTCCAAAGACACGAGGGGCAATCTTCCGGTCAAACGACCGATCTTCGTACGAAAAGGACACGAACGTTTGGACGGGGCTATCACCACCTTTTTGGCCTCGACGGTAGTTTCAAGATGCTATATGCTATATCCCCAAGCAAAACAAGAGACAAGGAAACGCAGATAACGCATGCTATGTACGTCACGAAGCGCCGCACCTTTACTTGGATTCAGAGGGGCGATGGTGGACTTAGTCCAGAGCAGCCGCGACGCTCCGTTGGTGTCTACCCGCACCTCGAGCGTTCCGTTGTTGGACAGCTCCATGTACGCTTTGTTCCCGGCGGCTGTCTCGGAGGACCATTTGGGGGCGCCGTTCGTCCCAGACAGCACTACATTGCCTGCATGAACAGAAATGAGGCTTGTAAGTCGCGAGAATGGAAGGGATTCTTCACTCCAGAGGCGAGAGTTGAGGACTGGCTTGTCGTTCTTGGCTTCGAAGGTAATTCGCTGACTGAGAATCTGGAATTAGCACAGGAAGAGATCCATACGTCAGTATTCCCTTTGCTCTCGAAGGGGACACGCCACGTTACAGGCTCACAGTCCTTCCGCATTGCCACAGGGACGCCATTCTCAGGCTCCCCTCAGAACACAAAAACAGGTCAAAAGGGCCAAGTAAGCGTGCCACGTGGCGGGCTCACCATCCCTCTGCATTGCCATATGGACGCCCTTCGGCGTGTTCTACCAGAACTCAAGGAAAGATGTCGAAAAGACGAAGCAAGCATGCCACGTGTCGGGCTCACCATCCGTCTGCATTGCCACGTGGACGCTGCTGAGCGTGTCGGGCTGCCACTCGAAACGCAGAACCGGCTCAGAAAGGACAACTAAGCATGCCACGTGGCGGGCTCACCATCCCTCTGCATTGCCACGTGGACGCTGCTCAGCGTGTCGGGCTGCCACTCGGACACCGCTTTCAGCGGGAAACCCAGCTGATACGTCACCACTCTGCGATCGTACTGGAACAACAGCATGTACTTCATGTTTCTGGAGACGAGCCGGCTGCCCTCCCCGATCCGGATTACGTTCCCGCTGTAGAGCCGCGACGCGTGGGGCGACAGCGGGTAGCCGTACGCGTTGAGAGGGCCTGTGAAGAGACGGTGCGAATAAGGTTTTGGGAATTACGAGTGCTGACTTTTCATGCGCTGCAAAGTGCTCTTCCTTTGGGGCTTACGCGTGCTGATCTTTCGGGCACTGCGAAGGCGCTCTTTGCCGAGGCCGAGTGTCAGGCTTTACAGGCTTAGACCCCGAGAGTGGGAAGGACTAAGAAAGAAAATGATCTCATTATGGAGCCGCGAACGGATAGACTAAGGCTCCGAGACAGATCAGACTCTGCGCTTTTACTCTTCCAGCTATCGCTGCTGAAAGCCGTTGAAAACTACACTCCCCGAGGTACCAACAAAAGGTGGACGAGGAGCCCCCCACTTCTTGGTAAACATTGGCTTAGCCCGTTCCTTACGATCGGTTCTTTCTCATCGAGATATGATCCGGCCTTTTCCAAAGTAGCCAAGATCAAAACGAAGAAGCCCATGCTCGCGACTAGGGAAAGCGGCGTTCTCAGATGCAAGAAGAAGAGGCTTATGAGTAACAACACCAAGGCTCACCTGCGGCTGTGTTGTGACTGAGAGACAAACCAGGCTCGCTCTCACGCGGCAGCTTCCAGTCTGCAAAGAACGGACCGGGTTGAGCTAAGGCCTCGGTTGCAATTCAGATTCAAACACCTCGAGTCGAGCCTTAAACTGTTCTGACCGGGAGAACGAGATTCACTCTCTTTCCAAAGGCTTTCGAAAGTAGGAATGGCGCAATGATTCTGTGGACCGGTGTCTTTCTGTGCGGCCTTGACTAAGGACAGAAGATTCTCTTCAGGGAGAATCGCGAAGCGGAAATCTGCCCGAAACCGAACGCCGCAATGAAAATTGTTCAAGAGGTTGGGCTAGGGTCGCTCTTTCCAGCGCCGAGGATTAGTCTCCCGCTCTGCGCCTCGTTACTTTTGCTCTAAGCATGTCCGGCAATTAACGAGCTCGAATTTCAAGGTGTAACATTGGGAACGCCTAATTGACACTTTCGCAGGTCACGTAGCGACACTAAAGAGTACTCAACACGAACTCAAACACTTCTAATGCAAGAGCCTAGAATGACAGTTCGTGGCATCGGGGCTGGTTGAACTGGCGGATGCAAAGGAAACAGGCACACGGAAAAGGTCAAAACGTTGGGCCGTACGAGGCATCTTTAAACCAAAAATTGACACAATGATGCAACGAATCCGAACAAGAAGGAAACTTAGGCGAACGATCTTCGAAGGTGCAATAATTAGCTTTCGCAACGGTAAGCTAACCAGTCTGGGACGTGATGACGTCACTTTGGGGGTTTGGGTGGGTATGCGTACGGAGCAGGCGATTCTGTGGGTTGGATTTTGAGTGTAGGTTTTCATTGTTGATGTAGGAGCTTACTATAGCTAGAGCTTACCGCACCGGAACGGAATGATTCCAAATGCTCAAGAGTGACGATTATTTGATTGATTACGACCTCTTTTGAAAAATAATTTCAATGCATCCGACCCTGTTTCCGAATCCGCCCTGACAACGCTCCCGAGCGCATTTTGCCCCCCAAAAGGCTGCTAAGGGGGTGACAGGTTGATGTATTTTTGATTCCGACAGCAAGTCGGCGATAATTTACTGATCCGGGAAATCACTATCGAATGGAAGACAGGTAATGTAGCTTTCCGAGGGGCCGAGGGGCAAAAGTTTATTTATTTACTCGGAACCATACGGTTCCGGTAAGGCACTAATGCTACGTTGGAAAGCACGACGGTCTCACCGTCTCGAATTTGGCTCAACGCGGACCACTTCCAGTCGTTGGGCGGGCTCGCGAGCGGGTTGGGGGTCATGATCTCGTATGCCCAGCGCGGAACTGCCTCGCGCGCGCTGTCCTCGTGAATCGGTACGCAGCTGCAGTTGAGAAAGCGCCTCAGAAGGGGACGGATTTCGGAATCCTCTGCGCCGAGGATAGGACTCCACGAATAGCTCGTTTTGCACCGAAGAACGGGAGGGAGGTGCGGGGAATTGGAGCAGGAAAGAACGAAGTCCGAAACGGAAGAATGGAGCATAGGCAGCTTGTCAAACGAGCAAGAGACAATCTGAGCGGATCAAAGAAGAGGGCTGGCCGCTAGATTGCATTTTGATGTCGTGCTTAATTCATCGCTGAGCGGTCAAAGCCAGCACACGGATGTCACAAGCCAATTCTCATGACGGACTGGAAAGATCTAAGCATATCAACAATCTCATCGCTGCCCTTCGTTAGCATACAAGCTTGTGACTAGTCAAAGAAAGCAAGAGACCCTTACCTGGTTGTAATGGGTGGTTCGATGTGGGCTGGTATATGCTTGAGCGTGTTATACACAAGGGTGCGATCTACGGGGGGTAGAGGCAGCCACGGGTTTGGTCGGATGCCCACGTCTTGCGGGGTGGACATGTGGGGGGGGACCGCTTTTCGGCGGGCCATGGCCACGTGTCTCCACTGCAGTACGAATACTTGAAAGTGGGTCCGATGAATCTTCTGAGACGACGTTGGGGTTCTGGAATCTGAGGTTGGCAGTTATGTAGTGGATCCACATCTTGGAAAATTGGGGTGAGCTATGAACGTGTGACTCCGTTCCAAGGGGAAGCCAAAAACTGTAGCTCAGGTGACTTTCCTTCTACTTTTAGATCTTAGGGGCTGGGGCTTTGTCTTTGTGTCACATCTGGAATGGCTGAAGCTCTGCAAAGGGTACCGCTTTTTGCTGGTCACTGGCTGCATGCCTCCACCACAGCGAACAGAGGGGCCGAAAGGCAACTCAAAGCCCTGAGGCGGTCATACAAGTGAGGAATCTACGGTGGGAGTGCAAGGCAGAAGATTGAGTATGTTTAAGCGAGCAGGCTCCGGCCAGTTCTCTGCTCTTGGCAAACCACAATCTCCCCATCCGCAAGCACGACATTCTCCCAACACCCGGATATCACCCTCGAACCTCAAGGGTTAAGTTCTAACCCGAATCCTAAAGCCGTGACCTTTCCGGACAGCCCCCCATGTGGTCCTGATAAGTCACAACAACCCGCCCGTCCGCTATGGAACAAAAAACATAACCCTACCCTCAACCCCTACATCGTCTGATTTGAGGACGGCCCACCTCCTGCTCTTGATACGCCAATGACCATTCGACATGCATCAGGTATTATCCGAAGCACGACATCCCTACTACAAGAGTACACTCGAGACCCCAAAACCAGTTCCATAAAAGCAGCTCTACTAACCCCAAAACGCTCACGAGAACCGTTGCATCAAACCCGAACCTAAATCCCGAGATCTCAAAGTACGGCCCACCTGCTCCTGATAAGCCACAACTACCTGCCAATTTATTCTCAAACCTCAAAACAAACCCATACCTCAGGTTCTAGCGCGGGATAACATTCCGGACAGCCCACCTCCTGTTCTTGGTAGGCCGAAGCACATTCGGTAACACCAAGTTTCATCCGTAGCACAATACCTTTCTAACAAAAACCCCAAGTCCCGTTTCATAAAAGACCTGGTCTCATGACCCAAGAACTCTCATGAAGGCAGATGCATCAAGCCCAAATGATAAATCCAAATATCTGAGAGTACAACCCACCTCCTGCTCTTGATAGGCCACAACGACCCGCCCGTCCATCACAATGCGCGTGTCCGGACCGTAGACTCTCCACACGTCCGCACAAAAGTGCGAGTACTCGGATGCGGAGCACTCCCCGTGCCAGCTCTTGGACCGGAACGTCAGCTTCTTGTCGTAGAATATGCGCGAGTCGACGCTCACCATCCCGTTGCACGAGCAGTACACGGGAATGGGTTTGCCCTCCTCAAACCTGTACACGCGAAATCTGGTTAGTGTCAATAGAGGTGGTTAATCAACAAGCGGGATTGAATCTAGATGTTTTTGTGGGACAACAGATGCAGGTCGACGTCATTCATCCCCGTTGCTCGAGCAGTACACGGGAATGGGCTTGCCCTCCTCAAACCTGCGCAAACAAATTGGTAAAAGGTTTGTGGAGCTAAAGGCGGCTGGAGGGGGAGTCGAGTTTCTTGCTGTAGAACACCCGCGAAACCACAGTCACAATCTCGTTGCACGGGAAGGGGCTTGCACCAGTACTTTTAGCGGAGATCCATAGACCAAAAACAAACCCGAAAGCCAAGGCAAGTTTGCCCAAACGACTGCTTATAGTCTTCCCGTCCGATGCTCTAATTGACCTGTATCGGCGGGAAGGGCGCCGTCATCGTCTGCCCGTAAATGTCGCAGGTCACTCACCACTTTCACACCTACCACTTCAAAGCGCTGATTTACAAGATTCGGAAACCCTAGAGCGACTAAAAGAACGCAAACTGCCGAACGCTCACCACTTGATGCTCTGGTTGACCTTGGTTGGCGGGAACGGCACCTTCATGGTCTGCCCGTCGATGTCCCGCGCCACCACCAACCAGTCATACATTCGAAGCTCTTATTTTGAACCCCCAAAGCCCAAAAGTAGCATGGAATGGTCTACACTCTCACCACTTGATGCTCTGGTTGACCTTGGTTGGCGGGAACGGCACCTTCATCGTCTGCCCGTCGATGTCCCGCGCCACCCACCAGTCGTACATCCAGAGCCGCGTCGCGTTCGCCTCGGGGGGCACCCCGAGCGTGTCGACAGCTGTCGCCATGTGCGCGGTGTCGTGCATGAGCAGCAGGATGACGTCCTCGGCGCAGAAGTAGACGTCATTCAGGTAGACCACGCGGTCGTATCTCCGCGCCTGCAAATATGAAGGGAATCAGCTCTGATATGGTGGGAATAGGAGGTGGGGGACTCGCACCCTTTACAGTGGGCATAGGCTGCTCAAGCTGGCGGCATCCCCGAAGGGTCTCCTCTTTGGTGACAAGAAGGCACAAGAACAATTTGAGACTTCATGAGGGGTTCAGTGCGTCTTACGAAGCTGAAAAAAAAACGAGTTGCTCTAGGCGTAGCAGGGTGCAGGCACAAGGTGCGACGGTCAGAGTTGTCTTGGACGCTTCTAGAAGACAGAGAACCTGGGTTTTGAAAGCCCACTCACGAAGCAGAAAGCCTGAATGTCGTCCAACTTCGGGAAGGCTCCCGGAACGAAGAAGGAGTCCTTGGTTCGCTGAGCGATGCGACCGAGTAGATTCCACCTCAACCATCAGAACGCGACCTTCCGGCACAGTCTAAGCTACCACAAACCGCGGCCTTTCATGAAAGAAGTAATCATATCCGAAGCTTACGAGCTCCCTATATGTTTTTTCTAGGGATTGATTGGTAAACCCTGAGCCAGGAATAACGCACCTGCCGTGGCAGCTCCCACGCAAAGCTGATCGAGTTCACGCCCGGCTGCAGCTCAAAGCCCCACCCCCCGAACCCCGCGATGGCCAATAGCCTCTTTCCACGCGTCATCCACTGGCGCACACACGTGGCACAGCCTCCCCCCACCTTCCGCCCCTGACTCGTCGTTATCCACAGGGACAAAACCTGGTTTTCCCCGCTCCCTTCCGCCTCGACAAATTCTTCTCCCAACTCTAGATGCAGCGACCGCTTGACCCCCCCCGGAGAGCCAAACCGGCCGGCCTTGTTCTTTCCCGTGTAGAGCTCTATTCCCAGAACTTGACGATCGTCAGACCAGACGTCGATTCCCGTGAGGGGGCTCTCTGACGATGGTTGCATCGCAAAGTAGCGCCCGGTCTCGTTGCCGTGAGGGCCGTCCCAGATCTGCACGAACCAGGGAAGTGGTAAACTAGAACGTAGACAAACCAATGCAGTATCTGTGAGGTCTATGATTACATCTGCTTCACATAGAGCGACTGTCCAATTTGGCTCTTCTGATCTGCTTACCAGCCAGAATTGTCCAAACGCCAACAACCTGAGAAGGCACGTGGCAGCTAAAGAGCAGAAGTCAGCAGGAGACGAAGCCCTATAGCCTAACGTAAGCAGCATTCCAACTTTCTTATTAGCAGAAACATTTGATGAAGGGGCATACGAGCTGCTTCTCAACAATTCATGCCCCTGAAAGGTTTGCAGAAGACCCTTGAATCACGCAGGTCATGGGAAAGACAGACCACCTCAAGCCAAAACGACAAGCACAAAGCAGCAGACAAGACTTGTGAAAGAACAACCGCGGTCATACCCACCTGTCGCAAAAGCGGAGCAAGCCCTTTATTCCGGACCTTCGCCAGGAACTCGATGCGTGTCTCGTGCACATGCTTCTCGATCCCGTTCGCGACTATTGAATGCGGGATCTCCATCCCGTTCAGCGTAGCCGCCAGTGTTTCCAGCCTCAGACTAGTTGCGTCTGTGGACCCGCTTTCGTAGATGGAGAGAAACGTTTTGTGGGGAGAGAGCCGCTCCAGAACCCGGGTCAGCTCATGGAACAGGTGCGCCGTGACTGCAAAGAAGTTTTCAGGGGTCTGGGCAACGAGGTCTTTGTACCCCACCGGATAATTAAACAAGCTTACGTCTCGGTTAACGGACCCGTCAGGTGGTTCTGGGGTTCCGTGGTTGCGTAAGAAGATTGTCTAAGTGATCATGTGGAGATTGTTTAGAAGATTCGACGGTGACTGATCTTCTCGATCTTGTCACTCTATCTAAAGTGGACCCAACCCTCTCGACAGCAGACGAATGAATACGTAGCGACACACTGGCAAGGCCATACGGAAATCAACGTTGCTTTCGAGCCAATGAAAAGCAACCCTGCAAGGCACCATAGCTTCACCACCAAAGTTTTGAACATGAGGCACAAGGGGGTTCCCTTCCTTAGATTCTGCGGCGAACGGCGCACTTCTTGTCAGAACTGCTTGTCGCAGTGCCTCTTATTCTACGTTTGCCACATATGCTACATCTCCTAACCCACAACTCTTCTAGGTTGGAGGAGCGCACCCGCAGGGGCCTCCTCTCAGAGCATACGATCATGCAATATGTGGTGGTACGTGCGCAGAAGAACGCAGTTACGCAATTCAACCAACAAACTTGTTACAAAATACCAATGTTATGGATGAACAAAATCTCGCAGATGCAAGATAACACAGCTCCAGGTCCGCATTTTAAGGTAGAAGAGAGAATTGAGCCTAGAGTCCAACAGATACAGGTAAACTTTCCACCTCAGCAGAGCAGTGCTTAATCATCATGTTCAACTACAACCCCAAAAAAGTAAGCGCCGCGACAGCAAGCGCAACAAAGCTGAGGCGGATCGACAACACCCTGAATGAGCCCCATCTAAACATTTACAATGAGCAAAGCTCTGTATATGATCACTGATCAAGGGTTGGCATTGAAGCTTAGCAGGCTTCCCATCCACTTCAAACAACTGCACCTCCATTCAGGTAGTCAAGAGCCCAACATCTCCACACCAGCAGAACAAAAGACGAGGAGCAAGGCTCACCTCCATCGTTGTCCCGCAGGTTCAGCGAGAAGAAGATCCTCATCTTCTTCAGCTTCTCGGCCGCCACCCTGTCGATCCCCTTCGCCCAGTGCGTCGTACACGTCGCCACCGTGGTCCTCGGATCGTGCCACCCATTCACGATCCCCGCCTGCACCTTCCTACTGCTATGTAACAACACCGGGCGCGCCTGGTTGTGCACGTACTGCAGCTCGTTCGGCGACGCGCCCGACATCGCGTCAATGCACCCCGAGGAGCTCAGGGTGTTCTGGCTGTAAAAGTAGTGGAGGGTGAACACGATGTAGACCGCTAGCAGGACGTTCAGGAGCGCCTGTCCGGTCAAAAACCGAAGCAGGGGGTGCTTCTCAAAGCGCTTGGGGGAGGGCGTGCGGCGGCTGGGGGTGCGGAGTCCGTTAGTCGCCCCTTTTGAGCTCATCGAGCGCTCGCTGGGCACGCGGGGGATGTCGCACTCCATCTCGGCCCTGCCGTACTCGTCCAGGCTGCTGCCGACGCTGCTCATTGGCTGCCGGTGCATCGCTGGTCAAGTGATTCTATGACGCTAACCTGGTTTTGTTTGGACGGCCAGAAAGGCCGTCATGCGGATGGAGGGCACGGCGAGGGACATAGATTAGCAGCAGGCAGCTGCACTTCCTTGCTAGACACTCTATTCTTATTGGAATAGTCTACCCTTCCCTTCCTGAACCTAGACTGTGACAGGGGATCCCTGAGTGGTGTGGTTCCCTACCAGTTGTACTCTCCTTTCATATTGAGATGCCCCTGGTCAGGGTGGTCCCTGAAGAATACAGCCGACCAAAATGAACCTCACTTCACAAATCACCTGCTTTAACTGCAAGCATTTGGCTAGATCCCAGGCAGGTGGACTTCTGATCAAAGCCTGAAATTCAAGTTTGCCTTTCTAGCGAAGGCGGCTGCGCCCTGTCAGCATTCCTCTACAACCGCCCAATGAGATTGCAGCGCATTCTAATCCTCGTAGCGCCCCCGGTGCGCTTGAGTGACCTCCTTGCATCTCATGCATCCCAGAGCGTCACCCTGAGCGTTCACAACGAAGCCTATCCTCGGCTCCAACGGTATTTTGTGAGAGACGGGGCTTCCTCTGTTCTTTTAAACGCTTTAAGTTTGCGGACTCCAAATGCCATGGATGATGGTGGCCCTCATCAACGTCAACGTTGCCTCGACCATTGGCATCAATGGCATCATCAACCCAGACTCACGGTCCGATTCGAGAAAACCACTCGAATTACCACCGGCAGTTTTCGAGTAAATCGCTCGAATTACGGAACATTCATTTCGAACAAATCCTTCGTATTTGCCAATGCTGTTTCGAAGAATTTGTTCGAATTTGCGATTTGAGATACGAACAAAACACTCGAATTTGGTACCGGGTCTTTTGCGCGACTGTGAATCGTTCCGGGTGTATCTCCGCCGTCGATCTGGTGGAACATCGCGACCCACAACGTCGGTCGCTGTGGACCGCCTGAATCGCGGTACATAAAGGACGGTACCCCTATGGGTGGTTGGTCGGGGCGACGGGCGGCTGCAACTTCCCGGGTGCCGCGGACACTTCCCTCTAGACTAGTAGTTTAGGGACCGTGGCACCCGGGAAGCAACCGGGCCCTCCCAGTAACATTAGGGTCTCGCGGGCAAACCTTGGGACAACCGGGCACTTCCCTAGGGCAACCGGGCCTTCCCGCTTTAGGGTTACACCACTGCGAGTGACAACCGAGCAAGTCCATTTAGTGTGTGCCCGGGGCTTCCAGTAATTCGAACCTTTTCTTCAAACGGCGCTGCGAGAATACGAACGATTTGTTCGAAACCCGGCCGGCTGTTTCGAGCAATTTGTTCGAAAAGCTGCCGATGGTAATTCGAGTGGTTTTCTCGAATCGGACCGTGAGTCCGGGTTCGACTCTAGCTCCATTCTTGGAAAATGCAATCCAGCCCGCATGCTTGATTCGGTGAATTTGTCTAGGCCGGTGACAATATTGTCATCGACAGCTTTCCAAAATTGAAGACAAATTAAAAATGATTCGGAATACAGCTTCTTCCGAGCAGATTGGAAATTCAGGTGTACAATCTCGCTAGCTGCTATACAAGGGTACGTAGACAACGATGTGCACTGGATATATTGACACTCAACATGGGCAATCACTTGGGAAAGACTGTAAATACTGCTAAATATGGTAAATAATTGCCAGTTATATATAGACATGCAATGATTTGCACGTTCTTTTCCCTTGAGTTGACCCCGAGGACACGCGTACGTCACATTTCCTCGGTCTGTACGCCACGGCATGCCGTTTACCAGCACCGCTCCTGAGTTGGCCCGGTTCATAAGTACTGACTCTGCGGAGTAGTACCGTCTAGGACCTGGAAGTAATTCCTACCGGTCAGACCTCACGGGCCGGTCCCATTGGTTTTACGGCAACCTGCCGGTGCTGTCACGTCCAAGGAACCGCGGCGCCACGGCCCGGCCGGCCCAACCGGGGCGTGCCGCGCATTCCCTCTGTCCGGTGTCCACATTTTATACAGGCAAGAAGCTTGAGCTACCTAGGTACATACTAAACTCGATACAATGGCAATACTCCCATGACGAAGCATGCAAGCGGATCTGATCGGCGTCTTCCCGTTTAAAAAGACGAACCTAGCCTTCTCTCGTCGCTACCTATTCACTACTTTCCCTAGATCCGTGGTGCCGTGACTGTCGCTGCGATCAAGACATCTTCGTGTAAGAAAAGGACCTGGCGGCCTTCAAACCATCAAGATGCAGATGGACCTCGCTCCAGAAGTTTTCCCCTTTGTTGATCTGGAAGCTGGAATCACCCTGATCATTGCTACGGAGGCGGATATCGCGTCAATAGGCCCGTCTCGAAAGCTGATCGAGCTGGGGGGCTGGAGCGAAGCAGAGACAGTTGAGGTGAGATTCACAACTTGAGCACCTGAGTGGCATTGAGTGGTGCGACGGGCAGAGTCGTTATGCAGCAGATGGTGTTGAGGCTGGATTGTGCCTTTCTAAAGCTCTCGGAGAAAAGTGGTTGATTAGCTGGCATGGATACTCTCGCGGCATTGCAAGTTGGTTTTTTGACAATCGGAATATGACTGATGTATGCAACCTCGTGAAATGGGCAACTGCTTTTACCCAGCTAGGATTTCTGACTCGTCTTCTGCAAGCATGCGGCTTGAAGCAGATTGATGCGGCCAGCTCTTGAAAAGCCTGCAGCATGCCAACCACAACTTTCAAAGACCTACTTCCCTCCCCACTTTTGATGTCAAATCCTTAGCACTTCTTCAAACCTGTATACACAGTCCCTTGCGACATCACCTGCTGTTACTAGAAAATTTGTCTGCACCAATGCAGGGGCTCCGCACCTGGCGTCACGGCAGCGTCCGGATGTGGCAACTGAAGAACAAGACAATCTTTGAGGACTACCTGGACCACCGGTGGCATCTGGGCACTGGAGAGGCTGTGCGCGAAGTCATCTTCATGAGCAGGTAGGCCATGAATGAGGTTTTTCTTGGGTGAGAATCTAAGAGACTTGCTTCTTTCCTGTGCGATCAAGAGTTTACATTTTTTGGGGGTTTGGCGTCGTTGGCAGCCAGTGCATATTTTGAAGAGCACGTGCAGGACGTTGCTGGACGCATTGGCCCCGTTTGAAACTTGAAGCAAGTAGCACAATAGCAATTGCTTCCGCTGAAGTACGTCATGTATGCGATGAAGAATTCTACTTGAAGACCTGCATCTGACCGCTTGTACAGACTGGTGTGCTAAATCAGTACTTGATCAGATCTTGCCCTTGAAATAGTTCAAACAGCTGAAATTAAAAGTCAACATTCCACTCTTTTATTGTCAAGGTCGCCCTCCATCAAGATCTTGGCTTACTAGTTGTACAATCCCCTCAACGCAGGCACGTTGCAGCTTCAACGCGGCCTGCGTTCACGGTCCACCCAATCGGCGTGCCCCACCTTGGGCCCAATGAGGTGCCGCCAGCTGGCGGCAAAGCAGGGCGGGTCTCTCCACCTTGCACCCGAGTTGGTTCCTGGTTCAGACTGCTGAAAAGGCTGGCGGCCGAGAGGGGCTTCACTCCCGAATTCGAGGTGAGTGACAACTTGAGGTGGAAATCTGATTTAATTCCTGGGAGGCCTTCGGGGGAAATGTTCTTGCATAGGCTTCTGGGGAAATATTATTGAATTTAGTTTTGTTTGAATCTGCTCGAGCCACGAGGGATCCATTCGTTGTCTGTAGTTTACGGATTTCGGGCCTTTGCGTTCTGAAGTGTACCTACTTGCTGATGTGGCACAACATAGATTCGACATCTGGCAACAAGTACTGAGGCAGACCTGGCGTTGGATGCGCCACTGATTGTGATTCAGGTCTGCAATTCATATCCGAGAACTTCACCCACAAAGTGCCAAAATCATTCGAGTTGCCAAGTAGTCGCAAATTGAAGTTAGCATAAGGCATTTCAAAATCTGAGACCCATCTTGCCTGTCTTGATGCAGGTCACGCTGGAGGCAACGCACCATGGGCCGTACCTCGAGGCGCCTACAATGTTTGTCGAGATCGGTGAGACGGTCTTTCGCATCACGATGGATCCGCCTGGATTACTCAAAGCTGGCAGAATGTTGATGGACGGCAGGGAAGAGACCTGAATTTCAAGTGACGATGCTGATGTTGCGACCGGGCTCTGGAAGGATCGGCTTGAGTGCCGACGTTCGATCCATCGTTTCTTCTTATGAAGCTTCAGACGCAAGGGTCAAACCTGAAAACGAAAGTGCCAACAAGTCCGTCTCCCGTCTTTGTGAAGTGTCTACGTTCCTTTGGAACCGCCAACGAATGAGCCCCAAATTGGCTGTTTTCTGACCTCGCCCCCCTCTTTCTAGGCAGCACTGAGGAGCACTGGGGGAGGGTGGATGCAGCAGAGTTGATTGCAGAGGTAAGCTGTTATCGAGTCAGCTCTTGTTCTGCGTTCTGACATTCCGCCCCGACGCGCAATGCGAGGATTACAGAACGTGAAACTATTGCCTGTGGCAAGCTGCACGTCTTTAAAGGACGATCTCCATACTCGTTTGGTGGCTCTTTCCTGCACGCTTCTTACAAACGTCTGTACTACGACCTATTCGCGACCCATCGTCCTTCGCACATCACAGTCTTCGCAAGCGCTGCTCCATACTTGTCTGCCGCCTTTCGTTTGAACGTCCTGACGATGAGGGTTTTACCGACTCGTTGGAATCTGTGATGGACACACTTTGGATTCTTGCAGCTGTTCTGGCAAGGGCTCGGCTTAGGCGGAGGACCGGACCTTGGAAGCTGGTCCAGGTAAGAAGCCGATTGAAACCCTTTCGGCGGTCTGACGGTACAATCATTTATATTGTTAGTGACCGATACATCGGAAGATGGCCCAGTTGGCAGAGAAACATGATCGGATTTGCCGTTTGGTAAACCACGGCGACGCTTTGTCTCTTTCAATCCTCGTGAACTGCCCCACCAGGCTCTAAGCCTAAGACTTATGGCTCCTCTGCAGTGACGACCAAGGTCAGCCTGTTTTGCTGGGGCTTGGAGGGGGCCACTACACCCCACGTCATGGTGACGTTGCAAGGTACGTCAAGTGCAGTGCTTCACGTTGTTTCCAGAGCCGCTTGATAAACAGTTGAAGGAGCTGGTGGGTATTCGATGTTGGTGAACATCTGAATCCATTTGCGGAATGTGCAGGTCGATTGCGGATTTGAAGCGAGAGACATTGAACCCAGTTGATAGAAATAATCTTGTGGCCGCCCAGTCGAGTAAACATCTGAATGTTGACAATATGGGCACACTGTTTTCATCTGAATGTTGACAATATGGGCACAGAACTCTCACTGTGCTCCTCTCTGACCTGTCGGGCACAGGTGGACGCTTTCTAGGTTCGGAGTCTCAGTCCTTGCGCCACTATTGAGAGCGACGACTCACGATATGCTGGTTCACGACAAGTGCTGGACATGGTCCGGTTGACAGAAAGGAGAGCTATCGTCCTGACTCTTTGACGAGAGAGGGAAAGAAGAAGATGTATCACTCCGAATGAATGCCCCAGAAAAATAAATATAGGTACCTATTCTGTCCCGCTTTGCAGGCACGATGGCGTGTGGCTGGGCCATCTTCTTTCGGGCTACTCTTTGCCGATGACCGATCCAGCAGACGGAACAAAAGTTCTCGCGAAACGAGGCGAGCCTTCGACCTTGGGAACAGCCTCTAGCAACGGGCCGACCGACAAGAAGCTACCTCAATCCTCCACGTCAGAAAACGGTGTTTCAACTTCCACTAGGGGTCGGAATTCGGCGGAGCAAAGCGGGGCGGATGCACCCGTCGAAGAGGCGGCGCACAGCGCCCCTGATCTGTTTGAGTCTGCCGTACGGGAGGCGTTCAGGGCGACCAGAAGGGCGTTTCCGGGGGGCATGGTTTTGGCGCACATCGACCTGAAGTGAGTCCTCCCGGTCCGCTCAAAAAGTTTGCATGCCGTATTCGGTAGATTGACCGCTTTTACCACAGATCTTAGCGGGCCGCCCTTGACATGGGCCAGAGGGATTCCTTTTTTGCCGAAGCTCGTTTTGGTCGGCTTCTGATTTCTCTCTCGTTGAAGACGGAGGTGAAGACTGAAAGTAAACTCCCGGATACGCAGCTGCTTTTGAAGGGAGACGCAGTTCTGCTGTTGGTGTTCAAAAGGTGCGGGCTCTCTGAGATATAACTTTGCAGCCCAAGATGTGCGTGGCTTGTCTCGCACTGACGACGTTCTCTTTGCTGTTCTGCAGAAGCATGAAAGCCTGGCAACGAGGGAAGCTGACCGAGTTTTTGGAAGAGGAGGGCATACGAACAGGTACCCCGAAAGACTTCCCTCGGCAAGTTGAAGTAGGAAGCAATCGCTCCAGATAGATGAACGGAAACATCCACGTCTGCACAAGGAAAGTTGCCACATGAAGGAGTGAGGTCCATTGATAACAAGCTCGCCGTCTAGGTCTGGCAAACTTGGAATCCAGATCACGAAAGCCTGTCCGTTGATTGTGGCACATCTCAACCGGGTATTGGCCGGTTTGCAGCGCAATGGGGTGTGCGTCTAAATAGCAGAATTGGTCCGATCTTCCGCTAAGGTTGGATTTCACTCGCCTATGCATGGTGTACTGGTGAGTGTCATGAGGCATGGCAACTTGAAGTCACCATGATCATGTGTTGCCAAAAGGTGCCGCCTAAGCTGAAGATGGGCCCGGCTGCATGTGGGTTTGAGTGCAGATGTATTTATAATCTGTGCCGCATCATTGAATGACCAATTGATGATCGTTATCTGCAAGATGCCACATGTCATGCGATGTGTGCGAAGCAATTCACAAAAGTGAAAGCCGAAGATGGGAAGTATAATGCATATTTGCAGTGCATGAACAACGTGAACGCCCACGCGAACATTGTTCCACGGCGTCCCATGTCCTCAGGCTCAGGCTGGCGAGTTTGAATTTTGAAGCTCCGAGGCATGTGCATTTTGGCGGGTGTTGACCAACAGTCACCGGGTTTCTAGGAACATCGGCTGTTTCTAACCGTCCGATCGGCGGGAAACAATGATCCCAGCCGTATGCGGATGCCAAGTGTCGCACTTCGGTGTCCCGCGAAAGCTAAAGAAGACGCCGCGCCACTCTATGATCATGTCCACAGGAACTTGAAGGCTCCCGCAGCTCCATGGTGGCCAGGTTCTTTCAAGAGGTCTACACATTCTGTACATGAGCTCAGGCGGCTTCTAAGATGGCAGCCGTGGGTAAGGTAGATGATCTCGTCTCCCTTCTCGACGGCCAGCTTTCTAATGTGCAAGCTGCTAGCCTCTTACAGAGTGCCAATGGTTGCATTGAGACCGCGATTGCGCAATATTTCGCTTCTGCTGCAGAGACAGGAGGCAATGGGGGGGCCGCCGCAGAACCTCAGTGCGATACTTTGGAGTCCAAGGTCCAAATGCTGAAGAGCATGCTTCCCCATGTAGCGGATGCAACTCTCAAGAGGCATTTGAAAGCTGCCAAAGGGTCCGTAGATCGCGCTGCCGATGCATACTTTGGAGCGCAGCTTGACGCGACCTCGCAGCAGCCGGCATTGGGTGAGACCGCAAAGGGTTTTCAGTCTAGAGCGATGTGTGGAGTGGAGGGAGCGGCAGGGAGCCACATTTCAAAAGCCACGGAGAATGGCACTTCAAGTTCGAAACAATCTCCTCAAAATGCAGCAGTAGAGGCAAGGCAAGCCGCCGTGCCACTAGCAGCAAGGAGCAGTGCAGGCGGACCGCTTACAGGTCAGCTTTCCTGTAGTTCAAACCCTTTCATCTCTCCTCATTGTTGTCGGCATCGCACGAATGGACGTGACAAGTAGCTCATTCAAGTCAAAAAGTTTTTAGCATCATGAGATATTTGTATCAGCCCACTTGAAGTGAAGCTTTATTATCCTCACTCTCTAGCCCTGCCTTGCCTGCTGGTCCTCTTACTTGTGCAGAAAGTTTCACTTTGTGAATTCTTCTTAGGACTAGGGCTCTAACCAAAGTCTCTCCAAGAACAGACACCACTAGGTCACCACTTGACACAAGGTGGTCAAGGAACCATCTGTTTTTTCATCATAACACAAGTTCCAGATAAGGCACAATGATCCTTCCTTGATTCTTGGGATCAGCTTGGCATCTAATTCAAAGATATCTACTTATAATGAGGTACGTGATGCACAAAAAGACAATGACAACCTTTGGCATGTGCAGCTTCAACAATTGGCCAGGACACACCAGGCCCAAGCAATGCCGTGTCCCTGGTGGAGCTTTCTGAAGCAGAACAAGAAGAAGCACCGAGAAGGCGTCCCAAGCGCAAGCGCGTCGCCACCGTCCCATTCTCCCCCGACAAGCCGGACGAATCAACACCCAAGAAGAAGGTTCATAAGCCCCTGCAACCGCTTGTAACCAGTGCTTCATCAGGCGAGACTTTTGTGATCCAAAGAGGCGACGGCCGCAGGTACCCGCTCCCCCTGAAAGAGCACCGTAACGGCTACGGACGGTTGTTTGCAGCGTACGAAACGGAGCTCCCAAATCTAGTCCCCCCCCCCAAGAAACTCGACTTCACTTTCCCCGGGGTCCACCTAGGGTCCTTCTGCATCAATCTCACCCCTGATGCGGCCAAGAGCATCAACGCAAACTCGGGATTTGTGGAGGTAGCGTGGAGCGAGCTGTCATGGCTTAAGCAAATGGTTCTGATAGACGGAGACGGGAACCCGCAGGGCCTCTTCCAAAAGGAGGAGTCGGACGACACCATGGTTGTCCACCTGTCGCTTGAGGCCAAGCAGGGGGGGGGTTTCGCGCCCAACGTCGAGGAGGCGACATACCTGGCGCATCGTGACGGGCTCGTCAGGCTCTTTGCGACCCTCGACAACTGCGGCGATGCAAAAAAGAATGGCACAAAACGATTCCCCAACGAGGCCATGAGCAGATTGTCGGCGTTCACCCGCGGTAACCACAGGGCCACACGGGGCCCTGCAGTGTTCGTTCACGTGTGCCTGACGGAGAAGGCGTGCCGGTACAACTTTCCGGATGGGGGGTTCGAGGAGCGCAAGAATGGAAAGATGGCGGGCAATCGCCGCCTCCTGCCGATTGCCATGGCGCTGCGCTACTATGGTTTTGGACTAGAGCACGGCCCCGACTCTGACGAGCTGCTGAACTTTGGGCCAGATGTCCCCCCACCTGAGGCAGTCAGCGAACAGCACTTCGATCTGTTCAACCTCTTGGCGTCGATTGACCTTCCCGAGTCGGCCCCTGCGGCGCTAACACCCCCTCAGGTCCGCATCAGATTGATTCCTTCTGCATTCTTGATTCTTCACCCCGTGCTTCCGTTCTGTCGGCAGATGTTGCCGTCTACGTTTGCTTTTCGCCACCCCTGTCCTTTGGTTGGTCCCCCAGGCTCATGTCAAGCTCTTGCTTCATGTGGCTTCTATCACCCAATCGATTGGTTTTCCGTTACAGTCACCTTTATCATCTTTCACTACCGAAGCGAATCTAGATTGTGGGCTTCGTTCCCTTTGCTTCTGCCAAAACTTCTGTTCGTTCACTTATACTTCTCATGAGAATGTTATTCCTGGTAGATACCTTCATCATTCCAGTCTGTTCCGGCGAGATGATCCTCAAAACCTTCTGCTTGCAGCTTCTGACCCAGCCCATGGAGTACCAGCGGAAGGCCCTGTCGTGGATGATGACGCGCGAGGGCGCTCTAGGGGGGTCGAACGTGAGGCGGAACATCCTGACGTTACACCCCTGTTGGCAGCAGCTACTGACCGTGGACGGACAGGTGCTGTACATGCAGCGGGAGGACGGGGCGTGCAGCCAGAACTTCTACACTGCGCCGCACCAGGGGACGTGCGGGGGGCTGCTCTGCGATGAGATGGTGAGTTGGGCTTTTATTGGCTTCCGTCTGTTCAGTTGAAATACATTGAGAAGGGTGCAAATAATGGAGAGGGTTGAAATGACTTGCGAGAGTCGCGATAGCCTGTGACTGTTCGAGTATCTATACAGGATCTGAGCAATGGCTTTCTCAGTCCGGTTTCGGCGGGTCAGGGCGTTACTCTCGGATGGGAGGTTCTCTCGAGCTGACTTTCAGGATCACCCGTATTCTTGGGCGTATCGCGACCTTCTTCTGGAAAGTCGGAATGTTTCAGAAGTAGGCGCTGCAATTGGCCCGTTCGATCGAGATTGAGTCGGAAAACAGGCAGCGAAGTCAAAACCAAGGTAAGCGCACTGCGATGGGTAGAAGGAATCTGGGGGTAAGAGTTGGTAGGGATGCCGAGCAAGTACTGCTGTTTGCGTCAAACTTGGCACTCGAACTCCGATCGAAACGCGCGGTTTTCAAACTCGAGTCGCGAAGTCGTTCCTCGATCCTTGATAGACATCCCCCCTGAAAACGTCACGTGTAGTTCGGCTGACTGAACTCCTTGGTGACGGACCACTGATTTGGCATCCGGAGTCCTTCCGGGGGGGTACTTTGGGGAACATCGAGGACCGACATCGCGATCCGTGATTGAGGAAAGCGCATTTTGATCCGAGCTCGGGTGCCAAGTTTGCCGCAAACAACAGTATGTTTCCGGGATCGGTTTTTCCTTGTTAGTCGGAGCTACCAGTTTCTCGGCTACCAACTGGCTCTCTTTCTTTTTACCTTTTTCATTGCAGGGCCTCGGTAAAACTCTGGAGATGCTCATGCTCGTCCTCGCGAACCCCCCTCCCCCTGGCTGGGCCGTCGTTGACGCGTCCACGTGGGACCACAGGGATGACGTCATGCCGATCAAAGCAACGCTGGTGGTCGTCCCCGCGAGCCTGCTCAACCAGTGGAAGCGGGAGGTCGAGCTGCACGTGCGGCCGGGCGCGCTGAAAGTGCTGCATTACGAGGGGAGGCACCGCAGGGGCGCGGGCGTCGGGAAGCGCGCCGCGGTCAACTGGGGGCTGGAGCAGTATGACATCGTGATTACGTCATACGAGGTGAGGTGATTGGGGGAAAAAAGGGGACTGTCATGCTTGCGTAAGAAGGACAGCCACAGCCTTAGTACGGCTTTGGACGTGGAGGCAAGAGTGCGATCTGGGGTGACCTTTTCGGAGACGGGTTTGGTGTCGCACGCTGTTAAGTCAGTGATGTGCGTATCATGCAGCGCTCCGTTTCGGAGAAGCGCCAAATAAGCGTGGCATGGAACGACGACCCAGAAATGGAGTCCCTCAGCACTGATCGTTTCGCCGCGAGCCATCATGTATGTCATCCGCCGTGCTTACATGCGCCCAAGAACTTCCTGATCCTTCCTAAAGCAACCTAATGCAACTGAACTTGAAGGGGTTCGACTCGCTACGGGAACCAACAAGAAAAGTTGGTTCCTCTTCAGGTATTTTCAGGCCCGCCCTTTTCTGTTGGCCCGCCGCCTAGTCCAGATTGGCACGACCCTCGGGGTGTGGCTTGGAAAGCGGTGGCTCGACTCCAAGCGCGGGCGCACCATTATGTTCCCAAAGAGGGCGGCACAGCTTCGCGCCGCACTTGTGGAGCTAGCTTTTCTCCACAAAACAAAGGCCGACGTTTCCTTTCTCTCGTTTGTAGGTCATCCGGACGGAGCTGGCGGGATCTGCCGACTCCCCGCTCTTGTCGTACGGCTTTTGGCGGGTGGTCCTGGACGAGGCGCAACTGGTGGCCAACAGCTCGTCGGTCGCTGCCGTTACCGCGTCCAGCATCATGCGTCGGCACGCCTGGGTCGTGACTGGTGAGAAAGCTTGCTCCCGCATTTAGACTTTCCCCGTTTGTCAGGTTATGTGCTGTGAAAATCGAGAAAATGGTGCTTCGATATGATTCAAAAGTAGCTCGTCGGTCGCGTCCAGCATCATGCGCAGACACGCCTGGGTCGTCACCGGTGAGAAAGCTTGCTCCCGCCTTGAACACGTGCCCCCGTTTGTCGGGTTACGTACTGTGGAAATTGAGCTTAAGCAAAACGGATTCAGGTATGACGTGAAAGTAGCTCGTCGGTTGTGGCCGTCACCGTTCAGCATCATGCGCCGAGGTCGTGACCGGTGAGGCGCCCGAGGGGAAAACACGCTCAACGTCGAGACGAAACCATGGATATCGCCGACCGTGAAAAGTATCCTCACGTCTGGGTTTTCGCTCAGCCTTTCATCCCGGAATCATCGAAAGAATTCCGAAACCATGCTATATGAAAGGGACGCATCTTTGGTCTACCCGGGTCTACCCTCACTTGGTTCAACCTGGTTATCGCCCTGTTCTACCAAACACCTCAAGCCACTTGCGTTCACTCTCCGGGGATAGAGTGAGATAAGTACCTAAGCAAAGCAATCAAGACCGCGAAGCTCCTCAATTGTTGCAAGATGAAAACCGCATCATAACGTTCCTTTTTCTTCTGCGCAGGTACGCCCATCACGAGCCGCCTCGACGAGCTGCAAGGCCTGCTCGATTTCCTCGCGGTGCAGCCGTTCGGGGATCCGACCGTCTTCCGCTCCATGCTCAAGATTCCGTACGAGACGCGCACCGCTGTCGGGCTGCAGCGGCTCCGGGTGCTGCTCAAGACGATCATGATCCGCAGGACAAAGGCGGGGGTAAGTGGTTGCAATAAAGGACGGCTGACCTCTCTTATCAGTTCCTGAGATGAGATTTCATTTAAAGCACACTACAAATGTACTGCTCCTCGGATTTGGATTGGCATCCTCGCCAGCGTGGTTTGTGATGTCTCCACTCGACGTAGTCGTAGTTGTTTGCAGATTTGACCGACCGTATAGTGTGCAGGTCGCAAGAATGTTCGTCCTCTGTCTCATTGGCGTTCCTCCACACTTGTCCCGAAGGCAAGATTCTGAAGCCGCGCTCTTGGAGCTACCCCTCCTTGCCCTCTACCATCAAAGCCGTTTTATTACTATCCCTTCTCCTGCTTTCGAGCACCCTGCTCTTTATGAAGCACAGATATTCCTAGAGGCAAGCATCGCCTTCCCCACTTCAGGTCACCGCCGAGATGGCCCTCACGCATGGGTCTACGCCGGAGACACTCTCAAGGGCCCTCGCGGAGTGTGTGGTGCTCGTGTGCACAATCTTCGGAGATATGGGTTCTAAAACATAGCGCTCACGTTCTTCCAACAAAAGGGATCGTCCTTTTTCTATTGAGGAAATCGAGCCGCTTCGTCCTTCTTGCCTCCCTCTTGCTCTCTGTGAAGCAGACATTCCTTGAGGCAACCATCGGCCTTCCCCCTTTCAGGTCGCGGCCGAAATGGTCCTCCTGCCCTCGCGTGCACGATATCCCGTCGCCTGCGATAAAGCGCATGAACATGTAACTGATTTTAGAAAATGCAGCTCATAAAGCCTAACGTTTGAAACGTTCCAAACATTGCTCCGGCAGGTCGCGGCCGAAATGGTCCTTCCGCCCTGCACCCGCGTCGACATCATTCTCCGCTTCTCCCATGCAGTAACCAGCTACTACCAGCGCGTACCAATACCTTCTTGTAATTGCATTGCAAAGCTTAAGCTTATTTAAGTTTCTCTTCCCGCCGTTCCAGGTCGCCGCTGAGATGGTCCTCCCGCCCTGCACCCGCGTCGACTCCATCCTCCGCTTCTCCGACGCGGAAACCAGCTACTACCAACGCGTGCACGAGGGCTTCGTCGCCGCGATCAAGCGCATGGAGCGTCACCACGCCACCCGCGACGTGCGGCGCCTCGAAGGATTCGACCCATCGAACCTGGGCGCCAAAGTGACGGGACAGGCGCTCGCGAACCTCACGCGGCTGCGCCAGGCGTGCTGCCACCCGCAGATCATCCGCACGGGGAACGAGTACCTGGGGAAGGCGCGGCTGACGATGACGCAGATCATGGGTGAGGGAAGCTCGGAAAGTTTCTTGAGAATATTTGTCTGCTTCTGAATCCTCTAATGAATGCATAAGATTGAGCTTAGCATTATCAGACACTTAGAAGAAGGTGCGGCTCGCGACGACGGATACGAATGCAGAACTCGATATCGTGGATCATCTGTGACGTTTCCTCGAATAGCGTGGTTTTGAAGGGGCTTTGGATCCGACGTGCTGTGGCTTATCGGCAAGGAAGAACACTTACCGAAGCCAAAAGAACAAACAAGTTGGAAGCGGAGAAAACTAAAGAAGGAAGTCGTTGGTTGTAGAACAGTGCTCTGACATCGGCCTTCTATTGTCAGTTCAATGACCAGCTTTACTTTTGTGGTATGCAGCCAAGCTGGTGGAAAGGGCCCGCGCCGCACATGATTCTGCTGCCCGGGACTGGCTGGTGGCACGTGTCCACAGGCAGTGGCCATCGGAAAGCAGAAAGAAACAGCAGGTGAACGAGCGGCCCTGCCTGGATCTGCGATCGATTTGCGATTATTGAAGCAACTAAGGAGGAGCTGACGTCGAAAGATGGCACGCTTCGTACTGGTCGATGCAGCTGGAAATAGGGTGCCAGACTTTTCGCCCGGCACTCGAACCTTCTGTCTGTCTCTACTGTCCAATGAGAGGCGCTTTCATTTTGCTAGTATTTAGACGTTCGCATCTTCGTGAACCAGTCGTGGCCGGCTGATTGTGAATAGAGCATAAAGGATGATGGGAGGTGCCAAGCTTCTGTTGACCCAGTTAGAGATATCATTCCATTCTTGCCTACCTGTTTACGGTGTCCATTGGTACTATGCTCCCATTAGACGCCCTCCGAGTTCTCTTACTCCATTCAGGACCCCAATACCAGGACTCTTAACACGAAACCCCGCACCTGGACCTGACAAACCCGTTTCTGAACCATCCAGCCGCGAACATCTTCGAGCCCCTGCTCGCCGACCTGGCCCGGTGCGGAGCCCTCGCGCTCGAGCGCGCCGGCCAGATCAAGGCCCCGGTGGACGGCGACCTTGAAGCAGAGCGCGCCACTCGGCAGGCCGCCGCCAAAGCGTCGTACGAGCGCCTCGAGCTGACGGCGCTGACGGCCTACTCGCAACTGCTCGAAAAGGACGTCATGGTCGGGGAGGAAGTCGGGGAAAGAGCGAGGAGTGTTGGGGACAGGGTCACGGAGCTTGAGGTGGGTCTGAGAACAATGAGCTTTGGTCTTGAGGTCTAGAGAAGCGCATGAGATGTTGTAACGTTTTGAAAGCTCCTGCATTCTTCTAATGCAAGGGGTGACTACGAAAGTCTCGGTGCTTTCCAGTCTCAGACTGATCTCTGGAACTTCGTACTAGTGCACCAAGCGGTCGACAAAGATCTAAAGCCCACGACTGGTTTCTGCTCATCACAATGTTCCTGAGCCTCTTACGAGAACCCTCTCAGATCCGGTCTGGATTCTTCAGGACTTTCTCTTGAGGTCGTATCAGTTTGAGGCCCTTCTCAAACCTCTCAAACCTCTCAACCCTCTTTTCTCAACCTTCGTAATCCCATTTTTTCAACCGTCTCAACCCCACTTTTCAACCCTCTGAATCCGACTTCCTCAACTCTTAACCCCAATCTTAAACCTCTTGACCCCACTTTGTAAAACCTCTTAACCCCATTTTTAAGGACGAGCTGGGCATCACCGCGGAGCGGATCGCGGCCGCCGAGGCCGGCCGGAAGCTGACGCGCGCGGAGCAGAAGAAGCAAAAATGGGTAACGGAGCAAGAGAGCACCCTTTGGCGGTCGGCAGGCTGGCAGAGGGCGCGGGGAGAAGCGGGGGAATGGACTTCTGGGGCGGGGCCGAGCACCTCAGGTGAGGTTTCGCTTTTGTGTAACAGTCTCTTTCCATTCCAATGAACGCAGTGAACTTTAAACGTAGTGAACGGTAAGATTACAGGTGGGATTAGGGTGGGTACGGGTGCGGAGCGCAAAAACCTTTAAATATGGTGTTGTTTTGATTCGAGGGCTTGTTGTACTTAGAGCGTTCGATTCACTGTTTCGAGGAGTATTTGTCTTCCCAAGTGGAGTTGCTTTGATCCACGTAGCAGCCCGTCAAAGCCGCTTGCTTCGTGAGGGTTGAGAAGCTTTGTTTGAGGGTCTTCATTCAGCCGTAGGAGGAGAGCTTTCCTGGGATGAGCGGTCCACTGAAGCGCAGCGAGGCACAGCTCGAGTGGGTCAATACCGCAGGCACGTGGGCTTTTTGTCCGGATAATTCATGCGAGGGCTTTTCAGATCGAGCAATCCTACTCGCTGTGTTGGACCATTTGCTGGCGTCATGGTCTGCTCGTCCAGACAGCACAGTCAGAAGAAGCGCCCTTCGGTCGGGCCGACAGGCTTCAGAGCGGACGATCAACTCTTCCAACTTGGTGCATTATTGGCTGACGTTTTCACCTGTCCGTATCACAGCCTCACCCGCGGAAGCTTTTGCGGGCCGAGTGATGCACCCCATGCAGATATTCCGTGACGTCAGGCGACTGTCGCTGGACCGAAGTCTTTGACACCGACGTCATCACCCTTGCGTCCAGACAGCTGCTGACGTCGTGATTTCTCCTCGTAACCAGCAGTACCCGCGGAAGCCTTCACTGGCCGGCTGACGCACCTCATGCACGGATTCCGTGATGTCAGGCGACTGTCGGGACGACCCTCTTTGACACTGACGTCATTACTCATGCTTCCAAACAGCTGCTGACGTCACGCTTTCACCTCATGATCAGCAGCACCCGCAGAAGCCTTCACGGGCCGGCTGACGCGCCGCGGCAAGCGGAAGCTGGAGGAGTTGGCCGGCGGTTCGGATGCGGACGCGGATCGGACGGGCGTGGAGACGTCCAAGCTGTCCGAATACGACAGGGAGATCGCCGACATTCTGGAGGGGCCGCAGGTAACTAGGAAGGGGAAGAAAAAGCACGTGAGGACGGCCGAGCAGAGGGTCGGCGCGGCGGCCGCGGCGGTGGACAGGGCCAAGGAAAGGATGGAGGACTTGTTCAGACAGGTGAGGAAAAGAGTCGTTGGTTACAAGATTGGGGAAATTTTGTTCCGGTTCCTGTTTTTGGCATTTCTAAGAGTTATTTAGTCCGGTTTCGTTTCTTGACATTCTGGAGAGTTACTAAGCGTATTCTCGACCTGATTGTGGCATCATCACATAGTGATCACACGGTTTGTGCGCGAAGGTTTATGTCACTTCCACAGCTCTTCACCGCAATTCTGCCCTCCCGACTCTCAGTCTGTTGTCCGCTGTTTTCAACCGCCTACTGTCATTCCACCATCGATCCGTTCTGTCCAAGCACAAAAACCATGTTCCGAGCATCCCAAAACACACTGGCAGGGTTGACACAACGACCACGCAACCAACTTCGTACCCTATGCTGATCAACTTTACGACTCACCTCCCCACAGGAAAAGCACCTCGATTTCAAACTCGACGAGATGGAGAAGGGCAAGGGCAAACTCGACTCCAACGGGGCTTCCACTTCCGACGCCGCAACAAACGGTGACTTCGCAAACGGCGCGCTGCCGAGTGGGTTTTTGGTGACAGAGCAAACGGTGGTCCAAGAAGACAAGACCCAGTGCCCCATCTGCCTGGACTCGTGCGAGGACTGTGGGGCGGTCACGGTGTGTGGGCATTACTTCTGCTCCGACTGCATCCACGGGGTAAGGATTAGGTGTTTGTGTCTCATGCTTGTTGGGATATTCGACGACCGGGAAGGAGCAGATTTTGAATTTGCCGTGTTTACCAGTTTTATTAAGGGAGTTTACTCAGCGTCGGACTTGAACCGATGACCTAGCAGGAACAAAGTTTGAGTCTGTGCTCGGGTGGAAATTGAAGACTTGTTCCGAGACTGCGGGGTGGTAACGCTGTCCTGTTGGGTCACTGCTGCTCTGATTGCGTGGAGCCTCACAGCGTTCGCTGTAAAGACTGCTTCCTTTTGATGCAGTCCCGAGAGTGAAGTCAGAGGCAAACGGAATCAGAACCGTTGAGAGTAACCTTCGAATGAAAAGCTGGTCTTCGGATGTGAAGGGATAGAAGAAAAAAACCTGTATGGTGTTCAACACCTTGTCGTGAGGGCGCTTCGTTGGCTACTTTAATATGCATCAAAGATTCATGTGGTCTCAAACCCCTTGCCAAGTCCACGGCCTCACCCTGCCATCATGTAAAAGTGATGAACTTCGAAAGCTCAAGAGATGGATTGTACATAGCCCTGTCGATTCAGCCAAACCAACACTTGTTGGGCATTACATTCTTGTTTGTCTCACTCTCTGTAAACTACCCATCTCCATTCCCTCTTCTCTTTCAGTACATTCAAAGCAAGGGCGCCGACGCGCCGTGTCCGCTGTGCCGCCACAAGCTAAAGACCAAGGACGTGTTCAACGCGTGCAAGGAGGCGGAGAAGAAACAAGGGGACCTGCCGGACCTGAGCGGCGAGTACGGAACCAAGGTGGGTTAATTTTTCATTGTAATGAACAGTGAGCCCAGCGAACAGTAAGCTTTTGGGTTTAGCGAGTTTCCTGAACCGAAGTACGAGACCAAGGTGGGTTGATTCACGATCGATCATAATGCGCGTTCCTCAATCGCGAGTTGCGATGTTGGTTCTTGATGTTTTCCAAGCTATCCCCCGGAAAAACTACGCATATCGTTTCTGGTGGCTAACCACCAGGAACTTCGGTCGGCTACACTGCCATTAAGTTTTCCGGGCGGCTGTCTACCCACGATCAGGAAAACATCAAGGATCGAGGACCGAGGGTTTCGGTCCAAGCTCGGGTGCCAACTTTGACGCGAACAGCAGTAGTGGATAGTAAGCCCAACGTACAGTGAGCTTTTGGGTTTAGCAAGTTGCCTGAACCAAAGCTCTACGCGCTCCGCACCTGTACCCACCCAAATTCCCTGCCTCACTCCACCCGTTCCGGTTACCATCTACTGGGATCGATCGGTCCAAGGTAAGGCAGTCGGCTGATTCACAATGAATGCCTCCTTGTTCTGCAGGTCTCGGCGCTAATCTCGGAGCTAATCGACCTTCGGAACACGGACCCGACCGCGAAGAGCGTCATCTTCAGCTCGTGGAGGCTGCTGCTTAACCTGGCGGGGGAGGCGCTCGCGCACAACGGCTTCCAGTACTCCCTACTCTGGGGTGAGGCTCGATCGTTCGTAACCCTTTTTTCCCCCACCTTTACGATCAACTCGGAAAAAGGGTTGTTCTGAGCTTCGGCTGATTCTGCGCTGCTTTGGGGAGTGCAACTTTTCGGTCACGTGAGGGTTGACTTCCTTGATTGTGCAGTCAATGAACACCCTCAAAGCCGATTGGAGTCCACTTCGTCATCGTTCCTTTGAGCTTTTGTGCGTGCTCGGCGGCGTTACTGACGCTCAAAAGGGGAGTACTGGCTTGAAAAATCCTGACAAGATATTTGTAGTACTCGGAACGGTCGCTGGTTCAAGAACTCAAGAGTAGAGTCAATGCCTACTTTAGATTGCCAACTTCAAGTCATGTCTGTTTTCGGACGTGCAAAATACACCTATGCAGAATCATGTAGTGACGAGCGCTTTTTCCTCTCGTTTGCAGGTCGGCCCGAAGAGCGCGTGCAGGCGCTCAGAGACTTCAACGAGAACCCGAACGTGCGCGCCATTCTCGTTATGATGGGCAACTCGGGCGGAGCAGCAGGGTTGACGCTAACCGCCGCATCGACCGCTTTCATCCTCGAGCCGAGCGTTAACCCGGGCATGGAGGCACAGGCCGCAGCCAGGTAAGAGCGGTCTCTAGGACGGGTTCCCAGGTACCTTTTTGGGTTTGGGGCTTCGGAAAAATAACGAGTCAGCTGCAGACTTGCAGCCAATGTTGTCATTGAAACTGCCCAACGTCGGAGCGAGATTAGCTGCTTGATGATGGTCTACAGGATAAGGACAAGTTGTGTACGCGCCTTGCTGTTCCCTGAGAGCGGATGACGATTGGAGATACCGTGTTTCGAAACCCATTGCCGAGCAATTCGGCCTTGCAAACACCTACGCAGTGGGGCTATCGAGAGAGGGCGTGTCAACTGTGAGCGGTTGAGGGGTTAACTTTTATCTCGGCACATCCTAACACAAGACCTATCGGTAATGAGTCGACTTTTCACAGCTGTTCTGCTTTGCCGGTGCAGGATTCATAGACTCAGTCAAGACCGTCCCACACGCGTCGTGCGGTTCATTGTAGATAAGACGATCGAGCCGAAAATTGTAAAGCTACAAGGCAAGAAACTAGAGATGGGCAGCAGCGGCGGCGGCGGGATCGTAATAGAGCAGTTGCGAGGGCAGGATCTGCTGGAGCTTATCGATGACGACACAAAGGGCAAGCAGCAAGTCGAATAAACACTAATCAAGGCATCGACTCAAAATGACCAATCGGGAGCGCTGTATAAGGTTGGGATAAAATGGGGCAGCTTTGTGGAGCTGGTTCGCCTTCGCGTCAATGTTTACTTCCAAAAAGAAATTGCCATGGCTATCAGGAACCGGTAGAGATGGAAACGGTTGCCATTTGTGTCCGGACGTTGGTCGTCTTAAGGGGCACGGCCTGCAATGCCATGCGGCTGGCAGCTTGCAGCTTGCAGAAGCATAAGACGATGTCACTCGTAAAGCGAACACAATCTAACCACAATCTGTACAGCATTTTGGATTTCGTCGGATTCGAGTGCTTGAACGACCCATGCCAGAGGCGGATCTCTTCTTGCTCAGAGCACTTGCTTCGTGTGACGTACTAGGCTCCCGACGATGGATGCATAATCATCCAGCTAGAAAAAGCAGGTTACAGCTGCACTCTGCGCAATCTATGTTGTTGATAGTGAGACATTTTGCGGTCCTTCCTAGATGTGTAATAAGTTGCTCGTGTGTCGAAATCAAACTTGATTCTGTGGTCAAATGATGCAGAAAACTCGGCAGGTGTGGACGAGTTTCATATGGGCTACTAATTGGACTGGCACGTTACAACCTGCATACCTATGTCGTGGAAACATGGATCTAACAAGCATACTAAGACGCTTTATATATTGGTCGGTATACTCTTCAGAGGCCCACTCTGTGAGGCGCATGCAATGCTGGGACGCAGCGCATGTGCTTGCCAGCAGAAGACGAACTAGAGTAGGAGCACATCAGCACAAATGCGCTGGCGGTGCTTGTCATGCGAGTAGATATGCAGGTTTGGTATTAATGAGAGTCGGCCCCGCAGATTGCCGGTTACCTTATCCTGGATGCATACAACCATCTGATGCTGTCCAACTGGCTGGCCAGGCTGGCTCACATGAAGATCTCGACAGTTGCTGGCAAAGTGTTAGCGATGTTGCAGGCTCAGCCATAGCCTATTGCCATGATTGAGACGTGCTGATTTACAGATCCAGACTGTACATTCTCTGCCAAAAAGTCCCGGGCTCTGAATCCAAGGTACAACTCAACTCAAACGCAAAAGTGAGCAAACCTAAGACATGACCGCTCAAAGGTTGAACTACAACTCAGTGTTTCCCTTTCCCTTGGTTTTCAATGCAAAGGCGCCGGCGGCCCCAGCTAGCGTAAGTCCACCCAGCACTGCCAGTTGCCTCCCCAATGTCATCGCTGCAAGTAAAGTTATCCTCTTACAATCAAGATGCACCTGCTGGTCAACTTGCTGCGTGCTATTTCATGTGAAGGGGATTTTTGGGCTTACTTAAAGGGTGTTCCTTTCAACTGGATAGGGTTGCAATGCACCGGTGATGATATGAATTGATGGTCCTGATTGATGCCCTCGTCTATGTTTTTGGTGAAAATGGGTTTGCATTCCCGAAGTGTGCGAACGACTTGGAAAGCTCAGCTTTCAATCCGTTCCTGCATTTTGTGGTATCCTGGACTCTAATGCTGGAAAAGGCACAGCATGCACGCGCACCAATAAGGATCCACACACTTCATCTGTAAACTTTTTCTGATTCGAGAATTTGAGCAGGTGATAATTGCGAGAAAAGCCATCAAGGTGGATGTGAAGGTACTGGCCAGGATCACAACTGGGGTGCAAAGAGTTCATCTTCCGCTTTGGCCGATGGCTATCACTTCTGTCTGATCCTAGCTGCCTGCCCTGCAACTGGTCGTGCATGCATGCACCACTCAAAGCTTCACACGATTACAGCGACCCGCTATCTTTGAAGGAAGACATCTTACCGCTTCTTGAGGCCCATCCTGCAGCAAATCCAACTCCCGCCGTCACCGGCAAAACAACTTTCAGAGGAACCCCCATGATCCTTGCTGTTTAGGTTTGAATGTTTGCGCGCAGCAGATTCTTCAAACAAAGACCTTGACTTGTTTGTTGGTAAGAATTGCTGGCAGCTCGCGAGTTCGTGGATCAGCTTTGAACGATGTCCCTGCACTGTCGCTGCAGAAGCGCTGCTCTTCAGACTTCAGCTAGGACTAGGTGCGTTTCCACGTGATTGAAATTCTGCTCAGGCTGCAAGCTGCACAGCGATCCACACTCTTGGGCACTATCTCTCACGTGATGCACGTGACCATATTTCGACTTGGGTTACAAATCGGGTTCAAGTCAGACAGCGGCTGTATCTCAGCTTCCAGGTGAGGACCTGGTTACCAGTGGTTAATCTTGACCGCGGCCAGATGGCCATGGCTGCCAGCAAGGCGCTTGCTGCTGACGCCACGTGTTGAATGCTGATACAACCTTGGACTTCGCCAGTCTCCGACTTCTCAGAAATTCTCTAGTCTTTCCTAGAGTTTCCATGGATGTTCTGTGGAGAAGACAGTCTACAGCGGGAGTGCCTCGTTGATTTCAAAATGCAGGAATTCTTCCTAGGTAGCTATTAAATGTATGTAAGTACATTGCAGGAGGCAGAGTTTCTTGCATGTGAATTCTTGACTACCTTATTCTTGCAAAGTTTCTTGCCCGCTCCGTGTTTGCGCAGTCTGTTCTCAGTAAGTACAGAAGATAAGTTGGGAAAACTTCTGTGGTCAAGCCAGCTTTATGCGTAGGCCTCAGTCTCACAGAGCAAACTCGCTTAGAAGTTGCTGCAAGGTTCTCACAGCAGGACATTTTGTAGAGCGTTGTCCGTAGTAGGTTGTACTGGTGTTGTGGAGATGAACTGTAACTTTCTCTGAGTAATCTGTAGGGCTTTTGCTACAAAAGCTGAACATCTTAGAAGACAGCTAAAGTTTTGAACTGTCATTACAAGCGGGCTTACGTTTTCGTATATGATCAGAGAAGTCTCGTGTGGAAAAGGCAGTAACGAAGTTTGAACTGTCTGACATATAAAGTAGACTCGGCATTTGACAAGCAGCAAGCATGCCTTGGTGGTTAATTTTTATGATCGCTGGATTGAGTTTTGGCGCGTTTCTCTCAATCCTTCTAGCCGTCCTCTCGTGGCTCCTTTACCCAAAGCCGCTCGCGTTCACTGGCAAGCATGTGCTGGTGACTGGCGGGTCAAAGGGTGGGTGTCTCATCTTCTCCTCTCCTTCTGAATCGACACCCCTTTATGTCTTTTCCGTCAACGAAAGGAAGGTCCAGGTTATGATGGTTACCGCTAATTGTGCCCTCATTCCTTGCTTGCTTCTTGCCCTCCCTTCGTTGACATGTTTGGGTGCTCAAACACCGCTCAGGGTTTGAGCGTCCTTTTCAAGCATCGTTCGAAGCCTTCAGGGGGTCAGTTTGTTGTTAGAGAGGTGTTTCTCAAACCCTACAATTTAGATTGGCATACCCGCATGGACTTTGTAATGAGAAGGTTTTTGTAGCAGGTCATAACATTGGTCTGGACAAAAAGTGGGGAAAGAAGCACGTGAAGGGTGAGATCTGGCAATGAGTGTTTGCCTGGAGCACCTCCTGTATGCAGAACTTAGAAACTAAAGAACAGTACTTTAGGACTGAGAGTATCTCGAGGGCCCCAACTTTCGCCCATGATTCAAACCCCACTATGCTTTTCACCCCAGGCCTTGGCCTTGAGTGGGCCATCCAGAGCGCACAAGACGGCGCCAGGTGTATCTCCCTCATTGGTCGTGACAAGGCCAGGCTGCAAGCGGCCACCGAGCGAGTTCGGAGCCTTGCACCGGAGGCCATTGTGTCTGCTTACTCCGCTGATGTCAGCGATGAGGAGGGGATCTCCCAGGCAGTTGCTGAGGCGGAGGCGGTGGGGGGGACAATTGACGTCCTGATCGCAAATGCAGGAACGCTCGAGGTGGGGTGCTTCATATTCTACTTCGTTTGTTTGATTTCTTTTGGTGGCAGTCTGCATTGGGTTTTTAGTTTCAGGGCTTTGAGAGTCGCTTGTAGAGATCGGAGGATAAAGCGCGGCTTCCAGCTTAGAGAACGGTGTGTTCAGGGCTGATTTGTCTAAGCGTCGAGACAACTGTGGCGGACGAAAACAGTCTCAAGAACAAACTTGCAGAAAGTCCAAGTGGGCAGCTTGTTCTGCACATTCTTCTTACGATCACCCGTCTTTCATTACTGCATTTCATACTTGTCTGAAAAAGGTGAGCACCCAAAGATGCTCATATATGTAGTGGTGGCACATTCTCAGCAGCTGCAAAACTCTCTAGCATATGAGATGTCAATCAACCCGCCCTTCAAAGAGGCGATCGGTTCTTGCAATTGCCCTGGCCTTTTTCTACACCTTACGTTGTTCTCTGTATGAGTTGAGATAGAAGCGGGAAGATTAGTGGACATAGTAGGCAATCGAAACGACAAGCAACCAGGACAGGACGAAGAGGGTGGGCGTCAGGATAGTCTCCGGAGCAAGGTTGAACCTGCAGATTCTTGACTCGACTTCAGAGAAGGTGTCTTGTTAGAATTCACACACAAAACGAGGAGATCCAAAAGAAAGATTACCTGTGCCCAGGTGTCGAAGTTGGAGTCCCACTCGCCAACCACCGCCCGGCGGCTTCTGGATGTCAACATCGTCGGGACGCTCAACACCATTCAGGCGGCGCTGCCCAAGATGAAGATCAAGTGAGTTGCCCTGATGTCATTGCTTGGAGAGCTCCTGTAACTGTCCTAGTGGGCTGCTTCATGTGTCACAACTTTTCCTCTCCTGTGTGGAGTTCAATTCTGAGGCGCCCTCGCAAAGCGAGACATGTGCATCCAAAGAGGGGTTAGAGACAGGCCAACTGCATCGTACTTTATAAGGGTCTCAACAAACGAACTCCGCCTTATGACGGTAGCACGGTCAGAGGACTGACTCAGAAAATGTTCACGTTACACTACATTCAGCAAATTGGAACTTGCAGTGGCCGAAGTGTTACAGGCCCGGGGCTCCGTACGCCCTCTCTGCAATGGCCTTCTGGGTGACTCATCAACGACCCTTGTCTCTATTTTCAGTTTTTGGTTGGGTTCGTCATCTCTTGCTGGTTCCGTTCCCTCTCTTGGGTTCCTCTTCTGAATTCGTCTACCCAATGTAAAGCCCGACCTCTACGAGTATTTATGAAGCTTGCCCCTAAAACCAAGCGTTGGCGCTTCCTTCTGATTCTTCAGCCGGTCCTTGCCGAGGCCTTCTCTTCGCAATTTCGAGTCAACGTTCTTCCGACGTCGCTTCTTAAGGGAACTCATCACCCTTTCCTCAAGAGACATCATGTCCGCAGCGACGGATTCCGCTCGGTGGTCCTGGTGGGCGCTCTCGAATCATTTCTTCCGTTGTTCGAGCACGGAATCGGTCCGCTTTTCTCAAATTTCAGCACCCTTCTCCGTTTCCGCAGGGACGTCAAGCCTGGCAGCGACGCATTCCTCTCCATTGTTCTGGTGGGCGCCCGCGAGTCCTTCGTTCCGTCGTTGGAGCACGGACTTGGTCCGCTTTTTCCCAATTCTCAGCACATATTCCCTTTCCGCAGGGACATCAAGCCCGGCAGCGACGAATTCTGCTCGATCGTCCTGGTGGGCGCTCTCTGATCATACATTCCGTCGCTCGAGCACGGAGTTGTCCGCCTTTCCTAAAACTCAGCACCTCTTCCGTTTCCGTAGGGACACCAAGCCCGGCAGCGATGGATTCCGCTCGATCGTTCTGGTGGGCGCCCTCGAGTCGTTCATTCCGTCGTTCGAGCACGGGATTTATGCTGCATCCAAGTACGCTGTGCGCGCGCTCGCCGAGACTCTGCACGTGGAGCTGGGGCCGTACCCGCACATCCGGGTGTCGCTCTTCTGCCCCAGCCGGGCCGCCACAGATCTACAGGGAGTTGAAGAGGTAGGTAGATATTCTTTGCTCGTATCCAAAAGGTTCACTTTCTGATCTTGTATCAGGGCCGTTACAGAATTTTCCCAAGTAGTGGAAGAGGCAATGGTCAGCCGCTTCACTAGTTTCAATTCCTTCGTCTGTCTCTTTCTGTGTGCTTTTGACATTCTGCCGAGCTGTGGCGCCATGGATTTGCAGGCGATAGGGAGGCTGGGGCCGTTGTTTCCTGCCTTTTTTCAAAGTTCCGCCTCTCTTCAAGGCTTCTGGTTTCTTCTCTGGTACATTTCCTCTTGCGTCCGATCCGGTTTGCGTGCGGGCTGCCACGAATGAAGAGGCTATAGTCCCCTGGTTTTGACGGCGTCCTCCTGCTCTTCAGAAGGATGACAAAGAAAACAGAAAGAAGAAGGGGTTTTTTTCCGAGGGTCCCAACTGCTGGTCTGTCTAATGCTTTTAGGTCCGTTTTGCTGTCTGAATCATTCGACCGCTCAATGTGGACAAGATGGGCCAGTTCGAGAGGGGGGTGGCGCCCTCGTGGCGCCATGCGTAGCAGAGTTTCGTGATTTATGGAAGCTTTGTGGATTTTGAGTCGCTGGGCAGGTGCCGACCAGGTTTCGGATGGAACCTGCGATGGCAAAATCCCGTTGCAGAGAATGAGTGCAGCAGCCAATCGTTTTGATTGTAGCAGCAGACAGTCCCTTCTCAGCAGAATGGATCCAAAACCCGAAACTTGATTGGGTTCTCTCTTTCCTGAAGACGAGCAACTACAGCGACGTGATGCGCGCCGGGCTCGGGAAGCGCGGCGCCGTGACGTACCAGTCGCCGGCAAAGGCCGTTTCCGAGGGGATCAAGTCGCTCAAGATGGGCCGCTTCGCGATCACCACGCGCTACGGCGCATACTGGTTCCGGGTTTTAGGGTTTGGGGCGATGCCGCAGCCGTCGCTCTTTTCGGTCATCTTTGAGGGGATATTCATGGCCGTGTTTCGGATTCTGAGTGTGATCTTTGTGGTCCCTGCGTGGCGGAAAGGCGTCGTGAAGCTTTGGAAGAATAACGGCGAGGAGATGGTGGGGCTCAAGCACTCAGCGGCTCCAGAGTCCGTAGTGTAGGGAACATGGCCATGACCAGCGTTGCGCGAGAAGCGACGGCACTGCGCGGTTGCGACGGACGGTTGCGAACGTAGGTTGACTTGCCATTAGACGCCTATAGTGATTCATTTGCGCGCGCATTTACCGGAAGCAGGGTAATGAAAGGTGTGTAAAGCTCAATGCCGTGATGTGAAATAAAGGACTGTCTTTTACGGAAAGTCGAGTGAGTCGTACAGCTTCCTTTTGACCAAAACATATTTCTCAGTACTTTTGTCTCTTAGCGACTGCATCAAAATACATCCTGGTAGCTGAGAATGATGATTGGAGTTTTGATGACGGTATGTGCCTTTAACGGATGATCGGATCCTTTTCTTGGCCTCCAGCTTGAGCTGTTGTGATTGTCATTCTGTAGCCGCATGTGCGCGCGTCGACTTACTACTCTGAGCAGGCTCATGAAAGCATGCCGATAATCATTGGTTGAGTGGACGCACAGTGGAGTGATATGTTTGCGCCTAGGGCATATTTATGTGGAGACTTGCAACTTGTCTCGGCGGAGTTACATTTTGGCGGCCTGTATGCGTTTGTTAATTGGGCCTTACCCCAGTAGCCAACGTCCGATGTATGTATGCGGCGCCCACTAGTAATCATTGACTTCAAGACCTTCATTAAGAGAATTACAACCAGCGCTGGCCCAACTCGAGCATGGCCGCCACTAGTGCTCGCGACTGCGCTGCCAGCGCTGGCCTGCCAGATCGACGTCGGATTCGTGCCAAGAACTCAATAACATATCCGGCCTGCTCAATAAGTGCTGATGCATGCTCTTCCCGTATACAAGCAGTTCCAACATGCAGACGCCCAGTGCCCGGCCGAAACACTTCCCAGGATAGTTCTAATATCATGCCAGGATTGCCTGCCTCAGCAAGCGAGTGCAAATGAACAGTAGATATTGGCCCAATCGTCTAATTATTGGATGCGTAATGAATCCCAACAACCTAAAACGTGTGAGCGGCTAAGTTTAAGGCGCACGCGCTAGGGCCTGCAGATTTCTGTAAGTGCTCGGTGCCGGCTTAAGAGAGTCGTGCTTGCGGAAAAGAATTGTCCAAGAACCGGTCGTTCAGCCCGTTCTGGTCTGTCGTATATGTACTTCTGATTTCAAAATTCTCAGTAATGATGTGACAGCTTTCTTGTCAGGTTCTAGTTTGAACGGTTTACTTGGACCAGGGATTGGTTCATAGTGCTGCTTCCTATTGCATAATATCTACTGCGGCACCCCCGCCGCGCTCGTTATCCTGCCAGGTGCGCTTGATTAAGCGTTCAGGATTCGAGCAAGATGACGCTGGGGTACAGGGACGCGATCCCTGTCGTGCCTTTTCTTCCCCCTCAATATCCTTTCCCTTCTGCGATTCTCCACTACACGGCTCAGCGGCTGCCTGATAGTACCGTTGCTTTATACTCCTGGTCAGCCCGTGAAAGTCGTCGCCAAAGTGCTTCTGCATGATCCATATGGCCGAAGAAGAGACGTTCCGGATCGGGGGCCTCCATCCGAGTAGAATGAGAAGAACAGCCGTCTGCAGTTTACGAAAGGGGATGGCCTCACGGAAGGACCGAATTGCCAAGATTCGAAGAAGGGCCGAGAGCTTGCTTGTCTGAAGTGTCACCCTTTTCCCTGTCACAAACGGACGCAAGTGCCTTGGTTCACGGAACCTGGGACTTGAGCTTAACCAGCTCCGAATCAAACCGAAAGTCAAGGGAAGTTCCATGATGTCGGATTTGTAGTTGAGCGTGCTAGGCAGCAGACCTCGTTCTTCCAATCTTGTTCCGGATTGACTGGTTTGCAAAAACCATATGAATCGAACCCCCACACAAGGAACTAGCCATGTCGTCCAGTCCCAAGCTCGATACAAGTCGACTGATTGCCACAGCAGCAATTCCGAACTCACCTGCTTCTCCTGGGGGAGTTGCGTGAGCCACTGCCTTGCCACGTCATATAAACCTTTCGCCAAAGGACTCCTTTTCAGGATCTCTTCAAGGGCACTGCTCGTCTCGGTGCTCAACGGAGGACGCAGTAGCTCCTCCAGAGACGGCGTCCCCTCCTGCACAAACGAAACAACGAGCCTGAAGGTCGCTAGATGATCTGCGTGCGAGTCCTCAGGATTGAGGCACGTACTTTAATCCGCGTCTATCCTTTCTTCAGAGCCACTCGATATGGGGCCCAAGCACTCCTTTGATGAAAACAGCTGGCGCTGCCATTCTGCCCTGAGTCGTGATCGATATCTGCGCCCACAAAGCAGCTGAGTCAGCTTGTCCAATCCATCATGCTGACAAGAGAGGAAATTGAGGGGACCGCTTTGCATGAAGGGGAGCTGCGCGCGCACTCCTGCCTTGAGAGATCATCTAGTTTGGACCCACTTACCTCTGGGACCGGGACCTTCGCATCCATATGGGCGCTTCTTCAACTGCTCGTAGCTTAAAGCGAGATGGCGGGCAGCGCGGTGCGTCTCAAAAGTTAAGGTTCGCCGGTAGCCGAAAAGACCCTCCGTCGCTACAGCATGCGACTCAATTGCTGGTCTCTATCTGCTGCGCCCCCTGCAGAAAGGTTTACGAAGCGCCCAAGATTTGGATGCCCCTGACCAATCCCTCTACCGTAGCGCTCTTCTGACATCCCTGTCTTCAAATATCGACGAGAACTCTCAACATCCAACAGACGCATTTTGCCTCCGGACCCTGCTGGTTGAGGCTCGTGTACCCGTGATCGCGGCTGCCACGTGTAAGATTCGATTGTGCATGTGGGCGCAACCAAGCCTCTATGAAATGCGGACTGGTCAAAGCATGCAGGCAATACCGTACTTAGATAGAATGGTGAGATGAAAGCAGCCCAGTTGGATCTAGTCCTATCGTCAAACTTCACGTTGTCACATCAAGTTCTGCGTTATTCGAGGCCGTAAGTGCGCCACGTCAGACGTGGCTGCACAAAAGATGGCCCGTACATGACGTGACGAGCGCGCGGCGGCCTTTCGACAACCTAGGCCTCACGCCCTCACGCCTCGCACACTGACCATAGTAGGATGCACCCCTATAAGCTACTGTCCAGACCCGGGTGATTGGTTAGAAAAAACAGATAACCGGACCCGTCCCATGATGCAATCTGTGCGCATGGCTTTTCTCGGCCGGCCAAACACCATGAAACGCGATAAGGAAGGTATCGCGTTTCTTTTTGATCCAGCATCCTGAGAGCTTTTGCGGTTTGAGACGTGCTGAATATAACGAACTCAGCAATCATTGACGCCCCATGAAGCCGATGTTCGACCCTAGGACGTTCAACTCTGCACTGCCGTGTCACAGACTTCATAAGAAGACTTCATAAAAGACTTCATGATACGCGGAGATCTTGATGAATGATGGAGCCATCGCTCTGAGTTAATCATGCTGAAATTGCAAATGTTTTACGCGCTTCGTAACGTGCAAACCTTCTGATTAAGACTGTAGATGACCATCACTTTTTCCGCCCAGCAAAACCTGACTGGCACATGCTCGTGTTGTGCATTCACGACCTTGAGACGTATCTTCCTTTCATAACTCGTCTTTCCGACTCCCAGGCGGCTCAGATACGCTATGGTTTTATGCACTGCCACTGAAGAACCGTTGCTTGATGGCGCTCGTGAGCCCCGTGAAGTTATGTCCGTGTTTCTTGATGGTGTAAACAAGAGCCCCTGACGGGTTCTCGACTGAGCTTTGCCAGCCCAGTAGCTCGCGCAAGACGGCTATCTGCGAATGCAAGGAAGAGGGAACCTTTCTCAGTGGGACTGCGAAGATTCAGAGCCAAATAAGTGTGACGACCTTCTGATCTTCTTACAGCCCACAAGGAACACGATTTTCTAGATTTCAGGAAAAAAAGGAGCCCTTGTTTCCCGAAATGGATTTCTGGGGCGACATTGTTTCCGGTGGCCAACTTTGCGCATCTCGCTTAAATCATGACCCACCTTTCAAAAGTTAGCCACCCAACCGGTACCTTTTGAAAGAGCAAGCCATGCTAGCCTGGTGGAACTTGGTAGGCCTGCTTGAAAGGGGTGGCAACAGGTCGAGGGAAGCCAATTTATAGTCAGCACTTTTGGACTTCCTCGTGGTTCTAGGCTGTATCGACGCGTTATCTGCAATTACCTGCTTCTCTTGCGGAAGTTGCGTGAGCCACTGAGCGGCAACATCGGACAAACCCTGGGGCAGGTGACCGTTCTTCTCGAGGAGATTGCTGACAAGAGATGACGTCACTCCGCTCAGGGGAGGACGAAGAAGCTCCGCAAGGGTCTGCTGCAGCACAAAAGTGCAATTCGTGGTAATGCAGTTTAGGGAGTTGGAAATGCGTAACAGAGCTTGAAACATCAAGAAGCCTTGGAGAGATGATTCATCTTACCTTCTTTAGTGGACTCGCTACTGATCACTTTGTTTGTCAAGCGTCCAGCTGACACTTTGTTAAATGGAAAATCCGTCGAGCACAATCAGTATCGTTGAATTAACTCTCTGGGTGGAAGCATTTAACGGGTGATTCTGGGAAATAAGCACTACATGACTACGTCTAGAAGAAGACTTTGGAGCAAAAAGCCCGTACGTCCGCTTCCTGCACACCTTTCAAATTCTATTCAGGACAATATGCAGCTTCGAAGTACACCCTGCCAAACAATAAGCATGCTCGTAAGGTACCAGCATGCTGCCACGTCTCGCTGAATTCCTCACGAGAGATGAAGACCAAGGACGATTTTAGCAGAATGAAGAAGGACAACTTACGTCTCTGGGCGCCTCCATTTGCATCGCGTCCTTTCAGCAGATACAGCTCCTGATGCGGGGCAGGGAAACGCCCTTACCAGAGACGTTACGTTCGAGTGGCTCGACCACGTCATGTGCTGTTTTCGAGCTGAAGCGATCAGACTTGTGCTGGCAGTACCGTATTGATGCCAAACAATGAACCAAGGCTTAGGATCTCTCGATCATTGCAAGTCGGAATGTTTTGCGGTGCAGTGCCGTCGCCTAGAATGACGTTGACCGTGTTGACTGTGCGTAAGAAACGTGCCCGAAGTTTGATAAATCATTTTCTCTTCGCGGCCGCGCGGCCAACAGCGGCGCACGCGGCCGCGATGCTACTTTGCCGGCCGCGCGTGCCGCCGCGCGTCTAGCGCCCGCCTCGCGGTCCTGTCAAATTTCACTCCTTGCTTGGAGCTGGCCAAAACGTAATGCACCTGCAGGTAACAAGGCCGGCGCTTTCTAGAGCTTTTAGGATGAGTCAGCTGTAGATTTTGAAATGCAGGTATGGCAGTAAGTTACGGATCCTAACGAGCCAGGTGTACTGTTGAAACGTTGCAGGATTTGTAAGCCAGTGGGCGCACTCAGGTCATACAAGCTGACTAGACCTCTGAAAAACTAGGGCTGTAGAAGTTTGTGTTGGAATGAGACAAATTGCTTTTGCAGCTGACAGGTATAAGCACAGCGCTTTTGTTCCAACGTATGGCGAACGCTGCCTTGGGAGGCGTCCTGGAAAGCCTTGTTGAGAAGGGATTCGAAGTTGGAATCTGCGTGGCGCCCTTGCTGATCAACGGGGCAGTCGCGCTCTACTCCACATACACGTGCGGGTAAGTAAGCCAGCTGCAAAATTTAAAGCCCCTGAAAACGCATCAGCAATTCTAAGATGGGCAAAGCATGGCCACTCCGTGGTTATATGTTGAATGAGAGAAGTTCAGCAAGGTGATTCTCTGCAGGATCTACCAAGCTGCAGTCGTAAAACACCTGTGCTTTGTTTAAGAGCTTGAAAAAGCAACTCGGCTATATGGCTGGAAAACCTTGTCAAGGACGGTTACTTGGGAGTATGGCTGATTCGATGTCTTATGAGCAATCCCTTGGCTTTGAGAGAGCTAGCTCGCCCGTTGATGCTCCGTTTTGTTCATAAACACGAAGTTTGGAGCTTTTGTTATGAGGAACTCGGAAGTACCAGAAGCATTGAGACGTATGTTTAGCGATTCGCAACGGGTCTTCTGGAAGTTTCCCGGTTCTAGCAAGGATGTGGAGGGACGAAATCACGGATTTTCAGCCAAGCAGTTGGGGTATTTGGGAAAGAGTTCTCGAAGGCAAAGCGGTCAAACAAATCCACAACGATAAACAAAGTGCTAGAGAGTCAAGTTAGTCGGTCCACAGTCCATCCGTGCGTTTGCTTCCTGATGTTGCTTTGTTCAAGGACGATGAAAAATTTCACCTGCGAAAATGGTGTATCTTAAGAACTTCTGGCGAGGCCGAGTTGTAACTCGACCAGCAGTAACCTTTGTATCACGGGTTATTCTTGTTTAAAACGGCTGTTGGTTTTTTAAGGGCCTGCAGTTTCTGACCAAAAGGAAAGGGGAGTGCTATGAGTCTCCATACCATTCTGATCGTTCTCGATCTACGGCAGGGGCACACAATCACCAGTTTGATAAGTGGGCAAAGCCCAGAGATCAGAATGGTGAACAAAGCACTGCCTGTTGTGTCAGTACTTGAGAACCAAAACAGGGGTGGAATCTTCCGTCAAATATTGTTCTACGGACGCGGTAAATCAACGATCACAAATATTCTCTCCAATTAATCTTCCGAGGACGTCTCCGTTGGATGGGAAGTTGAACACGCAGAACAGCGAACTGTGAGACTCCTTAGTATGCAGGGGCGGTAAAGACGCCATGAAGTTCCAGTGGCCAATCAAGGGCTGGGCGCACGGCGCCCGGGAGTGCTTAGCTGGTCCTTGTCCAAGCGACAAGGACGCCTTCTCATCCGGACCCTATGACGTCACGAAGTCGTTCGACGTTCCGCAGCCGTTCCGCACCCCTTCGCAGCCGTTCCGCACCCCTTCGCACCCATTCCGCAGCCACTCCACTGCTATCTCGTCTCAGCCGACTTCGATGGCACTATGATGAAGTGGCGGCAGGCGCCAGCGGGCGACTTCGGTAGGGCGCGCGCGCCCGCCCAAAGTGATGTCAGCAGGGAAACCCGGGGTCAAGAGAAAAGCGAGACTCCGGTTAATGTATCCTGGGAGGGTGAGTCGCGCTTACGAACATGTTGAACCGAGGAGCAGTAAATGCATTCTCGGAGGACCTAAGACTTATCTGAAAATCGCTACCAGAACGCTTTCATAATATTCATGACCGACAACTTGAGAGCTCTGCGGTCTTTAGAACGAATCAGCTTCGAACAACCACGTGAATCTGAAAGCACGCAGTTCATGATCTTTTTTTGGGAGGATGAGAGCTGCAATGACATCAAACATGAACACTGGAGACCATACCAGTTTTTGGCCCGCGCAAGAGCTTCGCAGAAAGTAACGTGCCCCTCCTACATCGAATTTGCCGCAGGCCAAGTGATGGTAGAAGACATAAACGATCGAGCGTACATGCCACGTGGCAGATTGACCGGGATCGGGGACGTTTTCAAAGCGCGTTTTCGAGGACAAAGGGCGGCGCTCAAGATAGCTGCGGGAAGATCCGAGCTGTCGGCATCTATTCTGAGGAGCCGAATGCAGAATCTGGGTCTCCTTGTTGGGCGGTGAGAGAAAATCCAAGCTGGTTGTGAACAACGAGTCTGATTGTTGGGCAATTCAAAATACTCGAAAACTGATTGCAGAACATGAGTCTTCTTGTTGGCTTGAAAAGCAAAGCTGGTTGTAGAAAACGTCATCTTTTTGGACAGTAGGAAACGAACGTAAGCCGATTGCACGATATAAGGCTGCTCGGTAAGACGAGCTCGAAGCAGGTCCAACTTGGTCTGGTAACAATCTGTCAAAAACGCAAAACTCAAGTCGAATTGTACGGGCACTCAGCGAGTCCCACCCTTCCAGTGAATTTGATCTGTAACAAATGGGAGCAAATCCTAAATGTAGGGGCGGCAAAGGAGAGGAAAAAGGAAGTTATTCTCTGGTAATCGTGCAGGGAATGCTACAAGCGCTGTTCTTCGCTCGTCCAGTACTTCGGCCGGGCGGATCTGGGATTCGCGGCCCCCAGAATTTGCCTTCTGATGGAGTTTATGCCACAGACAATCGAGTCGCTCCTTGATCCCCGTTCATTTTGGCGCCTCGCAACGCCGCCCGCGGCCGCGCCGTGGCTCCTCGCGATCGCCGAGGGTTTGAAGGTTTTGCACGACCAGAGCTGGGCGCATGGGAGCCTCACTCCCGGCAAGGTTCTGGTAAGGGGGCTGCTTGGGCATATGTTTGATTTGTTTTGGAGGCTTTTGTCTTTGTGTTGGCCTGAAGAGATGTGAAAATCAAACGAAAAACAAGGAAGCCAGTGAGTGCGAAGAGGTTGTGCTTCGTGCCGTGCAAGATGAGTACTTGCAGGCGAAACATATTCTCGTCTTTGCGTAATACGCTCCGTTTTACGGGAATGGTCACCGTCTGTTTCTTTTAACTCTTTCCGTAAATTCGACTGTAAGCCGCCCTGAGAATGTCAATCTCAATTCTGGAGAAGAGAGAGCTGCTCGTCGGGACAATATAGTCGCTAATATTCTCTGAAGAATTCTGTCGACGCCGTCCGTTCGCTTTTCATTCCGCAGACATCATCTGACGGAACAGTCGTGAAGCTGGGCGACTTTGGGATGCGCTACATCGTTGCGGAGCGACGAGACAGGGAAAGCTCAAAGACCGGAGCCCCCTCCGCGGGGGGGACTTCCGAGCTGGTGAAAGCACCGGGGGTTTGGGAGATTGAGTGCGAAGAAGACGAGCCAGATTTTAGCGCGGACATAATCGCGTTTGGTCGCATGATGGCGTACTTGGAACACCGAAAGTGCCCGGGGACAGATACCAAGGACTACCAGGATCTGAAAAACCTCTGCCTAGACGCGGCCGGGGGATCCCCCTTGTCAATCGACGGTGTCTTGAAAATCCTTCATAGTTTTGACGTAAGCTCGTCGAAAGAGATGGTTGAGACTGAAGGAAGCGGGTCCTGTGAGAAAGGGGGTCAGGATCAAAACTCCTGAACATTGGACAATCGCGAACAGAGCCTTTGAGAAGAAGTCACAGTATCTCGACAAGGCGCAGTAACCCGAGAGAACGGGAGTCCGAGCGAGGACGGCCTACTGTATTATGCTATCAAACTTGGAACGCCTTGGTTTCTAGTACCATACATCATGCTTCTGACATAAAGCTGACGTATCATGGAGACCATTTGATGGGACTTGTATGGGGGTGCAGTACTGGTGTGTTATCAGCAATAGGTATTAGGCATAGGTGCACGACGCAACGAGGATGCACGAGCCGTATTCACCAATGACGCTGTCTAGAAGCTTTTAGTCGCTCCAGGACAATCTGTTTGCCGCGGCGCGTTTAGCCAGTTGCTGGATCGCAAATAGCTTGCGCGCCAAAGTCTAAATGTCGAATCAGGTCGATGGCAGCAACCTAGTGAGAACCTAGTACTGCAGGTCCGTAGTCTGAAATTATGTAAAACAGTGGGCTTCGTGCCCTGTTACTTGGACCTTGCATGTGTGCTGCCACCAGAATGTTCAAAGAAGGACCAATTGAACGCACCCCGGCCTGCGACCGCGCCCGCGGCCGCCCCGCCGCACCGGTACCGTCCGATCGCGTGACAATTTAAGGGATCCCTCGAAAGACGCAAGCCAATCATTGCACTGAATATTCGACCATGAGCGTAGGTATGAGCACATCATACTACCTAGAGTAGTGTACATCAAGTTCCAAGAGAGCGCGGCGCCGCGCCTTGTTGCATGCGGGCAGCTTGGCATCTAGGATCTGTGACACTGTGATCTTTTGATCAGCTTTCGGCCTTGCTAGATCATGTCTCAAGTAGCTGCCTTTGAGCTTTTCAGTACCGACAGCGGCCCATAGTATCATCCACGAATGCTGGGGTCCAAAACGCTTAAAAAGAGGGTGGCCGCATTCTACGATGGGCCGGAAAGCTAAGTTCACGGAGGCTAAGTTGAAGCACTGGCAGTGCTTCTTGTTCTGCCTCAGCTCTTTTCTCATTGGCACCTGCATCTTGGAAGTAGCAAGGATCAAAACCCCGGATGTAGGCTGGCTGATGAAGATTGAAGTGTTAAGCAACCAGAGTATGAGCTCATGTGAGACTAGGTTTCAGCAGATCAATGGCTCCATAGAAGAAGCAACTCAAGATCAGCCTACGAGCGTCACAGTGCGGTTTTGGTCCCGTCCTAGTCGCAGCGACATTCTTAACGTTTCTGCTTGATGGAGGTCTGTGGATCTGACAAGGATCTTGTACCATGTTTAGAGCGGCTAAATTCTAGAGACTCTATGCTGGCAGCTGCATGCTTGACAAAGGAAGCTGCAAGATCGGCTAAATCGACTAGGCCTGGAGAGAGGAGATTGCAAGGGGAAAGGTAGGCCTTGATATGGCGATACTCTTAGATCACCATTGCTCAACCAGTTCTTGAGAGTCACATAGCTCAGATACCCATTGTGTGCGTGCCAGTTCTCATCAAACCGAATACAAGAGGTGAATCTCAATCTATTGGATGCTGCCTCTGTTTATATAGCGCACTGTGAGAATGATCTCAAAAAGGCTTACCTATTCCCGGTTTCAGAAGCGTCCAGGAAACGCCATGCTGGTTGTAAGTCTTCCCAATCTGCCCAGTATCATCGTAACATCCAATCAAACGTTTCAGAGTCCTTGAGATGCTCTTCAGAATGATCATTATGATTGATATTCCAGCATTCCTAAGCCCTTCTTCATGTCGGGCGGGTGCAGGCCGGTGGAGGTTCCAGCAGCCAAGCAGCTGTTTCATTGCTTTTGGCAAGGCACACCATCTTTGAAGGTGGTGCTGATGGCTCTTTCGTTTCTCTACACGCAACGCCTTGATGAGTCCTGTCTCCTCATCTGGCTAGAGCTGCCGGACAAGCAAAGCATTGAGGAAGCGCTCGCAGACTCTCCAGTCGCAAGGTCACTGCTTGAATATAGCCCCTTCATAGAGATTCGTGTCTGGAATGAGAGAGAACAGGTAAGCATTTACAATGTTGCGAGTTGTCGAAGCTTACACACTTCATAAGATATCAGGATGCTTGTATGCGATCTAAGTTCTCGTAATCGTCAATATATGCTTTATGGAAGATCTTCTTTGGGCGTCTTGCACATGCACTTTCTTTTGCAACTGATTTGCCCGAGATCTATACTCCTCGTCCAAATGAGTGATTAGCACTTTCAATTTGCAGTAGGTACATAATCGGGAAGCTGCACCTATGAGCATTTTGGCCAAGCATTTGGATCCACCTTATACTAACCAGACCTCTTTCATCTTGTTCCTGTAGTTTCACGACACACCCTTTGAGAGACTAGAAAATGTTCCTGATTGGGCACCCGGCTACTCGGATATGGTCCGCTTCTTCTTGGGTTGGAAGTATGGGGGCCTATGTAAGTCCCGAACAATTGTCCTCCCTTTTCTTCTCCTTGTTGTTGAGTGGCTTGTACTCAGACCGTACTGCAACACCAAAAGCACCATGTTAACTCCTGGAGCATCTTCAGCGTGTCCTTTTGTAAAAGCAGTTGAAGTGGAACGTTGCATTTGAACTCTTAACTGAAAAGAGCTGCATCAGCACAGGCAGCACAGGCCAGCTTGTTACTATTTTGCAAAACCGAAGAAAGTGGTTCGTCATGTATCAGTCGTCCTGGATTCGCCGATGCTCGTTTCGGCTGGGCATGTCTATAAGGGGCGCATTACATCAGAATCTGGGGCTTGATGTCTGTCCATTCAATCAGCGCTTGATAAAGCACAGCTTGAGATCCTTACTCAGGGGGATTTGAAGCAGGATTCGCTCCTTCTGAAATTCATGTAGACGACCTGTCGAGCCACTCGTATCAATTCCAGTTGCTAGCCTTGCTTGAAGCTTAAGTCAAGTTTTTTGGTTCTGCTATTGATAGCAAAACCAGGCTCGAAAGAAGAGAATATACAAAACTGCAAAGCACATGCTTCGGGGGGAGTCGACTCGAAGAGACAGACAAGATAGTTCGTGGCTGGATAAAATTTTGCTTGCATCTGAGGAACCAAATCGGAAAGCGGCCTCACATCAAGTTGCGGAGATCTAGTCAAACCTTTCTCCTGTTTTAACTGCAGATGTGGATGTTGATGTGCTATTCCTGCGTGACTTTGGCCCCCTCCTTTCGGCGCCCTTTGATTTCGCTTACCAGTGGAGCATCCACGACTTCTTCAATACTGCAATCCTGGGGTTGACAAAGGGTTCGCCGGTTGCCCTTGCAATGGTGGAACATGCAATGAAAGTTGGGTCTCCAAAAGGGTAAGTCTGCCCTTTCGCTAGCTGCTCGTGCGTTATATGTGTCATTTAGCAACTCGTCTTAGCAAGAACTGTGCAAATGTAGCCGCTTTCTTGATAGGAGCCGCTCCAGCGGTTAACAGTCTTGTGCAGTTCTCATGCGAGTTGTGCGTCACTGAGCACTTGCTAGTCCACGTGTCTTACTGCTTGCTAATCAACTCACGACCAGACAGGCCCTGTTCAGACGCTTGCAATACCAGAATAGGCGCATATTCAGGTCTGATTGTGGTTGTACTGCAGCTTTGTGTACGAAAACTGCAACTTTGGCCATCGACATCGACATAGCCGTTTCTAAGACGTGCCACGGCCTCCCCGCTCTTTTCAGGATGCAGTCTTGATCATCCACTCTGGAAAGGAAAGTGCCGATCAGTTGACAAGCAAACGGCACCTGGAGAAACGCCGTCTATGAGTTAATATCGTCAGCTGTCCCGAGCCTCTGTTCGTCAAGAAAGTCTGGGAGAACATTCCTCCCTCATGAGATAGGAACAACGGTACTTTTGAAAATCCTTGCAGCTTTCATCCTCACCAAGTGCTCGAAGCTACCCTGGCGGCTGAACTTCCCCAGATCGTCCCCATTGACCCTTTCAGAAACGACAAATGGAGAGGAGTCTTTGATTCTCTGTCGCACAGTGGCAGTTCTTTGCAATGTCCATACGAGGCAGCATTCTTGCATAGCGATGCGGAGTGTCCCGAGCCCGTATGCGAATTTGAGGTCGCTCCAGAACAGAAACGAACCTTTGTCATGTTACCTAACGACATCTTCGATCCGATGTGGATCTATATCGAGCGGGGAGGGAACGCACCCGACCATTCAGTTGAGGTGATGGAAGGCGAAGACTCCTTGCGGTGAGCTTTCGAAATCAAGCTGGCATGGAAGTCTAAGTACGGCAAATGTCGGGAGCACCAACGTGTGCACTCTAGCGTGCATGCAAGAGCCGACTTCTCAGCGACTTTGTTGTGTATGAAGAGCTTCCAAGACCACGTGGGTGCTTCATCATTTTGTCAATCATATTATCATCAACTGTCATTTTGGAAGGCCAGCTTCTCGCTGCATCGATGTGAAGGTAGTTGAGCTTTCATTTGATAGATAGGGTTAGGAAGCCTTCTAGTCGACGATGACGACTTATGCACGGTCATGCATGCAAGTAGCGTGACATTGTCCAGGACTCTTATCGTGCAGGTTTGATCGATTCTTCACGGATCGGCCGTCCAACATGAGCTCCAACTGCATGGGGTTCTTTGACGGCGCATACGCCTATCATTGGCACAACGGTTGGGACACGCCTTGTGTCCCGGACTCTGTTTGTGGACACTACTGGTTGTGCTACACAAACTTTCTGAGAGGCCTTCACCCTAACATATACGGAGAGATGTATTTAAGAAGCAATGCCACCTCCCGTAAGTAGCATTCTCCGACCTTAGGCCTTATATCTTCGAGCGGGCTAATATGACGCATTGTGTACAATGAAGTCCTTGATATTCCAGACTCGATGCAAATTTCTATGCATCAATAAAGAAACGCAGGAGCAGCCGCCAGATCATGTGGCTCTTGTATGAGATGCGCAATGCGAATGATACACATAAAGAAAGGCATGCCATGCATCAACATGGCCAATAAACGAGAACTGATGCGGCACAAGAAGTGATAAATATATACCAGCCAATTGCATGGGTCCAGTCTGACTTGGTTTTCCAGTGGTCAAGGGGCAAGACATGTCGAGAAATCAAAATTTAGTACCATGATCATCCACGAGCCAGATGCCGCGGCTCCTTTCAAAATGTCGGCAGGGGACTGGTTAGTATACAGCGCGCAAAGCCCGTAACTTCCGTCCGACCATCCTTCGGTCGGCCGGCGTTGTGGACTGGGTTAGTTTAGTCTCTTCACCTTTCCCTGCCTTGGAAACACGCCCTAGACCGAAAATGCACTCACAGCCCCGACTTTACTAGGGCCCTTGCGGGCGCAGAGTCCACACCACCTCATCCGTTACAATCTCCTTTTCCGTTTCCGCCCGTGCCGTCAGCGTGTTCCGGCCTTCCGACAGCAAAACCTCCGGCCACACAAAGATCCGGTCCGTCGACTCTTTCACGCCCCACGAGACGCCGTTGCAGTGCAACTCTACCTTGGGTAGGTTCGAGTAGATCTTTACGCGCACTTTCTTGTTTGCCCGCACGTCGAACCGCCGACTGGTTATGTAAACGAACGGGTCCCAGTCGTTCCAGTTGGCCTTGTACCAGTAAAACGCGTCTTTCCTAGTTTTGTGGTCGTGGGTTACTAAACCCTTGTCGTTCATCCCCGGGGTGCTGCCCTCGCCGCGCCAGTCGGCGGCAAAGTCGAACATCGTCATTACGAACTTGGCCCACAAGAAGGGACGGTGCTTTATTGCTAGCCAGTGGGACTCGTGCACCAGGGCCTGCGGAATGCGAAGAGGGATGTTAGTTCAGACAGAGATGGTGAAAAAAAACGATAAATAGAGACTTGAACATGGTCACTACCAACTTGGGCCCACAAATGTGAAGGCTGTTGGCTAGCCACTTGCTTCATGCACGAATGCCTGCGGTACACATCAAGCGTCAAATCCAAAACCCCATACGCAAGTGTAGACCCCTTTTCAGCTTCAAAAAGCGCTAACCCACTTGCCACTCTTTCTGGTGAAATTTCCGTAATGCTTCGGCCGCTCATCTGGCGACTCCTCTCCAAACTTGGCCACTTTGGAATGAAAAGACCCTGACCTCTTGATCCTGATTCCGACCTGGAGTGACCAACCCACCTGCCATCCCAAACCGACGTCTTCTTCATGCTCTGCCGTAACTCAGGCTAAAGATTCTACTTCAAGGCAGACATACTTCTCGCTACTAAGCCAGTCAGACTTCAAGCATTGAATTCTCAGATCTAAATCCCGACCCAGACCAGAGCCCGCTAACCCACCTGCCAGTTCTCTGAGTGAAGGTCACTACCATGCTCGACCCGCCTTTTGGCATACCTCTCCAACTCTGCCAGTCGAACCCCAGATTCAAATTCAGGCCGGGTGTACATAACCAACTCCAGCCCGTTAATGCTGACCTACCTGCTACTCTTCCGAGTGAGGAGTCCCCGTCGTGCTTCGGCCACTCCTTTGGCATACCTCCACAACATAGCCGGTCACAACCGACCACCCCCAACCCGTAACTACAACTTCAACCCTCGCTAACCCACCTGCCACTCCTCCGAGTGGAAGTCCCCGTCGTGCTTCGGCCACTTCTTCGGCATACCTCTCCAACCTCAGCCAGTCAAATCTACGACGTTAACCCCAAACCTAGGTACAGACCCATCCAAATCTCAGTCCAAACCCGAAAACGCTGACCCACCTGCCACTCCTCCGGGTGAAAGTCCCCGTCGTGCTTCGGCCGCTTCTCCGGCAGCTCCACGTGCTGGAAGATGTTGGCCCCCGCGCCGTACTCCGACACCGCGAGCTTCACGTCCGGGTACTTCGCGTGGATGATGTCGATCCACGGCCCGAAGTCGTCGTGGTGCCCGCCGTACCAGCCGAGGTACTTGTTGAGCGCGAGCAGGTCCGTGTGGCGCGCGAGCGGGTCGAGGTACCCGGTCTCGCCGCTGTGGGCGTATGTCGATAACCTGCGAAATAAAGGAGGAGTCAGTCAGCTTCTACCTCGGTTGTAAGATTAGCGGTTCCGTGCTCACGCATGTCCTCTGCCTCAATTGAGATACCACGGTGATTGGTCAGATTGGAAGCCGCACTCTGAGAAAAGCCCTTGCTGTGCTCATAAGTCGCAGCCTGCCATGTACGGAGGAGCGACTCGTGTTCCTCGTGCATACAGGATCAAAACCATCTGAGGGAGCCAGGTCTTTGTGTCTGATTCGTTGCAGTGCACCGGCTTCGGCGAGCTTTCTCCTACAGGTCTCGCGTGGAAGAACCAGAGTTTTCGAAAAATAGCGCCTCCAGATGTACAAATGAAGGAACGCCTCTGACTGAGCTTCTCGGCTCACACGCAACGGATTGCTGTGAAGAGTCCACGAAAGCCGTGTAAAACAACTCGCAACAAAGACAGGAACAGGATGATCGAAGTAGAAAGATGGACACAACAGCAAAGTCATTTCCACTTCCGGTGATTCCCAAGTCTCACCGGAACCGGTCTTCCGCTTGCGCCTTGTTGGCCAGAATCCACAGCAGCGCGTCCGACGCTCCGTCCGTGGAATCCTGCTCGTTGCCGATTCCCCAGAACACGATGCTCGGGTGGTTGAAGTTCTGCCGGATCAGCTCCATCTGCTGCTCTTTGGCATTCTTGAAGAACGCCTTGGTGTTGGTCGCTAGTTTTATGAGGGGCAGTTCGGCCCACAGGATGATCCCCCGCTCGTCGCACAGGTCGTAGAAGCGCTGGTCGTGCTGGTAGTGTGTCAGGCGGACGGCCGTCGCGCCCAGTTCTTCGATCAGGTTGATGTCCTGCAGAAGTATCTCGAAAATCTGGAGCTCTGGAATGTAGACACCTGTCGCTTTGTCGCTGACATACTTGGCCTTTTTAAGTTTCTTGATTTGTAGATCTACTGGTCGTGCTGGTAGTGCGTCAGGCGGACGGCCGTCGCGCGCACTTCTTCAATAAGATTGATGTCCTGCGCATGAGGTCCGCGTACGGCAAATCAGGACATTGAGAACAGGGCCGCTTTGAAGTGATGCAAGAATGACACTTAGGAGGTGATTGGGAGGTCGCACCACACCTCCACTGGCCGCCCTATGAAAAGGATCAAAACAATTATATGCTTCGTTGGCTTTCTTGAGTTTGATGGCACGGTGCCCTTCTGGGGCGATCTTACTTGAAAAGGACGATCCGCAACAACACGCGATCCTCTTTGTTGGTCGCAGCTGTCCGTCGCTGTGTCAACCGAATTTCATTGGAAAGCGCCGCGTTGCCCTCTCTTTGAAGCGCAAACATTCCAAGGATCACAAACAGCCTCCGGAAGGCCTCAAACATCCATCCAGAGCGTTCGTTTTAACAGCCCCTCAAAGGCCCTCTTCATCACTGTGCTGATCGTTTTCCATCCTGCTTCCCTGCTCACCACTCCGTGGTCCGCCGCCGATAGGGCCCACCCCTGGTCAAGCAGAACTGCAGACCGCCGAAGCATTTTAGCTTCCAAAGGCCCCATAAATCACTCCATGAACAAAAGTTCACCCCCCCTCAGTGCTCACCTCTTCGTGGTCCGCCGCCGACAGGGCCCACCCCTGGTCGAAGCGGTCCTGGTGGCGCGTCACCCCGTGCAGATCGTACGGCTCGCCGTTCAGAAAGAAGCCCTGCTTGGCATCCACGTGGAAGTTGCGCAGGCCCAGCGGCTGCGAGAAGACGTCCACGATCACGCCCTGGTACCGAACTTCGACGTATAACCTGCGGGCAGGGGTTAACGTGCGAGTTAGCGATGTTTAGAGAGGGGTTAGCGGGAGATAAATAAAAGTAAACCCCAGCGGCTGCGAAAAGCCGTCCACGATCACGCCCTGGTACCATACCTCGACGTATAACCTCCGTTTGCAGACACATTGTCTTTCTATGAAGTTCAGAACAGAAAAAGCGGCCCGCATAAATGCTCACCGGTACAAGTGTGGGTCCTTTACGCCATGCCACAGCCGCGGCTTATTGATCTTCGTCTTATATAAGAACTCGATCCGGGTCGAGTTCGCCGGAACCTTATGATAAGCCGCCACCGCCTCCACAACGCGGCTCTCCCCGTCCACCAGCACGAGCGTGAGGCGCGCCATCTTCTCCGCCATGATCAGATTGTCGACTTTCACATCGACCTGCGAAGTGGATTACAGGTATTTTGAAAATTGGTTAAATTGAAAGTAAGGGCCTTGAAAGACCATCTTTCACCATCTTCTTGTTCAGGATCGGGGCGTGATCTTCGCCCGCCAACGGTTGTCGTATTTTCACCCTTTGTGCCGACTTGCAAGCTGACAAGGCCTCGAAGTGAGACATGTTCGAAGTTCCGTAGTAAACCAATCTGTCCACTTCGTCTCCGTGCAAAGGACAGGATTTTTTGCCCCCATGTATTGACAGAGCAATATGCAACACTCTACACTCCTGTGTAGACATTTCAAGATCGTGGGCACTGCTTGCTTCGTCACTGCTGAAGAAAAAAAATGTGTTGAGATGTTGACTGTTTTGTTTTCTGCAAAAGGGCCTGAGGCAGGGACACTGCTTTGGGGATGCTGGCAGGCTGGCTGATTGTGGTTGCAGCGAGCGCTTGTCTCGCTTACTGTTTGGTTATCGGCGGGGTCCCTTGGCAGACTCTGCCGAGATGTCTTGGCAATAGGAGCAGACTGAATGCTGCCTGCCATCAGAGGCCTGCCCTTCCAAATGAATTAAGTCAAGGACCTAGTCCTCAACTCCCCCAATATGGTTCAGAGCGACGAGCACACATCCACAATACAATCGGTTTGAAGCTGATAAAGCCTGCTTTTGTCAAAAGCACGCAAACTTCCTGCAATCGTAGACTCAGAGGCGTGGGGCCAAAGCTAAGCGGCGTTTGTTCTTGGAAATCTGAAAGCTCAAAGTAACAGGTTGATTGAGAATGGCGGCCTGACCAAGCTCTGGTCAAGATTTAACCAGCATCTCACAAAGGGTCACTTTTCACTAACACCAGCTGTGCAGCTTTGACAGGTGGCAACAAGACGGTGAACAAAATATGCAAAAGGCAGTTTCACTCGGTCAGCAGACCACTTAGATCTCAATCTGACGGGCTTCATCCTATCCCTTGCCCCTTGGAGGTTCCGTTCTGGGAATTTTGCAGCAGCGATGTCACATCACAAATCTGGATACCCCCTGGTGTTGCACTACTGAGAGCTGAGCACACCAGTGGCTGACACCAAACGGACCCCACTACCGAGGACGCATCCTCAAGATGCCAGCAAACGGTCCTCGTCACCAAAACAAAGCGGCCCACAAGGGTGAAGACAGCAGCTTACAGACCCCAACCCGTTTGCACCAGGACTTGCGCCTATTTGGTCGGACAAAGACGTCGAAGAAGCAGCTGCTACAGCTGAAACAAAGCAGCCCAAAGAACAGAAGGGAGAGCCCAGAAAACAGCAGAACGCGGCCCACAGTTGTTCCCCAAGCAGCCCAAGAAGGCAAAACAGATTCCTCAGCAACAAAGGCCATGCCTCGCAGCTTCTCACCTGGACTTGCGCAGATTCCCTCGACACATTCAGCTGCGAGACGTGGATCCCATGGCCCCCGTAGTCCGTGCACGTGACGTGCAGCGTGTTTGTAACTAGCAGCGACACATTTCTGTACAGCCCCCCGAAGAACGTGAAGTCGGCCGGCCACAGCGGCATGACGTCCTTGTTGTACGCGTTGTTCACCAGAACCGCGACCGAGTTCTCCGCCCCTAGTTCCAGCTGGCTCGTGACGTCGATCCGGAACGTCGCGAACCCGCCCCTGTGAGAGCCCACGTAGTGGCTGTTGACCCATACGTAAGTCACCAGCATCGCCCCCTCAAACTCCAGAAAGAACTTCCGCTCGAGCCCGCGGTACTCCTCGGAGACATGGATCGTAACCCGATACCAACCTAACCCCCGGTAGTAGTTATCCCCGCCGTCCTGACCATCTTTTGCATTCCACGTATGCGGGACCGACACCGCCTCCCAGTTTGAGTCGTCAAAGAAGCGGTCGTACGGGTGAGTTTCCTGAACGTGCCCTCTATGGAACTTCCATGGCCCCGTCAGGACCGTTATTTCCCTATCGCTCTCCGGGGGCCGGTATGGGCTCGTGTAGTTCTCAGGGTACCAGTCAGCAGACAACAGCGAGCGGCCGGGCTTCCCTGCGACAGCCCCACTAAACAGGAGCAGGACTAGAGTTAGTTGTAAAGACCGCATTGGGAAAGTTAGGGTTGAGGGGCACCACATTCTTGCGGCGCCCATCCCGACGCCCCACATTTTATGCCGTCAGTGTGACCATCGGTGCGCTAACTCTCACCGTGTTCAGACTGGTCTCAGGGGGTAGGGGAGTGCCTTTACGCTTTTCCTCCGAGATCCAGCATTGCCCTCCTCTATCCTACCTAGATGCAATCAGCACGAACAGATCTGTTGCCTTCCCTCCGCTGCCGCCCTCCTTCCTCCCTCTGCCAATGCAGCGACTCGAAATGCGCAGCGACCAATCATGCACGAGTCAACGCCTGCTTCCCTCCTAGCAACACCTGTTTTTCTAACCCCATTCGGACCTTTCGACGCGTCGATTGAGCGCTAGCTGCTTCCTCTGCGTTTCTGAACCCACGCGAGCATGCCTAGCCTCTGATTTTCGATGCGGAACTGTGCGGAACCCCGAAGTATGCGAAGGTAGGTTACGAAGAAACTCACTGCACCTTTAGAAACCAGCACCGGGCTTTACAGGGTACGTACCGTCGGTAGGAATGCTAACAGCCGGTCCCTTCCCCCTGCTGACCACGTGGTAATTTTTATAAGTTTGATTGGCCCATGACCTCTAGGCTCTAGCTTGAAAAGGCTTTTCTTCCACTGTTCCTAGCGCAGCACAACAATGTCAATAGTCTAGGTAAATAGGAGGTGCTAGTCCTAGCTTTGTCGATACTTGTGCAATTTTAACCGCACGGTGCAAGGTCTTCCAACTTCAAGCATTGGAGGGAGCTCCACGTTCACAATTGAAGCCCTGTGTTTGAGGTCTAAGAACAGCACTTGGTGGGCCTCTCGGGTTGGTAGCTCGTTGCTCGCTGACGCAGCATTGCACTCTCCGCCCCTCTGGTCGCGCAATCATCCAACGTGCAAAAATTGCTCCAAGCTCGCCCCGTGCAAGACAAAATGGCGACCGCCTGCTCACATTCTGCGGTGCAAAGCTTGTCCCCAGTTCTGCCCACCCACTCGTCTTTCCCTCACTCTGAGGGGCTTCAAACATCTTTTTCCAGCTCCTCTTCTTTATCACCCTCGGCATTGTTCCGACCGAAGAGCCTACAAGGAAGAGTTGTGCGGCGGAGTCTGTCAGTGCAAGCCAGGGGCCGGCGGCGCGGCAGTGGGGTGGGCTTCGGCCCGACGCCCAAAGTAAAAAAGCCTAGGAAGCAGCCGCTGGAGGATGACCCGTTCAGGGTGCCCCCCCCCGCAGAAACTAGGGGCGAGGAAAATACAGACGAGGGCTATTTGTCAGATGGGGATGATACAGTGCCGGAAGTAGTGACCAATCGGATGCTCGCAAGGATGGGCGTCACGGTGGGGATTCCGCTCGTGCTGGGGCTGACGTTCTTCCCCATGTTCTGGTATCTCAAGGTCATCAAGCACCTGGAGATTCCCAACTGGGTGCCCTACTTTGTGTCCATCTTCACGTTCGGGGCGGCAGGTGAGGAGCCAAACTGTGCGGTTTCTCTTTCCCTGCAGTAGGATTGTGACTCTGTCTTTGAAACAGTGAACTGCGCTAGGCGCAGGCCTCCGACTTTACTTGACACGTGCAGAAAACTTTACCCTTCCCCTAGGGCTTTACCTCACTGTCCAATTGCACTGTATAGAACAGGCCTCATCGGAAGCATCCTCAATATTATCACTGGCTCTTTTGATGTGTTGAGCTGGAACAGTTTCAACCTGCTCAATAGCTTAATACATTTCTTCTGTCATTTGTAACTTGCTCAGTCCATCCAATCCCTTGTGCTTGAGCTGGTGGCGCTCCAAGACTTATTTCTCCTGCAGATCTTCAGTGCCCCCCATCTTAGAAACGGTCCGATACTCTTCGCCTCATCACAATGATTTCCCCTTCTGCGTGGTCATACGAATCGAGTACGCATCGCACCAAAGAAGATAACTCAAGAGGCTGGGCCTATCTTTGTGCGTTATCCCCTTCTTCAATGTTGAGATGTGCCCGGACGTGTCTATCATATCCCGAAAGGAGCGCCCTGTCAGCTGGTTACCATGTACTCGTTCCCGCTATGGCTACGTTTTTGTTGCTATGCCACAGATTATTGTGAGCATCTTAGCTGCTGTTGTTGGACTGGTTCATAAACTGTTGATAAAATGATGCACTCTGCCCTTGTCAGTATTGAATCGTTTTTCTGAAGGGCCTTTAAAAGAAGATCCGTGTCAACCCTGTCTGCAGCGGCCGGCATCTCATATGCTATCCTCTCTGTGAGTTGGAACCCGTCACAAGAAGGGTCAGCTTTGGGTTGGAAAGAGGCTCAGGCAAACTGGCCGGTGTTTTGGGAGCTGCTCAAAAATGGTGGAAATAGCGACAAGAGGAGACGATAAAGCGATTGCTCGTCGTAAGTTTGGAACTTTCTTGCTAGCACTAGGAACGTTTCAATATCTAAGTTGAGCACCTTGCGGAGTGGTCAAGCTTACTCGTATCAAGCACGAGAAAGTCACTCCTTTCAAAGAAGCCATTGTATCCTAGTTTCAGAGCGCGTGAATCAAATCATATCCTGCCATAAGAGACACTGTCCGACAAGTTTGCTGCAAGTTGCGAGATTTCAGCCAGCACTGAGGCTAGCTACCAGGATTCGATCGGAGCTCCTTCGATGGTGACGGCTGTAGGTGCATACTCTTGTAGTATGGGCCCCTTGTGATCTGCAAGAAATTCAACGGCTACAGAGCTAGTGGATATACTAGGGGCCGGCCGCGGTAATACAATTTTTTGCCTCATCATGTTTGTCGCGGCCTGCAATCTATTCAAGTACGGCCGCATGCGTGGACTTGAGTCATGCATGAATTGCGAACCATATGTTTGTAAATAAGTTATACGTTTCGGACTCATCGGCGTTACGAAAAGAGACCGTCGGCTGTCATTATATGTTTAAGAGGATCAAACCTTGCGCGCGTCATGTGTGGCATCTAGGTCGTCCGGATGCCATGCGTTGCAGGCGGTGCACGTGTTGTGGAGGCTGTACGTGCAGCATGCCATGGCCCGGCGAATCGATCATGGTGCACATGTCAGAGAAATATAATTCCGGAAAATGATATGTCCAAGCGTCACTAAGGGGGGTATATAAGATATTGCGCAGCTGCTATACTCTGGCTCATTCACCATTGTATTTTCAATTTCCTGGTAGTGATCAAGCGCATGGACGGATACAGACTGCACTCAAAATCGTCGGACAATCACAAGCTCGTCATTTCCAAGTCGTTCCTTGATTGCTCGTCTACATCTAAACATGGCGGGCAGAACAATTGTGGCTAGCTTGCAATCGTGAATGCATCTTCTATACAGGAGCTGTTCTTCGGATCACTCCTTACAAGTTAGGCATACTGCCCGAAAGCCCCAGTGCTCCGCAAAAAAGGAGGGTAGGACCTTTTAAGAAACAGACTTATTGTGAACATCGGACGGCCAACTATTGCGCATGTGAAAACCACCGGCCGGAAGTGACTTTCACGCGCAAACTACCGTTTCTTAAATCCATACTTCTTTCTTTCGTAGAAAAGATCTGTCTTTGCGCTACCTAGATTTACAATCTTTGGACAGCCGTCCCGCTGCAAAAGAGAAGGAACATCACGTCAGCATTGGGTGATTAATAGACCCATGGTTGAGTTGATTTAAGCAATAGCTGATGAACATGCACTACAAAGGCTGTCTTCTGTATAAGGTCTTTAGGAACACCGGCCAAAAAGGAGGTCCAAAGGTGGGAAGATGACAGAAAAAAAGAACAAATCAGCCGCCAGAGACGGAAGCTTGACAAAAATGCAAATGAAGGATATTATGATTTTCTACAACCACCGTCATACACAAGTTCGCCAGAATCTTTCCAGGTAGCAAACATCTGGAAGGATACTCTGGAATTCTTCTACAGGCAAGTCAAAGAGGACTTGTTGAATCTGGAGGCTCACGTCTTTTTCTTGCTGCGTGCACTCTTTGCAGTAGTAGGCATCGGATATTCCCAGGCCACCGCAGATGACACAGCGCCCCTGATATGATCCATAGTTGCACTCATCGCACACTCGGACCAGCGTGCAAGGCCGGACGTATGAGTCGCAGACTACGCACTTCCCGTCACCTGTAGCAGCACAAACAAGAGTTTCAATGTTAGCCACCTCACCTTCGATTCAGTTTCCGTTTTTAAGCGTCTTTTAGGAGCGCACCGATAAAAGACACAATGGCTGATTGGCTTTTGGCATAGTAAACATAGGGGCCTCAAGGGTTCCTCAAAAGTGGAGGGTTGGGAGCAAAGAAATCTGGACTTAGGGCCGCTGTGGCGGAGTGACGATACTATGTGACGGTGTTGAAGTGAAATACCACTACTTATAACGTTGTTTTACTTATTCCATGAGGTGGAGACAAGGTGCGAAGACTCAAATAAAGCGCAGCTGGGTAAGGCAGGTATCACTAATCAGGCCACCCCAAGTGATTGGACAATCTGAAATACAGCAAGCAGTACTCAAACCCAACGGTCTAGAGCACAGGTGGTCTCTAATAATGTCTCCCCAGTGTGCTAGCCAGGAACTTGGGGCTTGGTAAAAAGATGGCACACAATGACAAAAGACAAGCGCAAAGGCCACCCAAGATTGGCATAATCTCAGCAGCTCCACCTACACCACCTGCTTTTGCCACCCCCCCGGTGAACATTTGCAAGCAATCACAGCACCCCCATCGGAAGTATGAAAGTTTATAAGCTGTGATACCCCCAAGAGCTGCACTTTTTATTCCTGTGGTTAAATGCTTCTCTGACAATCTGCACTGCGTAAAAAGAACACAAGTTTCAAACGCCCCAGTTCACAGCGACTTCCTGCAGAATCAAAACTGGTTCCGAAGATAAACAACAGTGTCAAATCTCTGCACTAGTAGGCACCCGCTAACGAGGAAATTATCAGCGATTCCGGACTCCCTGACAAAACGATGCTGGCAGTTTTCACCCACGAACGAGGAAATCATCAGCGGTTCCGGACTTCCTGATAAAACGATGCTGGCAGTATTGCACAACACCCCAGCAGATACAAAAGGCGCAAGCTCAAACCGACTCTTCACAACGAACCTTGAAGAAAGACACGAACTTACACTTTTCGCAGAGGCGACCAATTGCAATCCCAGGTTGCTTCCTGCACATAATCAAATCAGGATGATGCTTCGCCATCGCCCTGTACTTCAATAAAGCGGCCCTGCCGGGCAACCAGAAAGTGGATCTCAGCGGTGCCCCTAGTCCAATACTTGCGTCTCAAAGCTTCACCCGTGCCGAAGGAACCTCTTTGGCGCCGCCGCCCTTCGGACCAATGACTCTTGAGGGATCCGTGGCGCAAAACTATCAAAGTAGACTCCTTTTGTTAGTGTCTCCGCCACTCTGATTGGTGTGAATTACTCTCAACCCACCTGGAAGCACCTGAAGTGTGACAATCATTGCAGTCTGTCAGTGGTTACGGGAGTGGTTACAACGTTGACAATGAGACTGACGTCGACATTGACATCGACGTTGACATTGACATTGACCCGGGGCACTTACTTTGACATTAAGGTTACGTTGCAAACCTGTGACGGTTCACGCCAATCGACGAGCGCTTTGTTAGGATTACGCTATTTCCCAGTGACATTAGGGTTACTCACTGACAGTGACCACCGGGCAGAGTTCTTTTTGTTTTAGTGTTGTAGGCCATTTATCCTGACCCGGTTCCATCCGTACTAGAATCCATACCGCAAAGTGTACCTTAAAACCTGAAATTCTGACACATTTTTGTTCAAAGGACCTGAGCTGACAGTACGGTCCACGCGGATACCCTGTCAACCTATGATCCCGCGTGTAAGATGTTTTCACACTCTTTTGGGGCCTATGCACACCTGGGAGGGGGGTTTTTGCCCAAAAACGGGGTTTTGCTGACGTTTGTCGGAGACCCGAGATCCAAGCTCGGGAGCAACCCCGAGACCCTATGCACACCGGGTTGCGGATGTCGGGTTTCCGCTCCGGCGCTCCTCAACGCGTTGTGTACCTAACCGTGTACAATTTGTGTATGGACCGATCGAAGCCCGCAAAAGTACGTTTGGCGCGTCCATCGTTCCCCCGTGACATCACCGAGACCCCGACTTTCGATCGAAGGCTAATTTCAAACTGTAGGCTTTGCATTGAATAAATTGAATAAAACATTCGCATAATAAGTATGCTACAATAATGCTAGGCCCGTTGGAGAGTCTGTTGGATCAGTGGGGTGTAATCCTGGAGCCTTTGCATCACTTGTCAGCACTCGTCATAGGTAGCATTGTTGGATACTTCGAACTTGAACGCTGTTCCGATTGTTTCATGCGCTATGCACCCGGGTGTGCACGCGTTCATTAATACGAAGTGACCATCGAAACCCCGCCAAAGGGCCGGGTCTCGGATTTTGGAAAATTTCCGAGACCCGGGTCTCCGACACGTCAGCGAGACCCCGACTAGTGTGCATAGCCCGAAAGGGGTGCCGGATGTCGATTTCGAGACCCGGCGCCGGGTCTCCATTTTACCAGAGAAACCCCGACACCCCCCTCCAGGTGTGCAGAGCCCCTTGGAGCCTGAGACACTAACAAAAGGAGTCTACTTTCGTCGTACTTGCACCAGTGGCCCCGTCCTCAACGCGCAATTTTCAAGTTCCAAGGCAGTTCACTGTTCACTGTTCAGGACTGTTCAGCAGATCGACGCACCTCATTCGAATTTCGAGTACCTACAGGTAACTGGAAGGTTCGGGTTTGGCAACAAACGGCCGCGAAACCTCTGGAACCGTCGAACCGGCCACATGCCGGCCGTCATCGAACTGAATTTTCAGCGCTAACGGTGACGGTAAGGATAACAAACGCCGGATCGAAATTGAGTTACGAAGGACTGAATTGTGATGATTCCGTTACCTGCAACTCGATGACCGGAACTTTGAACAGAACGCAGCGGAATCTCACAGGAGGATATAGTTCCGCTGTTCCGCCGATCCGGTGTGTTTCCTGCAGCTTGTAACGAGACGGTGATGCAGCTAGTGCCACTGCCAGCTGAGCTAGGATTTCCCAAGGCTAAAGCTGCATTTCTGCTTCTCCTGCATGAGCACGTCACGGTGTCGCAATTGAGCACCACTCTGTGTTGAAAAGCCCATTGATCTGAACGCAGAGAGCAGGGATCTGTGTTGGCATCTGCAGGAGAGTCTCTGCTTGTTTGTTGTAATAGCGCATTGTTCGTGGCGAGCCCTCCAATCCCTGTCGTCTGCGACAGTCGCGGCTGGTCTTGACACACGCAATGGCGGAAGATGGCCCTGCTAGCCAATCTCCTGTTACAGACGATGTGGCCGCATTGCAGATCACGGATGAAGAGGCGCTCGAGGGAGTTTACACGGAGCAGCAACACAAGTACTCTCAGCGCACTCTGATCAAGACAATACTCTCATCTGGAACTACTCTGGCTGAGAAGAAGCTGGTGGTAGGAGGCTGGGTTAAGACCGGTCGTGTAGCTGGGGCAGGTGCTTTTGGCTTCCTTGAACTGAACGACGGGTCGTGTGCCTCAAGCCTGCAAGTGAGGGACTTTTTTATGCTGCTGCTTGTTGCGCTTAGATCTGACTATCCGGGTTCGAAGAACTTGTGCAGTCCAATGCTTTAGGAGTATTCTGTTGGCTGCACTGGTTTGAAGTATCGAAGCCACTCAACTCACAGATGCTGTTAGTAACCATTCATTGCGCTCAAATATCCACTCACACAGGGCGAAGCAGTCCTGTTGCATTGGCTTCTGTGATCGCATGGTGGCGCATTGTCAAGGCCCAATCACAGAGTTTGCCAGATTATTCCTCTTAATGCCAGTTACCGGCGATCCAGAGAGGAACTTCGGGTACTAATGCTTCAAAAACATCTGGATTAGGGGGGTTTTAGCAACGACCTTTTCAGCATGTTCCTGTGCCTTTCAGCACTTCCAAATACAATGAGATACCACTGCATCTTGACCCTGAATCCATTATCCACAGGTCATCATAGATAAGGCCGTCTACCCCCTTGCGAAGCTGACCGCCACTGGCACGAGCGTCACTGTTGTCGGGACCCTCTCAAAGACCCCCGAAGGAACGAAACAGGTTGTGGAGCTGCGAGCAACAAAGATCCTGCATCTAGGTGCTTCGGAGCCCGCCACATACCCAATAGCAAAGACCAAGCTGTCACTGGAGTATCTGAGAAGCGTGCAACACCTGAGGGCGCGCACCAACACCGTAAGACTTCAATCTCTTCGTGAATGAAGAGGATGAAGAGGGGAGTTTCTGGAAACAAGCGGGGTGGCTTTCTCCACTTGATGGTTTTTCTGAGGTAGTGCAATTGCAGCGGTTTTGTCAATGCTCACAAAAATCATTGACTGTGTGGTGCATGATTTGTGCAGCAGTCCTGCCTGTTCTGCACACCGTACGACTAAATTGCTGATCGGCACACTAAAACTGCGCTCTCAGGTCAACATCGCAACCAACGTCACAAACTAAGATAGCGCCGCCGCAGTAATATTCTTCTTAGGGTACAACATGCAGTTGGCGCCCCTCAGGCAGCTTTCCTCATCAGTCGGCTTTCTTCCCATTGTCAAAATACGTGCAATTCCTGACAGAAGTTGGAGCATGCTGCACTTCTCTCATTAACAAAGAAGTCCATTGATCACCGCCCTTGTGTCCAATCAAAGCTGTGCTACTTCTAGGGATGATCGTCGCCCCTCTCAACACTTTGAACAGACTCACCCTATCCCTATCAAAATGAAGGAGCCTTCAATCTTCGATCATCAAGCCGCGCTATCCCGATTGCAGATATCCGCAGTTGCCCGCATCCGCAGCTCGCTCGCATTCGCCACTCACAAGTTTTTCAACGAGCACGGCTTCATGTACATCCACACACCGCTCATCACGACCAGCGACGCCGAGGGCGCCGGCGAGCTGTTCCAAGTGACCACTCTCCTGAGCAAAGTCTCCGAGCCACAAGAACCGCCACCGACGGAAGAGGAGATTGCGGCGGCCGAAGCGGCGGTTACTGAGAAAGGGGATCAGGTGCGCCTTGCGTCTCAGGTCGACGTAATCAAAGAGCTTATTTACAGTCGGGGAGTCAGAACCAACCTCTTTTGAAGTTGAATCTACGTTTCCGACCATTAGATCGATGCCCATGCAAAAAGTCCAAAAACCAGCAGAATTTTGCCAGAAACTCCTCAGAATCTGATCGTTCCTCGTGATAGAGGGGTCTCGTGATAGAGGGGTTGTGTTCCAATAGAGGGAAGGGAAGTGCGAGTTGAGGAAGCCCAAGCCAACATTCAAGCGGAGCCTCTTCATCGTTTTTGTAGGTGCGGGTGCTGAAGGAAAAGAAAGAGAAGAGCAAGGTCAAGAGGGCGGTTGCCGAACTGACCGAGTTGAAGGAGAAGGTGGAGGAGCTGAAGAAGCGGGCGCGCGTTGTCGGGGGCTTGCTGCGGAAAGAGGACGGGGCGGTGGATTACGGGGAGGACTTCTTTGGACGGCAGGCGTTCCTCACGGTCTCGGGGCAGCTGCAGGTGAGGGGGATTGCGAATTGAGCCCCGGAATAAGATGCGATAATAAGTGTTTGCTTGACCAGTACAGGCCGAATGGCGTCCGCTAGAAAAGATTGGACGGAGGCAGAGGCTTTGCGAAAATAGTCTTAGGTTCGGGGCAGCATTGGACCAGTCGACGACTCTGCTCGAGGGCAAGGTGACCAGTGGAACCCATCTTCCATGGACGATGACTGCTTTTCTTCGTCAGGAAGATTGACTGTTCTCATGTCATCGCTTCCCAAAGGTCCGTTCGGCCAGGCAGAAGCTTGCTTCTGGTCCCTGTGCTTTCAGCCCCAGATGATGGAGTCAGGTCTTTTGTTCCGCATGCCGAACATCTTCCATCAAACTTAGAGCATTGGGTGAGCATCAGAAATTTCCTGGCGGCTCTTGAGTCGTTCTGGAACTCAGGGTCGCCGCTCCCAAAGGCGACGCCCGTTCGCTCTCATTGGAGTACTTGCAGTCACGTGCAACTTAAAAGCTGATGACCTGCGGCGAGAGCAAAGCTCGAGACACTCACTGAGTCCGTCGTTTCTTTCAGGTGGAGACGTATGCTATGGCGCTGAGCAACGTGTACACGTTTGGGCCGACGTTCCGTGCGGAGAACTCGAACACGACGCGACACTTGGCGGAGTTCTGGATGATCGAGCCCGAGATTGCGTTTGCGGACCTCAAGGTACGGTCTTCAGTTTCAGTTCATCGTTGTCGCTGTTTGCAGTAAGAAGCAAGGATTCAGACCGTCCAAAAAGACTGCATAAAGAAAACGGTATTGATAGTCCAACGCTTAAAATGAGGGGCGTTGTCGTGAGCTGTTTTTTCCGGCCCGTCCTTCAGGTGATTCTCCGGCGACTCCACACACCTCAGGCACATTTCCGGGCCCCTCATGTAGTAGGACATCTGGTTGATAGTATACGCCGAACCAATCTTCCCGGATGGATTTGAAACCTCTTTGGCAGTCTAGTGTTTGCACTTTCCATCTGTTGGAAAGAGCTACAATACCCCAGGCTCTTCTCGCTTTTAGGACGATGTATCTGGCGAAATAGTGCGTGGAATGTCTGTCCAGAGTGCTGAACAGATTGGATCTCTCGAAAGTCGGGCTTTTGGGCTGTTCCGGTTCAAGTCCGGAGCTTCATTTCTTTGTTATTGATCTTTCTGCCAAGACGAGATGCACGACTACATACGGTGATTGTGCTGGTACCTTTTGGACTCTGGCGGCGAGGATCTGGACTCACTGCTATACAGAGTCATTGTGTTCTCAATGTACAACCTTAACCAGTCTAAAACAATTGTACGAGTCTGCTTCTGACTAACTCTTTTGTATTGACGATCTCGTGCCTTTTTTGCCAGGACGACATATAGCTGGCGGAGGACTACGTGCTGTACCTGTGCCAGTATCTGTTGAACCACTGCGGCGAGGTTCTGGAGCTGATTTTATACTAATATTCCTGATGGTAAACCCAAGCGGTCTGAGTAGCCTTGAGCAAATCAGTGCATTGCCTCAACCATCTCGTGTGTTCTAACTATCTCGTCGGACTTTTTGCCAGGACGACATGCAGCTGGCGGAGGACTACGTGCGGTACTTGTGCCAGTATCTGTTGGATCACTGCGGCGAGGATTTGGAGCTGATGCGCAAGCTGTACGACAAGACGTGCATCGACCGGCTGACGGCGGTGGCCAGTACGCCCTTCGGGAGGGTCAGCTACACGGAAGCCATCGAAATCCTGCTCAAAGTGAGAGGCCGCTTTTGTCATTGTTGGTTGTTTCAAAGGAGAAGAGGAGGTCTGGTTGAAGGAAGCAGAGTCGACGAGCACTCTCTGTCTTATCAGTGGATCTAGCGCGCCAGGAAAGGTCAGATACATGGAAAGAATTGACATCTTGCTGCAGGGGCGAGGAAGGGAAGTAGGCATCTGTGTCGTCGTTGTTGTGCGTTTCGAAGAAACGGAGTTTCTTTTGTATGACGGACGCACATTGTACGAGGACTTCTTGACTCATCGGTGGGTCTAGCTTGCGAGTTCTGAGGGTCAGCCTTTACAATCCTGCTGCCGGTGTGGAGAAATGATAAAAGGCAGTTGGATTTCTTTGATTGCTTGAGACACGTGGCAAAGCCCACTGCTTACATTTTCCCGCTTCTTTTTTTCCCCTTGAGGAGCGCGTGTTAAATGCTGGGAAGGGTTCTCGACCTGCCACACTTTCGAGGCGCTGAGTCTGCTTTTCTATTGGTCGCCAGTTTCAAAGTTTTGGAAGCATCGACCTGGCAATCCGCTGGACGCTATTACCACGAAATTTTTCGACGCCGTGCCACGCCATCGTTTTCCCAGACACTTTCACTAGACCTTTCCGGACAGGTCAAGAAGGAGGACAAGGAGTTTGAAAAGAAGCTTGGATAGGCCATCAATCTGGACCTCTATGAACGCTCTTGCTCTTGCTTTCGGGCGTCGTCCTCTGATATTGGACCCTCAGCATTTGCTTTTTAGACCCTCCGACTTTGCGCCGACTATACACTTTCGAACAACTGATACGTCGACTCGGACACTTAAACTTCAGACACGAAATCTTTTGTTCCGGACACTGACTTGAATGGCTTTGGACATGTCGGGAAGGAAGACGAGGAGTTCGAGACAAAGTTGAGTGGGGCATCGACCTGGCACCTTTTGGACGTCATCCCTTATCTTCGGACATCCATATTTCACTTTCGGACGCCCATTTGGGTTGTTGAGGCAATTAAGTTTCGACTGCTTCGGACATGTCAAGAAGGAGGGGAAGGAGTTCGGGAACAAGGTGGAGTGGGGCATCGACTGGCGCTGTTTGGACGTGGTTTTCCACCTTCGGACACTCAAATTCTAATTTTCGGACAGGTCAAGAAGGAGGACAAGGAGTTCGAGAACAAGGTGGAGTGGGGCATCGACCTGGCGTCCGAGCACGAGCGGTACCTGGCGGAGGTCCACTTCCAGAAACCGGTCGTGGTTTACAACTACCCGAAAGACATCAAGGCGTTCTACATGCGCCTCAACGACGACGGCAAGACGGTCGCCGCGATGGACGTCCTGGTGCCCGGGGTCGGGGAGCTGGTCGGGGGGAGCCAGCGCGAGGAGCGACTGGAGGTGCTGGAACAAAGGTGAAGGTTTTAGGGTTTGGTTTTGGGGTTTGGAGTTTCGTGATTTGGGTTCTGGTGCCCGGGGTCGGGGAGCTGGTCGGGGCGAGTCAGTTTGAGGAGCGACTGGAGGTGCTGGAGCAAAGTTGAGGAGGGTTTGGGACTCTATTTTGGGGCTGGAATTTGGGGTCTGAGGCATGCGGTTTTGGGTTTTGGGTTTCCGGTCTTGGGTTTTGAGTGTTGCGATTTGGGTTTGCATATTACGTTCTGATGCGCGGGGTCGGGAAGTTGGTCGGAGGAAGCCAGGGCAAGGAACGACTAGAGGTGCTTGAGCAACGGTGAGCTTTTTTTGAACCTGGGTTTTGCCTTCCAGATCTGAGGGTTTGATGGAAGACCCCGAGTTTCAATGCTCAAGGACTGACGAGACTGCAGGATGAATTTGATTCCGTCGATTGAGCATACCGGTCCAGAACCGGATAGCTGGACGTAATGAAGCCGCATCGGGGCTTCGAAGCGGGTGACGAGCCGTGGGAGGCCTTTCAGCGCTGCAGAGGAAAGAAAGCGTTGCGTTTGGCAGTCCGCATCTGCAGAGGGTGCCACCCTGTTTTTCTGAAGATTTCTCTGACTTTGGACGATGATTGGGCTGCGAGAGAGTTTTGGACGATGATTTGGTTGCGGGAGAGTACTGAAAGATGGATCCAACTAACCTCAGCGTGTTGTTCGCAGATTACAAGAAATGGGCCTTCCTCGGGAGCCGTACGAATGGTACCTGGAGACGCGAAAGTACGGGACGGTCAAGCACGCGGGATTCGGCCTGGGCTTCGAACGGATGATTCTCTTTGCTACGGGTATGGAGAACATCCGTGACGTCATCCCGTTCCCCCGGTATCCAGGGCGGGCAGATCTGTAGGACCTTCACCGCATCGAAACAAAGGCACTAGCGTGGATGCGTTGCAGATTGGAGTGTTTGCCATTTCTGCTTGCACATAGGGTGCACAACGGACGATCGAAGTGAGAGATTCAGAGGGGCTGTGCACCTTTTAACGAGGGACCGTTGCAGAATGCCGTCCTAGTTATCATCTGATCGAATCAAGTAACTGTCTTGACACTCCAGGCAATGTGTCAACGGCTTTTCTGGCGCATCCAGGCTCTTCTTGTGCAAGCATGTTTTAAAAAGCCGTGAAGCTGGTGCCAATACCATAACGTTTATAAGCTTTCAAATGAAACACGGAGGTTGAACAAGGGTCATGAGCAATCTTGGAATCCTCTGCCGCATGGACACGAGTAACATGTGACTAAAGGCGGCTCATCAAAATGAATCGTCGAGGAGGCACACCTGTTGTGCAGATTCAAAACTGTAAAACGCAACTTCAGTGCGCATATTGCTATGATGCATCAAATCATGCACACTGAAAATTCACCGCCTTTCGAGCTTCGCCTCTTTTTGTGATTTCTGGGGAATGGGGGTAAGATTCCGTTGTAATCCGAGTCAAATTTTAGGTAGGTCTGTGAGTCTCGCGCGGGCCCTTTGCAGTGCATATGTGCAGTGTGGCCTCGATCTAGGGTCTAGCTGCGCGGCGCTTATGAATGAACTCAAGAACATATTAATGATTGAGAGCTGCATAATCGTTGAGTTGAGGCCATCCGACCGCGGCGATAGCTAGAAATTCTGAGGGGCTCGACTTGCATGATCATATACTATGGGCATCGTGTCAAAACATGTGTGCAGGAGCGTCTGGAACTCCGAAAATAAAACCGGCCACCAGCTCCCCCCTTCCCTCTTGACGCACGCTTTTACCGAGGGGTAAATCGATCCTGCCCAGCTAGATGTTGCCCCCACCGGCCACCAGCCCCCCCGGCCTGCGAGGGCCGATTTTCGGAGTTCCGGACGCCCTTGCACATACATGTTCTGACACGATCGGATTGTGCCATGGGTTGTGTAAATGGATGGTGAATCGTGGGCCGTGCGGCTAGGCTATAGTACTTTTCGCTTCCAACTGCATGTCGCTCGTTTGATTGGATGGTCGCCCGCGCATGTGATCGGATGGCCGCAGTCAATTGCGAGATGGTGTCAGTTACTGCCATATCTGCGCACTGATTTTGATGAGCAAACTTGACGCGACATGTAGTTGGAAGCCAAAAGTAGCCGCAGCGCCGCGATCAACTTCACCATCCAACACAATCCAAAAGCAACCGCCTTCGATTCACGATCCAAGATCTAAGCCCGATGCCCTTTGACATGGCGTGCCTTGCGGCATGACGCTGAATTTCCAGAAGACCATCTTTTGATTAGTACGGACCTTAGTAGGGGTTGCAAGCGCCGACGCCAGCGAGTATAAGAACCAAGGTTCTTCCCCCTGCAAATCCAGTCCTATTTAATCACTCTGCATAGGAACTGGCCGGTCATGAGTGTCCTCTTTATTGGGCACGTGATCGAAGAGCTCAATCGTCCGCAGAGCTTGGGCCCTCAGCGTCGCATTCTTGTCCTCCAGAGCCATGCTCTCTAGCCGCGTCCTGACTTGCGAAGATACATCGCGAGAGAGCGCGCTCCCGTGGTCGTTGACCGTCAGCAAGTCTGCCAGACAGTCCAGCGCGTTGGACCGGACCTGCGAGGACACGACACGGCAAACAAAGTAAGATCCCCGACATTCAACTTTGAAACGACCGCAGAAAACTTCATGGCGGGGCTTGCGTGCTCCTCAAAGTGGAGTTAGTGAACGGTTTAAATCGCTCTAGAAAGGGCTTTACAAGTAGCTACTCTACTCCTCAAGATTGGCTTTACTGTCAGGACGGCACAGAAGTGGTTTGAGTGCTGACTCACAATCGCGGGCGAAGTGTATAAGTGGATCCAAACTTTTCTGAAGGCCCGCAGCAGAAAGTTCCCTCGAACACGTGGGTGTGGAGCGAATAAACTTGCACACCCACCTGGCTATACTTGAGGTCTTCCGTGTTCTCGAGCACCTTTCCAATCAGCGCCTTCAGTTGACCCTCGCCTTCGACCCCCGATCCTCCGGCCGCCTTTTTGACAAACGTTCGTGCCGCATTCAATGCCGCCACGCGCACTGCACAAGGACGCGCATGCCAGCTGTCAGCATCCCGTAATCGCTGACCCGCCGCAAAACAACGCCGCTCTTTCCGACGGACTACAGGCTGATCGGGTCAAGGCTCTTGGTTAAGGAGCCGGGAAAGTAAGACCACCCCGCTCCCATTTTCCTTGTGCTTTCAGACCAAGCAGTCAGCCTGGAAACGGAGTCACATTGGCCCTACTACTTTCCCAACATCTACTCAGAACAATGCAAGAGTAAAACTGTGCCATTATCTCTCGTTCTTACAAGTTTGCCCACCCTCTGTGTACTTCCAACGTGCACATTGGCAGGAGCATCGCACGTTGGCGCTCTCAAGGTGCAGAATGGACGCCAAAAGCAGTATTTGCAGGTTCAGTTTCCTCACCAGTCCACGGACGGTCACTGCTCAGAGCAGTCACCAGCGTAGCCTCGACTTCCGGCCCCCGCGCCTGGACCGTTGCAGGGGCAGCCCCCTCCCAAGCGGCAGCAAGGCAGCCCTGCGATGATGATCGGACGGTCAGCACGTGCCAATTCATAGTACAATGTGCTGCACATAAATGGTTGCCTGCTTCTGACAAGCAAGGCAGTCGTGGGCCGGCATCAAACTTCCTAAACATGCTCCCAAACAAACTTTCCCTGTCAAGGGAAAGCTGGTCTCTTGCCGCACCATGCCCCTGGGTCCATTGAACATAGAACCCTCAAGCCACGGATAATTTGTATTGAAGCCAAGGATTTTGAACCCGGAATGAAAGCTTAACAATGATTTATGACGTTTGGAAAGTACCTCCTCATCTCGTCGCGCACTTAATAAGCAGCTCAAGAAGGGTACAAAGCACCAAAGAACTCGCTCCCATTTTTCTGCTAGGAACAGCTCCACTGACTGCTTGCAGGCGCCGTGCACGTGCGCAAATGTGCACTTCATAAAACTTCATGATCTCGAAATCTATCACAAAGCTTTGAATTATGATCTCAGCACAGCATTGGGTTCCAGTCTTCGGCAGACTCTGTTTTCAGTTCTATGTTCAGAATATTCAGATCAACTCATTCTCCAGCTCTGGGGTTGCTCACCAGAGCTGGCGCAAGGGGCGGTGCCGGGCCGGCCTCGTCCTCGTTCTCTTTGCTGGCGCCCCCCTCGCTGACGTCATAGTTGCTCTTGGGGGCCGGGGGAGCGCTGGAGGCGACGTCCAGCAGTAGGGTCGCCACGTGGGCAAAGAGATCCTCTTTCTGGAAGGCTTGGAGCACCTGAAGCAGCGTGGATTCGAGTGTGCTCTTAAAGAACAGAATTTGTCTTTCAACTCGAGCCGTAAGTTGGAGGAGCAAAAGAGATGAGGGCAGATGACCGATCAGAAGGACTTTGCGGGCTAGCAATCTGCGTCAAGGCCGACGTCCGAGCATAGTACTTGGTAGAAGCGCAAACGAAGACGAAATGCGCACGACAAGTGCAGATGCCGTTGTGCGCCACAACGTCACAAAGAGCTGCCAACTTCACCAAAACTTCAGGGCCAATGGTGACATCAAGAAAGGGAGCGTGACATGATAAAGGAAAGAATGGTGTGCAGGTAAACGGGACGCCGAGATAGAGAAACCCAAACGGCCCCCCGCACCTTCTCGAGGCATTCAAAGGCTGCCTCCCTGAAGCTCCCCTTCTTGCGCCCCCCCGCCGCCACGACCGCCGCCACAATCTTTTCCGGCGTGATTTCCTTTCCACCCCCCGAAACAATCGTCTCCGAACAAGCCTTGCAGATTCCCCCGATTGCGTGCAAAACGGCTTCCTTGCCGTCCCACAACCGCCCCGGGAGTTCCCCCAGGAGGGCGACCAGAAGAGTGGAGCCGTTGGGGCCGAGGTCGCCCTTAATGCCCTCGGCGAGAGCAGCCGAGGCTTTCGCGCACTGCTGTTTGGTGGACCAGGACGAAGAGGCGAGGCCGGGCAGAATGCGCGCCATGATCTCTTGTAGGTACAGCTGCAGAAAGCGGGTCTTCTCATTCAGTTTCGGGGCGTGAAGAACTCGTCAAGTGCTCCAGAACGAGTGATGGGCACAATCGCTCTCGCTGGGCTGATGTCGTAAACTATTGCTGAAGGTTTGTCCCCCATACTAGCGCTCCAACAGTCTACCACTTGGGAAGCATAGAAAGACGTTCAAACTAAGCGATATTTGGCATAGCGCCGTCTTAAAGCCACCCGTACCGTTCCGAAGCTTTCTATAACAACAGGCAAAACTGACCGCCCTTTGTAGAGCGTCACAGACCCCAAATCTTAGAAAGTCTGAGGTTTCAAAAACAATGTGCATCCGGCCCGCTTACCTGCAGCGACGTCGAGACGCTGCTCGTGTTCTCTTCCCACACCTCCCCAAATAGCGCGCGCACCTCCTTCTCGTCGTCATACTTGCCCACGAACGCAAGCGGCAAAACCTCCGTATACATCCCCTTCAGCTGTTCGTTGGCCTGCCGGGAAGTAGTATTCGTTTCAGGTTCAGATACAGCCACGTTGATGTAGGTCAGTCGGAAACCGGATGAATTGATTTGAAATTGAGAATGGATTCAGGTGCGAAGCACGTTACTTCAATCTTGGGTAGTCGTCTTAGTACGCCTCCCAGTTCTGCGTTTTGTAAATCAACCTGGCTCAACTCGACTAATATCAAGACGTACCTGCCGCGACAGTTCCCTCAGCAGCAGCCCGCTGGCCGTCCGCGACTCCACGTCACCCGGCGCGTCGTACAGCTGACACGTGTCCGTCACGAACTTGGAGAAGCGCGCGGGCGCCGCGGGTTTGGCGACCCCCGCAGCCGCGGCCGCGCACGCCTTGCGGACGGCGGCGGACTTTTCGGTGCGGACGACGGAGAAGAGCGCCTTCAGGAGGGCGGCAGCGTGGGGGCGCACGATCTCGGGGCTCGTGCGCTGCAGAAAATAACCGACATTTCGACTCGACGTTCTTGCCATGTTTCCCCACACTCTTCTAAAAGTTTCACATCTTCTGACGAAAACTGAAATGAAATTTTCTTCGTCTATCAAATGTCAAACAGACCGCCTTTGAGAGAGCGACCGCATTACGTGTGGGCACACGGGGCTCTGCACTGCAAACAACCAGCTGTAGCTCATGTCCGAATCTTGAATCCTGGAGGTTGTGTAAACTTGAGCAAGTGACAGGTTAAGCGGGTTAGCTTTGACGCCCATACCATCAAGCTGTGCGCCCGCTATGGAAATGCTTCCTTACCTTGGCTTTAATCCTACTTTCGTTGAAGAGAAGGTTCATATTCTCTACTGCAGGGACCTGTAATCCTAAGATCGAAAGGATACGAGGTGAAGCGTGTTCACCGTTGTGAGCATTGTGATGAAGCGCGCTACTCCGGCTCGCGTCGTAAGGCCCACACCGGAGCGGATCAGCTGCACCAGCTTCGGAGACAAGGCCTCCATGGTCTCTGCATCGACCTGAGAAAGGGAGTTTTTGAAGTCAGAGGAGGAACAAGCGTGACCTCTGCGTAAGCTTCAGAAAATCGACTATTTTTGAGCCCATGGGTAAGAAGGGCATGGCGTCCTGAAAAGCCGGGTAGACTGTGGGTCAATAGAAGCGCTTCCCGATTTTTGCGTCCCAGTTGCTGATCCTCTCTCTCTCAGAAGTCACTTTGTCGCTCTCCGTTTGCCCACCAAGTCTTAATGTAAGCAGCTCGCACTACAATTTCAGAGACTGATTGAGATGTGAAAAGGCCTGAACCAGTGCCGGCTCGACTCCCCAGCGGCCTGACGCTTCTGCTCGTTCCACAGCCTAATGCTCGCTCCTTTCAAACCCTGGCAACAACCGTTACAAACTTATGTCACCGTAATCGAGTCTTCCAACCCAGATCTCTTGGAACGCTCACCTGGCGCAGGCACAGCTCGAGCGTCGCCCACACGGGGGAGGCCCGAGTCTCAGATCCACTAACCCATCTTTTTGGAACTCTTAACCCATGTCTTGGAACCGGTAACCCATGTCGGAACCACTAACCCATGTCTCCGAACCCTCACCTGGCGCAGGCACAGCTCGAGCGTCGCCCACATCGGCGAGTCCCGCGCCGCCGCCACGCGCGCACTTTCCAGCTGCTCCGCGGCGCGCCCGTTCATCCGCTCCGCGTGAAGTTGCACGTAATTCAATCGGCTGTCCTCCAGACTGGAGAGCCCTTCCAGCATGTGGAAAACTAGATCGGGCACGTGGGGCCGCACGACCGCCGGCGTGGCTTGTTTCACGAGCTTGGTAACGGTCGCCAACGAGAGGCGGCGGACTTCGGTAACGGAGGATGGGACGCCCGTGGTGAGGAGGAAGGGGAGGACGATCGCGACCGCGGCTGCAGAGAGGGGAAAAGGAAAAAAGCTTCACATCTAGAAAAAGCTAAGTTTCAAGGTTTATAGAATCATGCAAAAACGCACTCGAGAGACCAAGGCTTTCCGCTATCTACGCCAAGCCCCAGGGTGCCAGCCAAGCGTTTTCTTTGCCTATGAGACTCGATCTTCCGCAATTTCAACCAAACAGAAGGTGCCGTTTTCCTCGGTGCAGTCGACCCAAACGAAGCAAGTCTCCGATTTCTACGAACTCAACATCCGAAGACGTTGGAGCAATCGAGCTAACGATCCCTACGGTCTTGAAACCCCAGAACCTTCCGAAACAGAGGAACTCAATCACGAAAGAAGAACGGCCTATGACAGCGAAGCCTCTCCCCTGCGGACCAAAACTTACCCTTGGCATCAGCCTCCGGTGTGAGGGCGGGGTCGCAGAGGCGCGCCGAGAGGGACGTCAGCGTGCGGCACAGCGTGGTGGCGGCGGTGCGTACCGTCTCTTTGATGTCGTCCAGGGCGCGGAAGCCCATGCTCCAGCAGCGTTCCAGGTAGGAGCCCACCTGCACCGCGAGCGCACGTTCGAGATCGAAAAAGCTTCCAGAATGTTTGTCATCTTATTCCCACCTATTTTATTGTATTCCATCATCTTTCCCTTCTGTATCCCGCGCAAACAGAGTCCGCCAATCTCGGTCGCTCCGTCTAGTGTAGAGCAAGCCAGATACGAAGGCAGAGCAAAAGTTGCTCGCGGCCTGCTTCCTTTCGGAGCATGGTCAGAAATCCGGACTGATCTGTCAGAATTTTATAATCTTGCCTATCAAGGTAAGCAACCAATGTAAGAGGTTCAGAGGGTACTTTTTCAAGGACCTTTCCAGCTCCGGGAACTCTGCTATGGGACCATTCTAACACCCGAACAACTCTCAGGTTCTCCACCCCAACCGAAATCTCATATGCTCCCGCCTCACCTCCTCCCAGCGCCGCCCCTGCAGCAAGTCCGACAGCGCAAGCGCGGCCGCTTCTCTGATCTCAGATGCAACAACCCGAAGTGTTAAATACCAAACCTTGGAAACCTACAAATTCCGAACCCGTAAAAAGCCCCAAGGCCTCACCTCCTCCCAGCGTCGCCCTTGCAGCAATTCCGACAGTGCCAGCGCGGCCGCTTCTCTGGATCTCAGGTGCATGACCCAAAGTGTTCAGCACCTATACCTTGGTGTAGACTTCCAAGGTTTAGCCTACAAAATTCCGAACCTCAAAAAGCCCTAAGACCTCACCTCCTCCCAGCGCCGCCCTTGCAGTAAGTCCGACAGAGCAAGCGCGGCCGCTAACCAAATCTCATCTCCGCAAAACCGAACTATCTAGAACCCAGGATTCTAAAATCCGCAACTCAATTTCTGCTTTTCGATCCCTTAATTAACCGCAGAACCTCACCTCCTCCCAGCGCCGCCCCTGCAGCAAGTCCGACAGCGCCAGCGCGGCCGCCTCGCGGGACCTCCACATGCGCGATCCGAGCTGCGTCAGCAGATCGTCCATGATCGCACCAAAGTGCTCCTCGGTCGCCTTTTTGGGCTCCGCAACTAGAGCGCGCCAAATGTGGCCCATCGCGTCGCGCATCCCCGGGCTCGGGTCGTATTGCATACGGTACAGCTTGGGAACTAGAGCGGCGGTGTGGGGAGCGAGTGCTGCGCCGGCCTTTTTGGCGATGCCCGCGAAGCCGAAAGCGGCGCCCTTGCGAGACGCGAGCCCGGCCTGCAGACAGGAAGAGAAAGCGATTGAACTTTGAACGTCGATTTTCTGCATCAACGCCGAGAGCATTTTTAGAACCAGGAACAGTAATGCAAGATGGAGTCTTCCTAAAACAATTGATAGCTCCCTAGCTCGACAGAAAGACAACGACCGACCAGAAGGCGAGGATGCAGCATGGAAGCAGGATGAAGGAGCGTTGCTAATAGGAATCGAGTTCTAAGAAATCACGAGCGAGAAGCGGGTCTGGACACAAAGCGCTCCCAAACTTCCCCAACCCAAACCCAGTTACGATCTTGTCAGATCCGCGACGGGTATATCGGAGAGCAGCAATCCGTTTGTCTACGATTTATGAACTACAGAATGAAATATGTTTTTCATGCCCGTCCCGCGTGAAACCCATGCTAACATCTCGCAAGGTCCCCGGCTGAGCAGATCGGACATCAGATCCTGTTTCCTACCCGTTTGTTATTTCTGACTACATAAACCAGGCAAAACCAGTCTGTTTCAGGACCGATCCTCACCTGGTGTCTCGCCAGGTCCATGAACCGGTAGATCAAGTCCGGCTGCCCCATCTCGTTTGCGATGCTGCACAGCTCCTTGTACGTGCTCATGCCCCCCCCGCCAGGGGCCTCCCCCAGGGCCCCCTCCTGGAACACCTCCGACTCCCCGGTCACTTTGACCGCGCGCTTGCGCTTGGCGGTGCCGGAAAGCGTGCCCACCAAAGCTTGGACGAGCGTTTCCTTCGTGGCCGCGTCGCCCAGTTCGTAGACGATGCTCAGGCCGCGGGATGCCATTTCCTGGAAGAGGCGAGTGAGCGACATCAGCAATAAATATCTAAATCGAAATCTTTCAGTTGAGACACCCTCATCCCACATATACAGCCGTAGCTATCAACGCCTCCAGTCATGTCAATGCAGTGAGAAGTAACTTACCCCTCAAAGTGGGCGTTGGACCTGCACGTCCTACAAAACGGATCGTTGGTGCAGGGAGTCCAAACCGGCCGAAAATCAATCCGATTGTCCAAGAAAAACCCAGACTCACTAAGTGTGCATTTCTTGAGCTTTCAAATAAGACGCCCTTTTTAAGGCAATCGAGAGGTGTACGCCTTGAAAAGATCCACTTTGGAAACAGCGGATGTACACTATTGATACACTTTCTGGAACACCAGAACGAAGAAGTTCGTTAACGACCACAAAGTTGCCTTTGCTAACCCTACCCACCTGGGTCAGCTCGTGGGGATCCCCCAGCAGGTGCGAGAACGCATCCTGGATGTCTGGCAGCATCGACTGGATGCGCGCCTGCCGCCCGCAGTAGCTCACGAGGCTAACTAGAGCGACGCACCCGCCGCACCGCACGTCCTTGCGCGATGAGAAGAGCGCCTCGTCGAACAGCTGCTGCACGATGGACGTGCGCGCAAGCTCCTCCTCGGGGGCGCCGCCTGCGGGGGTCACGTCAGCGCAACGTCAGCGGATTTGCGGATCAAGCGAGACAACAGCAGAGGGGCTCATGAACGCTGCAGACTCAACTGTCAATTCCCGGACGGAAAGTCTATGCTGGAACGCAACACACACATCCAGGTCAACAGACATATTCGGCAAATGAATCACGAGGGGTGCCAAATTGCTGCAAGAGATTCAGGTCAATCTCTTGGCACGAGGTCTTGACGACGCCCGGAGTGTTGAAGATGGGTATGATATTCCTCAAACGTTCTCACAATCGCATTGTTATGGCGGAACGATCTCAATATTCGACCTGTCAAGACTGAAGAGATTCTTTGCACGTGAGGTGACTTCCATTCCATACAAAAATGCAAAACCCTGTCAGGAAAGACGCCCTGCGAAAAACCAATATCCGTTGCTTCCCACCTGCTTCCGTCATGGCCACTTCTCCCGCCTCCGTGTCCCCCGCCAAAAAGTTACTCGACGCCACCAGCGAAACAAAGTCCGTCTTCAGAATCTGGTCCACCGTCACCGGGACGCCCCCCCAAATGAACGCCAGCGCCTCCCCCACCGCAAACAGCGTGTCCTCGTGCTTCGACCCCAGCAGTGTGAATAAGCCCTTCAGCGCAGTCTCCGCCAACCCTGCGCTGCGGTCTCCGTGGCACAGATGCCCCAGCGCCAAAACGGACGCTTGTACGGTCTTCATGTCCTTGTCCGAAAGTAGCCCCACGAGTCGTTTCAAGACCACGCCCCTCGTCACTGCCACGTCAGCATCTTCGGATTTGGCTTTCCCCGTTTCGGGAGTTTCTTTTCCGGCTTCCCCCGTTTCGGGGGGGTCGTCAGGCAGCAGAAGCGGCCCCCTCAGACCGATATGCCCGACCGCCTCGGCCGCCGCTGCGGCCAGCCCCGCCGTTGGGAGGAGCAACGCCTTTCCCAGCCGTTTGGTGACGTCACCCACCAGGCTGCTGACGTCAGGGACCCCCGTGACACACTGCGCGACTATGTAGCCTGCCGCCGCAATCGCCCCGTGCGTATCCTCAAACCGCCCCTTTGTCCCGGGCTCAAACTGGTCGGTTAACTCGCTTAACAAACCCTTAACCCGGTCGGGTCCCAGAGCGGAGACCACAATCCCGATAAGCTTTGCAACGGATTCTCGGACCGTCACGGAAGTATGTCCCAGGTGCTGACGCAAGAGACCGAGGCGAGGCGCATAAGCTATGGCAAACTCGCCGGAATTTGTGGAAGCGACTTCTAGAAGACCATTTGTTGCGGTTTCGTGCAGTTCGGCGGTTCCGTCACGCGCGAGAGCATGTTCTAAAACGAGGCGGTAGAGTTCCGCCGGAGAGGGGCCGGACGGAAGCGGGTCCGGAGAGGAGGCAGAGTTTCCGGCCTTTCGACACGCTCTCACAAATCTGCAGTCGTAAATTGTTCGATTATCAGACCCTAGATATGGTCAGCGCGACTGTGCTCTTTACCATTTCCTATGTGCAACTTTTGACCCCTTCCGACGAACAGTAAAGCAAGCATACAAGAACTTGAGCCACGGCTCGCATTCTCGTCTAGTATCAAAAGGTTGGCTTAGACTCGTTTGGAGAGACGCATGCACAACACCAATGCAGACACCATCTCAAGCCGAGAATCGATGCAAACGCTTTGGGAGCAGCAGGCAAGCTAGGCTGAGCAAGATCACGCTGTAAACCCGAGCTTACTTGAGTGCGGCTATGTAGGCCTTAGGTTCTAGTAACAGCGTTTTCTCCCCCTCTAAAACCGGTTGAACGAGGCGCGGCCGTCGCTTAGCAATCAAGGCCATGATGCTGGCAAGGGGGGGATACTCCAGCAGACTGTCGTCTCCCTTCGGGGGCTTCAACCCGCTCTCGGCTACCTCCCTGCAGATTGGAAGAAAATCGAGTTAGAAATGTCGGCAAAGGAACTGGCAAGCAGCCACGGCAAACGTGTAGATCGCCAGAAACACAATCCGGTGAGCTACATCACGATTCAATACCTGGATGGCAATCGAAAACCAAGACTACGGAACTGACATGCCCAACCATTTGTGCCCAGGAGGAACGATCAAACCCCCAACTGATCTAGGGGGGGTATCATCGTCCTCAGCACCAATGGACAGACCAGATAGAAGACAACGAGGGCCCCCACACACAATCAAGATTCAATATTCCACGTCTCGGACGCTCTCGTTCGAAGCACCCACATGGGCTCCCCCGGTGCTCCGAAAAGTTAACTTCCTCTGAAACCGGCACTGTAAGGAACACTGAGGGAAAAAAGCGTTCCTTCCACATTCTCTCGTTATCGATGTCACTGCATCGTTGGACTGGTTCATCCCCTTACCTGACCTCCAGCTTGTGATCTCCCGCTCCCAGCATGCACACATAGCGGCTGGACGCGTGGCCGAATGGGAACAGTTTGGTGGCCCATTGCACCGCGCAAAATCGCGCCCCGTCGTCCGCTGCCTCCACGTTCTCCAGCAGTAGCGACTCAATCTGCTCTGCAACGGCGGGAGCGCACCCCTGGAAAAGGATAAAGTCGGAGGATTTGTGGATTCAGTCAAGATGTCGGGTGCTTGAGTAAGAATGTAGAAGGTGGGTAGTGAGGTTTGAGACTTCGTGATGTGGGTCCCGTGTCGGTCTGAGGTGGAACCAGGTTGTACTTTCCGACGGTACGCTGACACCGCTTGTGGATTTTGTGATTTGAAATGCAGGCAAAAGGAGGATTTGGGATTTACCGCAGCAGATTTGTGGCAGTAACACAAAAGTGGGACGGAGCCTCACAGATACAACGACGGGAGTTGCTCAACGATGTAAGTACAAAACAGAAACGAAGCGCTTCGTACCCGGGTCTCAAGCCTCGTAGCGAGAGTTATGCAAGATCGGTACAATCTGATGGATTTTAATAACGGCCGCTCGTCTTGTTCGAAGCAGGAAATCCTACACTAGAAGCGAGGCACCCATACGGCCCAGAACGCGTATTATTGACGTCCACGAGCCACCTGAACCCTATCAAGCCCGGTGAACATAAACCCTTGATTCTAAATGCACAATGGCGCTGACCTGGTAGGCAGTCGCGAGCGTGCTCAAGGCTTCCTGCACGGTGGGGCGCACAGTGGGACCCTCCTCTTTGAGAGCCTGGAAGAACTGCGCGGCCACCGTAACGTCACCCCTGCACAGCGGAGGCGCACTTCGAACAAGCCTCAACAATCTGACATTGGGATGAAAGAGTTCTGGATTGCTGAAAGATCAACTTTGACCACCTACGGACCAGCATCAGATTTACTCCAGCAAATAAATCAAAGACCTGTACTGGTCTCGTACCTTTGCTTCAATTGCTTCAATCGAAGTCGGCTCCCAATTGATTGACGGCTCTATCTGTCCGGTAGAAAATTTTGATAACGAGCATTAGGTCGGTACGTACCTGAAGAGCTTGGGTTCCCTATGCGCGAGCTGCCCCAGCGCCTGGTAGGTGAACGCGCGCAGCTGCTTGACTTGCGCGTCGCCCTGGTCCGCCCCTCCCTCCGCGAGCAACTTCGTCAGCCCCTTCAGGATGACGGGGGCCATGGGCGCCAGCTGCGCGGGCGACGCGTGCTTGAAGATCCACACCGCGAACTCCATGCCCGCCTGCTTCAGCCGCATCGTTGTGTGCTCGCCTGAAAATACAGAATTATGTAGGTTGATTCTTCTTCTCATTCATATGATTGCTCCGTTGGTCCATCTTCCTTTCCTCCGTCCTTCTGCTCGCTTGTCAAAGGATCCATATCGCTCCACATTTCAGGTATCTAAGCCAACCTGCTTCAGCTGCATCGTCGTGTGCTCATTCTGAGGCAAACAGGCTCATATCCATCAGATCAGAAAAATGCAATAGAAGCAAGAGGGATGAACACTTTTGTAAGTTAGGGGGCCAGTGCATTTTGGGGCGAAACATTACGGAGAAACATTCCCAAATGTTCCTTGCAAAATTGACACCCCAACGGAGACGATCTGACCAGGGAATGCTGTCCGCAAAGATGGCCGGCGGTAGGATCCTCAACTCTTATTCTCTTTACTGGTTCGTGACTAACCGACGACGTGAGAGGACGTTGACGGCCGTAAAGCGACGTCAGCAACGGATAAGCCTGGCCTCACCATAGACGCAGTCGAAGACGCATTGCAGCGTGGCGGGAAAGCAGTTGGCAGCCGCTATGGAGCGCGTGAACACCAGCATGAGCCGCGCCTTGAGCGTCGGGCTAGCGGGGGCCACGCGCAGCTCCGCGGGGACGTTCTGTACCGACGTGCCTGCAAGAAAACACCAGCGTTTGGGCAAAAGGGAGTCTCTCTAACGATCACTTACATATGAGACTCTACATCATCGCATGGTACTTGACGGCATAGGTATAAAGTGGAAAAGTGCAGGTCACAGCTGGTCAGTAGGGGTGTCAGCAACGATGCTGCAAGCTCTTTTCTGATCTCGTCCTCACTTTTAACAGATTGGAAGGGAAAGTCATTGCAAGTGAAGCGAACGGTCTGCTCCGAAGTGCTCCGAAAAAGCATCGGCTGTTTAGCACAACCCCTGACTGAAACCTTGAGACCCTCAATGTGACGATCTCCGTGCATCGAGTTCCAACCAGTGACGCACCTTGCAAGATGGAGTAGATTCGAGGATCTCTGGCATCGCTCGAAAACCCGAAAACCCGAAAACCCAAACCTTCTGAACCCTAGATTGCCAAACAACCAATGTCGCACCTTGGAAGATGGAGAAGAGCTTGCGCATCAGCGCTGCGTCTTCCAGGTCTGCGCCCGCGGCCCGCTTCTTGACCAGCTCGTCGCCGCGACGGGAGACTTTGGAGTGGCTGTCGACAGACGCAACTAGCAGGTGGGGGTAGATCGCCGCAGGGGAAAGGTCGAGCGCACCCAGGAAGTTGAGCATCGCCAGCTGCACAAACCCGGAAGCTTTACTGGGTTACAGTCAGTCCGGCAACTTTTAGCAGAGTGATTAGGATTTTGAATCTCGAGGTTAAAAAGGCTGTCCACGGACGGGACTGGTGAGTGCGGGCAATACTCCGACGGGGGGAATTCGAGTGCGTCTGATTGAGGAAACGCCAGCTGCATGGCTACCAAAACTGCTGCTCAGGTCTTCCTTGTCAAGTCTGAGATCCAGATTCGTACTTTCCTGGTTTCAGGGAACGGGGTTCATTTGTGACTAGCCTCGTTTCTAGGTTGATACAGGTACACGTCAAGCAGAGTGGCCCTAGAAGGAAAAGGATACCCTGGCGACCCAGCTTCAAAGAGAGACAAAGCAGAAGCCATCTTATAAGTCGCCCATCCACATTCTGCTCTTCACTTGGAATGTCCAACCTGTTCACTTCGGTCATACACCCAGCAGCTGACCGCTCCGGATATGGCGCGTCGAGATCAGACTCATAACATCCGCTCACTTGTTCTTAGTGTTTGACAATCTTTCGGTATCCAGACTCTACAGATGCCCACCTTGAGCACCCCCAGCGTCTCCCCAGCCAGAGCCTCCTTCCCAGCGACTCTCCCCGCCTGCTTCAACGAGAGCCCGGGGGGGGCGGTCGGTTGGCCGTCCTCAGTCTTCCCGGGGGGCTGGAACAGCAGCAGCTGCAGCGCAAACTCCAGAAACAGGGCCCGGTCCCTGTCGTTCTTGCGGAAGGGGTACTTCTCGGCAAACTTGTCGTCCATGATCCCCCGATTGGAGCCATACTCCTCAATCCCCTGTAGAGGAGAGAATGGAAGGTTCAAGAACTGCCAGCTAGAAGCTGTGAGGATGGACATCAGTTTTGTCGAGCGGAACGGGTCGTTTATTGCATGACTATCTTTTCTGCCAGGTCTCACGAGTGAGCTTTACACACGTGTTCACGGGCAGGCCCTGAAGTTACTCAAAGTGGCTTCATTGTAACCAACCAAACCTAGATTTCGTGTTTGAAACTACCCATACTTGCCTTTTTCCCAGCCCCCAGATCGCACCTGACCCGAAATCTTACATTTCCTTGCCTCAACCACGACACCTAATTTGTATTTCTCGTGCACTCTCAAAAATTTGACACTGAACGGTTCCAAACAGGACAGCTCAAACCCCGAGGTTTAACCCGTTCTTCCACCTCACCTTTGCCACCATTCTAAAGAAGATGTCCTGATGCTGCCCCGGCCGGTCCGCAATCCCCTCTAAGATTCCCGGCACGACCGCCAGCTGCTCGTCCCGCGGAGAACGTTCGAACGCCATCTCAATGTACACGATGGCAAAATTGCGGACCATCATGACGGACCCGGGGTCGCGGTAGAGTGCGAGCAAGTCTTGGAGTGGTAGCTTGATGTGCTTCTGGTCTTTCACGCGCTTATTGATGTGAGACAGCATCTCTAGAACCTGAAAAAGGCGATGGAGAGAAAGCGCTTGAAGAATGAGCAAGCAGTTTTGATGTGGGACAACATCTCAAGGACCTGGAAAGGGGATGATGATAGGGGAGTGAGGACTAGGAGTGACAAGAGAAGAAGAGACACCAGCAAAGGCCGAGAAAAAAGAGAAATAGATGGACCCAGGAAAGCAATACGCCTCGTAGAGGCAGCTGATTGAGCTCCTGGTATTTGACGTGCTTGTTTGATTACACAACAACCAGGAGATTCCAGTCAAGGAGGGAAGAAATCCCAACTTAGCTGTGGTTTCGTTTCTCACTCATTTTGGCTGGTGGGCTCAAGAGAAGATACTCAGACAAACAAAAAAAATGTCGACGTTTTCAGAGGCTGGAAGCACAAAGAAAAAAGAACCAGAAGAAGGGAGACAAGGGCAAAATAGAATCAGAACGAGACAGAAAAGTCACGGTATCTCAAACAGATGCCAGCAGATTCATTCATCAGCGGGGGCTGTACAGAAGAATTTCGTGAGAGTGTGGGAGTCTCATAATGATCAACCATTGTTTGGATGCAACTGGCTGCAAAGGAACAAACGACAGGACGACTGCCTAGAAGATCGCTGGTGCTGCTTTGCATCAGTAGGCTCAAAAGAGGCTGATTGGAGTGCGTTTGTAAAGGCCCACATCAGCGGCTAAAATTACTCAACAACTTCTCTACCTGGAGAAAAACTTAGCAACTCAGAAAGCGAAGATCCCAAAAGCGATCCAAGCAGACCATCGGGTATGTCACGCCAGTCGCACCAGGGCACCTCGGATTCTGGCAGAAAGAAGGTTATCTCATCCTTGTGTGAGAAGTAACAGACTCTTGCTGCGCCCACCACCACTTATCAAGCTTGGATACAAAAATTGATTCTTATAAGAAGAATATAGAACAAGAAGATCTAGGAACCTAGAAAACCAAGTACAACATGGGAAGGCAAGGTAAGAAGGCAAGATAAGATTTATTTAGGAAGCTCAATTGATGCCAGACCAGGAGTGTCGCCAACCTGCAGCCCTGGAGTAACACCACAACATGTCACAACGCCGTTTTCAAGCACCATTTTTCACCATGTATACCATATTTGGCTGGGAGTGAGGTCAATTCAGCTGACCTTCTTCTTGGTGGTTTCATGGGGTGACGCCAGATTCTTTATGGCCACCGGCAGCAGCTTGCTGAGGACTTTTTCCAGCTTATCCTCCTCTGTCAAAGCCAAGCGGGTTAGGAAGCGGTCGAGGACCGCAGCCTCCTCTTCAGCAGTGGCACCACTCATTGTCGCTTTTTTTTTGTTTCTACTTTCAAATCTTGATTCTATTCAATCTTCTTCAAAAGCACTGAACCAATTGACCAGATCTATGCTGTAAATAGGACTTTTCTTAGAGCTCGTAACTTCAGAAATTCTGTGTCTGAAAGACTTCTGTACGTGAGTAGCAGCTTTCGCCAATTGGGACTGGTCAAAAGAACGCGAGCGCTGCAGCTTGCCCCTTCTACTTAGCAACAATCTATGCACCTATCTTTCTTGTCAACCAGGAAAGAGAAACACGTGGAGGAGCTCGTTATGAGACTATTAGTACCGGTATGTAGCTGGTGCAAGGGATCGCGCAAGCCTGCAAGATTCAGAAGAAAGGAAAGAGAGACAAGAACTCGATCAGGTTGTGCTGTTAGTCTCTAAACCCTGATCTAACCCGCTTCTAACGTCCTCAAAAGCCAGCTGGCAGCCATTGAAGCAAGGATCGAGCCTCAGGGGGGTCCAAACGGAGACACAAAGTTGAGCGATTTAAACCGTCCGATGCGGCCCTCTGTTCCTTCACAACCCTTCAATGTGCCCTTTTGCACGCCCAGCCAAAATCCTCCCCCAATCAGGGTTGGTCTTCGCTGTCAACGAGTGGCCCAGCTAGCTGGAACTTTGCGGTTGAACTTCACCAGTTGAAGAAGAAACGTTGTATTGCATTTTGTGGCTCAGATTCAGAAAAACGTTCTCTTCAGAGGGTTGATTGGGATCCAAGCAAGGGAGAAAAGAACATCGAAGCAAGGGAGACCAACCCTAGTAGGTAGCAGCTTTCTGATTGCCCTTGGTTTGAAGACAACGTGAAGGCATAGCCTGCGATGCATGCTACCGAGTCGGGTCTGCTTGTGGATCCACAATGCTCGAAGCAGGTGGGTACCAGCTTGGCGCTGTTGCTTTGGGTCACATTGTCCTCTGTTTGGGAGCCTTCACAAATGGAGGTTGCAATGCATATGTGCAGACCTCTTGTCTCTCAAGACCAGACGGTCGGGGTTTACTTCTCTCTTGTCTCCTGAATGAAATGATTTGTCGGTTTGTGCCGCCTGTTCATGGGTGCAGTGGTTGGTTTGGGTTTGAGGTTATGATCACTATCTAGCCAGATCTACTGCAGCCTGTGCAGGCTTAGCTCAGTCTTCTTGCAGCATGGTTACAGTCAGTCGGTCCTCATTATCATAATACTTTGAGGGCACCCTAACCTGAGCTGGTTCTGACCAGTTCGAATGGAGTAGATGCACTAATCAGGCATTGTAAGCCCCCGTAGCTCTATCCAGATCATGGCTCCCAGCATACTGTTCTGCTCCTGACCTGGCTTTTATTGATCGACCCTAGTAGCTTCTGTCACGACTAGAAGTTCCTGCCCGGACCCTGTATTCCTCTGGCTCAACCCTTGTTACTGTTACAGTTGGCTCCCCTCGGTAAATCTGACGCGCACCTTTCGTTCATCGACCCTCCAACTCGCATTCTGAGTCCAGTTTTGGAAGTCTTTTAACTCCTGTCTGTAAAGCCCAAGCTCCGGTGCATAAACCCTTAGCCCCCTACCATAAACCCTTGCTCCATGTCTCATAAACCCTTTGCTCCTGCCTATAAACCCTCAGCTTCCCCTGAATAAACCTTGGCTCCTGGTCACAAACCCTTAGCCCCTTATCTTCATCCTTTCCGTCTGGTTGGTTCTGCTCCCAATCTGTGCATCTTAACCTTGCAGGTTGGTGTAAACTAACTCCAAAGCACGCCCAGATGCGTTAGGCCAGCAGATGGCCCTTAGCTACGAGGGCATGGCGTTCCTCAAAGCCGCCATTGAGGTGGTCCCTGGAGAGAAGCAGCCTCTGTATAGCAAGCAGCGAGGCAGCTTCTCAGAGAGCCGCATCTGCGCAGCCAACGGCAACAGTCACTCAGCTAAGCCTGTTGCAGGCACTGGAAAGCAGACTGGAGAGAGCGACTTTGTCCACCCTAGATTGAAACCAGTGCAACTGTCAAGCCAGCAGAATGTTGCAAAGAGCCCCAGTGAGGTCAGCCATGCTTCAGCGGAGTCATCTCTGGAGGTCCCTTCCATCACCAGAGAAAGCCCTCTCAGTAGAAGCCCGCTAGACCATAATGTCAGTGCAGGGTTCGATGGGTCAGACTTCGAGAGCTGCGCTGGTTCCCCTCAAGCTGCTGCCAGCTGGCGCTTGACTGCAGAAGAGGCCGGAGACACCCCCTGGGCCGGAGACACCCCGCGGTCAGTGGGCAGTTCCTTGTCGTCTGAGAGGGAGAGGCAGATTGAGAGCCTGGAGGTACAGCTGGCCTCCAAGAGCAGCGAGATTCAGCGGCTCGCGGACGTGTGCTCGGGCGCTGAGCTGGCGCTTGCCGAGCGGGACAAGGAGGCGGCGCACCTGGGGGCTTTGGCGAGGAATCTCGAGGAGCAGATCTTGGCCAAGAACGAAGTGCTGGATCTTTCTCAGGAGCTGATTGCGAGCCTGGAGGAGAGGCTGGTGGCTCTGGAAGTGCAAAGAGAGGCTCTGGAGGCGCGGGCGGGGGAGTACGGGAAGTGCTTGCTGGAGATGCAGGAAGAACTAGAACGGGGGAGGAGAGAATTGGAGGGTCTGCGAGAGGAAAAGGGATCGACCTTGCGGAGAAGTGAGGAGCTAGAAAAGTTGGTGGGATGTTTGGAGGGACAGGTGACAGAGAAGACCGAGGGGTGCGCAGTCTTGGAAGCCCGGTTGCAAGTGGCTGAAAGAGTGGCGGCCGGACGGGTTGGGGCGCTAACCGAGAAGATAACCCGCCTGCAGACCGGGCTTGCCGAGAACGCGCGAGCGCTGAGGTGTGCGGAGGAGCTGACAGGGGAACTAAAGCGGCAGTTGCAAGAGAAAGAGGACGTAATCAAGGAGAGCAAAGCACAGTGTGAACTGGTCCTGAAAGAAGGCAATGCGGTGTGCGAACGAGCCCTGGAAGCCCAGGCGGAGATTTTGCAAGCAACGGAGGCGCGTCTGAAAACGCTCGAGAGCGACGTTGAGAGAAAAGATGGAAATCTGGAGGCTGTGGGGGCCCATGTGGCGGACCTGACGCGCCAGCTGGAAGAGCGGGAAGAGGAGTGTGAACGGGCGCAAGCTGGTGTAGAAAGGCTCCGGGGACAGCTGGCGGATTCGCAGGCGAAGAACAAAACTCTGAGGAAGGCGCTAGAAGAAGAGAGCCAGATTAGAAAAGCGGTTGAGGAAGAACTAGAGGCGAGGCGATTGGTCCTAGGGGAGAAGGAGGCAGAGATCTTGGAGCTGAGGGCAAAGCTGGCGGGGAACGCAATGAGAGGCAGAGAAAGAGAGCGGTGCGAATGTGTGGGGGTTCAGGTGGTGACATCACCGGAGTCCTCTTGGGGCGATGTTGAGGCCGCAAGTGCAAAAACTATGGCGCTCGATGCTGAGCACTTAGAGGATACTGGAAGCAGCCAGGTCGAGACTTCCGATGCCGAGAGTGTAGCCGACGCCGGTGAAGCGACAGTCGGCGAACTGACTCTTGCGGGTGTGGAGGGACAGGAAGAAGGCGGATTGGCGCCGGCTGGTAATGACGCGAGTGGTATGACACAGCTTGAGTGTGAGCGCGGGGGCTGCGGAGCTCCTTCTGACAGCCACGTGGCATTTGCGACCGAGGTATTCCCAACACGTGCTGGATTCACCTGGCAGATCGCCTCCGTCTGCAAGGTAAGTGTGTTCCCGTGACTGAGCACATCGGACGTGAAAGTGTGTGTACTGGGAATTGCCAATCACAGATAAACGAGCGAAAGCGGTAGGCTTCAATGGTGCGCCTGCTTAGGAGCAGGCAGAATTGCGTCCATACATGGGACCTTAGAGAGGCCACTTGTTTCACTTGTCCAGATTGTTTAATGGAAAGGTCGATCTTGAGTGCGGACGATCGCTTGATCTAGAGACAGCTTCGCTCCCTTTGAATCAGCGTGCCGTGGTCAGAACCGAGAGCACTGGGACTGATGATTGTGTGAAACAATCTCGAGATGAATCGAAGACTTGGGAGTAGGGGTTTTGCTTGACGCTCAGATGTTGCCACTGCAGGGAACATGCCTGGAGTCACCTGCAACTGGTCTGCTGAAAGCCTTAGTGAATGTAGTGAGTCGAAGGTGCTCCAAAGACAGTGAAACAGGTACGACTGCCCCTAGAGGTCTAAAGGCCCTGCTTACTAATTGACAGTACCGCATCTGTCGTCAACAGTGAAAACAAGATGTGTCCAAGATCGAGTTGGAAGTCAGTTCCTGTAAAGTAGGTCATGAAGAGAATGTAACATCAGCGTCGATCACAGAGTGGGCACGACCAAGCGTGGGTACCAGGTTCTCAGAAGAACTAGACCGATGTAGTTCAGGACGCAGACTTTCGATTGTCGTTTGCAACGTATGTCTGAAGGGAGCTCATCGCTTCGATTAGTCGTATCTGCAGCTTCAACTCGTGTTAACAATGTTGCTCTATGCACCTTGAATACGTATGTCCATCCAACGGCGTACGTTTTGGTCAAGATCTTATCAACATAATCCGGCACTACGGCCTCTGGTCAATCTGCGTCCTCGGTATGTGAATGGGACCGTGTAGAATACGTGGACGCGCGTACGTGCCAACTCGATGCGAAGCTACAGGCTAAAGCAGCGATCCAGGGCCGCAGCCGCTTATTTTTGTAAGTGGGCACAAATACCTGCATGCCCATGTGAGATGTAGGATAGCTCAATCGCCCCAATCTGCACATGCATGTGCTCAGTTTATATCAACTTTGATTTGCAGTTTCTGATTCTCATGTACGTGTGGTCTACTCAATTGTGATGCTTAACTCAAGTATACGTCAAACGTGAAAGCTGCACGCATGTAAGTTCTATAGCTATATCATTACGATGCAGTGCGTGGAAGCCGCAATCGGCCATTACACCATGTGCATCATGCATGGAATAATCATGAGCACATGGAATACTGAGAGGAGGCGCACTCAGTGGCGAGCTAGACATGTATACTTAAGAATACTGACCGGGTAGGGCCGGCTAGCCAGAGCTGGCTAGTGTAAATACGATTGTTGGATGATAACAAATCTAGTATGAGTTATGTTGAGGCTCTAGATATTTGCGTGTGCATACATGATTATCATAATTAGTTCAGTGCAAGGATACATGGCAAGTCGTTTGTCTGCAATCAAGCGGCGTTCATGACAAACAAACTAGAAGTAGGCACTACCGTACACCAATCAACCAGCATATTTGCATAATAGTAGCTGAAGGCTTGAAGCCTTGCAGGTCGAATTCAATGGCTGACTATGGGAATTCCGTGGGCGTCACTCTAGCGATGCAAGGACCCGTGCGGCACTGAGTTCTCAATACAGACTAAGTTACAAGGTTTTTGGCAAGAGACAACAAAGGATAAGAAGAGGATGGCGAGTTTTCTCAGTGAAGAGAAGCGCGAGTGCCATAACCGTATTGTAGTGCAAAATTTCGATTGCATGCCTCCAGAAACTGCATGCAGTACACCGTTCCTTCACGATCTAGAGTCAACTCGAAACCTGCTCAGGTACTCAAAGCTAACCAGATAATGTGCTGATGACCAAGTCAACTAGCATATTTGACCACGGAAGCGAATAGATCGCCTCTCCATGAATAATTGGAACTCTTAGGAACTTCCAACACGTTACCCGCCCTTTATGGACCCATCCTTTTATGCCACGCAGGGTCGCCCTTCCGACCCATCAAGCCCAGCCACGGCTACGGTCCTGCTTTGCGTCACAAGGCACTTTACTTGGCAAGGGTGGTCTCAATCAGCTTCCCAGCAACAACATACGGGTCGACATTGGCCGCCGGCCGCCGGTCCTCGAGGTAGCCCTTGCCCTCGATCGACACCCCGAGCGGGATACGGATGGACGCGCCACGGTCGGAAACACCGGACCGGAAGGTGTCAATGTTGGCCGTCTCGTGCTTGCCCGTCAACCGCTTCTCGTTTCCGATGCCGTACACCATGATGTGCTCCCTGTGCTTCTTGCTCAGCTTCTCGATGGCCTCGTGGATCGCCTTGATGCCGCCCTCCTCACGCATGCTCTTGGTGGAGTAGTTGGTGTGCGCGCCGGTGCCGTTCCAGTCGCCCTGGATCGGCTTGGGCTCCAGGGTGATGGTGATCCCGTAGTCCTCGCCGAGCCTGCGGAACAATCAGAAAAGCTCAGCCTTTTGTCTCTCAGTTCTCAGTAGTCTCTCATCGCTGGTTACTCGGGCGCTGAAGCGTGTTCTTTGAGCACATTTCGACCTCAATGTAAGCGAGCCCAACAACCTGGGGTACTTCTAATGTTAGCCTTGCTGCCTTCGAAGTTCTGAATCCAACGAATTGGTGTCGGCCGTAATTCTGAATCCAACGAATCGGTGTCAGACGTCTCGACCTGTGTAAGGCAGTCAGCAGCTGTGTTCGGCCCACCGACAAGCTCTGAAAGAGAACTTTCACACGTCTCGACCCCTCAGGCTTTTACCAGTGCTACCACAGGACAAGCATCGCCAAACTTATCCAACTATTTCCGATGCTTCAGAGACGGGCAATTGAGAGTGATGTAAACGGGGCTCGCATGCTACAAAAGCTACCTGGCCGTGTTGTCTTAGCTGTGAGTTTCAAGGAGAAAGACAAGATTCTTAAACTGAACATCTCAAAGCAGACCTCATAAGCGCTTGATTAAATTGGGCGCGTTCACTCGCAAGCGCATCTTTGAACGGACGGCAGCGATGTCTGGAGTTGAATGAACGGACGGTCTCGCCATATCAAAGAGCGACGTCCTTGCGCTAAAGCTGGCCTGACGACGTACACCCACTTACAGCATCCTTTTGTCAAAGATCACGACGTACATTTGTATGACCGAATGCTATGGTTGCAAATGGTGCAGATACGAATGCCCATGTCTTTCTGGAGGGCCCAAGTCCCGCTTGCAGCGATTTCGGGGAACAAAGAGTCCTCAAAAAGCCAACGGTTGGACAATGGAATCAGCCAGTAGTCCTTGGAAACGGTTGACGGCCTTGCCTGTTCAGCAGCCACCTGGCAATCTGGACGTGGTCGCCAACCTCAAGAGGGCCAGCAGGTCCGATCTGGAACTCCCATTGGCCGGGCATGACCTGGGGACCGAGACCAAATTGTGTTAGCCTGGTGGATTACTTTAGTTGGTTAGAACACCGGTTCACTTGCTGTCAAGTATACAAGAAGAGGTCAGACTTTCTGTTGCAAAACTTGCCTCGTTCGCAACTTCAATAAGATCTTCATCCAGACTATGCTGGCACAGTTTTGGTTGCGAGTGAACCCCAAAAACAATTCCACCAAAGGTTTATCACCAAGCCACGTCCGCCTGAGACAACCCATCCCCAAGGCATGGTAGAGGAATAAGCATGAAGCATGCAATCAAGCACTACAGCAATGTCGATTCGAAATGAAGCATGTGGCTATTCGCCGCTTAAGCTGCATAACGAGATTAATGTTCGACTCTTACCTCAGCGTTGATACCAGAGATTCTGAGACCGGCCTGTCAGAAAAAAGACATCGGATTGGAAAGCAGCTTTGGTCACGAGAGGGCGCCTCAGCCTCGAAGCTCCTCAAGCAGCGGTGTCGAGGAATCTAGGTTGATAGCTAACTGGCCCCGACTTGACGGCAAAAGACAGGCCAATAATGCAATAGACGCTGACTTATGTGACATGAGACGTGTAATCAGCTAAAAGGTGCAAACCAGCCTCACAGGTATCTGATGTGGACAGATTCTGGAGGCAGAAGACAGACAACTTGATGCGAAAACATTCTGAAAAGCGCGGACTTGGCGAACACCCCACAAAATGTGAGAGACTTCAGCCAGCTGCTACCCATATGCCTGACAGTTCCCTCAAGTATGAGGACATCCTCCTGGATTTGTATGCGTGAATATTGCATACCATCTCTGCGGTGGTATCTTACAGTACGTATAACCTAGAAAAGGTGAGTTTGCAATCTCAAACCCTCACAGGCCCATCAGCTCAGCACAATTTTTTCACTCCCGACATCCTCCTACCCCTTTGCAGAATGCCAGAACACTCTTAGGGCAATGCCGGGGGCTCAGTCTAATCTTTCCACTTCCGGCATCCTCTTACCCTTCCGCAGAAACCTAAGAGATTCTACCTTTGGTACAGGAGCCCTGCGCATTCTCACCTTGATGCAAGCGTCCATGTGCGCCTCCGCCAGGGGCCTCCCGTAGACGGACTCCTGGCCAACACCACAGTAGAAGGGGCCCTGGGGTTCGGGGAACCCGTTTGCGGGCCACCCATAGATCTGCCCGGTCTTTGAAAGCATGGTGTATTCCTGCTCAAACCCAAAAAGCGTCTCCTCTGCGAGCACCTCGGGGGTCAGGAGGTCGGCGATCTTGCGGCGGGTGTTGGTGGAGTGGGGCTCGCCCTGGGGGGTCAGGACCTCACACAGGACGAGCACGTTGTTACCCCCCCGGATGGGGTCGTTGGTGACGTACACGGGGTTCAGGATGCAGTCGGAGAAGTGGCCCTCGGCCTGCCCGGTGCTGCAAGGGAAGGGCAGTGGCAGTCTTGAGTCTTGAGAAACAGAAGAAGTGAGCGTTTTAAGTAGAATTCTGCTCTCTGAGATGGTGACTTCAGGTTCAGGATGCAGTCGGAGAAGTGTCTTTTGGCTGCCCGGTGCGGTAAGGGAGGTGCGGTGAGATCTCTGAGTTCTGGAGGTCACAAGAAGCAAGTAACCCTTAAGGACTCCTGCGTTTCAGATTAATAAATGAAGGGTGACGATGGGGGAGTGACAGAATCCCAAGTGATATGCAAAGCAGACCCGCAGAAAGAAGATGAAGCCCTAGCTTATTTGAGAGGTTTAACATAGCCATGACAGAGGTAGCCTTGTCGAATTGTGGTCATCTAATCAACGTCCACAGGACATGGGGCATGGATTGCCAGAGACTCGTTCAACAGACAACTGCGCTGCGGCTTGGCCTTCCTTGGGTATGCCCCTTGCTTTTCCCCCAATCCTATTCATCAAGAAAGGAAAGGCAACCTAGAGTAGTCCCACCTCGAAACACCATCATCAATGTAGGAAGGACTTCCTCTAAGCATCAGTGTCGAGAGATGGAGGATGCAGATGCAATGGCATTGCACTGGCACAATTCATCTGGCGGTAAACCCTAAATGCAGGATTGGAGACAATCTTGGCACACATCACTAGTGTTACAGTCTCCTATTGAACTGCTTGGCCATGCTGCAAGGCTAAGATCTCTGGGGAGAGCCTTTTCATCCACCTCCTGATGGTGAGTGCATCCAGCAATTGACTATCTGCTCCAAAAGCTTGCCGTTGCCTCTGGAGAGGTTTCCAGCGCTCTCACCTGGAGCCATCGAAAGACCACTGCGGGAAGTCCTTGGGGTTGTTTGTGGTGATTGCCTTGGGGATGACCTTGGTCTTCGCGCGCAGCTCGTTGAACTTGATCCCCTTTGTGCCCTCAGCACCATCGGACCAGATGTATTCTGCCCGCTGGGCCAACTCGGCAACGACAGGGCCCTGTGCACGGCGACAGAAATGCTTTGATTGCCTAGACTAAGGAATCTGGGTTGAAATCTGCTAGGCAAAACGAAACTGTCAACCTGGCACTTTGTGCTCCAGACAGTGGGATCCTTCCTCTCCATGCTTCAATGTATAGATAGTTTTGTTGATCCAGCAACGCGGAATACCGCATTCCATCCATTCATGTGTTTCTAGAAGCAAATTTGGTTCTGGTTACTGCGTTGCCAAGTCTGGTGGCAATTAGGGCTTTGCGTGTGAATTTTGGGACTAGACTTTTTCCTTCTGGTTGCATCGGACATGATAATGTGGTCCTGCGGCCAACTGGAAGAGCCTGCACTCATCATTACTTAGAAGCGTCTATTTCAAGATGCTAACGCCTTGATCCACATGTCTCGCCGTGCTGATCAGTATTACGACTACCGCCAATGATCAGAAGCTTGACCAATCTCACCTGAGCCCTGGTCGCAACAGTCCTTTTGCCCTGTGCGCTCTTTGCGCTGACCTCAGCAGCGACCTCATTCCGCGTGAAGCTGCTGCTACGTCCGAAGGACTCGGCAATCTTGACGCCAGAGAACTGGGAGGCAGCCAGGTGTCAGTCCTCCTTTTTGGCAAGTGCACGCACGTGATCTGAGTATGCAATGACCAACAAGCCTTGTCCTGGAATGCACACTTGTCATTTCTGCATTGAAAAGCGCGTTACGGCTAGAACTTCTCTCCTGGTGAGGGCAGCCTTCTTGCTCAATGGTTGGACTGTGTGGTCTCATCGTTTCCAATGGAAAGGATATGTCTCTGTTCAGAGACTCTCTGCAGGGTTCTAGACAGCGCTTCCAAAAGCATAGCCAATATTTCCCAGCTATTTTAGACACTGCACCTTTACCATTCACCAAGAGGCTGCATCAACGCGATGCAATGCATAGAAAGCGTCCAACATTGAGAAGCGTGTCAATTGCAGCCGTCAAAGAGTTCGTGATGACAATCTCTCCTAGCGCCGCACTTCTTCAGGGCGTACTCTACAATGCAACTGAATGCTGATGATGGCGCATTGCCGGTTGATCCACAATGTGTGTAAGATAAGCGTCAGATCTTCAGGAAAAGCGTTCTGAAGTTGGCATCCATCTTTTCAACACTTCATCTGTCTTGTGTGTGCCACTGTCTTGCTTACCTGCGAGGTAAGCCCTGATGCCCTGACAGGGACTGCATTCTGCCTGACGGCCCCCTTTTCAGCGCACCCGGCCCGCGCCAGCCCCAATGCGCTGGTGCTAGCCCTCGCAGCCACAGAAGACGCCATCGTGATGCAAGCTCAGGTTCCAACGCAGAAGCACAATGCAGCGTCTGCGACCTGCTGAGGAGTGCTTTCACGTTGACCCTGCCTTGTCGAGCGTCCTCAAAAGCTGGTGAAACAAAAGTTGGTGAAACAAAATTTGCAGGAGGGAAAAATTTGTCTCAAAAAGAAAGGACGAAGCAGAACCAGAAGAACGATCACGCCATTCACGTGTTGTGTGACGCTGCGATGTCTTCAGGAGTCGGTGTTGCGTGACTAGCGTACACTGACAGGGTCCGTATACATCCTGGTATGCACCGGGGGTTTACCTATCCTGGTAAACTTAATCCAGCCTTGGCCGTTCGATCGTATCGTAAAAACTTATTGACCAATCAAAGAGGAGATTGAAGATTCCACGTGGTACGAAGGTACGTACTAGGTATCTATGGGCGAGCTGATCTTCGATACATTGGTGGGAATGTGTAACCAGACTTTAGGGTTTGCAAAGGAACCCTGGAAGCTCGCGCATGGACTCGAATTTGTTGCGAGGTCCGGCCTATCAACAATTGGAGGAGGGGAGGCGGCCATTGCCATTGGCGTTTTGGCATCTGAGATTTCTCGTCTCCATGAACGTTCTGCCCCGCAATTGCTGCACGCAACATGGAACCGAGCAGCAGACAAGAACAATGTTCAGCAGGGGATCAGGCTGGCAGTAGCAGCTGTCAAGGCGGCCATGCCCAATCACAAGCGGACGTCCAAGGTGCAAGGCGAACAAAGGCGATTATCTCCTGGACGTGCACCAGCTGTCAGCGAGAATGCATTCCTGTACGTGATGAGTCACGCTGCTTGTGCGGCCACCGACTAAAAGTACACTCCCAGGGTGCAGCTGGCAAGCCCGCTCGACCGTTCAGATGTCAACAGGCACAGTGCAAATGCAAAGCGTTTTTCTACATCGTAGCTGAGGGGTCGTGGATTCTGAGGTGTCGGTGTAAGCACAAACATATAGAGCACGATCCCGTGAGTTTGAAGTGTATGAAGGCGGCCTGCACAGGAAAGTGCGAGCGTTTTGACAGCCCCTGGGTTTGCAACTGTAACCACCCTTGGTCAGGGCACGTGCAAAGGATAGAGGTGCGAGAATTTAGGACCATGGGGGAGATGATGGCTGAGGTGGCGCCAGAAGTAAACGATTGGGCAGCGATTGAGCGAGGCAGGGATGCAGAATGATGCAGCTCAGCAGAATGTGTGGAAGGAGAACGTGGACCAAATTCCCTCTTTTAGGACCCCCCCAAACTCTAGTACCCTTTTCTGGCGCGCGGGCCGGTTCGGGCTCTGTCGATCCATACAGGTCATAAACGGTAGACTGTAGGACCTGCGCGGCCTGTGCTTAGGAGCAACGCACCGGGAAAGTTGCCCGGTCATTTCCTCGAGTGCCAGGGCAGCTACAATGCTACGCGCAGTCCAGGCTACGACTTCAGGGTACTAAACAGTGGGGGTTCGAGAAGTCCGAATTTGGTCCACGTTCTCCTCCCACGGATTCTAAGAGGAGTCGAACAAACATAGCTTTAGCTTTGCTTTAGTATGCCCATACGACTTGTGGTCCCAGTTGTGTGGATATACAAGCAGGTTAACTCCAAAGATTGGAGGTGTTGTATATCAAGGGTCAGTAAATCGCATTGCCAGTTAAAGGCCCGCGCGGAAATGGGAGTTACGAGCACGAACGTTGGCGGCGGCGTGATCCCAGGATAGGTGCAGGTGTAGAGTTTGAAGAGATCAGTTTGGGTTCAACAAGGATTCTCAGCCCTGCGTACGACTTGTTGTTATTGACATGGAGCTTGTGTATGATCAGCAAAATACTTTTAGGCATGCGTACGAATCAAAGTGCCGAGTCACAGTGGCGCATTGCAGAAGAACGGGCCTTGTAACAAGGCTGATGGGAATGTTTCTTCAAGTTGAGTACATCTGGCATGACAGCAGATCCTTCGTGATTTGGCCACGTACCGCCCAAAGCCTTGCATTATATGCATGATGCACTATTGTGGTCTCATTAATTCAACAATGACGGTACAAACTGCATTGTACTCTGTGCTCACGGATTCAATGCCATGGCTGCGTCACCTGGTGAGGACGGTCAACTACACTTGATACTCGGCTGAGCATTCGTCCATTGAGTCAAGTCTGCGCGCGACTGGTTCCTGCTCAGCGTCAGTGCGAGCTGCACGCACACCGACCTTCTGATTTATGCGCATGCTAAATATTTTGAGTACACTTCAATTAATCACGGGCCTGCCAACAGAACTTTTTCCGACACATGTGACTTCAACTAGCTAGAGATAGATGAACCGCGCTAGTGACAGATGAGATTTGTGCTCAGCGTTGTAGAATTTGACTGCATATTGTCAGTGTGCAACCTGAATGATGAAGACATCAACATTTCGACGGGTCGTGACAAAGCACGTTGTTTTCGCAGTCGCACTTATCATACGTTGCAGTACATGCGATTTGGATCCGAGTCTCAGTGCCCATCGAAGTCTCAGGATCTGTGTTCGGAATGTCTTTACACCAGCGAGTCCCAAATTCGTCATCAAAGTTGGCAAAGTCGGGTCGGCCACAAATGAACAGTCGCTACAATTGAAGACTGGTTATTGATCAGCCTCCCTTTTTCAATGCAGTCCTTTACGCGTTAGCTCCCACTATTTGGCTCTCGAGTCTTTGAGCAGAGTTGCTGCTTCGAGCAAAAACCCCTTTGGACTTCTCGTATGAGGAAAACGTTCTTTGAACGACGCACTCGCTTGCCGCAGTCCTGCTTCGAGCGATTTCTAACATTGCTCGAACTTGCTCAGCCGGCTTTCAGGCAGCATTCGTAGCTGATCTCGCATACGCAATCTCCTGGTGCGGGTACATTTTCACGATCCCGTCCGCCCCGCAACTGAGCATCCCGTCTTGTAACGGCAGAACGAGCGTCACGGCGGCCTGCATAACGGCCCCCCCTCCGCGAGCGTTTAAGAACGTCCGCTTATCGTGCGCCCGCTCCCACGTGTGCACCAGCCGCGACGACCCCGCGTCCCACAGCTTCACCTCCCCGTCCTTCCCCCCGGTCACAAACATGCTCGTCCCGGGCACGGCCTCAATAGTGTGAACGCCCCCCGCGTGCGCCCGGGAGATCGACCACACCGTCCGATCGCTCGTGCTCCCCCCGCCCTCCGCAACCGGGGGCTTCCGAGCCTGTCCCCCCGGGCTTCCACTCGCCCCGGTCGACCCCCCCGGGGCGGCCCCGTTCTGCCCCGAGTGCTTACTACTCCCCCGACCGCTCGCCACGTACCGGAAGTCATGCACGATGATGTCCCCGCCCCTACCCCCCGAAACGATAAGCGGGTATCCACCCCCCCCGGAATCAATCACGGCCAGACAGCGCGCACCCCCGTCGTGACAATGGACGGCGGCGCGCGACGAACTAGGGGGGGCGAGGGTGTCCCAAAGTACGAGGTTTTCGTTGTTATTGGATAACCCGGCCGCCGCGACAACGCTCCCGCTGGCGCCAACAAATGCGAGGTCGGAGCAGTGGCGCGAGAAGCACTGCCGTGTTTCGTCGGCGCGGGTCTGGCTGCGGCCGCCAACCTGGCGGAAGGATGGAAATTCCAACGATTGGATACAAGATTTCACAGCCAGAATTGACAAGCTTAGACTGAATGGAGTGCGAATAACGGCCGTCGGGTGCTGCGGGCTTCTGATTGAGGGAAGTGTTGGCTCAAGACTAAGGAAACAAAAGGCAGTCTCAATGACACAAACCTGGTGTCGGAAAGCGAATAGGACGAACAGCGAGGTCTGCTCCGCTGCAGAGCTGCTCTTAGAAACTCCGTGACTTCCTTCGTATCTCACGACTTAAAAGTGAATGAGCAGGAGCAATCTCAAGAGCTGGCTTTAAAAAGTGCTTCGTTCTTTCTTAGCGTCTTGTGCAACAATACAATTTGTTCAGACTTCAGGGGGAAATAAGACAGGTCAACTAGGTACAAAAGGAAGAGAACCTGCTGAACCGGACAACGCGAACACCCTTTCTTGAAACATACGATTGAACCGCAACGCACCTCAAGCCGCCACGTGGAAACCGTCCCGTCGTTCGCGGCCGTCGCGAAGCGGTGCCCGTACCGGTCAAATTTGACGCGCTCGACGGACGGGATGACGTAGGGCGGCGGTCCGCTGACGGCCGGCAGGACGCCGTACGTTGCGGACGCCTTCTCGCGTCCAAACTCCCACAGATACGTGTGCGTGTTGTTGGAGCCGACCAGGAACAAGGGGCGCAGCGGGTGGGCCGCCAGGGTCTGAAGGAAAACAGGTTCTTGTTTGTCAGAGTTCTGGGGTGACACATTCAAAGATTTGTCTGTCACGCAAAGGTGTGTCTTCAAAACCTTCATGAGCAATAAGTTGAAGTGTTTGAGCAACAAAAGAGGGGGCGCAGTGAATACGCCGCTAGGGTCTGGAAGGAAAAGGTGTTGACTTTCAAACAGAAAGTTTTTGTAGGTTCAAAAGTTGACCGTCACGGGTTCGAACGCCTCAGGATTCCAAGCCTTGCAAATACGTAAGTGCTGCAAACAAAACATTGTGGCCTTCCATCTTCGTTGTTGCGCATCTCGAATCATCCAATGACTTTGGCCGCGAAGTAGGCGCACCAAGTTCCGGTGTTGGTTCGCTGGAAAAGCGCTTGCGCTAAATTCGACAAAGGGGCGGGCGCGAACGTCAAAGGGTGTGAGCAAGCTGCGTTCCCCTTGCCAAGGGCGACACTCAGAACCTTCAAGTCCACCTTCGACCCCCTGCAGGGATGCCCATCTTATACCAGAACGATACCAAAATAATACTCGGTCACCCCTTGTCCAGTAAAAGATCAAATCCTCCGCCTCAAAACGCAGCTACGTATCTTCACAAGCTTTACCGCTCACCCGGCTAGTCACGCTGTCCAGTAAAGGGATCGGGTCTTCGGCCGACCCTTCGTCGACGTCCCACCCAAGCGCCCACGTGCCCGCCCCAACCCCCAGTCCAGCAACCCCCCCCCTGGACCGACATGCCCGAAACGTAGGAGCCCACTTGGGAGGAAGAGGGGGGCGTCGAGGAGGGGGGGGACACGTCGGTCTTGGGGCCGGTGCCGGGCCAGCCTCGAGAGGGCCATAGCGACTTGCCCCATAGCGTATCCTGCAGAGCAGATTGAGATATCACTTATGCAAAGGGAGTGAGAAGGGCCGAGTAAGGGCGAGTATCAGGACTCAAAACACGATACTAAGTCTCTAGACGTCGGTCTTGGGGCGGTGCCGCACCAGTGTCAGGAGGGCCGCAGCGACTTGCCCCAGCTTACCCTGTGGAGGGGACGAGATTTTGTTCATTCAGATTCGGGACAGCGTTGCCTCGCACGTGTGCTCCGCACGTTCCCTCGCACGTTTACCCGGAAATTTCTTGAAAGCGGTGAAAACGAGGCGTGAAAAGAATGGAGAAGGAAGTGCGTCGGGTCTCTGAGCAGGTCTGTGTCCTCCTTCTACAAAGGACGCGGTTGGAGGAGGAAAGGAAAGGAGCCAGATGGACGATTCCTGCTGGGGTTCGTGGCTTGCGAAACTTATCAACCGCAACAAAAGGAAGCCAACGTCCAAGATAACGTGGCAAAAGGCACGGCCATCCGGTACCAACCTGTCGAGACGGGCTCCCGAAGACGTCAGCTGACGCCGACGTATCAGGCAGGGATCCGAAAGTCGTTGAACACGAAGTATCTCCTATCCCGGCGAAGTGGAATCGCACAACGTAGTGCTTTGCGAGATACCGTACTGCTATTTGATTTCGGCACCTTCAACGCCGAATAATTAATTATGAAACTTTCTATCCTTTCGGCAGACCAATAGTTACCTGCTAAAATAACCATTATCGAACCATTATCGCCTGAAATTGTTTTCTGAAATTTTCGGCAGGCCGAAGAATTATTCATTTATTGCCGAAACAAATTAGCAGTACGGTACTTGAAAAGTTGCCATAGCACTTGGATTTCGTTCCGAAACGCTTACATAGTAGCCCGTCATTTTACTCTCCGGAAACTTTGTCAAAAGTAAAGATGATGCAAGAATGATGCTATCTTCGGTTTCGTTTGAGATATGTTTGAGCAGAACCAATGGGTGATCCAAAAGGTCCGAGATCTTACCCCCATCGGTGCAAACGACGCGGGCGCTGACGCCACACCAGGCGTGCCGCCCCCCGGCCGGATGTCGGCGTACACGAGTCCCTTCCGGTTGGTGGCAACGACCATTTGCCGCGGGTCGACCGAGTTGACGCAGACAGACTGGGAATGCAGATTGGATCGCCGTCAATACAAGTTCTTGGTGGACTGCGCTTTGGTCAAGCTGTCACCTTTCTTGTGACTCCAGTGTGTATTGTTGTTTTTGATGCAGCGCCCACTTGGAATGCAGCGAAAACGTCCGCTATACTTACTCTTTGGTGCAGCATGTGCTTCATGAAGGATTGCGCGCTCGCTCGTTAAGGACTCGACAAGAAGCTCGTGTAAGCTGAGAACATTCTGACTTCTCTAGGTAGAGGGCCTTTGTCGAAACTCAATTTGCGCTGCTCGAAACCACTTTGGGTTACCAGATCCACTCTCTGATTTAAGGGACATTGTCGTAGCGCTCTTAGATTGTGGCGCAATGTATCGACGACTGCCCAAGTCGGGACGGTGTCTGAAAGGCGGCAGTAATGGAGAACGAGCACAAGGATGCCAGTGAATTACAAGCGCCAGAGGCTTGTAAAATGTCGCCTGTTCCGTTTGCCCTTAAGAGTACCTGAAATCCGCAGCACCACTTTCCCTCCAAATCCACGCCGATGCTATCCAGTCTAATCTTCTTGACCCCTCTGATCTTCTTGCAGCCCCCATGGCACCAACCTTTCACACACCCCTCTTCCTACTTTGGGCGCCACGAACTTATTCCCACCCTCACCTCCAGCAGCTCCCCCGGCAGTGTGAACACCTCCTGCGGCTCCCCGTAGCCCAGCACCGTCTCCGGCTTCTCTTGCACCTTTGGGGAGCCCTTGGTCTTGTTCACGAATGGCGAGTCCTTGAGGGGGGTGACTCTTGGGGCGGCTGCCGCGGGAACGTCGTCTGCATCCAGGAAAGCAAACGAAACTGTGGTTATTGGAGGGTCTCTGGAGGGTCTCTGGAGGGTTATTGGAGGGTTTGCCGCGGGAAACGAAACGTTATTGGAGGGTTATTGGAGGGTTTGCTCCATATTCTCCAAGAGTAGCGCAGCCAGTCGGGATACTTCGCAGCCAGTTGGGGTTCAGAGCGCTCGCACCTCTGCACGTCCAACATGGAGTTTTACAGCTGAAATCTTGAAAGCCCGCAGGATCAGGGTCGATGTATTGGCATTACAAAACGTCAAAATTGTGCTACCAAGAGTTGACGGTGGGTTCTCTTGTCTTCTTCCAGTGAAGCCGCCATTACGACCGCTAAGGCTACGCCTGAAGCGCTACTGAATACAGTCGACAAAGCTTAGAGAAGCAGACAAGACATAGACGTTGACGGCAACAGTGGCCCACAAGAGGGCGTTGCAAGCTACTGATGGAGGGAGCGCGGCCACTGAAAGTAGTAGCTTTGCTGGATGCTGGGCTCTCACAACTCCAACACGTGAATGGACTTTCTCTCTATCTCAGAGCAACGGCTGACGTCCTTCCTCTTCCAGAAACCAAGGTGTTTGACAGGCCTTCACTATCAAGAGAACACAACTTGCAAACAGACGGTTGGTATTCGGCCCCGTGGAGGACGCCAGGAGCCCTTCCATTGTTGAGAAAGGTCACCATTTCCCTGGCGCGCAACAGCACACAAACTTTACTGGCCAAAGAAAAGAGCAGAGCTGTTTTTGGCGTCCATGACCATCGAGAAAGAGAATGCGGAGAGGTGTCTTAGAAGCCAGTTCCAGAAGACTGCATCTTGTCTTACTCTTGAACAGCCCGGGGGAGGGCGCCGGGAGCCCTTCCATCTCGAGCGCTGCCCGTAGCTTCTCCCTGTCGACCACCAGTCTCCAGAGCTCCGCTTCCAGGGGGTCTCGGCTTGCCAGGGGGGGCACCGGGATCCGCGGCTTGGGCTGATTTAGAAGCGCTAGGGCTGCCTGCTGCGCTTGCTCCTTGTCTTTTGGGTCTTTACCTGGGCAATTGAAGAGAGTGCGGTTGAGTTGGGTGATCAGGGTTTTTGAGCTGGTTGGGTGTCTTAAGTTGGTCTTATGAAGCTCGATCGGAATGTTTGTGTGTGTGTTCTCTTGATGGAAACAGGAGCTGTGCATTCACGTTATCAATTACGCCGCGATGACGGAAGACCACTGAAGTGGACATGGCACAGTTTGTATCGGAATGTCACAATGAGGCTTGCCATGAATCGCAGGTTGTCGTCACCTGATGTGCAAGCAGATTGTAACAACGTTCGCAGCAGAAGCACCAGGCAGCAACTCACTCAGATGCAAGACCGGAATCGCCGCCTGGGCCCCTCCCGTCTCCTCCTTCAGAGCGTTCTCCCACAGCCACGCAACTAGAGGCGGCGGAGTTTTCGCCCCTGCCAGCTGTCGCTTCACATGCGCCGCCAGCTGTCGCCTCAGCCCAGTCTGCACCCCGGCCAAAGCGCTCACAATCCCGTCTTCGATACGAACCTTCCTCGCCGCCTTCTCGTCCCCCTGGCCCGGTTTGGAAGTCGAACCTCGGGAGTAGATACCTCCAGCTCCAGCGATTCCGCCGCCCACACCCGGGGGGGTAGAAGCCGGGCGTTTTTGACCCCCTGGAGGGGAGGCCGGCGGGGAAACCGAGTGTGGGGACAGGAGCGGGGACTGCTCCTGAGAGGGGGAGTTCCATCCGAAGCCCTGGGACCGATCCCCGGGCGAACGGTCCGAAAAAGCTTCTGGCGGCTTCGGACCGCTGAGCTGTTTCCGGACGGCCCCGAGCACTTGCGACCAGAGGCATGTGCTGAGGACGCGCCACGTGTCGGCCTCTGATACGACGAGGCTCTTAGGGGGCAACGGATCGCTTGCAGGCGGTTCCTTTTGAACGCCGGACGGGCCTGACCCTCTGCTGTCCGGAGCTTTCCCCTGTTCCCGGAGAGCCGATGACGTCAGCTTCTGGATCCGCCCCTCGATCCAGTCGTGCGTTTCTTGCGGGCTGCTCGAAAGAGCGATCGGCACGGCGCCGTTTTCCAGCAGAGGCTGCAAAAGCGCTAAGAGCCCTTGGGTCCGTTTTCCGAACCACGCCGCCGCCAAGAACAGCAAAAGCGCGACCACGGCGCCAGCTTTCTTCACGCTCTCCTCCCTGGATGACGTGGCAGCTTCGGCAGACGCCACGTCACCCGTCAGCGCCTGCACCTCCTCGGCCACCCGCAGGACCTCCCACAGCTGCTGACGTGGCAGCGGGCTGCGCGCCGGCGCCGCCGCTCCACTCGCAAGGACTAACACCGAGACGACACGTGGCAGCACGTGGACGAGCGCCCGGAGGATATCTCCGGCCACGGGCTTGTACTTTCCCGGCTCCGCCAGAAACGCCCGGCCCAGCGCCGCCAGATCCGGGCCAGAGGCGCTTGTTTTGACTTGGGAAGCTGTAGAGGTTCCGCAGACCAGGCGGCAGAAGAGGGACCATCTAGAGCCTCCGTGGGCGAGCGAGGTGAGGGCGGTGGAGAGCCTCTGCGGATCGACCCGCCACCGGTCGACCGCTAGAGTAACGTCCTCTAGGAGCAGTTCTTCTTCGGACGCTTCGTCTGCAGCTTCTTGAGAAGTTGCTGACGTCATCGCCCAACTGGGGTGCTGCTGCAGCAGAGGGCTGACGACCTGTGACGTCAGACGGTGGCGCATACTGTAGCGGAGGCCGGTGACGACCTGGACCAGCAGGAAGGAAGGGGTTCAGGTTGGCGTCGAGTAAGGTTTGGCTGTCGGAAGGTGGAAGCGAAGCGTCGACTTTACCAATTGTGGTCCTGAAGGGATAAGTTGGACGTACACATAAAGTAATGACGTTAAGCAGTCAAGCAAGGCTCTTCCCATTGTAACTGGAGGTTCGGAGACTCACTCCGTATTACCTACCCGCCTTCTGACCTAAGTTTTCAGACGGCCACCAATCAGACCTTTACCCGCTTTCTGGGCAGAGACCCTCATCTAAGGCGAGTCTCTTAGAGTTAAACACACATGGCGAGCTTCTAAAACCGATGTACGTGAGAAAGCTTCCTTTCTGTGACCCCTCAGAACCTGCAATCTCCGTCGCTTAGAAAATGCTTTCGAGGAGCTAAATCCACAAAATGAACAAAGCTTACTTGCTCTCCAAGCCACCCGTCGCCGATCCTGGACCCCTTCACCGGCCCCTTCGTGACGTCCTCCGCTTCCTCCACCTTCGCCTCTTCCTCCTCTTCTGGCGGCGCAAAACTCCAGGGGTTCGAGGGTTTAGCCGCGGGCGCGGCCGCGGGGGCGGCCGCGTCTTCGTTGCCTCCGAAGCTGAAGGCGTCCGAAGGTTTCGGCGCCGGAGCTTCGTCGCCAAAGCTCGTGAACGAAGAGCCGATCGCCCAGGGGTTGGGTTTTGCCGCGGCCGGCGCTTCCGCGGGTTTGGAGGTTTCGGCGCTCGAATCTTCTGAGTCGCCAAAGCTCGTGAAGGAAGAGGCGATCGCCCAGGGGTTGGGTTTTGCGGCGGACGGAGGTTCCGGGGGTTTGGAGGTCTCTGCGTTCGACTCTTCTAACGGAGCGAAGGACGATCCGAACGACCAAGGGTTTGCTGACGTGGCAGGCGGGGGTTTGGAGGTTTCGGCCGGCGCCTCTTCCTCGTCGGCGGTCGCGCCAAAGGCCCAAGGGTTCGCGGAGGATCTGGGGGGTTTGGGCGGCTGCGGTTCGGCTGCGTCTGAGAGCGACGAAGAGCCGAAAGACCACGGGTTTTCCGAGGAGGGTTTGGGAGATCTGGCAGAGGGTTCAGGGGTTTCGGCGGAGGGTTTAGAAGTTTCGGCGTTGGGCGAGGTAACGCCAACCGCCCAGGGGTTGCTATCTTTCTCGCTCCTACTGGTTCCTGCGTCTGGGGACGC